CCCCCCCCCCCCCCCCCAAAAAAAAAAAAAGGAAACGCTCAATGTGCTGTGCAGAAATCTCGTTCGTCTCGACCGAAAACAGCCAGCTCAATCAAGATCTTACTAAAATAAAACAAAAGCCAGCCGACCCTCTAATCATCACACACACACTTCTTGACCTCATGATGCGCACCCATCATCATCGTCAGTCATCGTCCGTCGTACATACATCATCATAATCATCATCGTGAATGCTGCCAATATCATCACGCACGATCACCATAAAACATCACGTCCTCACAAAAACGCCTCATTCCCCACCACACTGCTCTCCCTCGTCTTCGCCCCCGATCTCTCCTCGCTCTTCTCTGGTATCGGCGGCGGCGGCGGCGGCGGTGGCGACGATGGCGTCGACACAGCCATCGTTTTCCACATCCCCGCCGATCGCTGCATCTTCTCATCGTCGTCTTCGTAGTTGTTTTCGTTTTCGTCTTGCACGTACGACGATATGCCCCCGCGCACGCTGCTGTACCGCGTCGGACGGCCCTCGACGCTGACGGGCCGCCGCGCCTTGATGCCTTCGTCGCCGACGAAGAAGATGCGGTCGTCGTCGCCGAGGGCGCTGCTGCCGAGGCCGTACATACCGCCTGAGTTGGTGGTGGTCGTGGTGGTTGGGGGGCGGAGGTGGTGGTGGGTGTGCTGGGACTGTTGCTGCTGCTGCTGTTGCTGCTGCTGCTTTTTCCGTGGGGAGGAGGGGAGGGAGGAGGAGGAGGAAGGAGAGCCCGACGGGGGAGGAGGTGGTGGTGATAGGGGGAGGAGAGATTGGCGGTGGGAAGCGGAAGAAGAAGGAGGAGGAGGAGGAGGAGGAGGAGGAGGGGCGGCGAGGAGGAAGTTCGTTTTGGCGCCGACGTTGCTGATCATGCTGAGGGGGATGCGAAGGCCGCCGGCGCCGCCGGTGTTTGTTGGATCCCTCATCTCGCCATCGTCTTCCTCCTCCCCCGGCGCCTCCGCCCCAACACCCGTATCCCTTCCCACCACCGCCGCCGCCGTCGCCACCGCTTCCTCCCGCCCCCGCTGCCGCTGCCGATCCAGCTCCCTGCTGAACCTCGACCCAGCACCAGCACCAGCACCAGCACCACTCCCATTCCCGCTCCTCCTCCTCCTCTCCCTCCTCTGAGCCTCCTTCTCCCTCCGGCCACCAAGCCCACCCCCACCACCACCGCCACCGCCACTCTCCCTACTCACCGCCCTACTACTACCAAACCTCCCACCCCCACCCCCCGACTTCGACCCCAACCCACCCGACGCCATGGCCGCATGATGATGCCTCCCGCGATTGATGATGCTATTCCTCTGCATCAGCTGCTGGCGCACCGCCGCGCTGAGGCCGCTTTTGGTTACGCCGCCACCACCAGAACTACCACCAGCACCACTACCGCCGGTAAACGCGTCATTGCCGTGACTGTGGCTATGGCTGTGGCTGTGGCTGCTCCGTCGCTGCTGGCTCGCGATGGCGGAGTTGCGGAGGAGGACGGAGGCGGCTTGGTTGAGGTCGTCGTCGTCGTCGTCGTCACTGTCATCGTCGTCGTGGCTGTTGTTGCGGTTGCGGTGGCGGGATGTTGCGGTGGGTGTGGCGAAGTCGGTGAGGTTTGGGTTTGTTGGGCGGTAGTGGGTTGGGAATTCGGTGGTGGTGGGTAGAGGCGGTGGTGGCGACGGGGGCGGCGGTTGTTTGGTCGGGGATGATGATGAGGAGGTGGTGGTGGCGGCGCTGGCGGCGGAGGCGGAGCGTTTGCGGGACCGGTGGAAGGGGCTGGTTGTGATGTTGGACTTGAAGGATTGGGTTGGGGAGGGGGTGCGGCGGGCCTGTTCGCGGTGGTGGTGGTGGCGGGGATCGTGTTCTTTGCTGAAGGAGGCGGCGGCGGATACGGGGCTGATGGGTGAGGTTGGTGAGGACGGCTGCTGCTGCTGCTTCTTGACTCTCAGCGCGGAGGGACTGAGCGGGGAGGTCATGAAGGCTGGCGGGCGGGTCGCGGCGTCGGCACCTTCGCTCGACGACGCGGAGCCCTGGCCGGCGTCGTCGCTGCGCTGCATGAGGTCCGCGGGGTCGTCAATGTCCATCGGGTCGCCGCCGCCGTGGTCGGCGGGGGAGGGCGCGTTGTGGCTGTTGTACTCGTCGGTGCCGGTGCCCTCGGTCGTGGTGTAGGCGCTGTCGCTCAGGGCGGACAGGACCATGCTGCTCCGCGGGCTCTCCATCGGCGCGTTGCCCGCCAGGGGCCCGATGGTGCCGTGGTTGGTCGTGCTTCTCCACCGACGGCTGGGGGTGTCGGCGGCCGAAGACGTCTCTGAGTAGGCGCGAGCGGTGCGTCCGGTCCCGGTGCGCTTGCGGCGCAGGCTTCCCGGGAACTGCGGCCGCTCTTCGCCGGCTGTGGTGGAGCGCGGCCCGTAGTATGAGGAGGGCGAGAGGGTTCGGCCGGCGGCGTATTCGCCCCCGTCGCCAGAGGCGCGGGAGTCGGCGAGGGTGCCGATCATGGAGGGACGTTGGCTGGACGAGGCGCGAGAGGAGCCGTGGGCAGCGAAGAACGGAGACCGACTCACGGCGCGGTTGCGGATGTAGCTCTGGCGTCTTTCGTCAAGCGGGCGGGTGTCGGTCAGGATGGTGGTGTTGTCTGCCATGGGCGAACCGGGCACGATGCGGACGCTCTTGCGGTTCTCGGTGTTGGAGTAGCGGTTGGCCGTGGTGCAGGGCGAGGGCGGCGGTGCTGGGAAGTGCGAGGCTGCGGGCGAAAGTAGCCCGTTGGAGAGCATGCCTGTTGAGAGGGTGCTGAAGGAGCTGTAGCTGTCGGCGCCGCGAGACGGATTCGAGGAAAAGCGGCGGGTGGGAGAACCGAACGACGTCCTCCCATGACCTATGCCGTGTAGTCGGCGCCGTGCTGGCAGGCCGACACTGCGCCGGCCGTAGCTGTCCTGCGAGTCTCGATGCACCCTGAACGACCTCCGCGACCGGCGGCCTCTGGCAGGTGACTCTTCCAGCGGCCTTGAGCTGGGCCCGGCCCCGGCCCCGTGTGACGCAGGCGCGGAACGTATGGCGCCGGCGGCGACGGTCCAATCGCCTGACTGGATGGCACTGTGTAGCACTTGGCTGTCGGCCTCGCCGATGGACGTGGTCTGAGACGGGCGGTAGTTGTGCCGGGTGGCCTTCTTCAACGGAGAAGGCGAGCCAACCTGCGTCTCCGTCCGTGTCGCGCTGCCTTCGCCCTTCTCCACGTCTCGGTCTCGGATGAAGGTGGCGTCTCCCATCTGCCACTCCAGCTCATCAGGGTACGTCGGTCTCGAGATGTCTTCCTTCCTCCGGTTCGGAGAAGCTGGTCTTGCAGGGCGCTTGCTACGCCTGTAAAGAAGGAAGCCCAAGACCAGAGCAATGATGGCGATAACAATGCAGACCACAGACACTGCAATGATGGCGCCGTTGTTGGCCGGCTCGTGGTGCGGAGAAAGGGATGCCGACGACGTTTCCGAAGCCTCCGCTGTCGTGCTCGCATTGGACTGTGCCGGTGTGGAGCGCGGGCTGCTCCCACTCGAGCCAGTCGCAGCTGCTGCCTTGATGACAATGTCAAACGAGTTGGTGTCGCTCTGCGATCCGTCTGCCGTGGCGACCTTGATGCTTCCATGAATCGTTTGCGGCGTCGCAGAAGACGGAATCGCTCCAGCGATGGTGAGCGAAGTCTCGTTGAAGTGAAGCCACTGTGCTGCTGAGCCCAGATCCACCTCGACTTGGAGCCCGGCTTGCGGCGTCACCACATTGCTGAGGACGAACTTCGCAGACTCCCCGACAACGGCGTTCAGGTTGCCGACGGCGCTCCGGAGCAGTCCCGATCCAGTCGTGAGCAGGACGGTCGTGTTGGCAACGTCTCCAAACCTGTCCGCGACGGAAATGGCAAAGCTGGTTGAGTTGACGTCCGGAGGCGCGGTGCCGCTCATGTCCAGCGTCGTCGAGTCAAACGAAAGCCAGCCGGGCGGGGTGGCTGTTGCGTTGCCAAAGTCCGAGTCTGCCAGAGGCTGTCCGTCGAGTGAAAGCTGGCTGCGGAGATCCGTGACGCTGACGGCTGAGCCTGCAGTGACCGTCACTGTTTGCTCCACGTTGCTGAAGACCAGCTGGTGGGCGCTGACGGAGAGAGTAAATATCAGAGAAGCGCCGGCAAAGCCGACGACGTCCGACGCAACCAACATCACGTCTACCGTCTGCGGGGAGTCGCTGCTTGTGCCCGAGAAGACCATCGACTCCGGATTGAAACTAACCCAAGAGGGCAACGGAGATCTGTCGCTTAGAGTGGCGTAATACGTCAGCTCCGCTGTCGCCGACGAGGTAAAAGTGTCAGGGGGGAACTGGATGTTGAACGGCTTCGACGGCTGGAGGGACAGGCTTTGCGGGCCCGAGAGCTTCCCGGCCTGGGACAGAGGATCCGCAATGTCGATGTTCAGCTTGGGCGCGGCGTCGGCGGACACGATCAGGGTTGCTTGCATAGCCGTTGAGCCCGTGGAATCCTCGGCGATTATCGTAAATGACGGCGCTCCCATGTCCTTCGCCGTGGGCGTGCCGTACAGTCTCCGATTGGGCGAGTCTAACGAGAGCCATGCTGGAGATCCCGCGAGGCTGTACTCGACCGCCCCCGACCCGGCCGTGAACGTCTCGGATGAAAACTGGAAGTCGAATGGTTGCAACACGCGGGCCACCGGCGGCACCTGCGAATTGAGCGGGAAGGAGACCGCCGGAGCTGCTTCTGCTGCCGCCACGAGCAGCAGAATTAGGATGGCCAGCAGCATGCCGGCGTCCTCGCACTGCTGGGAAGCAACAGCCCAAGAAGTCGATGAGCAAGACAGGAAGTCAGAGTCGTAAGAAGAGGCAAAAAAAAAATTGTGCGCCCGTCAGCGAACCTCTCGCTGCTACAGTCAGAGGCCAGCTTGCGCCGCGAGACATCCGTGGCGGGGGTTAGACATGCTGATGGAAGAGGCAAACATACGCGCTGAAACGCGTCCGGCGCGTCCTGGCGTCAAGCCCTTGCCTGGCCATATTGTCAAGTGGCTATGGTGGTTGAACGTTCCGGAATGCGGGACGAGACGAGCTCGAAGGGCTGGGGGAATGCTTCCGGCAAGGGGTGGCGAATGATCGTGCTTCCCTTCAAACCAGCCACAGCCCAATCCCGCCGTGTCCGCCAAAGAAGCGGCATTCTTTGCCTGAGATTATGTGGTATTTCGTCTTTGAGTGGCTCATGAGAGCTGAATCTGCCTTGAACCTCATCAACCCTCCGGCCGGAGTAGCATCGCAAACCTCCGCTCCGAAGGAAAAATCCAGAACCTGCATGGAAATCTTAGTAACGGTCTGCCCTTTCTGTGTCAGCCTGACCACGCTAAGTTCCGTGAGGCCGAAGTGGCTTGCGGAGGGGGGGACATACAACGCCGACTAAGGCCCCAGATTCTCTGCCCCAGCAGGCGCAGTTGAGGCTGGTGCTTGGCCAGCGCCGAGGTGAAAGAGCTGCGAGCCTCCCTGTCGCCCATTTTCCGAGACATCAGGAACGCTTGAGCTCCCTGGCTGGCAAAGTCACGACCGAAGGGTGGGAGCGACAAGTAAAGGAAAATCCAGGGCGTTCGAGTGCACAAACACCTGCTTGGCACATGGCGTCAGTTTGGCTGACTGTACCACCTCAACCCTTCCTTCACTACAACTCGCCAGAGACAGACTTGTCTAAATATGGCGGCCCACGCATCGAGGCTTTTTCTTCATGCACTTTGTACGCTTCTGACTAGCCTTCTCCGAGAGCACAGGAATTACTGCCATTCATCTTTTTTGCGTCTTGCGGGATATCATCTACATCGCTTCTCCTCTACATCTATTTCAGCGTAACCAGCTCCTCCGCACTGGTCGGGTGTATCGCCACGCAGCGGTCAAAGTCGGCCTTCGTCGCCCCCATCCTGATAGCAACGCCGAATCCTTGCAGCATCTCGGCGGAGCCCTCGCCCAGAATGTGGAGGCCGACGACACGCTCCGTGGGGCCCTCGACGATGAGCTTGTAGGCTGTGGGGCCCTTGTGCTCGGGCTCCATCATGGCATAGAACATGGCAGTGAAGCTAGTCTTGTACACCTTAACCGCGTCGCCGTATTTGGCGCGCGCCTCGGGCTCGGTCAACCCGATAGCACCGACCTCGGGGTGAGCGAAGACCACGGAGGGAATGTTCTCATATTCCAAGTGAGCATCGTTCTTGCCGCCGAAGATGCGGTCGCTGAGACGACGGCCTGCCGCAATGGCAACGGGAGTAAGCTCGAAGCCCTGGTCGCAGACATCACCGAGAGCGTAGACGTTCTCGACAGAGGTGTTCTGGTACTTGTCAACAACAATGTGGCTCTTCTCGTTCTGCTTCAGGCCGGGCAGCTTGTCGATGCCGAGCTTCTCGATTTCAGGGGCGCGGCCGATGGCAAACAGAACGTGGTCAACGTCGTCAATGACCTGGTCCTTGCTGTCGCCCTCGTTGTAGTAGACACGCTTCTTGCCGTTGCCGGCATCCTCAACCTTGGTGATGCTGGACTTTTTGTGGATGTTCATGCCCTGGCGCTCGTACTCCTGGGTGATGGTGTCCTGGATGATGGGGTCAAAGCTACGCAGAACCTTGTCTCCACGGATGAAAAAGTGCGTCTCGGTGCCCAGGGCGTTGAACATGCCCGACAGCTCCACACCGATGTAGCCGGCGCCGACGGTAACGACCTTCTTGGGCTGGTGTTCAATGTCAAAGAAGCCGTCGCTGTCGATGCAGAGCTCCTTGCCGGGAATGTCGGGAAGGGTGGGGTGGCCGCCGACGGCGATGAGGATGTGCTTCGCCTTGACCACCTGCTTGCCGCCGTCATCCAGAGCAATCTCGACCGTGTTCTTGTCCTGGAACGAGGCGAAGCCGTGGACGTACTCGACCTTGTCGTTGCCCAGATTCCGCTCGTAGATGCCGTTCAGACGCTTCACGTAGGCGTCGCGCTTCGTCTTCATGGTGTTCCAGTCGAAGGACAGGTTGTCGTATTTGAAGCCGTAGGCTCTCGCATCCTTGAAGGACGCGCTCAGGGCGGCGGCGTTCCAGGTCACCTTCTTGGGCACACAGCTGGGCGGTGTCAGTATTGGCGGTCGCAGGGCGGGGTGGGGAGCATAGCTTACCCAACGTTGACGCAGGTGCCTCCCAGACGCTTGCTCTCGACAGCAAGGGTCTTGGCGCCATACATGGCACTGGCGCGGCGGCCAGAGGCAAGACCACCGCTGCCGCCTCCAATGACGAGGTAGTCGACTTCCTTGGGAACGGGCGCCATGGCGGGACGGAAGGATGAAAACTGGCGCTGGACAGCGGTAAGTCTGCTTTTCGCCAGCCTTGACGGCGTAGCAAGAAAGGTGCGGGAGAGGATTGTGGAAGACAGTTTGGCAGCGTGGCCTTGCGGCTCGAGGATGGAGGGGCGGCGGGGTTGATATGGACGCGCGACGCGAGAGGACAATGACGACAGGATTGGGGCTGCAGAAAACGGCGCTGGCGCGGCGACGGGGTTAGTCCCGATGCGTTTAGATATGGATGATGCAAGTCAGCTTTGCTCCGTAATCAGCAGTCAGAACCATGCAGGCGGAGCTGTCGAGACGCTGGATTTGTGTTTTCTCGCCGTGGCGGCAGCATCGGCGTCCATTAGTCAGCGCTGTCGCCGACGTCGCCGACGAGAAGGCCGAAGATAAATCAAATCATCAAGCTGCCGTTGCTGTTCTTCCCGCAGGCGGCAGCTGCAGCATCCTTGTCCATGCGCAGTGAGATTGCCCGCAGTGGAAGGCGCGCGGCGCAGTGCTCTTCCGTTCCGCTGGTTTGTCATGACGTCGATCTGGAAGCTCCCGCTCACGCCATTGCCTCGAGCTGCTGAATGCGCCCCATTGCTGCTCCCCGAAACTCGATAGCCACAGCTCCATTGAACCCCCTGAGCGAGCGACACCATGGGCGGCCGTCAATCCGTCCCGCGTGGGCCCGACGGGCTCAACGAGACGTCACGCCCGACGCGTCCGCCGGGCTCCTTCAAGTTCAACGGCAGGGTCAGCTCCTCTACTCTCTCCCCCGCTTGCGACGACCTATTGCTGATACGCCCTCGTAGACCATGATGGCCCCGCTGGCCGCCATCACCATGGCCGGCCTCCTCTTCGTCTACACTCGCACCTCGATCCGCGCTGCAAAGCTCAACGCTCAGAAGCACCGAGAAGCAGACGGCGGCCAGATCAGCTGGAAGAACGAGTCGCTTCGCCGCCACCACCAGACAGACCAAGTGTCGGAGTCATCGTTGCTGAGGGAAGCCTTGTTTAGCAAGGAAAAGGTCAAGTCTAGTAGGGAAGCCCAGGCCTCTTCCGGAGACAAGTCGGCCGACGAGGAGGCCTTGGAGAGGGTCAAACTCGAGAGGCGAGGATAGAGTGGGGCTAAATAAAGAGAGAACGTGGCTGGAATAATAGGAGTCGTGTGGGTTTGGGCTCGGCAGGCGTTGCGTGGTTCTACCTGCGGGGGAAAATGAATACCCAACCAGGAAAGTATCAAAAGTTGTGCAAACTGGCACGAATGCTATTGGAATTTTCTCTTTACATTCATCCCAGGTGAGTGAGCTTGAATAGATTGCAGCGTGTGTGTGGCGAGGAGACTATCGTCACCATGGATTCTCCCACTCACCTTATTGGACGAGCTTCTTTAGTGGTATATCAGGAGGACATGCGACTGCAACATCCGGGACGTGGTAGTGTAGATCGCATCTGTCTCTTAACTTTGCTAGAGGAAGCAGTCCATCCGCTGTTTGACTCTAGGGCCTCCTAGATGTTCAGTGCCTCACGTCCGTATTGGACCATGGTCCGATTGCCTTGCTTCAAAGCAGTGAGCGCCTTCATCCCCCACCTGAACCTGTCGGTGGACGCCTCAGCTGGAAAACGGCGCTGGAGGGCTGCACAGATAGCATCGAGATCCATCTCGTCACTCCCGACAAGAGTCTCGAAGAACGCTCGGGCTGGTCCTGTTAAGGAATCGCGCAATGTCATTGTAGCCACTTCCTCCTTCATCTCTTCGGTGGCGTCTGCGAACGAGATGGACTGACGAGAGGCAATTTGACATTATAGCTTCAACTTGCGGACGTTCCTGTTACGGACGCTATCGAACATGTCAGGGCGAATGGATGTCATCCTTGCGGTTGATGGTTGGATAGTCGGCTTGACGGGTGACGACGATGTAGACCGTCCTGAGATCGACAACCCTTTGAGCTTATAGCCTGTTTGTTGTAGCTCTTCTCCCAGAGTTGGAAGAGACTGGCTGGGATCTGTCTTGTAAGGTGACGACAGCAGCTCAGGCAGACCGGTTTGACCACCGCCACATATGTTCCCGCAGTTTTTGGAATTATCATTTCTCGATTGGGAAGCCCATGCCTTCTCGGTCAAATCCCTAGGGTCTTATCGTTCGCAAATCATGGTTCCTCAGGAAAGGCCTGCTTCAACCAGCGCGAATAAGTAAGAAGCGAGTATCCGGGCACCATTACCAGCACCAGAATGGTACCACAAAGCAAGGGCCCACGTTAAGGCTTTCGGTCATACCAGCAACATGAGATCTTGGATTTGCGTGTACCAACTGAGTGCCCACCTGTCATTTTCTCAGGTCACTAGCCTGGCAACCGGAAAACTGCTCTCGCTTGTATGACCTTTCATCCCTGGATACAACAGCCGGCGCATCACGGGACGGGGCTCGTGCGACATTCAGAACGATACCGTCTGAAGACCTTCGATCGGACCTTCAGATCCGTAGCTCGATGAGTTCGGTCTCCCCAGGCTTGCACGCGACTGATCGATTTCCATATCCACCCAGATTGATCCATCTAGAGATGTCTCTCGGTGTGATTGCAACTCGGCCACTGCAAGACGCGATTCCTCTGTGCATTCGGACTCTGGTGGCACGTAACAAAACACTTCAAATACCACCATAAAGGCCATTGCCAGTCTCGACTCCCCAGCCTGGCGGCGTGCTCCAACCTCATTGTGACTCAGACTAATGACCAACGAGTCCCGGCTGCTTATCGCCAAGCAATTTTGATGGACTCCATAGATTGATTCACTCTTTCGACCGTGGCAAGGTCATTTGGCAGAGTCCCGTGAGGCCGGATGTCGAGTCGCATCTACCCCATGCGCAACGGCTGCCAGAGATAAATGGCTCGGTCGCCGGCTCCCTACCACTAACTCGTTTCCCAACCCTTCCATCCATACCAAGTCTTTGCTGCCAAAAGCAAAAACAATGCAGCCTCGCTACCTCATTCTGGTTGTATTGGGATATTTTGCGGAAGCGACATGCGCTCTTCCACTTCAAGCACCTTACAACGAAACCTTGCCCGCGGATTACTATTTCGTATGCTACTCAACCAAACCCAACCCAGACGAAGCGAGCTAAAAGTTTTACCACCCACTTCAGGTACTCTTCTGCGAGGACGCTTATTTCCAGGGAAACTGCGCCTACATGGCACGGCCGTTCGAATATTGCCAGCCTCTTAGCCCCGAGTGGTACGTACGCGCTCCCGATCCGATTCACACGCTCCAGGAAATTGTACTCTTCTAACCACCACAACCCTCCTTATGCGTGTAAGCAGGATCAACAAGATATCATCCATACAGCCGGGCAAAAACAGCATATGTGGCCTATATGTGTACGTCTCATCAAATAGCTTTGCTACAATCCGTGACATTACAATCTCTAACACGCACATCTATCAAAAAAGCGGGACCGGCTGCGAAGGCTTGGTCGACCAGATGGTGTGGCCCGGCTCGGACGACTTGGCCGGGACAGTGTTCAACGACGCCAGCCGCAGCATAAAGTGTTGGGGCAGTGCGTAAGGAAATGCCGGGAGGGTGTCGTCGAGGGCAATGGGATGCGTGCGTGCGGCCAGGTGGGGGAATCATCACTTTGCACTGCAACTCGCGACCAGGATCATTCGCATCTTTTTCCTTATCTTTTCTTTTTCTTCCGGTCTGTAAGCCTAGGCATGATGATGGTCGTTGCTTTGCAATTTGAACTTCTTGTTTTCTCTTGTCGAAGGGATCTTAGGAGTGGAAGTGATTGATTTTGGCTTTCTTTTTTGGTCTCTTTTCGGTGCTGATTTCATGGCTTGCTTGCCATCATCTACTCGGGGTCTCAATACCACAGCGAGCTTGAGAACAATCATGCTTTTTAACCTCCACTATAGGCACTACGTTCTGCCTGACCGCGTAGTTGAATCCGTCATGTGGACGTGTTTGTACGCATTTTAGACTTACATCTAGGCCTGAGCGTTGGATTCAGCTACATACACAAGTAAGGCGCAATGTCTCTACGAGTTAGAATAGATACGCTTAATAATATCTTCCTTTAACCGTTATAATATTATTAAAACTCTAGTCTTCATCTCATCCCGTGGGCTGTATAGGAAAGAACGATCCAGCAGCAACCTTAATAAACCCGCCGTGGCTGGGTCGGGCCGTAGCCGATGAATATCCGATAGTGTTAAAAATAGCAACATCTGTCGCAGAAACGAAAAAAAATTCTCCACAACTTCCATACTATTAAAGCGATGCGGCAAACATAGCCCCAGTAATAACGATAGCACAGAAATATTATCCGTTAAGATCAATAAAAGTTACTAATCCATTAAGAAGTAATCATCAAGTGAAGGTGGCTCCTTCCAAGGAAAGTAACTTTGACAATATGGGTATCAAAATCAACGCCGTTTCTTATCAATCACACTTCGATAGCTTTCAGAGCGTTCGAATGTGCCTTAGGCACTTTGGCGGAGTGGTTAACGCGCTGGCCTGCTACTTTCTGGATGGGAGCAGCTGATAGCCAGTTCCTTCGGGAGCGTGAGTTCGAATCTCACAGGTGTCGCATAACAGCCCGATCGGTTCTCTTTTGCCCTTCTTTTTGCCTGTTCATGAGTCAGGATGCTGGCCTCTTCATCGTGGCACTGTAGGAGACATGGTACAGTGCCTACGGTTCACCTTTGGGAAGACGGGAAAGAAGAATGAATGACTGTAATCACAAGAGCTCGGGGCATTAGAACTACTATCAAAGTTGTCATTTGATCTTCCCATCTAAAGCTGTGCCGCCGCGATCTAATGATGACTGTAGCCCATATATTTTTTTATATGCGTTCAGCATTATTAATGGAGAAGACATTAAGCAAAGCATGCAAGCCTGCAGTGCTAGTGGAGCTAACGGAGTGGCGACACTCCTGTTTGAAATGATGTTGATTTTCATCAAGAACAGCACAGTTCATGTCCTCGTGAAATTTGGTTGAATAGCAAACGAGCATGTTTCCTCCATGCCGTCGACCGTAGACCTCTAGGATACCAAACCACAAAGCAAGAATCACCAGAAGTGCTAGGAACATTCAGTGGAAGTTCTTGTAGCACGACCACGAGTCACAGTAAACATACCGTCCGCAATAGACAACGATCCTCTTCCGCGCGATCAAAGCCACGAGGTCTTTACGTCTACAGAACAGTGGATCGTTCAAGCATCCATACGGATGCACACCAGAAACCTACTTGTGAAACGGGAGCAGCTGAGAAAAACCCCCCGGCCATCTGCTTTCCACCAGCAAGCGCTGATAAAACCGCGGAATCTCACAGCCGTGATGAACAAACTCAACCTACAGACGGGTGCATTTGGGCATGCACCAACGCATCATCCTATTACATATAGTAGACCGCGACAGTGCTGCTTCCGAGCAACTCGCGCGGCGTCGTTACTAGGTCGCCAAGGGGTGTTTCTTCGCTGTTTTCATTCCCGCGTTCTCGTCTGGGTGTCGACGCGACTATAATAATGCCGGCTGAATCTATTATAGAAGGGCACTCGGCCCGATATGGTGGGGAGGGATGAACGGGAGGGCGGGAAGGCGGGAAGGCTGCGGGAGCCGAGGCAGTATGGGAAGAGTAGAGATGGAGTCTGCCTCGAAACCGTCGTGAGTGATTGAGCTGAAAGGTGGATGAAACGTTCGTTGGCGTTCATGGAAGGCGTCACCAACACCAGCACAGCTACTGCACGAGTCATGAGAGTTAGTAAACTCTTGTTTATTGATGTCTACAACGTAAACGCGCGAAGTCCTGTGTTCGGGAGGGGAACGAGTCATATTTCCTAATCGGGCAAAAAGATGCGCACACGCAAGGTCAGCATGGGAGAGTGTCACACAACAGCAGGGAAAACGAGGACCAAAGTGGAGAAAAGAATCAAATGAGGACCAAGTCCCCTCTTTTTTTTAGCCTTGTAACTATGTACCTCCATGGCTGTCGCATGCACACACCGTCCCACTCTTGTGCCTCACCTCGATCTCTATCACGTAATCTTCCCGTCTGTCATAAATGCATTTTAATCATACCGAAAAGGCAGAGACTATGGCTGTGTAAATCCTCCATGCCCGAGAAGGAAAAAAAACAATCTAAGGCGCTTGATAGCCAGCCTCAGCCAGACCCGACTTCAACGCGTCAAGCGCGCGGTCGATGTCGTTTTTCCTGGGGTCAGTCACGCTGACTCCCATGTGACCGAACCTGATGTACTTGGTGGCGATCTCCTTGTGGAGGCCGCCGGCGAAGATGACCTTCTTCTGCAGCAAGTTGGGTAGGATCTGGGCAGCTGCCATGCCCTCGGGCAGGTAAATGGCCGTCATGCCGTTGGCCTGGTTCTCAGGCTTGTCGGCGAGCTGCTTCAAGCCGAGATCAGCGACGGCCTGCTTGATCTTCTGCGAGACCTCCTTGTGGCGAGCGAAACGCTGATCCAAAGGAGAGGCAAGGATCTGGGTAAGAGAGGTGTGGAGGGCGCGGACGAGCTGGGGGGAAGGAGTGGCGAAGTAAGAGGGCTTCTTTGCCTCGTAATTTTGCATGACTGTCCTTGTAGTTAGCAGGCAGTAGGGAAAGTGGGGTCGAGGAGAAACGCACTGGGAAGCCAGTTCTTCCAGGAGCCGAAGTAAGAGGCGGGCTTGGTTTTCCGGGCCTGGAAGGCCTCAATGGCGCGGCCGGAAGCCATGACGATGCTCAGACCGGCAGGGCAGCCGATGGCCTTCTGGCTGGCCGTGAGGACAACGTCGATGCCCCAGTCATCGAAGCGGATGTCCTCCGAGCCAACACTGCACACGCCGTCAACGACGATCAAAGTCTCGGGGCTGACGCGGTGGACAAGCTCGGCCAGAGACTTGATGTCGCTGAGGACGCCGGTGGAGGTGTCGACGTGGGTGACGGTGATCAGCTTGTACTTCCTCTCCTTCAGGGCCTTCTCGACGGCATCCTGCTGGGGACGATCGCCAATGGGAGCCTTGAGCTGGGTAGGCTTGGCGCCGTAGGTGTCGAAGCAGTCGGCGAACGAATCGGCAAAGTATCCGGTGTGGAGAACCAGCACCTCATCGCCCGGCTCCGTCAGGTTGGCGGCGACCTGGTCCCATCCCAGTGTTCCCGAACCCGAGATGACAAAAGGCTGCGACGCGGGGTTGGTGGTTTGGAACAGCTTTCGGAGCATCGAGAGAGTCTCGCCGAAAACCGCGACAAAGGCAGCGCCGACGTGCGACTCACTTAATGTTTATCTGTGTTAGCAACTACTGTGCCGGGACGTGCTAGGGACTCGGAGCAGCCGGGGCGACTGGCAGCGACCGTGCAGCGTACCTGTAGTGACTCATGGACTGAAGGACGGCATCGTCGAACTCGATGGGCCCGGGGATGAGCAGGGTGGGGTGCGCTTCTTGGGTAGACATGGTGGGTTCGTCGTCGAGGACTGCAGCTTGCTGGGGATCGATGTCGTCGTCTGGCAGTGCAGCACGGTCGGAGGAGTAGGGAGTGTTGAGAGGTGGAGGTTTAACGTCTAAATGTCTCTCGATGAGACTTAGACGGGGTTGTGCTCGGGAAGCCAGGTTGGCGGCCGACGGGAGGGAGGGGTAGAAGCTTAGTAGGCGGCGCGGGGTGGCCGGGGTGCCGGTCTCGGGGCGTGGGAACTCGGGTGACGTTGGAGATAGTCGCTCAGGGCCCACTTCACACTTCCAATGCGGATGGGGCGATTTGCAACCGGACGGCAGTCGAATTTTATATCTCTGGAGGGCGCGGAGTAGGGAGAAAGAAAAGTTTCACAGCGCTCGGTACGTACACTTGCCGACCTCGGGTCGCGTCCGGGGTAGTGTCAGTCGAGGACGTGCTGAGCGCCTGGACCCGCCGCCGGAGAGGCAGCGGTTGCCATTGACGGCTGGATTTGCGTAAGCCAGCCCGGGCGGGCGCCCGCAAAGGCCGGGCGTTCTTTCCCGCGCGAAAACGAGCGGCGTGGCAGCATCGCGCTCTTCCGCCGGCGTGGTGGCCAGCGTGGGCGCCGTGTGCTTGGCGCGCAGTTCCGCCTTCTCTTCCGCCTGCGCCGGGGCCGAAGGAGGCGCGTGCGCGCCACTGCGCGGCGGAGCTCCTACGTACTGCCTGCCCGCCAACTCGCCCATGCGCTGCTCCTCCGCTCAACATCGTCGCCAGCACGCGTCCATGCGCCCACGCCATGACTTCAAGATTAGTCCTATGCCTCGGTGACCTCTTCATCCCGGACAGGGCCGCGGTATGCTCCTGTCTCTCCCCCGCACAGCGCCCGTTTCGCCCCGGCTGACGCCCTCCCCCAGGACATTCCCGCAAAGGTAGAGAGAGCAAGAAGCGCGCCGCGCCGCGCCGCGAACCCCCCCTCCTCCCCACGGCGGCCCTCGCGCTGACCCGCTATGCCGCAGTTCAGGAAGCTCCTCGCCCCGGGCAAGATCGGGCAGATACTATGTCTGGGTAATCTCACCGACAAGGATACCTACGACTTCCTGCGCAGCATCGCGCCCGACCTGCAGATCGTCAAGGGCGACTTCGACGTCGAGGCGCCCAACCTCGCCCTCTCCAAGGTCGTCACCCACGGCTCGCTGCGCATCGGCTTCACGCATGGCCACACCATCCTGCCCCCCGGCGACCCGGACAGCCTGCTGATCGCCGCCCGCCAGATGGACGTCGACGTCCTGCTGTGGGGCGGCACCCACCGCTTCGAGGCATACGAGATGGAGGGCAAGTTCTTCGTCAACCCCGGCAGCGCCACCGGCGCCATGACCACCGGCTGGTGGACCGAAGAGGATGATCCCACCCCGAGCTTCGTGCTCATGGATGTGCGTTCTGGTGCTTCCCTGCCCCACGCTGCGGATCGAGAGGCTGACGCGTCGACTGCAGGTTCAGGGAGACGTTCTGGTGCTCTATGTCTATCAATTGCGCAAGGATGCCAATGGAAACGAAAACGTGGGCGTGGAGAAGGTGTCTTTCCGGAAAAACGGAGGCGGTCTGGAGTGAAGATGAGGAGGAGAAATCAGCACTCTCAGAGTCTCGGAGAGCACAATGATACCATATTTTGCGTACCCTCAAACTCGCGCCTCTCCGCATGCTTGTGCCGGCTTGATGAGGCAGTGAACGAGATGAGCCATGTCCATTGGTCTCCTATATCTTCCGAAACGAACCCTAATTCGCTACCGACTGCTTGCCTCAAGCTTTCTCGAGCGTCTTGACCCCGCAATTGCGTTGACTCAAAACATGGAAGATACGGATCTTCTTCGCAGATCCGGTGGAGTACGGTACCGTGTTGTCTCAGTAGGCACGTGGGGAATGAACCTATGGGAAGTTGATGTCGCGCAAGAGAACAGACGACCGGATCGATTCCCGCGTAGTGCCACATACCGAAACATCTCCAGACCTGCCTTGTCTTCCCCACATTGCTGACACGTGGGGATAGGTTACTCCTGTGGAATCACACAGCAGGAATGTCATACCGCAAAATTCAGGTGTGTCTAGCCTCACGGGCGGCGCAGCTTGCGGGAGCAAAAAATCGAGCTTATAGCGATGCCAGTAGTATACAATCAACCGCCGACTTGCCAGCCCAAGGCCGAATGAAGAGTTTCCACGAAGCCAAAAAGTCAGTCATGCACAGTCCACACGGCGTACTGAGTAGTGTTGGATCAAAGTAAGTATTTTTTGTTGTGAACAAATTCAGACGAGTGAATGGACGGACCCTAAACTCGTCCGAGATCTGGATGACAGCCCAAACCGCTCTCCAGAAAGGTAGGGATATCCATCAGGAGAATCAAGACACAACCTTATAGTCACGGCCTTACAGCTCGCTAGATCACTGACCCAAAATGACACATCTGAAAAAAAGGCATCAAAAGACCTTGTTTGTTGGTACACGCATTCAATTCAGTGCGAGGGACATTCCAGGTCTACAACATCCGAGGTATCTTCAAAAAGAAAAAGGACTGTCGCCTTCCACCTCAGGAGAGCGCAGGACGAAATAACCAACGGGAAAAAAAAAGTTAGAATAAAAGAGTCGCAACTGATGCAACCAAGTACATGAACAGATGTAAAACGAGAGAAAAGCCCACATTTGACTCCCAAGATGCATGACGCAAGACATTACCATGACGCCCGAATCCGCGTTTAGTTCGATGTTGTGTGTTTGTGAATTGTTGAGGAAAGGGGGAGGAGGGGGAGAAAAGGGATCTGTACAGAATGTGACAATAAGAGGCCAGCCGACCCTATGCACACAGCCTTCCATCAAAAAGAAAGTGCCTCGTCGTCAAAAAATTCTTTTCAATCGTTCAACACAAGCACAATTCGTTTACCATACTCGTTTCCTTCCCATCCATTTTCAAGCGACCTGGTTCTGGTTCGCCTTCTTCGGGCGTTCCGCGTTGGGCACCTGAGCGGCGGGCACCTGCTGCGCGTTGGGCGGCGGCCGCCGCTCGACCGTCTGCGTCTGGAGCTCCCTGCCGGGCTTGATGCAGCGGCCCTTGCGGCCGACCTCCTGCTGCAGCCAGCGCAGCCGGTCCAAATCTCTGTCCTTGAAGTCGAAGGCGCCGGTCCAGAAGCCGCAGTCGATGTTGGTCGTCTCGGCGCGCTGCTGCACCTGCCACCAGCCGCTCTCGTCGACGGGCGGGACGCGGTCGGGCGTGTGCTCGATGCCGGCGATCATGCTGTCGCCGGGCACGTGGTGGAAGAGCTCCGGGTTGATGCTCCAGCACCGCAGCCCGTCCGAGATGCAGCCGCGCAGGATGGTGATGTCGTAGGCGTGGTCGCCCGGGCGCGACGACTCGCGCCCCGCCAGCTCCGTCAGGAGCCGGTTGGCCGAGTGGCGCGTCACGGCGTAGGCAAAGGTGCACAGCGGGAAGCGGCTGCGGTGCACGAGCCGCGTGCGCTCCGTGATGTTCAGGTTGGCCAGCAGCGACGTCGTCCACGGATGTAGGTTGTCGAAGTCGGGCAGGGACTCGTCCTTGAAGGCGATGTGTGGAGTCGCCGTCAGGTTCTCCGGCACCACGTGGCCTTTGTCGAAGCCGATGTCCATGCCGTGCCAGTAGTCGCCGCAGTGTCCCATGTATAGTAAGTCCCAGTTCTTGGGGTTTCCGAATGGGTACTGCGGGTACTTGGCGTCGGGGAGAAGAGCGCGGATGGCGGACGCGACGAGCGGGATCTGTTGCGACTTCAGGCGAATGTCCCAGTCGACGTCGTCTTCGAGTATGAGGGCCGTCTCGGCGCCGGAGTCCATGAACCTGCGAGCTCCATCAATAAACTGTCTCAGCTTGCGCATCGGGGCGGAGGGCGGACGCACTCGCGAAGAGCGTGCAGGTGTCCCAGCCAGGCCAGCAGCGAGCCGCGGCCCAGGGTCGAGTTCTCGGGCAGCCTGAAGTTTTCCTCATCCTCCAGAGTCCAGCGTGGCTGCTCGGGAATGGTGATGTCGATTTCGGTGACATTGGCGGCCTGGATGAGGGTCCTCCGGCGCGGAGAGCCCTGCTTGGAGACGGCGAATATGCGGCCGAAGCCTAGCGTGGCATTGGTCGCGGGAATGCCCTGGACGGTGTAGTCGTGGAATGGCGAGGAGAGGCGCTCGGTGATGGCGGACCAGTAGAAGAAGAGGGCGGCGGCGATGGCAGCAGCGACGAGGTAGCGCAGCGGCCGGCGAGGCAGTGACGTAGGCGATACGGACATTCTCGAAGGATTGGGGTGGGTCGGACGGCGGACAAAGCGAGCGGCGCGCGGCCGCGGAGTCTTTAGAGGCTCGCGAATTGAAGGTCCGGGCAGCTCCTGTCAGATGGGGGTTTGTTGGAGGCAAGGGGTCCCCGTTAGGCGCAAGAAGACATGGTGGCACTTTATTGCCGTTTGACGGCCTAGCCCGGCGCAGCTTAAAAGCACTTAGGGGCCGTGGAGAAAGAGGCGGTAGGGCCACAAATTACCGCGCAAGCATTTAGGCCCCGCCTATCGAGTAAATCGTCATCAGCGCTCCACGGGGGCCTGACTCTCGCACCGCTCCAGATCGATGGCCACTGCTGCCATCGGAGAAAGCCCAACGTCACAGCCCTGGTCAACCTGATACCGCTCGCACAACACCTTCCGCCCGTCTCGAGCTCCACCTCACGCAATGCCTCACGCGTCCCGCCGCACCGCGCCGCATGCTTGGCGTCCACTGCCTCGTGCGCCAAGCTCGTGTGCCTGCGGCCGATCATGTCTTCAACTCTAACGTCTTTTGATAATTGGCAGGACTTGTGCATGCACACGCGCAATCACGCCAGCTCCCGCCCGCCCTGCTCCCTGCTCTGCTCACGAGCAGCCGTCAGCGTCCCGACGCGAAACGGGCCTCAGGGATAGCGGGCGAACCGTCCCTGACAGCGCGCCAGAGCTAAATGGTCCGACACCTGACAGTTTTTCGGCGCACATGCAGGAACGTACTCCCATTTGCCGGGCGAAGGAAACCCTGCGTCCGCCCCGCCCGCGAATTCTGCCTAGAGCGCATTCTTGTCTCCCGCGCATCAGCCACATGGGACCGCGCGACGCCACGCAATGCCTGTCTATAGGTCCATCTGTATGCTAGCCCGCTCCCTGAACGCCTTTGCCCATACCGCCTACGCCAAAAGCCACACACGCAGCACCAGCCCCATCAGCTGGAGATCTGGACCCATGGAACGCGTCTGTTTGTTAGTTTTTTCAGGCGTGTGCGGCTGAGCCAACCCTCCAACCTCGCCCACCAACACTCACGGTCGGAGTTTCCAGACGCTCTCCGTGGTGCCAAAAACCCGCAGTTTGTTCCCATATACCCGCCAAAAGTCCGTCTCGAAAGGAGGCATCAGCGTCATTGGCTCCATCGCCTCTCGGTTGACTGTGATGATGGTTGCAGACTGCTGAGCCGCACCCTCGTCTGGGTATGAATAGTAGGTTGTCCCATCCCACTGGATCGTCGCAACCTGGGCCTTCTCCGTTTCACCCGTCGGCGAGCCGTTCCGCGGCTCTTCGGAGGGCAACTCCGCGTTCTCCTCGCCTTCGCTCTCGGTGTCAGATGTAGCCAATTGGTCGAACATGTTGGTAGAAGCAAACATCGATGTGCTCTTGGTCTTGCCGCCTGTCTGACCGCCCTTTTTCTTTTTCTTCTTACGCGACGCTTTCGTGATCTGCGCCGTCTCTGTGTCCTCCAGCGGCGCGACTGCTTGTGTCAATGCAGTTTGGTCACTGTTAACATTGGGTGTGATCGCAGGAGTGATGAGCTCGGTTCCTTGACTAGATGTAGGAAACGATGGAGACCCGTCTGGATCTGACAGCTTCTCTGGAGCAGTGACAAAAGACTCATCGTCACCAGCAACCAGTGACGCGTCGTTGAGGTATGCACCGTCTTGTTCCAGCTTGGTCGACAAGCGAATGATGATCAGCGCAGTCAAAAAACTGTCAAACCCTGCTTCATGCAAAGGCGTTGCAGTGTGATACTTGTCATGTGCGCCATGTGTGACTGCTCATTGATTAGCAATGTTGCACAGGGATCACAATTATTGAGTGCTTACCAATAACGGGCTTGTTCTGGTCGCGAAGCTTGATATAGATTTCGTCCAGAGAAGATCTAGGGTTTATGTCCCCACAGTTATGTGTAGCCACGTATTTGGTGTCGACGACGACAGGGAAGTTTCGGTGAAGTGCCTCACGGAACTGTTCGAGAGTCGGAGGCAACGGGCCGATGAAGGTGCGGTACAAGTAAATGATATCTGTGAATAGGTTGTGTCCAACGATGACAGGTCTCCGGTGCTGTAGCGTTAGGCGTGCGCGGTCCAAGCGCGCTCTCAGATTTACCATGTCGGCGGACTTCGCTGCTCCAGTGTGGACGTCTCGAGCAAACAAGTCTGCGTCAATGTTCAAGTCGCCGCCACAAAGGGCTTCGATAATCCAACGAAAGCCCGTCTGACGCTCGATTTGGTGTCGAAGAGCTTTCTTCTTTCTACGCAGAAATTCCTTCTCCCTTTCCTCGTTGAGAGGTACGATCTGTATAGCTTGAGGTTTGGAAATGGTCACAAGGTCTGGGTATTCAGCGCGAACGAGTTGATGCACCAGGCGCTTTTCGAAGTTGCCAAGTTCAGCTAGAGTGGGTTGGACGCCGGCAGGATTGGTGGAGACGATATTGAGGTGGCTCGAGAAAGGCTGCCAGTGATTAGTGGATGAATACTCAACAGAAGGCCACTAGATTGGTCCGGGAAACCTCAGTGTCGTCGGTAGTTGCAGCGTGAGCCGAAACATGGTAGCCAACGCCACAAGCACCTATGACAATGGGTTCGTTCAAACGACTACATGCAACCGACCGCATGGGGGAAGGTGCATAGGTGTGCGCAAGTCTTTCCTGTTAATCACGCGACTTACCTTTCCTGTCTCCTTCCATGTGTCAATGGCAATGCGAACTCTGCTGACGAACTCCAACGACTGCACTTCGTCTTCTTTCAGCTGGACGTCGGCGATTGCAGACTTATCCCATCTCGCATATGCCAGCTCCTTGGCTCTCCGCGCCTCGTCCCGCGAGAGATACGGGACGCCTTTGGTCATGGGTAGATCCATCTTGAAGCCGACGCTTAGCAGGAATTCTGCGGCACCGCTTTGGATGGACCAGATGCGCTCGATGTCTAGTCTCTCTTCGAGCAGAGGGTTGAGATTGAAATTGTAAGGCCGCACAACATAACTCTCAGACTGTATATCCTGCTCGACGCAGGTCAAACCAATTTGCAGTATCTGGTAGCGGTCCGCGGCGGCTTTGATCTCTTGGTAGCGCTCTTCCAGGGTCTGTTTGGCGCCGGAGGTAGTCTTCGAAGGAATGCCAGACAGCTCCAAATCAAAGGAGACGAAGTGAGCAGTGGATATGGCTTCGATGATCTCAAGGAGACGGCCCCAGAAGGCCGTTTTATCGACTTCCATGCTTTGGTAATTTGCAGGTGGCTTGCAGGGCTGTCGAGAAAGCTTATAATGTGGTAGCGGCGAGGCTGAAGCGAAGCCGCAGGGGCAAAGTGAAGTAGAAAGCCCTAGAAAAGGCACGTGAGTCTTAGGCGTGCGTGGGGTTGTGAGATAGTGGATGCTGACTAAAGATGTTCGTGAAAAAAAAAAAGAATGGCTTAAGAGAGCTAGAGGTAACGAAGCGTTGAGATATTGCCTGGTAGTCTCGCTAGGCCGTTTGATGCTGCAAACTTGGGTGTAGGCAGCCGTCCTTCCGCTGCGTTCACCCGACTGAAGATGGTTTTGTTGTAGGGCTGCCGGAGCGGGATGGTCCCAGCGCCTGTAGATGGACGGTGTTGGTGGCGCCTGCGTGGCATGACGCATCTTTCGCGCGAGAGCAGGCGCGGCGGCTTCCGACTGCCGAAATAATATGGATGCAAATGCGTGGTGGGCTGGCGCCGGGTATCCCTAGCGTGGGCCCGACGCCGGACCACCGCCCGGCGCGCGCAGCAAACCAGGCGATGCAACCGACACGGCACAGGCAGGCGAGCTGCACCCCGCGACGCTCGGCGACGCGCCTTCTCACATGCATCGCGCCTGCCCGCGTACCCTGGCCCCGTCGCGCGCGATTGAGGCCGTTGCGGGCGTTGCCCCGTGCCCTGTGGTCGTCCAATCTCCGCGCTCCGACGAGCCGAGGTCCTCGTCAGTGGCCCTGCGTGTTTGCGGCCGACATTCCTCACTCGAGCACCGCAAATCACTACCACAACACCGTGCGGGAAGCATGCGCGAACGCCTCCTGCCAGCCCCCCATATCCCCCGGAATTCCTCCTCCATGGAATAGCAGCTGCCCGCCTCGCCTCTCACCAACAATGTCCATGGCCCACGCGAACATGCTCTCCGCCTCCGTCACGTCACTCGGCTCACCGCAGAGGCCGCAGACCGCGCAGATCGCGAAGGCATACCGCCAGGCTGCTCAGCTGTTCCTCACACGACGCCTGCCCGAGGCCCTCTCAACCATCGAACCCGTCATCACTCCCGACCCGCCCGACGCCCACGGACACGACCATGATAGCAAGCAAGCCGTGTTCGCGCCCGTCGCCTATGCGTCGCGCGGCACCCGTGTCAAAGTCTGGAGCTTCTACCTCACCTTCCTGAACTCCGTAATAGAACTGGGGCCCGAGGAGGGCAAGCATGCATTCGGCAGCACAAAGTGGAAGGCCTTGGTGTCCAAATGCCGCGACGGCCGCGTGTGGGAGGAAGTGGTGCAGGCCGGCTATGGCGGAGTCGAGGGTAGCGTCGATCCTGACGTGGTGATAAATTTGTGTGTTCCAACTGCTGCCGCTCGTCCGTGAATCATGGGTTAACCTTTTCTGTGCAGAGCGACGTTGTTGTTGACGCACGCCCCGTCTCAACAGGTGACCCAGCAACGCCTCGAAACATTCCTCTCTACCTCGTCACAGCCCACCTTCGACATCACTGCCCACATGAACTCTCCCCTCTACGCCCAAAAACGGCCGGGAATCCGGAGCCATGGCACAAATACACCCAGAGACCTGAACTCCCGTCTGAAGCTGCTCGAGCTGTATACCCTGCACGTTCTTCCGCGAAACGATGAGTGGGATTATGCTCGCGAGTTTATTGGCATGAGCGAAGTGCTCGATGACGAGCGAAAGGAGGCATTTCTCTTAGCGCTGCACGGCCTCAAGGAAGAGCAGGAAGGCGCTGCCATGAGGGAGGCAGAACTACGGCAGCAGCAGCAGGAACAGTTGGAGCGCCGCCGCCAAGAAGCCGAAACTCGCCGGCGAGAAGCAGAAGAAGAGGAAGCACGTCGCCGGCGGGAGCAGGAAGACCGCGAGACCAGACAGCGCATGCGCCGTCCCGCAAATAGTGGCTCACAAGGACCCGGTTCTACATCGAGCAACCTTAGCCGGGCTGCGGCTTCAGCGTCGTCCAGAGCACCACGACCTGGCCCAAATAAGAAGGCACTCAGCCCACGACCAAGAAATCAGAGCGTATCAGCACGAGCATCAGCCGTGTTAGGCGCCGTCCAGAATATGTTCCAGAACGCCACACAGTCTTTGACGAAAAACCCCATGGCATTCCTTCGCACACTACTCTTCCTCCTAGCATTCGCCCTGGCATTTGGTAGACAGGATCTGCGAGATCGTGTAAAACGCCTGCTTCGGATCGCGTGGGAGAAGATGCGCAGAACCGTAGGAATGGGCGTCAAGGTATCGTACATTTGAAAGGAACCACGACAAACTCTGAGATACCCCTCACCTCGACCAGTCTGTTGTTCCTGTTTTGCCATGACTGGTTCTCTTTTACACTGCAAATACCCGCCCCAAACACAAAATCAATAGTTTCCTTTGTTAACCTTTTCATTCTCGTCAATCAAACATCATACCATCCAACAGCTTGCAAGCCAACGACTGTGGTTCGAAGACGATCCTCTCGAGCTGTCCGCAACGCTTTGACCAACCCCTATTCTTGACCCACAAGACACTGCCAAATGCTAGGCAAGGGAGTCTGTGAGGTATTATTGACGAAGTGTAATGCTATTTCTTTACTGAATGAATCCTCTGTACCATCTGGGCTGTTTTCAAGCGAGATCGTTTACTGTTGGCAACGGCGTTATCGCGTTTGGGAAGGGGCAGAGAGGAAGCAAGGGGCCCAGCAAAGACGGGACAACAGGTTCCTTCATGAAAAAAGAGGGTGGTCTAAACATCAACTGGCGCACCGGCTCTCCCTATCGATCTTTCTTTCCTTTATTGCTCTGTACTCTCATCATCCTTGGTTTGTCCAGGTTCTGCCTGGAATGTAGCTAGTCAGAAAACGATAATTCGAAAACGTCCCGTTCCTGCGTGCCTGGATCCTCTGCGCTCACACTCCAGCCCTGACTTTGTGTGTCCTCATTTTGCTATCTCTTGGCTGCCGAAACCCGCAAGCGAAGGCTTGGAATATTGATTCGAGATGATACGCCGATGATCGCTATTCATTCACTCTGCACGAGAACTGGCCTAGACATTGCATAGTCGTCGTCAGGAAGGGGCGTGACGAACCACATAAACTGTTCAAAAGGGGCTCTATCTTATCTCCTTGCTTGTACACGAGGTGTTACAGGCGATAACAGCGTGCAAAATGCAGGGTTGCAAGAGAGGGACGATACCAGAGCAGAAGGGCCTGTCCAGCAGACAGACTAAAGAAAGATAGATCGAAAAGTTGACGATAGCACACATGCAGTAGAAGAACAACAGCTCACCACTGTCACTCACGTCCGTGTGCGTACAAGATGGGACACTCAGTCTATGTATATGTATTCACGTATGCACGTATGTACAGACAAACCCCCATCTTCCTACCTTATACCCACCCATCGCGCTGACGACCAGCGGTAGCGAGCGAATGAACAAACAGATCAACAAACAACAAAGCTGGAATCCACCACCTCCCCGCCAAACCAAACAATGCAGTGACATACTCATGTACCACCCTTCTTGCACTCTTATCTGCATTTCCCATCCTTTTCTCTACTGTGTGGCCGTAAATTCCCATGAAGCTCGGTCCCCTCTTTCCTCTCTCTCGCCTTTTGAGATCCTAAAAACCAACAAAGATGAAAAAGAAAAAAGGAAAAAGAGTACAGCCGTTCCGCACTGTCTCTTCGTTTCTTCCTCTCCCATTTCACAGACCAGGAAACCCCCCGCGGGCCCAAAAAAAGAAAAAAGAACCCATCATTGCCATCAGTCAGACATCATCAGTTGTAAGCATGACCTTCCCCCTCCACTCCTCAATCGTAGATTTCAGGTGAAGGGGGAAAAGAAGAGAGAGGGAGAAAGCGAGGCAGAGAGAAAGAAAGACCGATACGTCCAGAACCAATGTCATTTTCCTCCATTTCGCTGCCACGGGAAACCTATCAACCCCAATAGCATGTTCATGGGAGAGAGAGTGTGTGAGAGAAAGAGAGTCGTGAACGTATATGTGAGTGTGTCTCGAGCATGAATATTTTCTTGTTTCGTCGGCCAGTCATCAAGGAAAAAAAACGAAAGAAAGACGACGACGTCCTGAAACCAAAAAAAAAGCAATACCAAGAATCAGACTTGAAACCACCAAAATGCCCACGATGAATGCTTTGATGATGCTTCAAAAAAGGAAACAAGAATGGATGGTGAAAAGAAAAAAAGAAAGCCCTGTTTCGTTCGTTCATGGTAATTTACTTTTCTTCTTCTCACGTTGTCTCTCTCTTCTCTTTCCCTGGCCCTCCCTCCCTCCCACACCCAGCCTCCCACCATCCCTGAGTCCCTCTAATCCACCTTGACGTCCTTCTCATCCACCCGCACCTCCGCCACGTCGTCCTCCAAATCCGGCATCTCCGCCTCCGCCTCCAAGTCCGCGCCGACGTTCAGCAGCGCGGGCGGGCATTCCGCCCCGCCCCTGCCGCCGCCCTCGTGATCCGAATCCACCGGCGTCACGTTGCCCGGCCCGGACAGCAGGCCATCTTCGCCCTCGAAATCCATCAGGCGGTCGCCGATGTCGCTGCCGGCCGACTCGGGCATGGCTGCGACGTCGCTGGCGACGTCCGTGTTGTCGCCGTCGTCGTCGTCGTCGCCGTCGTCGGCCCCGCCGTCCATCTGCTGCTGCTGCTGCCGCGAGTTCTTCGGCCAGTCCCACGAAGGTTGCGTGGCGGCGGTGAGGCCGCCGCCCGCGGCGGGCTTGTGGACGACGTCCATGGAGATGCCTTCGTCGTTGTCCTCGTACGGCGGCGGCAGGGCGTCCGTGTCGTCGTCGTCGTCGTCGTCATCATTCGTCAGGGCTGTCGTTGTCGTCGTCACGCCAGCCAAACCAGCCGCGCGCCGGGGACCAGCTCCTGCTGCGCTTGAGTCTCTCGGCGACCCATTCGGGGATGAGCCGCCGAGACGCTGGCCGTTTCCCGACGGCGAGTCGTCGCCGGATTCAGATGCGGGGGCGAACGCCTGGCGGACGACTTCCTGCAGGTAGGGCGGGCCTAAAGGGGCGTCGTCGGCGGTGCGGCGACGGCGGTAGAAGAGTAGGTACGCGGCGCCGCTGACGAGGTTCGACGCGCTCTTCTTGCTGACCATCGAGTCTGTCTCAAGTTAATACATGAAGCGTTTCAAGTCCGCATCTGGAAATCTTTACCGTTGTAATCGTACCACTGCCCATCGTAGAAGTTCTTTGCCACAGCAGTGTAGTGCCCTCCACCGAGGCCACCGAAGTGGTTGTCCACGGCAAAGAGGTCGTAGACCAGAGGCTTGCCTTCATGAAGGCCCACACGCTCGCTGATATCCAAGCCTTCAATGGGGAAGTCCACGAGAATATCAACCTTGTCCCGGAAACCGCGGTTGGCACCAAAGCGCTTGAGGTGAACGACGAGAATGTCTGGAGCAGTCCAGATCTCGAGGGTCTTGCTTGCCCTGCGAAGTTCCTTGCAGCGGTTGCAGTACCACGCATTCTCCTCAGAAAGGATCTCGGTCTTTGCAGTCTCGGCAAAGCAATCCTCAAGCGTGATGCCCGACTTCTTCCGCGCCGCCCGCTTCTTCTTCTTTTCCGCAAGATCGGCGTCAGGCAAAGTCTCGGTCAGATCCCAAGTGCCCATGCCGCGCATCTCATTCTTGTCCGAAATCTTACCACCGAAGAGGGCGTCGAAGCTTTCACTCTCCCAGTCCACGATGATCACTTCACCAGGGCGGAGAAGCATGGGCTCGCCATCAGGCTCAGACACGGGCTCGGAGCCGGCCCTGACGTTGGCACCAGCGCGGCGATCCTTCCGGGAATAAGTCTTCATCTTTCTGCCCTTCTTACCCTTGACTCTTCTGGCTTGCTTGTTCTGGAACTTCTGGCGGTTGGCCTGTTTGTTCATCGATACAGGTGCAAGCTCGTCTTCGCTCGGTTCAGCCTCGAATGACTCCATGGTATTGGAAAACTGAGGGGTATCCTCGTCAACATCACTTTCGGGAGTACCGGAGCGCTGAGTTGCTTGGGTCGAGCCGCTGGCAGTGGACTGGATAGATGAACGGCGGCTTGTGGGCGTCGGAATGCGAGAATCCAGAGTGGCGTACTCCCTAGCGTCAAGCCCGCTCCAGCCAGTCGGAAGGATGTCATTGCCCAATTTTGCGTACTTCAAGGTGAAGAGCCTCCGGAGTTCAGGAGCAATGAAGCTACCGGGCTGCAGCACTGGCGGCAATGAACTCTGCTCTTGCATGGCAACATCATCGTCGGTGTTTTCGTCCGATTTGGCCTTTTCCACTTCTCCGGGCTCGGTCATCGTGACATCCACGATGCTCTCATCACCCTCAACCGAGTTTGCTTGGACACGTGCATCTGCGTTAGAAGAGGCATCTTCGTCCGCTGTCACTACAGTGTCCGACTCATCACGTGGGGAAGCCGCACCGTCCACATTGAGAATCTCCCTGGTAGTCATTCCAGCCACTCTGCCAATGACCTTACGCAGGATCTCATCAGAGTCCTTTGCTTGGTCGCGCGTGACGAGAATGTGAGTTGGCCAAAGAGTTACATCCCACTTGTTAGAGGGAACTTTGCGAACACGATGGAACACAGGAACCACCATCTTGTCCGCGAGGGGAGAGTCGGTGTCGGGGATTTCGTCATCTTCGGATTGGTTGAAGGGATAACTAGGCCTCGTTTTACCAGACTTCTTCGAAGGCGGCCAGTTTGTGGGGACATCGTCCAGCTCGTAGGCGACAATTTCATCGCGTTCCTGGATGCTGCTTTCTACTATGGCTTGTCTGTCCTCAAAGTGCTTGTAGAACTTGTGGCTGTAGATCTCGGACATCATGATACGCTTGGGATCAACACCCGGGATGCGCTGCCCGATGAATTCCTTGATCGCTGAGAGTGGCCTGTTAGGTTCTATGTCGACATCAATCTGTACCGGTCGGCCGACCAAAGGCACAAAGTAGATGCTATGCTGCCAGTTCTTCTCGATGGGCATCTGTAGAGTGAGGGAGGAGTAAGGGTCGAAGGTGATGCTGACTTTGTCGCACTCCGGGCAGACCATGGTGTTCTTGTAGAAACCATTGAAAAGGTCCATGGCGACTGAGTCGTTACGCGCACGATGGTTCTCGCGGTACTTCTCGCCAAGCGCCTTGATGGCTTCCGGGTCTTTATGGGTATTGTCATCCGAATCAGGGTTCTCAATGTATGGCTTCTTGATGATCCGGTTCAAGTCCTCGTGAAGACCGTCCACTAAGAAGCTGAGGAACTCCTGCGAGTCTTGCTGTCCATAGCCAGAGAACATTGGCTGCGCACGTCCGAGCGAATACTTGAAGTTCTTGGGCGCAAAAGAGGTAGGAGAAGACTCGTCATAGATGGATGCGAGCAAGCCTGCGTATGACTTTGCAATGGCACCCCCGTGACCGAGCGGGTTATCTCCATTAAGTTCCTCCTTGTACTTATTTTGCATGAAGTAAGCAGTGAGCTCCTCAACGCTACGGATGCACTGCAGAGCAGAGTTCATGTAGCAGGTGTTGCCCAAGTTGGACAAACCAACAGTCCCACGTGTTCTGCCGTTTTTCGTCCGTCCACGCGTCATGGGCCCACCGGGCGCTGGGCTGCTGCGTCCACTATCCCCCCTGGAATCCGGGATCTTACTGGTGCTGAGTGAGACGCCGTGTTTTGACGCCGCCCTACGCGCATTATCCGAAACAAACTCACCACCAGCAGGGCCACCAATCTGTTCTTCTAAGATGAGGACCTGACTGGTGTTCAAACCGACAAGATCCATCTTGACGCTACCGTTGTACTTTGGGTTGTTTGTCTCGTCTTTGTGGTCAACCATTTCCCTTTGAGTGCCCTCAGACATGGCTGTGAATGATGCCAGGTCAATCAGCAGCGGAGTCGGGGGCATCCTGGCGGGAGAGCTGTTACGGGACGTGGCCGGAGTGAGCACCTCGGCCTTGGGTTCTTGTTGGCTTGCGGGGCCGGTCTGAATGGGTTCCAACACTCTCCAGATCTGTACCTTTGTGGTTACAGGGATTCCAGCTGCCTCTTTCGCCCTTCTCAAAAAATTCTGAAACCTCTCGCTCCGGCTTGACAGTAGTCTGACCGCGTTGCTAGAATTTTCCTTGATTCTTTGAGCAGTCATAGCTTCCGAGTCATTGCGCAGCTTGCGGATCGAGATGAACGGAGGATAAATTTCGTACTGAACGTTTTGCACGCCAGAGCCGGGGGGCGCGGTATCGTGAGCATAGCGGATGATGGGAGGCACACCCGCCTTCACGCCATACCATTCGACCATCAAGTTCCATGCCTCCTCAGGAAAAACTTCGTAGTCTTCACCAATCTGAAGGCCCGGCTTCATGGGCACGAACAGCTGACCGGAAGATTCACTGACGTGGTCTTGCTCCCAGGCCGAGGCATCTTTGCGGAATGAAGGAGCAGTCACTAAACCATGTTCGCCGTAATGTAGGAACGAATAGACATACCTTGATCAAAGAGAGGTTCGTTGTTGATGGGGCCTACCTCACCCTCTGAGGCCGACTTGTCGAATGGGCCGAATTGCTTGCTGTCAGACACGCGTGACAGAACACGCGACAGCCAAAACATGCTGACAATATAGCCCTTCTGACCATCCTGAGGCAGAGCCTCGTGTAGCGTCATGATCCGCACCACCTGTTCATCTAGCGAGGGGCCTGACGCAGCAGCGCTGGAGGCGGGTTGTTCCTTGGGGTTTGGCGGTGAGGGAGCAGCGTCGCTGGTGGCCGAGGTGCTTACGGTGTTTGACTCGTTGACGGACATGGACGCGGTGTCGGAGCTGGCACCGCTGTTCTGGTCCTTGGGCTGGGCCTGCTCATCTCTGAGCATGTCCACCGAGGAGTCCCTCGCGGTGCCGTTCTCCATCTCCATCTGCTCCCTGCTGTCGTTCTCTCCAGCCATTTCGGACGCGGATCTCTTTGCGGGGGATGCTGATCGAGGCGGGGGCGAGCGTACAGAGGCGCCGGAGGGGGGGTTCTGCAAGCGGGAGCCTTCTGGCACTGCGGAGGAGCCGCGCCGATCTCCTGCGGGCGCGCCGGGTCTATTCGTGGACTCCAAGCTCAGGCCAGCGTATGCCTCGCTGGGGGAGCTGCCGCCGCTGGCTGTGTTGTCCCAGGAGGGCCCGTATGACTCGGCGACGGGCTCCAATACTTCGTCGCGGAGATGCGGTGGGATGTAGCGCGGCGGCGAGGCGGAGGTGCGGCTGCCGACGGAGGGCGGGTGAGGAGAGGAGCGCGGCGACGCTGACGGCGGCGGCGGGTCGAAGGCCGACGTGGGCGCAGGCTTTGGGGTGGACGGCGAGCAGTTGTCTGAGGCTTCGGGGGGCAGGTCCTGGGCGAGCTTCCGCTTCTTGATGGACGCCGTCGTGAAAGCGAGCGGCCGGCCTGTGGAGCTGCAGCAGCTCCAACGGCAGGCACGGGCGTTGCGAGAAGCGGCGCGAAGCACGGAGAAGCGCGCGGCGCGAGGGATGAGCGAGGGTGCAACGACTCCTGGGAAAGCGGCGTGTTGGTGGGGGGAAAGGACCGAGCAGTGTTGCTGGCGGCTCAATGCGAAGGGCAGAAAAATGAGGCTGGGGCGGGCGGTGATGTAGGCTCAAGGTCGCGCGCTGTTCTTCCGTCCGGGAACTGCCGCCGTGCGAGCGGCCAAAGGGAGCTGGGGATTACGGTGCCTGCCCGGGGCGTTCCAATTATAGGCGGGCGTCCTGCAGCGCGCAGCGTGATATGGCGATTGCGGACAAACTGGCGACAGCCTTGCGATGCGCGTTGTTGCAGCTCTCACCACGCCGGCCGTCGCCCTGGCCGCACGCGCCATGAGACATGCACACCCAGACTTCTCTTTCTCCTCCACGCGTCCTCTACCGGCAGCACCTCGTCCACTAGCCCGCTGCCCTGACCGCATTTCCCTCCGTGCCGAGCCCCAGAAGGCTGCCCCGGACAACCCCCAGATTCTACGCAACCTGATCGGTCCTGCCCCCTCGGGAGCCTCCCATGACGCTCCGGCGCGAACACCTGCCGCACCCCCCGCCTCGCCCTGTGGAGCGTGTGCTGCTGCGGACGTGACCAAGAGCAGCAGATCACGCGTTCTCAGACACTGCACGAAGCAGTCGCCACTATGATCTGCGCCGGGCCAGCTGAGCTGCCGCCGGGCGGATGAAGAAGGCGAGAAGTGAGGCTGTTGCCGCAGCCCATCTGCGTGTTCTGCCTCAACAGTCTAGACGCGTCCGCGGGCGAGAAGGGCTGGATGGGGGACAAGGTGTTCAAGGGCTCAGGTATACATGTCGATTGCAGACGCCAAATCGAGTAATCTACCGGGGCAAACAGGCATAGGTTTGGCTCAGAAAGGTGGCATGAACCAGGCCTCATACTCAATGAGGAAGGGAGCCCCTGCGAATATCTGTCCTGATGGTGTTCGGGACTACCCCGCAAGACGGAATGGGTGTCATCTGTACGTGAACGTGCAGCGGAGGAACACAGCTTATGACGGTCACCCGATAACGCACGGGGGCGTGCCCCTCTGCTGCTGCAAACGAGCCGTAGTGCCTTCGGATGGCTGCATGGCATGGTAAAACGGCTGCCACGGTCTTGAGCCAGGGTCGAATCGAGGCCGAACTGGCGGTGATGACAAGCTCCCGGTCAGCACTTGTGGGCCTGAGCCTCCGATCCCGGGACTAGCCGCTTTGGTCGCCAGGGGAAAGGAAAGGCAGGAGACTGATGGCCATGACGTCTGATGCTCAACAGCACGCGGAACGGGCATCCGTTTCTGCTCCCATCCTTGACGTTTTCCATCTGCAGTTGCTCGTCGCACAACAGTCTGTGCCATAGTTGACTAAGCGCCAGGATTCTCTGCGCCGCACCGCCGCAAACTGTGGGGGCCGGAAGAGGCAGCCGGCCATCGCGTGCAGCCTTCCTCGCTCGCCGAGACTAGGCAGAACATCTGCTGAGAACACACTGCTGTTCCTCACACTTTGAAGCGCCGCGGACCTCACGTCCCCGCACATCTTGATCTCCTCACCGGGCGCGTCTTTGTTCGCGCGTCTGGTTCCGCGCCCCCTCCGCTCCGCGTCTCCCCGTGCTATGCTCCTTCCTTGCACCCAGCCTCTTGCAGCATGTTTTCCAACATCTTCAAAGACAAAGACTCGCCATCACATCAGTCGCCATCTGGCCCCAAGAAAGAGGCCTCCCTAGAGACGATACTCCCTACACCGGAACTACGTGTTGAACTCGCACTCGTTGTGGTCTTGTGCACCGACATCATTCGCCAGGACCTCAGTGCCACCTTCCAGGTACCAAAGGCCCTCCAGACTGCGGCGGCTTTCCATGACCCCACGGCCGAAGAAAACCTGATCGCGCTCGATGAAAGCCAAAGAGCCCATGCATCGAGCGCTGCGGAACGAGCCGAGCGAGTCGAGAAGATCAAAAGAGAACTTGCCGCCAACGATGTGCAGGAACTGCACCGCGCCGCCCTCAGTTTCTACAACAACTGGCGCGTACAAGTCCTCAAACGCGTGGGCGAGGTGCTGAAAGTCCGCTCCAAGGATGTGGCTCTCGCGAAGCAGGAGCGGGACAGGTCTTCCGCGAAGAAACAGGAACTGGATCTGCTTTCTCTGGACGACCAAGCGCCCCCCGAGTCCTCTCCCTCAAGCACGTCAATCCCAACTACGCTCGTCCGCCTGCCGCAGGAATCTCGCACTCTCATACTCAATTCCATCCTCCTCCTCCTCCTCTCTTTACAGAACTATCCCGCCCACTCCCGCCTTCTCCTCATTCTCCTCTCCTCCAGCCTCCGCCTGCCTCCATCCCTGCTCTGCGAACAAGAAACCGCCCTCGCCAAAGCCCTCCTCACATCCGCGCGCCAGCTCTCCGCCGAAGAAGAAACCGCCCGCGCCGCCTCCTCGAACGCAACCTCTCGCAAATGGAAAGTCGGCCTCGCCACCGTCGCCGGCGCCGCCCTGATCGGCGTCACCGGCGGCCTCGCGGCGCCCTTCCTCGCCGCGGGCGTGGGCACCGTGCTCGGCGGCGTGGGGCTGGGCGCGACGGCCGTGGGCGGGCTCCTGGGCGGACTGGCGGGCAGCAGCGTGCTGGTGGGCGGCCTGTTCGGCGCGTACGGCGGGCGCATGACGGGAAAGATGATGGACAAGTACTCGGCCGACGTGTCCGACTTCCGCTTCGTCGCCGTGCGCGGCGGCGACGACGGCGGCGTGTACGAGCGCCAGCGCAAGGCGCAGGGCCTCTCGCACCGGAGCACCAGCCAGAGCCAGCGGCCGGAAGACATCCGTGGCAGCTGGAAGCCGCCGAGCCGCTCCAATACCTCCTCCTCCTCAGCTATCGACCCTGCCTCCGAGCACCACCGTCTGCGCGTGGCCATCGCCATCAGCGGCTGGCTGACGGACTCGACCGAGGTCTTCACGCCCTGGTTCGTCATGGGCCCGCAGCTGGAAACGTTCGCTCTGCGGTGGGAGGTCGAGGCTCTGCTCAAGCTCGGCACGTCGCTGTCCGCGGTGCTCAAGAGCGCGGCGTGGGGCTACGCCAAGTACGAGCTGGTCAAGCGGACGGTGCTGGGCAGCCTGGCCGCGGGCCTGTGGCCGCTGATGCTGCTGCGCGTGGGCCGCGTCGTCGACAACCCCTTCTCCATCGCGCGCAAGCGCAGCGAGAAGGCGGGCGCGGTGCTCGCCGACGCCCTCATCAACAAGGCCCAGGGCGAGCGCCCCGTCACGCTCGTCGGCTACTCGCTCGGCGCCCGCGTCATCTACTCGTGCCTGCTGCAGCTGGCCGAGCGCCGCGCCTTCGGCCTCGTCGAAAACGTCGTCATGATGGGCGCGCCCACGCCGAGCGACGCCGCGGCCTGGCGCAGGATGCGCGCCGTGGTCGCCGGCCGCCTGGTCAACGTGTACAGCTCCAACGACCACATCCTGGGGTACCTCTACCGGACGAGCAGCATCCAGCTCGGCGTCGCGGGGCTCCAGGAGGTGCAGGGCGTGCAGGGCGTGGAGAACGTCGACGTCAGCGCCATGGTCGACGGCCACACGCGGTACAGGTGGCTGACCGGCACCATCCTGAAGAAGATCGGGATGGAGGAGCTGGACGACGACGAGGTGCGGAAGGAGGAGGAGGAACTGCGCGCCGAGGAGGCCAAGGAGCGCAAGGCGGAGCTGGAGAACGAGAAGAAGGTCGAGCAAAAGATCGGCAGCAAGGGCGACAGCCAGGAGGAACGCCGCATCATCATGCAGGACGTCGTCGAGGAAGAGGCCAAACTGCTGGAGATGCGCACCGGCATCGGCGCTGAAGAGCCACCTCAGGAGGAGGAACAGAGCCCCCAGCTTCCTCCCCGCCCCGCGGCACCGACGCAGTCCCGCAGCATCGTTCCCCGCAAGCCCGTTGGCCAACAGCCCGCGAAGTCGCTGTCGGATCAGATCGAGACGCCCCCGGCGAAGCCGCCGCGACCCGCTGCTCCGCTCGCGCCGGCGTCTGATGAGGAAGACGACGTCCCCCCGCCGCAGCCTCCTCGCCGCTCTGCGACGGCTGTGACCGACTTCGCGTCGTCGTCGTCGGCGGCGGCTCCAGCGGCCGCCACCGTCGCACCGCAGGCCGATAAGGACATCCTGAATGACGAGTATGACGACGATAATATATCTCTTGGCGATGACGACGTGGAGAGCGTGCACTCGGCCCCGTCGGTGAAGTCCGCCGAGATGATGATGTTGGCCCCCGAGGCGGAGCCCTTGTCGGACTCGGAGCCCGAGACTGAGTCGCGGCCGCCTGCACGGAAGTAGTCGTGAAGCGCAGGACTGGGGATGGGGGACTGGAGTCGATATCGGGCAAATGTGTGTGGTTGGAGTTCCAAGGGGGAAGGTTTCACTTGGAGTTGGAGCAGCTGTACTTCCTTTCCAGATAGCCTTTGTCGAATGTAGTAGAAGATAGAGTTGTCTGATGGTATGATGGGATGTGTTGCACAATTCCAAAAGGAACTGCCGTGCGCACCTGCAAGTAACCTGACGTTGGTGGTTGTTGCAAGCTTGACGACCACACTTTGCACCTCTGAAACTGGACAAAACCCAAATATGTGAGCTCTTCAGTGAGTGCATTTAAATCAAATAGCTACGTAATGAAGTCCAGTCTTGTTGCCTTAAGACCAGTCTTGCTATCAAATTAATGAGATGTGTGGCCTGGATGACGCCAATTTGAATTCGCGGTTCCAAATGAAGCATGCTACTGAAAGCAGGATATCTACAGGACGGGTGGGGGCCTCGCTGATGTACCCTTGACCCTCGCTTATCATCACGTTTAGTTGTTTGTCATTATTCCCCTGTGTGTTCTCCGCTGTGTCTTCCGGTTCCATTACCCTCGGTCCGTTTTCTCTTCTCTTGCAGGTTGTTTGGTGAGTTCTGACGCAAAAATTCGAAATGCAATGCGTGCGTTACAAAGGGAAGCCAAAATGTGCTAGGTTCTCGCTCCCCTAGCCGGGTATCTAAGCGCTCTGAATGTTTGCTACGAACAATAGAAAGCACGACGAACTTGTCGATGGTAGTTGTAGCGTGCTCGTGGGATGGATCGAGGAGGATGATAGTGTTCAAAGTGCGGGCAATGTGTGCTTCTGGGTGCAGAGTTGGCCGCGCGGTTGCTCTGTGAAGGTGCAATGAGGCGGCCTGTCCACAAAAACGGAAGCAGTACGGACTTGGACGGGCCTTGCGCGGGATAAGGCAAGGTCCAAAACGCGAGGTTCCAGGGTGATTTAAATGGAGATAGCCACTGACTCCCTTCCCGGAATCACGCTTCTTCGCACTCTAAATTTCATGTTGCTTTGTCGGCAACTTTGAGCTCATCGAAGGCTCCTTTATCCGTGGAAACTCCGCTCGGGTTCCTCAGTCTGACTTCCAGTGGCTTGTTAGGCGCCCGTCATCGTCCGCTCTGCCGAGGTTGAGCTCGATTGCGTAGAGACCCATAGTAGCAGCCAGGTTGATCCATCGCCATAGATTGCCCCCAGCGTCACCACCTTGACTGGTCCACCACTCACCAGCTGCATCGCCATTGGTGCTGGAAGAAGCGAAGTGTTGCATGAGCAGGCTTGTGTACACAGCAATCAAGATACTTGGACTGAACCAGCTGAGGAATCCCAATACGCGGCCAGCCTCGTCGTCATCGTCCAAGGACGGGTCCTGGGTGAGTGCACGTGCACCTGCCTCTCGAACGGCTGGAATAATACGAGCCGCCGCATACATGACAAAGACGCGGTAGGCGAGCGAGACGAGTACCGACGGTGTGATAGTCATGATCGCAGCGACCACGAAGCTGAAGGCGGAGTGTACGGTAGAAGGAAGAGTCGATAGCGCATGCATCAAGGTAGTGTAGGAAGCCATGATGATGGGTGGCAGCGGAGGTAGTGCTGGCTGGGCAGATGGCTCACTCTGGATTGGTCCAGAAGGCTGATAGTCGGTGAAGATTTGGTAGATGCAGAGGGTAACATAGGCGAACTGGGGAGCCACGAATTAACACACGCAGCCATGAGTGAAGAGGGTGAGCTTACGAGCAAAGAACTCTCCACCGGATTTCCACGCCCACTTCCGATTCCCCAGGAGCACAGGAAAATAGCGCATGTTATGGCGGCCCCGATTAAAATGGCGTCCACGTTGCCGATTTCCGGGAAAGTTGTGATCCTCCACAAAAAGTATACGGCGCTCGAGATGACGGAAGCTGAACCGATCAAAAGACCAATCTGTGGCTAGTAAATATCATCTCAGCACCAAATGACGGGGGGTGCTTACCATCCAGCTATCGCCACGTTCGCGGTTGACAAGCCATCTGGAAATCTGGCCCAGAGCTTGAATGACCAGCAGACTGCAGAAGCCCTCGCTGATCTGGAAGACGGGCGTGGACCAGCGCAACAGCCTGTCCCAGCTTCCGATCGTCAAGGTCTCTACCAGACCCTCTCTGCCGAACATCCATTCCCTGACCGAAGTATACTCTGCCCGAGAACCACTGAACGTCCTCTGCACCCACCCGCTGTTATTGTCCGCATCCACCGAGAACTTGTTCAAGCTCCAAATCATGAGCGTAGGGATGACGATCCACTGCGAGAGCGAAAGTAGGCTGACGATAGTCTTTCTCATGCGGGATCCGTCCGGAGTGGCCAGGCGCAGCGTGGAATCGAAGAAGTAGAAGCTGGACAGGGCCAGCGAGAAGGCCAAGCCGCAGGTTCTGCCGCCAACATCGAAAGCGAGGGGTATAGTGAAGATGATGGCGAACAGAAACAGCAGGGAAGAAACTGCGCGAGTGAACCACATCGCGCGGAAGAATGCCGCCTTCGCAGGCAGCCGTGAGAGTGCACGGAGAATTCAAGCAGAGGGCTGGACTCGTTGCGCGCCAGGTCGACGCGCCGGGAGGGCGCTGGGAGCTGGAGAGTGGTCGCGGCAAACGACGTCAAACAGGCGGATGCCGGGGTCGTAGCGGAGAGCGAGATGTGGCTCGTGGTTTCCGCGGTGCGCTCGTTCTTGGCGGGAAGGTGCGCTTTCACGTGCTGGTTGTTGAGCCTCCAACGCCCTTAGGTCGGCCGCGTTACACGCACTCGGGAGCACTCTCGAGAGGACAGACTGGCACTGCGCAGGCAGGACGGTGCGCGCGGTGCAGAGAGGGAGAGCAGAGCGGTAGGTGGGCCGTGGGTTGTCGCGTGCTTTTGAGCCGGGATCGGCCTGGCGATCACAGTCGCAGATGCAGGTAGAACAGCAGGGTCGGCGGCACCCTAGATCCTCCAGGTTTATCGGCGGGGTGGTCGGGCGGGTGTGAAAACAGGAATGGGGAGGGACGCAGCGGGAGGGGCTGGAAATGGCGGACGCTGGGTCACTGTGCGTGCGCAGGCGAAGGACGCCATTAATCAGGAAGCAGTGGACCTGACGCCAGATTTCTGGTTCCTCCGCAACCTGAGCATTCGCGCGGCTGGCGTTCAAGGTCGCGTTTTATCCACCTGCATTCTCTTGGCCAACACCTCACCGGCCTTCACCGCCAAGCCCCGCGCTGCTCAAACACACCGGCCCGACAGACGCTGCGCCTCACACTCAATTTTTTTGGGTCGGTGCCGCGCACTCTAATCCAAAACTCCTGGCTGGCCTGGCTGACCATGCTTGGCAGACGTCTCCCCAACCGCCATATTGCCGTTATTTTCGCCCGCCCCGCTATTCGTCCATCTTACACTCTACTCGACGCAACACCACCTCATTTTCGCATGACTTCTGCATCGCCCCAAGTAAAGCGCCTCAAGATGACTGGCCCTCTGATCGGCACGCACAAGTCTGTACCACCTCTGCAATCCTGCTTCCTCGACTGACAATCCCGCTAGCGGCCACTTCCACGCCGACGAGGCCTTGGCCGTGTATCTGCTGCGCACCCTGCCCACCTACGAGGGCAGCCCGCTAGTCCGCACCCGTGACCCCGCCCTTCTCGAGACCTGCCATACTGTCGTCGATGTCGGCGGTGTCTACGACCACACCAAGAACCTCTACGACCACCACCAGCGCGAGTTCGATGCCTACTTCCCCGGCAGGACCGCCACGAAGCTTTCGTCAGCCGGCCTGGTGTACAAGCACTTCGGCAAGGACATCATTGCTCAGCAGACTGGCTTGAGCATTGACAGCCAGGACGTTGAGATTCTGTACCAGAAGCTGTATGATGGCCTTATCGAGGCCTTCGACGCCAATGATACCGGCGTTTCGTCCTACGACAGCAAGGCTGTGAAGGCTGCAGGCTTGGAGAAGCGCTTCGAGGACCGTGGCTTCAGCATTGCGTCCGTCGTCAACCGCTACAACTACCACTTTGAGAATAACGCGGGCAAAGACAAGGAACAGTTGCAGAAGGAGGAGGATGAGCGCTTCCTGAAGGCCTCGGCCTTTGTTGGCGAGCAGTTCATCATGGAGCTGACGGACAAGCACAGCAACTGGCTTCCCGCGCGCGCTGCGGTCAAGGCTGCTTTCGAGGACCGCAAGCAATACGATTCTCAGGGCCGCATCATGGTGCTGAAGCAGGGCATGCCATGGATGGACCATTTGTACACGCTGGAGGACGAGAGTAACACGCCAGCGGAATCGAAGGTGCTGTACGTCTTGTTCCCTGAGAATGACGAGCCGGACAGCAAGTGGAGGATCCGATCCGTCTCTGCCGAGGGCGGTGGATTCGACAACAGGAAGGACCTTCCCAACGCGTGGAAGGGGGTCCGTGACGAGCAGTTGGATGAGGTGTCAGGTATTCCCGGCTGTGTCTTTGTCCACGCGAGTGGGTTCATCGGCGGCAACAAGACCTATGAGGGTGCCTTGAAGATGGCCCAGAAGGCATTGGAGCTATAGTTCACATGATCATCGATGGCTTTGGTATATCGGCGATGAAGTCGCCGCGGTATGTATTGGGATGATAGAATATGCGGCGTTGTCATGGGCCACAAAAAAGTCGTTTTAAGAACGACTCATCAATAGAGTCACGTAGCCGTGGCTAGAGTACTAAAATTAAGTACTATTTTTTTTGAACACGATTTTCCAGAAGCCTAGAACGTGCATCATCAGCTTAATCGCGACCTGTGATCGGCGCGACGTGTCGCGCGGGAGCATCCGTGTAAGCGAGGGCCATCCTTGACGTCATGCGATGTTTCGGCCTGCTTGCCCTTCTTCGATGTGCTGACCTCAGGCAGGCGTCATTGGATCGACTGTCTCCAATCATCTTTGCTTTATGAACAAGCACCCCCGTCCCTCCTCCTGCTTTTTCGAGTCGCTTTTGACGCAAAAAAATACTCTTCGTTACAACCGAATTCAGCACAATGGCCCCGACCCACGATCTCAGAGTCGAGAAGCTCTTCTCGGTCAAGGATTACGTATGCGTCATCACAGGCGGTGGCACGGGCATTGGCCTAATGGCCGCACAGGCGCTGGCCGCCAATGGTATGCCTGCCTACACCGGGTAAACCTGGTTTCATGACAGCTGACTCGAGCAGGTGCCAGGGTATACATCACTGGTAGAAGTAAGTGCTCTAAATTGACGTGTCGAGATGTCTCGGCGATGCTAAAAAAAGACCCTTAGGACAGGAGGCTCTGGAAGCAGCAGCCAAGTCCCACAGTCCTTCCGATGGAACGGAGGGAACCATTATTCCGTAAGTGTGCATGGCACTCTCTAGTGAACAGAACACGCAATGAACAGTGGAAACACTCTTGCGTTGATTTGATCACACCTGGTCAAATCGTATCTACATCTCACGTTTAACGTTTTCAGAGTAGAGAGGGAGTAGCTAATTGTTCCCAGTTGCGGTCCTTGCGATGTCACTAAGAAGGATGACCTTGAGAAGCTGTACGAAGAAATATCAAAGAAGGAGAAGCATATCAACCTCTTGAGTAAGCCCACTAGTCGCCTATGGATTCCTTAGCGCTAACCAGACACTGTACAGTATGCGCAGCTGGCATCGCAGGGACCAAGGCTGAGCCCGATCATGAGCATGCCGGGAGTCTGAAGGAGAAACTATGGAACAACGAGACGTTTGAGACGTGGAATGATGTGTACAGTACCGATGTCACCTCGGTCTACTTTACGACAGTTGCCTTCCTGCCTCTGTTGCAGGCAGGCACGGAGTCCCACGGCCATCTCTCGGCTTCAGTCATTGTCATTTCCTCCATGAGCGGAATCATGCGCCACGCCCAGGGCCACTTCTCATACAACGCCGCGAAGGGTGGTACGGTTCATCTGACAAAGCTCATGAGTGCGGAGTTCCAGAAGGCGCGTGTCAGGGTCAACAGCATAGCGCCCGGCTACTTCCCGTCCGAGATGACGACAAAGCAGAGCGGAACGGACCAGAAGAGTCACCTGCCGGCAGAAAAAGTGCAGGCCAAGGGACACGTGCCGGCCGAAAGAGCGGGCAGCGACGAGGAGATGGCGCAGGCTGTGGTAAGTTCTCCCTCCTGTCATGTGGCGGGCTTTTCCTCCGATGGTCGGCGCAGGGACCTATGATGAGTAATGGAGTGGCTGGAGGCGGTCGGCTTGGTGGTGGCTAGCTCACCTTGGGCCCTGGCAACCAGGTTGTCGCGGCGCATCAATATTGGGAGCGTGCGCTGGCAATTGGCTGAGCGGGGCAGATCAACCTGCCACTTTCAAGTTAGGGTTGCAGCTGACGATGTTGCTTTACAGCTTTTCTTGACCAAGAACGCCTATGTCAACGGAGAAATCCTCGCGGTGGATGGCGGTGTGCTTAACGTCGTTTCGGGAAGGTGAAAGTGGGGAGAAAGCACTGGGAAACTTCCAAAGAGGGAAAGTAGAGGGCGCCAGCGACGGCGGGCTCAGCTAAAATGACAGACGACTTGAATGCTCAATATTGGGTGAATGATTGCACCGGCGAGAAGGCCGCCAGAGGGGCGGGTTCGGGCAAAAATGCAGAGGTCGCGTGTGCCCCAACAGGGCCGTGCATGTGATGTTTTTGCGAGTGGTGCAGCGCCGTCGACGTAGGGCTGGACGGAGGCGGGCTTGGCGGCACGGCGGCACGGCGTCTGTGGCTCACGCATGGCTTTGCTGCAGGTGCGGATGAGGTGCGGATGAGAGGCGGAGGAAACGGCAGAGCAGGACGGGTGCCCGAAGCCAATGTTTGGGTGACGGGCGGCGGAGCCTGTCAGGTCGTGTGTCGGGCCGGGGCGATCAGCTGGCGGCTGGCTGGCGGCCTGCTCGGCCCTGCAGCTGTTGTGCCAACAAACCGTCGCTCGCTTCCTCGATGCGCTCGACGGCTCCCTCTCTTCTTCTCGAAAGCCGCGTCGTCACCTGCGCAACGCGCTCCTGCAATTACTAGAATACGCGGCCAGGTCAGCCAGGGTCCCCGCCGTTTACGCTACTCGCGCTCGAGGTCGGCGCAGCACCGGCGCAGCTAGCGCGACAACTGACGGCTTCCCTAACATCTCAGCCCTACCACTGCCCAATTCCTGACGGTCATTCTCGCACGATCTCTCCCACCCTCCTCCTGGACCGCTGTGTCGCCCGAGCTGCGCGTGCCTGAGCAGCGAGTGACGTACATCCACCGCGTCGCAACACCTGCTCGCTCTCCAGCCTCTCACCACCCAGGCCCGCTTTCCGATGGGTGACATGCAGCTCACCGTAGCAGCACCCCTCGCCGCCCACGACCGCTTCCAGAGCCCCGACTCCGCCCAGTCTTCTCGCGCTCCGCCCTCATAACCGCCTTCGCGCTTCCGACCTCCGCTCGTGAGGCTACCGCCGGTGCCGCTTGACACGCTTTATTCGCCTCCGCACTGCACCCCGCCGCGACGACCGGCTACGCACAACCCCTCGGGCCTGACCGGGGCAGGGGAGCGCTATGGTCGCCCACATGTCGGCACACCACCACAGTGCCGACAAACATTCAAATGGCAGCCGTAGACCGCAGAGCCGTGCCGGCGCGCATGGCCAGAACACCCCAGGCTCGTCACTCCCGCAGCAGGTCAGAGGGACTCCAGGTTCAGCACACACCCGGGTAGCCAGATCCACAACGGCCGACCGAGAGAGGGAGAAGCCGCCGAGCAAAGATGGAGCCGCCCAACGTGCTGCGCAGGATGTTGCTGGGCTGAAAGACTATGTGAGGACCTCCTATTCTGTACTACACTGTTGAAGGAGCCCGGGCCGATAGAGGATTGGGCAAGACAGAAACAGCTATCGCCGCAAGTGGAAAAAGAAAAGTGCTGACTGAGATCTTCGGTGATTTAGCAACTCGGCGACTGCCTAGGAAAAGGCGCTTTCGGCTCAGTGTACCGTGCTCTGAACTGGGGTACAGGCGAGACAGTCGCGATCAAGCAGGTCAAGCTTGCGGACCTCCCCAAGAACGAGTTGCGAGTTATAATGCTCGAGATTGACCTGCTCAAGAACCTGAATCACCCCAACATTGTCAAATACCATGGCTTCGTCAAAGACACGCAATCGCTGTACATCATCCTGGAATACTGCGAGAACGGCTCCCTCCATTCGATCTGCAAAAACTTTGGAAAGTTTCCGGAGAACCTCGTTGCGATCTACATGTCTCAAGTACTGCACGGACTCCTATATCTGCACGACCAGGGTGTCATTCATCGAGATATCAAAGGCGCCAACATCCTCACCACCAAGGAAGGTCTGGTAAAGCTTGCAGATTTCGGTGTCGCTACCAAGACGGCTGGCCTGCACGACTCAAGCGTAGTGGGTACGCCGTACTGGATGGCACCAGAGGTCATCGAGCTGTCTGGCGCGACCACGGCATCAGACATATGGAGCTTAGGCTGCACGGTGATTGAGCTCTTAGATGGAAAACCTCCGTATCATAAACTGCAGCCAATGCCGGCGCTATTTCGGATTGTCAACGATGACCACCCACCGTTACCAGAGGCGGCCTCACCGGTAAGTGTCGCATCTCCACATTTCTTGGAAACATCCAGGCACACGACCCTAAGCTAACCAGAAAACAGGCCGTACGAGACTTCTTGATGCAATGCTTTCAGAAAGACCCTAATCTCAGAGTCTCTGCCAAAAAGCTCCTGAAGCATCCTTGGATTGTCAATGCTCGACGGGCAGACGAAGTCGTACCGACCAAGCCGACCAAGTATGACGAGGCTGTGAAGAGCGTGCAGGAGTGGAACGAGGCCCTGAAACTTCCAGCAAATGAAACACTTCGCCGAGCTTCAAGACCGATGTCTTCGAGCCCAGGTCCACCGAGAAGGGAACCGTCGTCGTCGATCACAACGCCCGTGCCTGGTCAAGGCGCGTTACGCGTTCAAAAGATGCGCCCCGCCCCGGAAGTCTTTGCTGCCGCTGAGGAGGATGACAATGATAACTGGGACGATGACTTCGCATCGTCCATCAGTGCCAGTGCCCTTCAATTGCCCCATTTGAGACCCCACGACAATTTCGCAGGCTTGTTGTCAAGTGAAAAGCTGAAGCAATACGCCACCGGGTTCGACACAGTGTCAGGGGATTCTAATACGGACAGCGTGTTTGGTGATTCCTTAACGCTGAACAGCCCGTCGCCCCTGGACCCTTTTGAGGGAATCGAGACAATTAGGCCTTCGTCGTCTAAGCAGGAGCCCGATAGCGGGAAAGGCAGCCGCACGAGCTCAGGAGCATCAGGAGGAGCCCAGGAGCCTAGGACACAGTTCTTCCGCGGGATGTCCAAGTCAGCAGCGGTCCCACCTATCAATCCCCGGATTTCTTCGTTCACCAAGCCAACAGCGGCCTTCAGAGAAAATTCTGTCGAGGACTACTCAGACCTTATCGCCCCCGATGACGCAGCTTTCCAAAAGAAATTGCAGTCACTTCAAGCACGCAACAACAAGGAATACACGCCTCGGCTGTTCCACCCCTCAGACCTTACGAACAAACCTCGCTCTGCTCAGAATGGAAAAAAGACTGGCAGTCTACCTCGAAATGCTTCAGGCAGCAGCTCTGAAGGCAAGAATCCTACAAAACGCCCGAACTTGCAGATAGGGATTGAAAAGTACGCGGAGCGCGAAGAGGAAGATTTCTCCGACGTATTTGGAAACGACGTTGTCGCGGCGCCGGCCCTGAAGCCGAAACACGAAAGTGATAGCGGCTCGGAGCGGGGAACACTTCGCATGATGAACTCTAAGCTATCCGAATCTTGGCTTGGCGATGAGGAGGATGAAGAAGACCCCTTTGCGCAGTTGGAAGAGGGATTCGATGAGATGGACCAAGAGACGAACGTGGCCCGAGATCGCCACGCACGGCTTTGCAGCCTTGTCGAAAACAGAGTCAGCTCGCTCAAGTCGACACAACCGGAAGATGTGCTTGATGATGTCTCGGATGAACTGGTACGTAATGCTACCACAACGACTCTGATAAGTGTACTGATCTGTCCTGCAGCTATCAATTCTCATGGAATCGCCTGAAATTAAGAACGTAATCATCAGTTCTCATGGAATGCTCCCGATCCTGGAGATTCTGGAGAACATGCGAAACCGCGAGATAATTTTAAATTTGCTAAAGATTGTGAATATCGTAAGTCGGCTTCAAACACCCGAGCTGATGTCATTCCACTCGCTAACGGTTTGACCTAGATTATCCTTGACAACGTGGAGATCCAAGAAAACCTCTGTTTCGTTGGAGGTATTCCTATCATCAGTCAGTTTGCTCACAAGAAATTTCCTTCGGAGATCCGCCAGGAAGCGGCAGCCTTCGTTCGGCAGATGTACCAGACTTCGACTCTTACGCTTCAAATGTTCATTGGCTGTGGAGGCCTGAATGTACTCGTGGAGTTTCTAGAAGAAGATTTGGAAGATGATCGTGACTTTGTCTTGATCGGCGTTAATGGCGTGTGGAGCGTCTTTAATCTTCAGGTGAGTAGTGAAGGAGACGCTTTCTCAGGACTTGCTAATGATTACAGGGTCCCACACCGAAGAATGACTTCTGTCGGATTTTTTCACGCAGTTCCGTGCTATACCCTCTCTCGCTCGTCCTTAGTAAAGTACTTGAAGAAGACGGCGAAGTTGCAGAGCTCCTCCAAGACCGCATTGTGGGGATCTTCATGCTATTTTCGCAAGCAGAGACGCATGTCAAAGAGCTAGTGGCGGATCGTATGGTCCTCAAAAGTAAGCAGCATGCGGGTATATTCCTGAAAGGAGGGTAGCTGACAAGTCATAGGGGTGCTTAAGGATCTGCAGCGCATGCGACCGGCTAATCAGATCACCATGCTCAAGTTCGTTAAGAACCTATCCATGCTCACCACTACCCATGAGGCTTTACAAAACTCGAACGCTATCGAAGTGCTCACGGATTTGCTCAAGTCAAGCATGAAGATGAAGCACTTCCGTGAGGTGTCCAATCAGATCCTGAACATCCTTTACAACCTTTGCAGGCTCAGCAAGCCGAGGCAGGAGGATGCCGCGCTCAATGGCGTTATTCCTCTCCTCCAGACCATTGTCAAAACAGAATGGCCTCTCAAAGAGTTCGCGCTGCCGATCTTGTGCGACATGGCCCACTCTGGAAAGGTTGGCCGAAAGGTCCTCTGGCAGAACAAGGGATTGCAGTTCTACATTTCTCTGCTCTCCGACAAATACTGGCAAGTAACTGCATTGGACGCTATCTTCATTTGGCTGCAGGAAGAAACTGCTCGAGTCGAGCAGGCTCTCTTGGGGCCATTCCCTGAGGCTATAATAGCCTGCTTCACAAACCAAGACTCATCCGTGGACGCGTTCGAAAACCTGCTCGAGCCGCTGCAAAAGCTTTTGCGCCTTTCGCCCCCAGTTGCTGCGCTTCTAGCACGTCGGGAGCTTTTCAGCCGCGTTGGCCAAAAACTCCATACAAAGAAGCCAGTGGTTCGCCTCAATCTTCTCCGTATAGTTCGCAGCATTTGCGACGCAAGCGAGGAGAATGGTGGCGGCGCGCCTCTTATCCAAGCACACGGACTTTGGGATGCCATCAAGCGTCTGGCTGAGTCCGATCCTGCGATTCTGGTCCGCGAAATGGCGAATGAACTCGTCAAGACGTGTGAGAACCAGACATTGTTGTCACCTACCTCTGCACGCCGGAGCGTCGAGTACCCTCGAACCCGTCCATCAAGCGCCAGGAGACAGAGCGTCACCTTCACGCCACTTGGGTTTCCGCCACCTGTTCCGCCACTGCCTAGCGGAATGTCATCTCATCTGCCGCCACCCACGCCGCCACACTCTGCCGTGGAACATCGACGCAAGAACAGCTTTTGGGAAAGCACCGGCGACAGCCCCAGGAGTACCTTGTTGCTTGGTGCAAGCAGGAGCTTCGACAATGGACTTCCGACGACGAGACCCAGTTCCTCACGGTCGAACTATTCACGGCCTCTTTCGCGTCAAGGAAGTGGTGAAAGCGCTTCGGCCATGTCTAACCGGCCAAAGACCAGGGATGGTAGCGGCGACAGCTCGGTGGCTGGTTTCCACAGACTGAAGTCGAGGGAGGGAAGTGGAGAAAGCTTCGCTCAGCACTACAGCCGCCCTCGAACTAGGGAAGGAAGCGGCAATTCCGATTATCGTCTCGAACGCTTGAACGGTCACAAGCGCGATTCTAGTGATCCATCGCAATCCCGCCCCCGTACGCGTGATGATTCAAGCAGCTCTACGTCGACAGCCGTTTCGACTTCTAGTCACTCGCGCGAACATACGCTCTCGAAACCAACTTCCTCTTCATCGATCTCAGCGAGTGATCCATCGTCCTTCTGGGCCGTCAGTGGGGAGGATGCTATGAGCACTCCGACCAACGACTCCTCTTGGTCAGATGGCCGCCGGGGAAGTGTGCAATCGAACAAATCGAGCCGTCTTCCTGTCAATGTCAGGCCAACCAGCAGGAGAGCAAACGTGAGCTTCAACGGCAACGCAAGCCCCAGCAGCACTCCGCGGCCGTTGCCAATGCACGCCCACTCACATTCGGGCAGCAATTCTGGCGAGAGAGAGAGAGAGAGCTTCGTGATTGGCACACCGCCCAGCCAGGTTTATGGAGGACCTGGCTCTGCAGGTTTCGGAGGACCTGGCTCCTCGGGGGTTCCGACGCCGCAGTCAGCGCACCATCCCAGCGTGACTGGCACTCCACACCACAAGCTAGCAATCCGAAGGCGTCGCCAGACTAGCTCGGGCTATGGGCGGAGGGGTTCCAGACAGGACGATATCTTGCGTGAAATTGGCCATGCGGGGATTCTTGCGCGGCGCGGGAGTAATCAGGATGATGTAGGGATCGAGTAGCAACTAACCCGCTCCGTTAGTGTCACTCAGCACCATCTGCAACATCCAAAGAAGCCTAAACAACCGAAAGACAAATACCACCCACCCCCTTCTAATCAACGCTACGACCGTTATGAGACGATTCCAATTCAGCAACAGCAGCAGCAGTCCAACCATCCTTACCCTCAACAACAGCGAAATGTGTCGAACTCCAGTTTACTGGCGCCAACATATAGCTCGGGGACGCTGCGGCGGCGGCACACGACGCCGTCGCCGTCGCCGTCGATGGAGACGGAGCTGTCGATGCGCGTGCAGGTGCGGCAGGCGGAGCTGGTACGGCGGAGAAGCGTGGGCGTGGGCCTGCGAATGGATATGCAGCCACTGCTGCGGCGGGTCGGCAGCATGCACGACCTTCGGCGCGCAGCAATGGTGCAGGAGGCGCTGGCGGAGCTCGACGCGCTGGTGGACGAGGCGGCGAACGGGCGGGCGAGCAGGATGACCCTGAGCCGGGTGGGAGAGTGGTCGTACTTTTGATCAAGAGTATGTGCCGTTCTTCTCTCTCTCGGTTCCGAGGCTTCGTTTTCTGATTCCCGGTTGTTACGTCGTGCTTTTGTCTGCTTGTTTGTTGGTTCGCGTCGATTTCTTTTTCTTTTTTGCCTCGTTTGCTTCCTTTGGGAGCAAGAAGGGAAGAAGGAAAAAAGGAAGAAAGAAAGGGAGATTCCTAGCAATCTCGACGAGGAGAGAGACGGAGAAGGTGCACCAGTGCCTGCCAGTACGCCATTTTCCTTGGGTCGATACGTGCGAGTGTGTTTTTCTTCTCCCCCGAGGACGATGCGTTTTGTTCTGCTTTCGACGACCAACCCCCCCATTTCGTTGCTTCCGTTTCGAACGTCGGTTGCGCAAGATGGATCATTCGCGCTGTTTTTACGCGTGCATCTGTATTGCTCTCGGCATACGTAGTGTTTGTTGTTTTCTTGCCGTTTCTCTTCAAGCTTTCGATGGTCTGTTGAGTGGTTTGGGTTTGGTTTTGGTTTTGAGGTTCGACATCGATTCTCTGCTTCCTCTTTTCCTTCCGGGTAGCATTGGTGCATGGTCATGGCTTAGGGTTCACACCTTTTTTCCCTTTCCGGATTTCCGTCCGAACGGCTTGCGGTTCCCTTATATCTCTCTTCTCCTTTTTTTTACTACTACTTTTTATTGTGCGAGCTTTTCTTGGGTTAGCATTGAATGGAGACGATCAGCCTGGTTCGATATGAGAGATGTGTTTTTTCTTTTTTGCTTCCTTTTCCCTTTATGTCAGATTCCCTTTCCGTTTTTCATTCCTCTTTACTTTCCTTACTCCAGTGCGGTTTTTACAATGCACGGTTGCTCTCGCCCTATGCTGCGTGGTGCGTTTTGAAGCTTGGCATTTCGCTGGGGTTACTGTTATGCATATCTTGGTTCTCCTCCAAGTCTTGTAGGAACGATTTATAGACTCGACATTTGACGGCAGTGGTCATGAATTTGCTTTATTGCAGGCTGTTGGGCAGACTAGTTGCGTAGCATGGATTGCGAGAGTGGATGAGAGAAACAATGAAATCTGTTGAGGTTTGGTGCAGAGACTTGATCAAACCGTGTCATGTGTTCGGTGACATTACTGGCCTCATTGCAAAAATGTATGGTTAGACTACTTCATTCCCTTTCCGTCGCCCTGCAGCGACCTATCTACCAGCATCTCTACTCGTGCTCGTCCGTCAAATGCAACACTATCTATACACGCACACGTCAAAACAATGCACATGATAATCCAGGCGCCAATGTATGTCCCGCTCAAATGAAGCCGATCCCGTATCCCCTTCCTTCCCAATGAAGGCGCCAATTACGAAACCCAAAAAAATATGCAATCGAAACAAAGACACCCAAAGACGACCGATCATCATCCCTTTTTACAGGCAGTCAGTCACGAATCGGTATCCGATTCGACTCGCTGCCGCTTTTTGGAATGGCGGATCGCAACGTTTTCCGTGGATCCTCCTGCACCACCCGCCGTCACCGCGCCGCTCCCACCGAGCCGTCTCTGGCGGCCACGTTCTGGAGTGGGGCTGGGACTCACATTCCGCGACGCGCCGAGCGTGCGCAGCGCCTCGAGCGACCTGGGATCCGCCACCGGAGCAGCAGCAACAGCAGCACCTCTGCTCCTCCCTTCCTCGGGGGCGGCTCTCGACCGCGGGCCCGTCCTAGTCAGCGTCTCTCCAGACAGCGACGCGTCGGGCGCCTCGATCTCCCTCCCCCTCGGCGTCGCCTGCTCGTTCGCGCGTCTTTCCTCCTCCCCTTCCTCCCTTTCCCCCACATCATCATCATCATCATCATCACCACCATCCCCGTCCTCGTCCCGCTCTCTCACCGCTCCCCTCAGCTTCCCAGCACTCACGACCCCCTCCCCCTCCCCCTCCCCTTTGCCCTTCGTCCCCTCCCCCGCCCCCAGCCCCATCAACGCCCTGCGCGCCCTCTCCGCCACCCCCTCCGCCCCCTTCCTCACCTTCGCCATCTCCCCCACCAACCCCTCCAACTCCGCCCTGACCCCCACACTCTCCCCCGCGAGCCGCCAATTCTCCGCCCGCAGCTCGAAGACGCTGTCCTCCAGCTCCGCCACACGACGATCGAGCCTCTTCTCCGTCGCCTCGAGCGCGTCGTTGCGGCGCTCCAGCCACGCCTTCTCCTCGCCGCGCTTCGCCACCGCGCCCTCGAGCCACGCGTTGCGCTCTTCCAGCCGCGCGACGCGCGATTCGAACTTGTCGCGCTGCGCGGCGAGCTTGGCCGTCAGTTTGGCGTGCTGGGCGGAGAGCTGCTCGGCGTGCGTGGCGCGTTGCGTCGAGAGGTCCGAGCGCAGGATCGCGAGCTCTTCTTCTAGGCGTCGCGCGTGCTCGACTTGCAGGCGGGGGCTGCGCGGGGGGTCGGGGTGGGGGGGTGGCTGCGGCGCGGCGACGGTGGTGGTTGCGGTGCCGTCTTGAGACGCCTGTGGGGGCGAAGGCGGCGGCGGCGGCTGCTCCTCGCGCAGGGCGGTGGCGAAGAGGCGGAACATGGTGGTCGTGTGCGCGCCCGTGTGGTGGTGGTGGTGGTGTGTGTGGGTGGCTGTCTCGGTGCGTTGCGATGCAGAGCCGGGTTGGGGGGCCAGTACGGTGGAGATTATGGCAGGGTTGACACGGAGAAATTGAGGAAGATGCGAAAGTTGTAGTTAAAAAAGGTCGAACAAGATTTTAAAGAAGTACAGTAGGCGAATGGAAGCGAGGTGAGACTGTCTCGGTCGAAACAAACACCGTATGCCTGGTTTGGTGTCAGAGGGATGGTCTGTAGTGAAGGGTTCTCTCGAGTGAGATGCAGAGTGACTGGGTGGACTTACGCAAACGGAAGGTGAGTTTTGTGATACGTTTCTAGAAGGAACGTTGGTGGTGAAGAAAGCCTGTGTTTACGTTGAGTGGTTCGTTGGCCGGCCAACCTGATACAGAAGGTGGGGCTCGGACACGGCGGTGCATCTCAGCCACACCAGGCAGCCACATGTCATGAGTGTGGAGGGCCACATTTGCCAGTCCGAGGCCAGTCAATCAACATGTCGTTTCACAAGTGATCGGGAAAGTAGCATCAGCAAGGTTCGCACTGGATTCTTCCATCCAGCCATCTAGTGCATTGGCACAATGTCTCGCCAACGCATCTAGCTGGTCATATACGTACAGGCAACCAATTCTTCAACGGCGTACACACACATATAGAGAGAGAGAGAGAGAACCAACTCACACCCACGCAGAACAGGCTGCTTCGTCTGACGATCATGCACACGGAATCTTTTTAGTTGAGGAGAACGGGGAAAACGAGAGAAAAGACGCAGAACAGGATAAAATAAAAAGAAAAGCCCAAACACCATCAGACCCACCCGCCCAACCGGATGATGCTCTCTTTCAATGCACAAACAAGATGCACGCAAAAGGCCAAAAGAAAGGGAAAAAAAATAAAACACAAGCAAACAAAAACAACCAAGAGACCACCTTTTGACGAGGATGATTCCGTCTTTCGAGGTAATATGCAAAAGAGGCTGCCGTCCCTGAGGGGTTCCATTTCCCTTCCGATCCCAAGTCAATCGACTGATACCACCCCCCTTCCTTCATTCCTTTCATGCTTTCTTTCAAGGAAAAGTTCATTACAAGCCCCCCGCCGCCATTCATTCTTTCCCAAACAGCTTCATTTTCTCTTTTCTTTTTGATTTCCATTTCCCTTTTCCATTCCTTTGGTTTCCCCAATCGTCGTTGATCGTTCCATTTTAGCCGCAGGTGGCCGGGTTTCCTTCGTTGCGCATCATCTTCGTGACGGCCAGCACCAAGCTGACGCCCAGGACGGAGCAGCCAAACGCCACGCAGACCATTGCGCAGATGCGTTCCGTGCGGGCAGACCGCTTCTTTGAGAGCTTGAGGAAACAGAGAGGCGGGAGGATGTAAGCGAGGGCACAAGCCGATGTTGCCTATCGTCCAGCTCTGTTAGCAATCAGGGGGGAGGAGGAGCAAGCGTGAAATTGGAGTAATATAAGGAGAGAGAGGGAGAGAGGGAGAGGGAGCTGGAGGACAACTTACTCCGACCAACTCGAAGACGACGCCCAGATCGCACGTCATCAAGCTCAAGCCCATTGCGCTGGTCACCAGCGTCGTGGTGAAGATGAGGTGCCTGCTCGCATCCCACGGCTCACCGGGGAAGTAGAAGTTCTCCATCACCTCACGGCAGACGAATGCCTCGAGTGGCAGTGTCGAAAGCATGTTGAGACCAAAGCAGAGACGGGCGACGTTGACCAGGACGTTGTTGGTCGGGAAGTTGTTGAGAACGTTCCCTTGCGTCTTGTCGCCAAAGGTCAAGTAACCGGAGAGCGCCATGAGCAGGCATGCGATCATCGATACCGTCGTGCTGAAGTGCGTCACTTTGGAAAAACGGTCGATTGTGGGCTTCTTGAGCGAGCCATAGATGAGGAGGGAGTTGTGGTCTGTTCGTAAGCAAAACAATTTTAGCATCTTTAATCCCGGCTCAAACGCAGTTTTGGGGGCAGGTTTGTGCTTACGGCAAACAAAGGCTGGATTTTCTGTTAGCAAAAGAGACGACTCATGTTTTGGGGTGGTCAGAGTTACCAAATGATATGACGCCCACCGCCTGGAAAACGCCGTCGTTGATGATTAAGCTTCCTCTAATCTGACCTTTCATGTCTTGAGGAACTCCGGGGCCCTGAGTGACGACCGCGACGAGAATAATGAGCATGCTAATAAGGGCCAATGTTGATGCTTTTGCCAACTGCTTTCGTCAGTTCCTCGCCACGTAACAACTGGCCGATGCCGCGAGAACTTACCTTGGAAATATCTCTATACAACGAAAGCGGGTAGGAGACGCCCAGAGTGAAGAAAACAATGACAGCTCGTCTATCTGTGAGCAGCCACAAGAACGGGGTATCGGGTAGCGAAGGGAACAGTGCTTCCATCACGTGCGGGATGGTGTCGCCCACGATAATACAAAACGCTATCATGCCGCCAAATGCACTACGACACCAATCCCAGTCAGCTTTCGCAATTCGTCTCCCTTCTCCGAGGGACTACTCACAAAGCCCATTGTGCAACGCTTATGGCTATCAGTCCGGTATTCCCAAAGCAATGTTGCACAGTTGCTTGAAACGAATTCGCTCCGCTGAGCTTCGAATTCACCACTATAAGACGGATCGTCCAATCGACAGTGGCGGTCAGGAGCACAAGAAGGACAATGCCAGTCAGCAAGCCCGCCTGTCTGAAAGCGTATGGTTGACCGATGATGCCAGCGCCACTGTTGAGAGAGAAAAGAACCACCATTAGCCCAGTCAAAACGTGAAAGCCCATTAAGAAAAAAAAAGGCGTGAGACGAATCCACATCCCCGAAATCTCCTCAAAAACCTCACCAACCCCGTCGTGAGGGGGAAAAAAAAAAAAGAGAGAACAAGAAAACAGCAAAAGGAACGAACGAGGGAAGGGGAAAACGGTCCAAAAAAAAGAAAAAAAGAAAAACGTACATGATACTGTTCGCCATATTCATGAACGCGCTCCTCAGCCCGCTCTTGGGCCTCGCGCTCTCCAACAGATCCTCCGGGCTGAACCCCACATCCGAATTGGCCACCGTCACGCTCGGCGCCTCGATGTCCGTCAGCAGCGGCAACCTTTGCTCCCTCCCCGCCGCCCCGTTGCCCCTCCTCCCCCTCCTTCCCCCTCCTCTCCTCCCCCGCCCCCCCGCCGCCCCGCTCGCCAAAAAATCCTCCTCCTCCGCCCACGCCCCGTCGCCACCCCCATCCCCCTCGCTGTCGCTGCTGCTATCGCCCCCCAGCGGCATGCGCGTCGCATACGGATGCTGCCGCGGGCCCATCCCTCCACCACCCGCAGCACCCGCACCTCCCGCACCTCCTCCACCCCCACCACCGACATTATGATACCTCGCCGGCCCCGTCCGGTTCGCGAACCCGCCGTTTTCCTGACTCCGCCTGATGTGTTCTTCCAACGGAATCAGCTCCGCCTCCTCGTCGAAGCGCACGCGGTTGGGCGTGCGCGGCGTGCCGTCGGGCCGCGGCTGCGCGAAGCTGGACTGGCGGCGCGGCGGCGGCCGGGGTTTGCTGCCATGGAGGGCGAGGGCGGGCGAGGGCGAAGGCGTGGCGGAGGGGGCGGGAGAGGCGGAGAGCGAGCGCGGGGCGGATGTGGGTGTGGGTGTGGGTGTGGGGCCGAGGCCGGGGAGGGTGAGGGTGGTGGTGGTGGTGAGGTTGCCGGGCGCGGGAGAGGGCGAGGGCGAGAGGGATTGTGGGGAGGAGGTGGTGGTGGTGTCGATGGTGCTGCCGTTGTTGATGATGGTGTTGTTGTTGCTGTTGCTGTTGCTGTTCGTGTCGTAGTAGTAGGGGCTCTGCGATGATGTGATGCCCAGGTCGTCGGTGTGGTGGTGGCGGTGAGCGAAGGATTGGTGGTGCTGCGGTTCGAGCTCGAGCTCGAGCTCCTGGTGGGCGGCGTTGCCCAGGAGTCCGAGGACCTCGTCGGCGTCGTTGGCGTCGGAGCGAGGCATTGGATGGGATTCGGCGGTCGTTTACCTCAGCATCTTTCTGCGGAAAGGGGGGAGGAAGAGCTCGGATGTTGCGAGGCGGGTAGTAGCTGTTTGCGCGCGAGGGTTGGAGCGTCGACGGCGGTCGGGGCGTTGGAGTGTGAGTAGATGGGCGAATGCGGACAGTGGATTTCGGTGTCGTGTCAGGGTGCTGGGGCCTGTCGGTCTGTCGTCAGCCAAAGAAGAGCCAGCGCCAGCCGCAGAGCAGCGCACCGCCGCGCCGCCGCTTCTGGACAGCTGGGCCACCGCTCGGGGGATCGGCGCCTTAGGGCTGTCCCTTATTTCTAAATTCGGCGCTCCGGTCATCGTGCCCCGAATCCGGCCGCGCAAACGAGCAGCACGTGTTGTCGCCAGAGCCGCGGCCTGAGGCTGCACTTTTCCTTGACGCGCGCGGCTGCCTGAGTTGTTGCGCAAGGCATGCAGTCGGTGTTATGTTATTATCCGCGCTGCTGCACGCCCGCAAACGGCACCTGCAAGCGACAGGCTCCAGCGCTGCATCAGACCGCGTGGCGCATGCCGCAGTGCATGTCAGCCAGCCCCGGGCGTGCGGTCCTAGGAAACGGTCACACGTGCGGCTAGACCAACGATTCTCTGACTTGTTGACAATTCTCCGTAGTGAGGCGTGCGGTGGCCACTGCGCAATCATTCGACCGGGTTTCCCATTAATTACTCCGCAAGGGGTGGTCCCTCGCATTTCGTGACGTACATCTGTCCCATAATTTCCTTCCAAGGTATCGAGCAGACCCAAACCAAGCTCGCTGTTCAAGAATAAAGATATGTACCATACCGACAATCAGATGCCGTTTGGCCCCAAGATTACTCCTCCATACAACGCCAAGCAGGACGTTTTATAGGAAAAAAAAAAAAGATCCAACATTAACACTCTACCAGAAAGAAAACCTGGCCCTTTTGCTAGTCATGTGCTTCTTCCCTGAACCTTCCTCGTACCGGTGGCTGCTGTCTTGCGCCTCCCGACGATCCAGACCCCGATACCGACCCGATGCTTTCGCTGATCCGTCCCACGAGCGGAGTGTCGCTTGCTTGTGTGCTCTGTGTGACGTTCCGACCAACATGCAACGGTTGAGGATAAAAGTGCGCCGGAGTGTTTGACGTTGTTGTAGGATATGCCGAACTAGGCTCCGACTCTCGCGAGTAGTCACTAGGAGTTCCCGTCATCCCGGGGCGGTGGCCCGTCGGAATTGCGAGTGCGGCATGCCCTGCTCTTGGTGAGGGTGAAGGCGGAGGCGGGAAATGCTCGTTGTGCAGTGAATGCTGCGCGGGGTCGTAAGGCTGGGCGTTGGGTGGCGGTGGTTGGAACATGTAGTTCGGCAGAGTGCCTGGTGGCCCGGCTGGGTACATGTATTGCGGAGCGCTGGGCGACACGGGCGGCTGCATGTAGCTTCCTGGATCTCCAGGAGGTCCGCCCGGTGCGTACGACGTTTGCGGCGAGACTGGGAATCCGGATTGTCCAAAGGTTGGTGAAGCTGTATTAGGTGAGATGCTGTGTTGAGTATAGACGGGGGAGAGGTTGTGGTCGGTCGGCGATCCAGGGCCCTTACGATATCTGTGGCTGTCCGATGCTGAAAGCTCGGAAACCACTCCACCCTCAAGATTGTGGCTATCGTCTGCCGCAAGCTCGACTGGATTCTCTTGCAGTGGTTGCTTCTCCTTCGCCGTATCCTTGCTCTTCTTTCTCCGTCGGAGACAGAACCACGCCAGTCCCAGGACCACAAGCAATCCACCAACGCCACCGACAACACCGCCAACGATGGCGCCCACATCCGAACCACCACCGCTATCATGGGACGAGGTGCTGTTACCGCCACTTGTAGCCGCCGAAACGTCTCTCGTAGCCGTGCGAGCTGCGTAGGTTGGGATTCTGGAGAAGTACACTGGTAGATCTCGGTTGTCCCAGCTCTCAGGGGCTTTGTTTGTGGCGCCTCCAGTCGAACTGCATGATGGTGATCAGTACCCTAGATATTGCCACTATGGATGGGAACATACCTTCCGCCGATCTTGGCAACGATTTCTGGTGGCACCAGGTATTCGGTGATGTTGGGATAAAACAAATCCCACATGGCATCTTCCGGGCCATTCTTTCCCAGGTTCAGGTTATGGGTGCCCCAGACATTTGGCGAGTCACATGCTTGATTTTGCGCAAACCAACCGCCGATGATGAGCATTTGCGCACTGTTGACAACGTTACACGATGAGATGCCGTGCGGGTTTCCAACTCCTGCCTCGGTGGGATACCACTTGATCCATTGGAAGGAAGGGATCGATAAGATGTAGACGTCGTCAAAGCCCGTCGTGTTTGTGATACCTTGGCCGCCATAAATGTAACTAAGCCAGCCAGTCAGCGTTGGTTTCACCCAAGGTATGCAAATAACCTACATATTGTAGGACGACTTATCCTGCGCCCAGGAAGCACCGCCACAGAATTTTCGTCTCATGTCAGGAACATCTCCAGTGGCCGTCTGCTTGTACCATTTTGTGGAAGCAATGTCGTAAACGTAAATGTTCTGCGAGTGACGTTAGAGCCCGTTTAAACCAAGCTGTCCCAGGAATAGCTTACACTCATCTCATCCTACACGATAACCATGTTAGTTCGTGGTCTTTGAACGGTGGATGTTGAATAACTTACCCCTAAAACGGTGCCATTATCAAAAGGATCAATGACGCCGCCGAAGTATATCAGGAGGCCTTTGTCAGAAGCTGGAAGATAGACCATGGTGCCTTCTCCTCGACCGGTGCTGTCAGGGCCAGTGTTGTTGGTCCAGGAGTCTTGAACAAAATCGTATATAATGAGATTGCTCGTGAGCATCGGATCAGCTCCCCATCCAGGAACGGTGTTGTTGTTGAGCCAACCTCCCAGGTAGTAACCGACCCCGGTTTCGTTTACTGTCACGCCTGCGCCATAGGATACTCTTTGGATCCCGGCTGCTGCGCTGATGTCGGTCTGGTTCCATTGATTCAGAAGGATGTCATAAGCCCAGGGAGTAAAGGCCTCAGGGGTGGCGCCATTATATTCGCCGCCGTAGAGGTAAAGGACCTTGTTCACTTCGTCGGACCACAAGACACCGCCGCTGAGGTCTGGCACATTTTGTGTCTTGTTAAGGTCATCATGGAGCTGCGGCATCCCAGAGGAGGCATCCTCAAGATCGTTGTAGAGGAACCAGGTATCTGCGGCAATAATCAGCACCGGGCGCACGCTTAAGCCCAAGGGCGATTCATACTCGTGTAGTTCAACGGATTCTGTGACATGGGATTCCACGTGAGCTGGCCGCCATCGATGTACAGCCTGTTGTCGACCACGGCGGTTTGGTGTCCCCAGCGGCGGCAAAAGTCGGTGATGGGGTCTTTGGCAGCATGGGCAGGCCGTAAGGCTGCAAGGGCAGCGGCGATCAGGTATGCTGAGAGAAGCGGAGCCATGGCGGCTCGGTGCGCTCGCTGCGCGCGCCTGGCAGCGTTGGTGTCGGATCACAAAACCACGAGACGGGGAGAGGGCTCTCAACAACACCACCAACAACAACAACAAGAACGAAGGTCTCTGGGCAGCGAAAGCCGGAGGGAAATGGGAAGCGGTCAACCAGAGCGGTGGAACAAGAGGGCCAAAGCTGAGAAATGTGGAAGCACAGGGCTGCCATCCAACGCAGATCAGCGACGGACGCCAGGGCCACCGACGGAATCGGCGGACTGGGGCTCGACTGGGGCTCGACTGGGGCAATCCTGCCATGCAGGACGGCGGGTCGGGCGGAGCTGATTCGCCTGGGGGGCGGAGGGTGGTACGACGGAACCAATGGCGGCAAGCAAGGCTGGCCAGCTGTGCGACGAGCAGCCAATGGCCGGGTGAGACCTGCCGGTACGCATCGGTGTCGCTGGCTCCGCATCTCCAGCGCAACGGCAAGGCCCCTGTCCTCGTTGGGACGAGTCGCCCGACGCGGGTGGCGCGTCTAGAACGGCGCTGCTTCATGGTGCTGACGGGGCGGCGGCGCAGGCTGTGACCAGCCGCCCACGCTGCGCCCGCATGTCAGCCGGAGACATGAGCTGCATCCCATGGCGCCGGCGGGAGCCAGGGAGATATAGCCAGCCCGCCTCCGGCTAATGGCGCGGCCTGGAGTGTGGAGAAGCTGCTCGCGGGCGACACAGCAATCTCTCTCGGGGAGCACGAGCGTGGAGTGAGCGGGCGAGACGGGCTCGTATGCGCCGCCATGCAGGCTCGCGATGATGAGGGGTGACGAGAGAGGGCGATGCACTAGGGACGTCAGACTTCCATGGCCGAGCTCGTTGGTTCCCGGCGGTGCAGCGCCCAGCGCCCCGCCAGACATCCCTGCCCGTCCGGCCATCACGTGCGGCGACCTGGCTTCCTTCCTCGTGTGCGCGGTGTGCAACTGGAAGTCCCGCGCGCTCCCAAGAAACTCCGCCGCGAGTCCGCGCGTGCGGATTACCTGCCTTGCGCCTGCGCCCGTGGGCCTGGCCGCTGCACATGTCAAGAGCACCCGTCTGCAGGCCGCCCGCTCCCTCAGCTCTGGCTCGGAGCTTTGCGTCTCAAGCAAGCAAGCAAGCCCGCCCCTGTGATTTGCAGGGTACCGCCATGGCTCTCAGCCTCCGTTTCGAGCTACCGCGAGCTTCTTTCCCGCCGATCGAGCTTGGCCACTCCCCGCTACCGGCCAAGCCGCGCCTGGCCTGGCTTCCATCGCGCGCGCAAAAGCCACTCGGAGCGCCCTCCCCCAAGCGCCATGTATAGGTACATGAGGCTGGGGCTAGCGGCGTGGAGCTGAGTGAACCGGTACCGTTATGCTTTTCCCCCTCTCAGCCGCCGCCGCCGTGGCTGCGTCCGCTTCTCGCAGTGAGACCGCTCGGCTCGTGGGTCGATCTCACAGGCTCAGGCACCGACGTGAGCGCCGTCACTGCACGGCCATGACTCCTGCATTGCTCTGCTCAATAATTCGCTTGCGTGCATGGCGAGGTTTCGCACAACGCATTCTCAGCGCGGAAAAGCATGTCGCCTGCCAAGCGGCCGGCAACACAGTTGACAGTCTAGGCGTCTAGTCCCCCTATAGCGCCGAACAGCTTCAGCGGCACGCCATCGCAGCTCGCACATGGGCTGCTGCCTTGGCTTCCGCCGCCAGCCAGCCAGCCAATGGGTAGATCGGATCCGGCGTCTGCCACAGCAGAAATTGCAGCGAGCATGCGGACGTCATGTCTGACTGCCGGGGCAGAAGCTCACGCGGCGGGCGAGGCGGGGGTTCCCTGGATGATATACCTGCATGCGCGGGCCTTGGGCGGCCGTGGCGACATCCGCGGAGCCGTGAGAACTGGAATTCGTCGCACAAAGTCATCAATTTAGGAGGTAAGGCGGTCCCAACTCCACGGTATACCAAAGCGGAAAATGGATGGCGGAAGTCTGGATTGGCTGAGAAGCCTATACGCGGGCCGCACGCACGGATCGCGCTTATGCTGTCTCGGCCTTCAGATTGGCTTTTGCATCTCCCTTTGGCGCAAACATGTCGGCTCCTGCGAGCGAATGTGCGGTCAGGACTCGTTCATTGCTGTCATTCCGGTGATTCCCACAAGCTTCTCATGTTGCCGAGCCGTCGACGTGAGCCTCCACCCCAGCCCTGCATCGTCGACCGCCGACAGGATGATCGACTGCCAATCGGCTCGTATGTGCGAAGGTGCAGGGTTCCGCGCATCCGGGCAAGGGGAAGATTCCGCCGGGGGGCCTCGTACCGGGGAGAAAGCAGGCTCTGCCCCCAGCTTATGGTCCTCGGTTTCGGGTGCGCACGTTGGCAGGCGTGTGTGTGGTGACAGCTGTTCGGGGTCGGGAAGCGGGGAAAAGAACTGCGCCAGCACGTGTCGCCGCCGGATCAGGGCTCTCTACCGCCCTGTGCCTATCTTTCCGCGCCTACTTTTCTCCGCACCTACTTCCCTATGCTCTCCTTTCGGCCCCCGTTTTTTCCAGCAATCATTTCATTAGCTCTGACCGTGCGCATCGTCGGTCATGTCAGTCTTTCTCAAGTGCTTACGCTGACTTGTCAGGCGCAGATTGTAAGCTGCCGCTAAGCCACTCACGTTACGAAGCAGCACTGCCGCCGTCTGCGGCGGCACACGCAAGTGCAATCGGGGCCATGTGGAAGGGAAGCCATCGCTTTGTACTCTCTTATCTCCGTCTCCGCGCACTATTACCCATGTACGAGTAATAGATACCATCTAGGTGCATATCGATCAATTGCCGTAATAGTCATGGCATCTCCGTATGCTTTACCCCTCCCATTCCTTCGGGATTCCGAATCTTTCCTGTTGGATCAAGGCAGAATGAAATTTTCGAAGCCAGTTAAAAAGCGCAAGGATCCGAATCTCAATATTCAAGATCCATGCCTTCTCCCCCAGCTCCATGGCCCAGCGGAACCATCTCGGTCCTTCCAGTTACCCCTTCCGTCACCTATCCCCCTTTCCTTCCCCTTCGTCGCCGTATGCTCCGTACCCAAGGCCCAATCCAGAGCCTGCGGTCGCGCACCTGGCGCACAGTTGGTGCTTACAGCTTTCAGTCGGGCGTCTAGCCTTTCTTCCGCCGAAAATGACTGCCGGCCTGCACTCGCAGCGACGCGCCTTAATGCCGTAAATATAGGGGCGGGTAGAGAAGATGCCGCGTCGGCTGTGGCTCTTCCTTACCCCGCTTCGCGAAAATGCGCAGCGGCTGGGCTCGTGAGGTTTTCGGAATCTCGACGACCGGTTGTTTCGTAGCGACGAGCAAAGGAGCAAGGGGTGTAGGGATTGCCTGGGTGGCTCGCGCGTGGCGTTGAAGTCAAAAAGGGAATTTGAGAACCTCTATGATCACAGATGACGGTGTGGATACTGGCAGCCCTTGGAAGGATGGGGCTACGGGAGCGTACTCACCCCTGCACTGGATGCAACTACATGATGGGAAAGTGCGAGCTCCCCAAGACTCCTAGGCCAAATGCCTCTAGTAGAGAAGACTACCTCATGGTTGGTACTACAATACCTTGTTCGCAACTAAAATTTCCGACAGCGCTCATATATTGAGTCTACGTCTGAGTTACACTGACATATTTGACCAGCTCACCAGTTGATGGGTAGTGTCTGAGCTGAAGTTAACTCTTGGTAGCGGGTTGGAAAACAAATGTGCGGGATAACAGCTCAGCAACCCAACGTTGAATTGAAAAATGGCGCACGTTTAGGGGGCACTCTGCTCGTCAATAAAGAAGTCAATAGGGCGCACATACTCCGGACTGTCAGGAACCTATGGGGAGATGAGCTCTCATCGGAGTCCGAGTCATACGTCATGGGCGATACACACCCTCTGGGCAGGTGGATCGCCGGGCCCTTCACCACTCTATCACCAGAGCGCATCTTTTTTTATAGATAGGGCGACTTCGTATATCGGCTCACTTTTACAAGACCCTCCAATGGCTTGAAGTTCGGATTCAACGATGGTGGATGGCACGCTGTGTAGGCAAACCCGTGTTGGGCCCGGTGGCACTGGATTGAAATAAGGGAACCTCGATATCTCAAATACGGAGGTGGCATAAAGGCGCTATCCTCACGGATCCAGAACATAGTCACTTCCCGCAATAGACCCCGCAGGATTGATTAGTGACCGGTCACCGGCACTGGCTTGAGCGTGGTGCGGAAAGGGTCACGAGAGGGCCTTGGGAGGAGGGCCCGCACGATGGGGTACCGCACCTACGGAGAAATTCTGCGCTGTGTGTCCTGGAAAGAGCTAGAAAAGGGTGGCTTCGCAAACATTCTATCTGGTTTCCGAATCGGGCTAGTGCGTGGAAGCAGCGTTGTTTTGGAAGGCACGACCTTCCCCGTCAGAATATCCCGCCTCCTCGACCCTCGCGCGTTACACCGCCTGGTCATCCCACTGCACTCACTGGCCTTGTCGGCGGGCTCTTCACAATGACTTACCCGGAACCCCGTCGCGCGGGCTCTCACGCCACTATGCCGGGCAAATCTACCAGCAACGCGGGTGCCGCTTCGGACGTCGACCGCGACCAGTTCGAGGCTTTCAGATATGAACTGGGCACCTCCAACCGTGAGACTGTGCTCGCTTCCTTCGATCGCCGGGACGACTACGCTCGCATGCGCTTCCCGCCTCGTACTCCGAACCCCGGCTCACACCAGGCTAACGTCCCTGCCGACCCTGTGCTCGCTGGATGGAAGAGTGGGTTCTCAATATCTTAGATCTGATCGTGTTTGGAGTCCTGGCTGATTGCGCTGACCCTAGACTTTCATCTCACCACCACTGACCGTGACCTGGATGCCGAGAAGCAGGACCATCTTCATGACGGCCAGCTCTTCCGCCTCAACCGTCAGGCGCGTGGAGAGGCCATACACCATCCTCCACCTGCGGTTCGTCGGAGCGAGCCGTCCCTTAACCCGTTACTAAACAATCCGGGCAACGCTGATCCCCTTGCTCTGGCTCGAGCTCTCCAATTGTAAGCACATACTTCCCCCCAACTTCAATAAATCTGACTCTCGGCTTCAGCAAGGGCTCCTACAAGGCTGGAAAGGGCCGCCCGCCGATCTCAAACCCCCATGCTAGCTCCGCTCCTCTCGGATCTGTCGGTCGTGGAGGTTACGCCGGTCGTGGCCGCGGCGGCTCCGTCCTGAGTAGCAATGGACGCAATGGGCCTACACAATCTGGAACCCTCAACCCACATGCAGATATTCATGCAGACCAGCGCTTGCCTGCCCGCAAGAAGAAGGCCTCCGTTGTTGGTGGTGGAATGAGCACCGTCCAGGCGCGTCCGATGCTTGGAGCTGCTTTTACGAACCGCCCTACCAACAATCTGCGTCCGCCGCCGGCTCAGATCAATCATGGCCGCAATGGCATCCCGAACCAGCAGCTGTCCAAGGGTGCCCATGTAGCTCCGATGATGGACCGCAGCAACAGCTCCAGGTCGACTGCATCCATGGCGAGCTCGACCGTGGGCAGCTCTTCTTCCGGCGCCCTCTTCGCTACGGGCCGCAGACATCCTGCTCCTGTAGGTAATCTCGCCACGCCTGAGGAGTTCATGGCAGCTGTTAAGAAGAACGGTCTTGCTGGGTCGAAATATGCACCGAAGCCCGAGGACAAGAAGAATCAGCAGGAAAAGACGGAGACGACCAAGCCCGCGGAACCAAAGATCAAATCTACTATGGGTGGAGGTCTCTCTGGATCGAGATTCGCTGCTTGAACGCGAGGCCACCCTAGCGGTTGCGGACGATATGGTTGACATGAGTAGATTTGCTCCCACCGACTGCCAAAAGGCCGGCTCAAAACACTACGAGGATCCTGCGTGCATAGTTCGATTTCTCGGACTCGTTTGAGCACACGATACTTTTCCAAAACTGAGTTCTATACGAGTCAGAAAAAAAAAATTATGCTCAAAAGGTTGGACGGGAAGGTGTTGGGTTCAAAGGTAACCACAAATTATTAAAGGGATGATGGAAAGGGACAAACAGTGTTAGCATTCCTAAGGTCACGATACCTTTTATTAGGTATCTGATACAAGTATAGTCTGGGTTCCTTTGCCGATCACATATACGTGAGTGTCAATTACAAAGATGGGGAGTGGAGCAACGTCGGGATAGCCTTGGGCGCCAAAATGCGGATCGCGTGGTGGCGCTTGCCTCGCTCCGCCAGGCGCGGAGGGCCAAGGACAACACGGCCGCCGCGCTCGGCCCTTGACAACATTTACTCCACAACAACACCTCAGAACAGTGACTCCCAATGTCGCAATTTACGGCTTTCTCATCGCGGGCCGCCGCGGCCGCTCCTCCGACCGCATCTCCCAAAACCGTACCGATTCCCGCGACCACACCCACGAGCCTGCCAGAGGTCGAGCAGGCATTCGCCGACCAGCCGGAGCTAAAGAAGCGAGTGTACAGCGCCATCGGTAAGGACATATTGGGGCCCCCATCATGCGTGGTTCAGTTCATGCGCGCGGCATTAGCCCCCCCACCCCTCCTCCTCCCTCAAAAAGAAAAAGGAATCCAAGGGAACGAGGAAGCTGACGTGGGGGGAAACGAATCAACGCAGGCGACTCGCCCCAGCACCAACCGCTATTCTCGTCCATTTCGTCGTACATCGTTCAGCTGCGCCAAAACAACGCCCCTCCCTCCACTTCCGCGGCCACGAACGGCGCCGCAACGACCGCCGCAACTCCGACGACGACCGACGAACCGGCGGCGAAGAAGCGGAAGATTGTCGGCGGCGGCGGCGAGGCTGCCGCTGCAGGCGCAGGCGCAGGGACATCGGGAGCATGGGCGAACAGCGAGGCGGGCGCCGACTTTGCGCTCCCGGACGTGAGCTTCTCGATTCCGCAGCGCAAGAAGCTGCAGCTGCAGCTGGTGGCGGCGTCGGCGGGGGCTGGGGACAGTTCCGGCGGCGGGCTGCGGGCCTGCTCGGGCGGCGGGGCGAACGTCGAGTTCGGGATTGGGTTTAGGGATGTTGGTGAGTGGGGTTTCTGCCTGCCTGCCTGCCGTCTGTTCTTGTGGCTGCTTGCCTTGGGAATGGCTGGCTGGCTGCTGGCTGCTGGCGCTCTGGGCTTTCCCTTGTCTTTTGTTCCCCGCTGACATTTTTTCTCACGTATCACTGCAGAGCAAGTCTTTTGCCTCCCGATTCCCGAGAAAGCGAAACGCCAATGGAACTTTATCATTGTGCCGAAGGGTAATGACGGGTTCAACGCTGCACCGGAGGGCACCACGCCGCCGGAGCAGATCGTTTGGACTTTCCAGGAGCCGACGAACAAGGAGCTGGAAGCCGGCGCGGAGGCGGGACCGGAGCACATGGCGGAGCGGCTCAACAGGTTTTTGACGCCGTTTGGGAAAAAGGTCGTGTTTCCGACCAAGGAGGAGTTTCAAAGCACCATCCCCCAGAGCCACCGGAAGGGTGAGCCTGGGTTCCACGTCAAGGCGTTCAGAGGAAGCAAAGAGGGTAAGGTTTCATCATCTGTTTTCTGGCATTTTCTACAGACTGCTAGCGAGGAAATGCAGTGCACCAAGCTGACGATTGCTACCTAGGCTTTTTGTTCCTTACCAGCGTTGGCATCATTTTTGGCTTCAAGAAGCCGCTAGTCTACTTCTCTTTTGGCAGCGTCGAGTCCATCTCGTACACGTCTGTGCTGCAGCGCACGTTCAACCTCAACGTAACGACCAATCCCAGCGGCGGCCCCGAGCAGAAGTCGCAGGAGATTGAGTTCTCGATGCTCGATCAGGCGGACTACACGGGCATCGACCAATACATCAAGCACCACGGCCTCAACGACGCGTCGATGGCGGCGCAGCGCAAGGCGCAGATGTACAACGTCAACGGCCCCGGTGAGGGCGGCGGAGAGGACGCGGCGGCGGAGGGCGAGGACGGCGAGACGGAGCTGGAGAAGGCACAGAGGCTGTTGGAGGACGAGGAGGATGAGGATGAGGAAGACTACGATCCCGGCTCCGACGGCGAGAGTGAAGGCTCGGGGACAAGCAGCGACGAAGATGACGATGACGAAGACGATGAAGAAGGCGAGGAGGGGGATGAGAACGATATTGTGCAGGACGAGCTGGGCAGTGAGGCGGAAGACGTTCAGCTCTCAGATGAAGAGTAGGGTGCACGTTCGGCTGCTCGAATTGTCATATTACATGGTTGGTGCGCGCAGCGCGTGTGCTGTCAGTCTTTTGGAGATGACCTATACCCGGGTAGGATAAACAAAAAAGCATGCTGTTACGAAGCCTGGAGAGCAGCGATTGAGGCTACACGCAAATAAAAAAGCCGCAAGAGGGTGTTGAGCGCTCCATCCGTTTAGGGAAACTGAAAGGGCCCGATCCGACTGATGACTGACGGTTGGCGTGACGTCACTAGTCACGACTTTGGATACGATCAGTACCCTGAATTTCTTCGCAGTGCCACCCGTCACCTAATTCTGACTGTTCAGATGCCGAGGAATTTTGCTGGTGTACCACGATCATGGTCCATACACACGATCGGTACCAAGGCTTCGACCTAGTGTCAAGCCATTGCGTGAAAACAGCGATAAGAGCGATACGGACCAGCACATGTATGATCCTGCGAGCCTGGCTTTGCAGAGCGACAGAGCGTGTCGCAAGAAGGAGTATTGCGTGCCGGGGGGTAAGTGGGCTTGGGCCCTAGCTTTATAAGCGAAGTAGGTATATATAGGCACAGCTCGCTCAGCCCACGATCCTTCGCTTCATGCAACCAGTTCAGGCAGAAACCGCTAGCCGAACAGCACCCCAGACCACGAGAACTGCCATCCAGCGTCGGAAAGCTCAAGAGCACAACTTGATACCGCCGTCAGGTGCAACCAATTGGCTGGGCGTTGTAAGCGTGGGCAAGGGGCACGCGGAGCTAAATATTGGCGCAGCTGCGGCCTGTCGAAAGCGTCCCATCGAGCGTCAGCGCCGAGGACCCCTTCGGACATCGGAGAAGGGCCGCGATGCGTACAAGTCGTCCCGATCCAGCACTTCAGCCGTTGTCAGCCGCCGTCAGCAACCGATCGCCCTGAAGGCGCCAATTGCACCCCGCCGTGAGATTACACCACCGTTACAAACCGCCCGAAGCCGCTAGGCGCCGCTGGATACGCGTATTGCTGCTACCCACTTGGATGTAGCTCAACGCCTTGTAAGGCTGAGCGATGGGAGCTGCTTCCTCTATCGCTTGCAACGTCTCCTCTCTCCTCCACTCCCGGGGCACTGGCACCCCAGCCGCCAGATTATCAACCATCCGTCGGGCAGTAGCCTGCGCGCTAGGCCACGGCTCGTGCACGTTTCCCGGGGCTGGTATAGCTGCTCCATCGGCCGGGAGCGCGAAAGAAGTCAGCGACAATCCCGATCAGGAACCTTCGCCACTCCACCGATGTAATCATGCCAGACTTCCAGTTCCTCACCACAGACAACCCGGAGGAATTCAAGAAGGGGAACTACTTGAAGCAGATCCGCTCCCATGCTATGCTCAGCGTGAAGCACAACGAGCAGCAGCAACAACGCTCCAAATCCGGCCAGGCCCCGCCAAAGCCCAGCGAGCCATCAACGAGCAGTCGACCGGGCGCGAGCGCCAGCCCTCCTCTGGTAAGTGAGCCGCAACTTCGCGCCGGACGGCCGGTTAAGTTTGTGGACTACAACCCCACCAAGGCCGCCGAAAAGGGGTCGCGAAAGCGCTCCCTCCAGAACCAGGATGACGACGACAGAGACGACCAGCGCGCCGTGGCGAGCATCCCCAGGAAGTCGGCCAAGGCCCGGACGTCGTTCTTCGCACAGTATGCGAACGCCGTGCTGAAGCCGCGCCAGGTGGGCCGCGGTGCCGACGTGCTGAACACGATGCCCGAGTTCTCGAATCCCAAGATCAGCGTGTGGGACCTGAAGCGCCAGTTCGACGACCTCATGCTGACGGAGACGATGAAGGCCTTCTACTTCCCGGCCATGGACGGATGCCGGCATGCGTTCCTGAGCACCGCTTGCATCAAGGCCACGTATGCCGACATGCTCAACGGCTTCGTCGAGGAGAGCCCGGCGACGCTCTACATCAAGGAGGAGGTGTACACGATGATCCGCGAGAGCCTGGTGGATCCGAAGAGGCAGGCCGACGACGGCATGTTCATGTGCATCGGCCAGCTGCTGGCAGCGGAGCTGGTCCAGGGCGAGGAGGACGTGATGATGACTCACGAGCAAGGACTGGATCAGATCGCCGAGGCCAGAGGGGGCCTGGATCAGTTCGGCGGCCAGGGAGTCATCGCCAACGCCCTCTCCGCCGTCGCACTGGTCTCGGCCATCGTGCGCGAAGGCGAGGCGCCGCAGCGCTTCTTCGACCATCTCGACCACCCAGTGGCCACGGCGACGGCAGCCCGTCTGGCCGAGTCGCCCATCTTCTGCCCGCGCGACGACTTCTACAACATCGCCCCGCTGTGCTCCGAGCAGACGCTCCGGATCCTCCGGGACATGAGGGACATGACGAACCTGTTCGTCCACTCGGAGAAGACTGTGCGACGGCAGACGCTCCGCGGCGAGTACCCGTATCCGCGCCAGCTCAGCTCGCAGCTGTGGAGCTTCCACAACCGCATGCTCGACCTCCCGCCCAACACCGATCCAACCACCTTCTTCGACCCCGTCGCCGCCGCCGCCGCCGCCGCTGCTGCGGGGAAATGCGGTTATGGTGGCGCCGCCGCCAAACCCGACTTCGTGTACGAGGCGTGCCGCCACGCCGCCATCCTGTACTCGTACGCCATCGCCGCTCGGGTCCCCATATCGACGGCCGGCCAATATTTCGAGCGCGCCTACCCGCAGATGGCGGTGCGCGTCGACATCGCCAAGGTCTTTGGCGACGACCAGCTATACCCTGATCCTGCCGCTGCGCGGCCAGCAGCCCCCAGATCAGCCTCTTCCGCCTGCGCCTGCGCCTCCGCCAGGTGCGCCTCCAGCACCAGCTGCACGCCTCCGTCGACCGGCAGCACCACCACCGCCGCCGCCTCACGCACTGCCGCCACGCCCACATCGCCGCCGACAAGCAACTCCACCACCACCACGACGTCGTCGTCCTCCTCCTCCCCCCAGCACCTGCCGCTCATCACGCCCCCGCCGCCACTGCAACCCCCCCTCTGCTCCTCCACCCACCCCGCCCTCGCCATCGTCGACGCCATCCAGCGCACCCCCAACGCCCAAGACGCCTGGGGCGACCTCGTCGGCGTCTTGATGTGGGTCTCGTTCGTGGCCACCGCCGCGGCGCGCGCGCCACCGCCGCCTTCGGCCCCTTCTTCTTCGGCCCCGGGGGGCTCCCCGACGTTTGGCGAACAGGCGGCGTCGTCGTCTTCGTTTTCGTCGGCGGCGTCGCCGTCTGCCAGCTCGACGACGACGACGACGACGTCTTCGGGCGCGTCACCCGCGGCATCGTCGGCTTCGTCGGCTTCGGCGTCGTCGGCTTCGGCTTCGGCTTCGCCTCCGCCTCCGTCGTCGTTCATGGCCGGGGTCGATGCGAGGCGCGATTACGAGAGGGCGCGGGCGCGGAAGAATCTGGCGAGCGTGGCGGTCCTGTGCTTGATCCGGTTGGCGTTTGAGCAGCCGCGGTCGATCTTTCCGGCTTTGAGGACGTTTTTGAGGGTGCAGGGGTTGTTGAGGCGGTGAGGGTGCTGGTTGGTTTATCAGGGAGGGGGATCAATGGATTGAAAAAAACCCAAGAAAAAAAAAACAATTGATGGATGGAAGGAGGAGAGGGGTGGGGAAGGGGTGGGGGAAACGTCGGGTAGAGATGGAGAGGGAGAGGGCGGGCGTGTTGGGAAATCTTGGTAAGGAACGGCGTTTTTGATCGCCTAGTCCATCCATGGGCTGGTGATCCCTCTGGTTTCCGGTTTTTTTTGGCAGCCGAACCAGCAGGATGACGAGGAGGAGGAGGGATTCTTCACGAAGAGGCATCGAATAGTGCGAAGAGCGCGCTTTGTTTCCAGGATGCGTAGCCGTCGATGCTGTCGGACTGGAGGTGTGTGGACTTTGTCCTTTTGGCTTTTGGAACCAAGGGGCATCGCTGACTCTCATTCTCCAGATACAAAAAACATCATCGGTTGAGGCAGATGTGTCCCATCCTCATCGCTCTTGTCAGTTTGGTCTGATGATCTACTCAGTCAGCAGCAGCATTGTAGGGATATTTCGGGAATGCAGTCATGAGTGAAGAACGTAAGGGACGTCGATTCGTTGCTCTATGGTAGAAGGAAAGAAAGGAGATCGTGCGTGTGAAGCACGGGAGGTGATGAGACGACAAGAAGGAAGACGAGTATCAAAGTGGGCTTTGTGGAAAAGCTTGAATGCGATGATGAATGGAACCTTGAGTGAGGAGAATACTTTGTGTTTTTTTTTTAGCACGGAGTGTGCGGAAGCGTCGAGTCATGATGCTTGGGGGGGTTATGCATAGGCAGAAAGTAAAAGTTTGTTTTGGGACGGCGTGCTTTTGCCTGTTGTAGTAGGTATTAACTATGAATCGATAAAGTTCCGCAAATTTGTATGTATATGCACAATCCTCTTTCCCCTTTTGTAGCCTTTGTGTGTATACATACTGCAGCTTTGTTGTTAATAATCTCTCAATACGGCTGTTTGAGTGAGTCTTGTTTTGCTTTGTTCTTTTCGCTTTGCTGCCAGTGTGTTCAACTCGACTGTTGGGTTCGTCGAGACTGCTCCACGCCGCACGATGCAGATCATTGTTTGAGTACGACTTGTGGCGTCCCGCACCCACTACCGCCACCGCCTGTGAGTGGATGAATGGAGTTGAGGAATACGAGGTTTGTACGAGATGAACTTTGTTTAGAGTTTGCACGTGCGCCGAATCCATTGGTATTCACGACTGTGTGATGGGTAATAATTTGCAGTCGTTGATGTGTTTTCCGATTAGTGGAATGGTTGCTGGCCGGGGTAATATCATGCTTTGGAACGATGCCAGTAGGAAGGGAGGTGGTTGGACATAAATGTGGGTTTCTAGGCTGTTCGAACGTATCCCCGACACAGGATGCTGTAATTATGGTAGCATGGTTTCTGTATGACAAAGCTGGGGTGCGTGATTCCTTTCGCAACCCGTTGCTGCGGAGAAATGAAGTACCAAGGCAGGTTGAAAAAGGCAATGGTTGGTTCCATTTTATCATTTACGATCTGGACGTCTTCTTTTACACATTAGATAGATGCTTTTCTTCGCTCGCCATGCATACAAAATTTCTCCCTTCTCAACCCCCCATTATCGTTAAATCCCCCGCTTCATCCTCCCATTTAGTTCTGCACCGGCCACTCCTGGCAGTAGTACACATACAGCGCATCGCCCTCCTGGGTGCTCTCCAGCGAACCGCCAGTCTTGCCATCGATGAACTTGCTGCTGGGCGAGGTGCTCGCGAAGCGCACGGCACCAATGGGATCCGGGACGCTGTACCCCTGACCATTCTCATTGGTCGCGCCCTCGGCGGGCAGGGTCGCCGTGTTGTGCTCCGTCTCGGTCGGCTGGTCGTAGAAGAAGACGTCGACGCCCTGCACGTTGAGCGGCGTGTTTTCGCCGGAAGACGCACCCTGGTCGTCGCTGTTGTACAGCCACACGTGCCCCTGGTAGTAGGCCGGCACGGTGAAGGTGAAGGTGGGCCCGTCGAAGCGCTCCGGCTCGGTGAAGTCCTGAGAAGTTGAGTTTGAGATGCCGTAGATTTGAGGCAGGGTCCGGCCATTGTCGGCACAGGAGGAGGTGTCGACATAGATCTTGTGCTCGGTGGCGCGCTCGACAATGTCGGGGGCCGGCCTGATGGTGGCGCGCGGGACGACGACGACGGTGGGATCGGCGGCGGCGGCGGAGAGACCGACGAGAGCGAAGGCGGTGGCGGCGGTGGTGAAGCGCATGGTGGCTGATTTGTGTGTGGATTTGGTGGATTGTGGATTGTGGATTGTGGAGGTGGTGGCTGGAGTTTGTGCTTGATGCTTTGGGTTGGTGTCTTCCTTCCGGTGGCAGACGGGCTGCAGCTTTATATAGCCAGGTCTGGGTTGATGGCAGAGATGGCCGGCTACGGGCGACCTCGTCAGTCGGTGATGGTGCAAAGGAAAAATACGAGGGCCCCTCCCTCTCGAGCTCTCATCCGCACCCTGCGGCTCTCGTATAGGCGTGCTTGGCAGAGGGCTGACAGCGGGCTGGTGCTGCAGATCAGCAGGGATCCCCACAAAAGCCACCTGCCGCCGCCGCCGCTTCTCGAAAGGTCTGGTAACGTTACATCTCTTGGCACGATATCAAGTAAAAGCCTGTGCGGTCATTTGTAGCTTAGCTTGAGAGTCAACACAGGGAGCTAGAAAGAGCCGAGTATGCCGGCAGTGCCTGGCAGCTTGTCTAGCAGCTTGTCTGGGAGGATAGCGGCTCGTAGCTAACAGCGGTGTCGGGAGTCCCCTGCGTCTTGTCCCGGACGACAGTGGAAAAGGCGGGCAGCGGTGGACGGCCAGTCTGGTGACAGAAGGACCAGGCATTTCCTCGGCCCGTCCCACTTCCACGGGGATACCTGCCGACGACATGCAGCTAAAAATAGCGTGTCCTGGTCTCCTGCTTGCTCGGGCTCGGGGCGCCGCACTCTAGAGAAAACGTGCTGCATGCCCTAGCCATCGTCTTCTGCGCCAGCGCCCGACGTGGCGACGGTACAGCCACCGCATCGGCCAAGGAACCCGGCCGCCGGAAGAGTCGCGGTACGAGGCCAATGATGTCAAGCCCGGCCAAGGCGCGAGATCGAGGTGGCCTTGACAGGGACGCTTCCTCTTCCGTGATACCTAGAAGCTCCCAAGGCCGGGCGTAATAATAATGAGTGACATGTAATGTAAGTCTCGGTGGAATGCGCGGGGACGTTGGTGAACAAGGCCTCCCCACTATGAGGTCGTGCATGGTCCAGTAGGACCCGTTTCTCCTCTGTCAAAAACGATGAACATGCTCTGAGCTGGCAAGAGACTCCGCCACAGCAGGTCGAAGCACCAGTTCGACTGGAGGCGTGGCGGTTCGTATTGCGTGCGCTAAAGCCCCCCCACCGTACGACTTCACCGTTCTCGTGCTGTTCGCTCGCCTGCCCGCGGGCCTCATGGAAAACCCCAATGGACATGGCGTTTGCGAGAAATCGAAGCCTGAGGCATCACATTGTGAGCACGTGTGCAGGCGATTGCACCTGCCCGCAATAGAGGAGTAGCGCCGTCGGTCGTTGGAGGCGGCGGGCCAGTGGTTCAACTGTCCTTTTCGTGGCCGGGAATGTCGTCCTCAAAGGGAAAGCCCGCGGACGGTGAGCTGCGTGAAGGAGTCCGGAAGGGCGCGTCAAGGCTCGCGTCAATCTGCGACCGCAGACGAGGCGGGTACCGTATGGCTGGGCTTGTTGGGGAGAAAACACACGCGAGAGTCGGAGAAGGGAGGGTGTCGGATAGCTATGACGCAAGTGAGAGCGGTGCCTTGGCAGAGCCAGTATTCTGATGCCCCGCAAAGCTTTGGCCGAGAGACTCAAAGACGCCGATGAGGTGAAGATGGCGCATTCCGGCAGAGGGGTGAGTCCCGGGCTGGAGGCGAGCCACGCGGCGTCTAGCGGTCGGAATGGCTGTTGCGGCGGCCTGTTTGCCTGTTTCCTCGCCAACAGCGTGCAGGACGCGGCTCTTCACTGTTCCAGTCGACGGCGCCCGGACCAGCCAGTGCCAGCGCCGGGGATCGCAGCACGAGACTACTGACGCCGTTTCTCCACGCGCGTCGCCTGTAAACTAAACACCGTCATCGCCCAACGCCCTGCCGCTGCCCGCTGCCCGCTGCCCGCTGCCCGCTGTCCGCTACCCGCCGCCCAGACTGCTCGCCCACGCGCGCGCGTCGTGTGTTTTTCTTGGCTGCATCTCAGGACCGGTTCCGTGGCGACGCCAGCGTTACGCAGCCCGGGGTTGGGATCCGTCTCGCTAGAGCTCCGCCGTCTACGCCGCCGCCCGCCTCCTATCCACCGAAACATCTTTCTCGCGCCGCCCGCCTCTGCTTTCGCTCCTCTCTCCTCCCTTTAATGTGCCTACGAAGATAATGAACCCGCTCCGCAACGCGAAGCGGTCATTGGGGCCCTATGATCCCCTGCCCGGCGGCAACAGCTACGATTCCGAAGACGACATCGAAAAGCGCCGCTCCTTCGACAGCCTCGAGTACCAGGACTCCGAAGCCTCCACCCCCATATATGCCTCCCGCGTCGCCAGCATGCAGGGCACCACCACCTCTGCGCAGTTCCACCGGAACCGCTCCGACTCGCGCGCCCGCAAGGCCTCAATGTCGGTCCACCAACAAACCAACTTCAACTCGTCCTCGTACCCCTACTCGCCTCGCGTCAGTCGCCGCCGCTTCAGCCGCTGGTTTGCCCTCGCCCTCGGCAGCACCGTCATACTGTTCATCATCTGGCTGAGCGCCATGGGCCGCCGGAGCCACATTGCCGTCGAGACGGGCGAGGCCGTGAGCAAAGAGCCTCCGCCGCCCGCGCCCTGGGAGTCGTTCCCCTTCCTGACCCGCTACCACGGCGGCATCCGCACCCTCGTGTCGCGCGCCGAGAACCAGCCCGAATATCCCGGAGAAGGCTTCAACGCCTCCGAGCTGCTGGGCGCGCGCAACGAGGACGGCGACCTGTTGAAGCGTAGCGAGACGGGCGGCGACGGCTGGAGCTACGAGGACGAGCGTGCCAAGGACCACGGCCTCCCGCCCATGCAGGTCTTCAACCCTTACCCGAGCTACAAGTCGGCCGAGTACAAGGACAAGTACGGCGCTGAGGTCGTGCCGTGTTTTCTGGACGAGAAGCGATCGGAGCGCGTCCCCGTGATGCGCGTCTATCCCGGCATCGTGAACGGCACCCCGGAGAACGTCATGGGGTCTTACGAGATTTTCAACCTCCGCGACGACGTCTGCTTCGAGCGCTTCGGGCGCCTGGGACCGTACGGGATGGGGTACAGCCGCAAGTACGGCGGCAGTGGTGCTGGAATGGAGGGTGATCGCGAAGGTGCTGAGCAGGTCTGGCAGGACGATGACCAGGTCGATTTCAGAAACGTCAGGTGGGCCGCTGTTCAGAACCGTTGCGCCCAGGACAACGAGCACCGTTTCAAGCCCCGAGGAACGCCGATAGGTAACGGTCTTAGCCATTTCTACTTCGACGGCTACGCAGAGCAAAAAACTGAGGATGTGCCAGAGAAGAAGGTCGAAGCCAGGGAACCGCAGATGGACGACCCCGCCCCGCCAGTGCCTCATGGAAACGATGAAGGTGCAACGCGTTTCAAGCCAGTTGATACTTCTGCAGGGTCAAAGTCCACCGTCGAAAAGTCCGGGAAGGGTTCCGACTCCGAGGATAGCGAGGGAACGCCGTTCAGACTGGTCGATAGCTCTTCGCAAACATCTGGTAGCTCGACGGGAAAGAAAAAGCAAGCCAAGAAGCTGCTGCCGCGCACTGCCGTCATCATCCGGACATGGCACGATTACAATTACGACGACGAGGACCTGTTCTATCTGCGTGCCATCATCACGGAGCTTGCTGTCAACTCGGGCGGCGAGTATGAAGTCCATTTCCTGATCCACTTCAAGGACAACGACACTCCAATCTGGTCTGACGAGGAGACCTACCAGCGCGTACTCAACGACTCGCTGCCCGAAGAGTTCCGTGGTATGGGAACGCTCTGGACCGAGCGCCAAATGAGTCTCGTCTATGGTGGCCTGGCTGAGAGCAACTACCGCGATCTTCCCGTGTATGGTGCATACCGCTCTAGTTTCTTGCCTGTGCAGCATTTCGCCCACATGCATCCTGAGTACGATTTCTTCTGGCACTGGGAGATGGATGTCCGGTACACGGGCCACTTTTACCATCTGTTCTCCAAGGTATCAGAATGGGCCAAGCAGCAGCCTCGTAAGGGTCTCTGGGAGCGCAACTCTCGCTTCTATGTCCCGCACGAGCATGGCTCCTGGGACGACTTCAAGCACATGGTCCGCGTCCAGACCGAACACGGCACAGCTTCAAAGAGCAACATTTGGTCCGAGATGGCCAAGGACGACCCCAACGTCCCAGACGACATCAAAGCGCAGGCCGTCCAGAAGCCGGAGAAACTCATCTGGGGCCCCGAGGCGTCGCCGGACGACGAGATGGACACGGAGAACGACCCCGAGGCCCCCGACATCGCCAAGGACAAGTACGAATGGGGCGTGGGCGAGGAGGCGGACCTGATCACCTTCAACCCCATGTTCGACCCGGACCGCACCAACTGGATCCTGGCCGACGACGTGACGGGCTACAACACGACGGAGCGCAAGCCGCCGCGGCGCACGGCCATCATCACGGCGGGCCGGCTCTCGAAGCGCCTCCTGACCGCCATGCACCGCGAGACGTCGCTGCGCAAGCGCACCATGTTCTCGGAGATGTGGCCGCCCTCGTGCGCCCTGCACCACGGCCTGAAAGCCGTGTACGCGCCCCACCCCGTCTTCATCGACCGCCGCTGGCCCACCGACTACCTCGCCGCCATCATGAACAACGGCCGCAACGGCGCCGCCGGCGGCGCCCGCCTGTCCGTCTTCTCCGACGAGCGCCAGCACAACTTCCGCGGCACGTCGTGGTACTACAATTCGGGCTTCGCGCCGAACCTGTGGACGAGGTGGCTGGGCTACGTCGTCGACAACGACGGCGGCGAGGCCGAGGAGGTGTGGGGCGAGGGCAGGATGTGCTTGCCGGCCATGCTGTTGCATCCGGTCAAGCAGGTGGATCTGGTGTTTGAGCACGAGGGCTGATGAGGAGAGTGTGCGATGCGATGCTTCTGACGTGGCGTTCTTGCATGGCTTGGCAGCTTGTGCTGAAAGTTTGGTGTTGTTGCGACTGTATAGATGATTGCATACGACCTCGTTTTACTTTTTTTTTTCGTCGTCGTCAACTTCCTTTCAGCGACGCATCGAGAGGGAAGAGGGAATGTGGGAGTGTGGGGTTTGGGATTCCGGTTTGCACTGTTGAGGCCTTGGCAAACGTTGGAAGCTTTTTTTTTTTCTTTTCAATATGCTGCTGCAGAGATATCCGATGATATTTTGGCGCATCCGCATCTTTTTTTTTTCTTTCTTTCCTCCCTCGAGGAGGAGAGGGAAGAGGCGTTTGGATGTTTCTTTTTCGTTCTTCCGTTCTTCATTTTTCTTTTCTTTATACTTTCCTCTTCGGGTTATCGGTAGGGGTAGGTCTTTCCTTGTCCAAAAGAAAACATAATGTCACGGGTACATATGACGAATTCGAATGAGGAATGGAAGAAAGGGGGAAATGAACGACCAATTTTGAAAACATCTGAGCTTGCGAATGTGACGGGGGATCGAGTTGCTGAGCGTGGGGGAAGTTGTGAGGGTCATCTATTATGCTTGTGAGTACTGATTCTCCATGCAGTTCCACTCTATTGTATCCACGATGCAGTTTCGTGGATCATGATCGATTTGAGCGCCTCTTGACTAGAAATAGCTGCCGTTGCCGTTAGTTGCTGGTTCTATTACAAGGTGAGTTTTAAGGTTATCTCGGCAAGGTATGCGCATTGCTAAGTGTAGGGATCGCAGTGCCAAAGCAATCAAGGAACAGTCTCGCTCGCCTGAGTCTCTACTCACTCTCTTGTTTAGTCGTTGGGGTTTTTGCGATGCGGCGGGAGAATAGCGGGACTGGTGAGAATGCCGATGTCTCAGTCCGCACAAGGTAGACCGGGGTGGAGATGCCGCGTTATCCACGGATCTCCGGCAAGACCATGGTGTCATCAGGTACGAGCGCACTCGGCCCCGGTGTTAGCTTGGACGGCTTACGCAACGTCGGAACGGGCTGGTCGGCTATGGCAATCGTTGATGACGCTGGGGGCGTGTGGTGCGTGATTGCTGCAAGCCGTGATGGTTGATTGGGAAGTCACTAGCCGGGCTCCGGGCGTGGGGAAGGAAGCACGAAGCGAGGCGGCTCCCTATCGTCGTCGCCGCGAGACAGACGCATCACACCGCGTAATCTCGTGGCTAAAGAGCGCAGATGTCGGGCGGACGTCACTGCCGGAGGGGTCTACCTATGGGTCTATGCTCGCGGGCGGGCGGGCACGGGTTGCGAATGGAGAAGCGCCCCACCCCCTGGACAAGCTTCGACAAGCGTTCGCTGAAGCTCCACTCGGAGCGCAGCTGCCTGTTCCAGCCCAGCCAGATAAGGCCCCGCGCCAAATGCCTGTCCCACCCGTGCAACCTCTTCGGCCACCAGTGCGACCTGCAGCTTCTCATCGAAGGCTAATTTGGCCTCTGCGTCCGCCGCTTCGCATAGGCTGTCGACCTGTCAACCCTCGCCCGGCCCTGGATCACTGCCGGGATGCCTCGATCAATCCAGCACCCTCGCCGGCACCGCTCAGGCCAGCTCCTTCCCCGCATCACCGCGTCGAGATGACCTGGCAATGTCGTTGTAGCGAGCAGACTCCCGGAAGCTCCGCCGTTCCCGTCAGCTTGCATGAACCCACGCCTAGGCCCGGCGCCGTATCTCATCAGAGCCGCTCTCCGAAATTCCACCTACGAGGAGCAAGACCAACACAACGGAAGATGCAAAAGAAAACCCCCGCCGGCCTATCCCGTCCGACTCGCCCGCCCGCGTGCATGGGCGCCCATGCAGCTGATTGCCATTTCCGTCGGCCACAACCTTGAGAGCGGGAAGTCCTCCTCGCCCAGTCCAAGTCCTCCAACGTCATCAGGCAAGAAGCCCACTCTGCTTTCTTTTACACATACGCCTTACAGAAACAAAACATCTGTGATCCCTGCACGCCCTGTCAATGGCCCGCGAGCAAGACACTACCACTTTACCAAGGCAATCGCACCGCTACCCATGTCTCCAGATGCAGATCTCAGCACTTCATCACCTTGGCATAGTGGGGATTGCTCTCATCGAGCGCGGGTCAGTGAGGGGAAGCAAGCAGCTGGTCATCCGCACACGCGTAGTCCACCGCCCTCCGCGTCACTGCTCGGACTTCGCGTGCCAGCTATATAAAGTCCGAGCAAAACGCCAATTCCGCTCTCGTCTCGGTCACTCCAATTCCTCCCTCCCTCTCTTCTCGTCACAATGGTTCCCACCCTCTCCCTCCTCGTCGCCCTTTCCGCCGCGCTCCCGGCCGTCGTCCACGGCGCGCCGGCAGTCGCCCCGCTCCGCGGCTCCCCGGAACTGCAGGGCTACAACCCGTCCAACATCCTCACCGACGAGGACACGACGGACGTGCAATACGAGCTCGCGGCCGGCCAGACGGACGACGCGGACCTCGGCACGTACCTGGACTTCTCCGACGTCGAGAACCCGCAGCCGATCCGCGGCTCCAAGGGCGGCACCGACCCGGGGCCGCACACGTCGGACATCGACCGGCTGAACAGCGACAAGCTGGCGCCGCCCGGCACGGACCACGGGCAGACGATCAACGCGCAGTGGAGCATGGGGCTCAGCCACGCGAAGCTGGGCAAGGAGGGCGCGGGCTGGTCGCGGCAGCAGAACGAGGTGGTGCTGGCGGATGCGACGGCGATGGCCGGCGTCGACATGCGGTTGGAGCCCGGTGGCTATCGCGAGCTGCATTGGCACGTGGCGGGCGAGTGGGCGTTGATGCTGAACGGGACGGTGAGGGTGCAGGTATGTGCTTGGCGCGGGTTGAGAGTGCTGGCTTGTGCATGTGTGTGTGTGTGCTGACTGTACGTGTGGCGCGTAGGCTGTGCAAGAGGATGGGAAGACGTTTGTGGATGATGTTAGCAAGGGCGACGTCTGGTTCTTCCCTCCGTAAGTGACCAGCCGGTCCTACCTCTTTCTCTCTCTCTCTCTCTCTTTCGGGGGGCTCGGAACTGAAATATTGTCTGGCAGTGGCATCCCGCACTCGATCCAGGCTCTCGATGGCGGTGCCGAGTTCATGCTCGTCTTTGACGACGGCAGCTTCTCCGAAGACAACACCTTCCTCGCCTCGGAGATCTTCGCGCACAACCCGGTAAGCAAAAGCATCCCCACACACCCAACGGGCTCTAAACCCCCCTACCTCACAGAAATCCGTCCTCGCAAAAGACCTCCACGTCAACACTTCGGCCTTCGACAACATCCCGGACGGCGAACTCTTCATCTTCCCCGGCACGCCCGCGCCCAAGGACATCGAAGAGCAAAACGTGACGGGCAGCGCGGGCGTCCTCTCGGGCGCGGCGAGCTACACGTACCACTTCTCGGAGCAGGAGGCGCACGAGGTGCCGGGCGGCAGCGTCAAGATCGTGGACCCGCTCACGTTCCCGGCGGCGCCCAACTTCAGCGCGGCGGTCGTGACCATCGCGCCGGGCGCGCTGCGCGAGGTGCACTGGCATCCGTCGTCGGACGAGTGGTCGTTCTTCCTGGCGGGCAAGGCGCGCGCGACGCTCTTCACGCCGCCCGACGTGGCGACGACGTTCGACTACCACGCCGGCGACGTGGGCTACTTCCCCAAGTCGAACTCGCACTACATCGAGAACGTCGGGGACGAGGACGTGGTGCTGCTGGAGGTGCTGCAGGCGGATCACTTCAGCGACATGAGCCTGAGTCAGTGGCTGGCGCTGACGCCGCACCAGATTGTCATCGATACGTTGAATTTGAGCGAGGAGGTCGTGGACAGTTTCCCCAAGGAGAAGGAGATTGTCGTTGCGGCGAATTAACTAGGCGGGAGATGCTTTGGGCTGGTCAGTCGCTGACTGTAATTTGTATGGACTCTTATCTGTCATGAATGATAGTGAACCGATGTCTTCTTTCCAGTTGGGATCGCATCAACTTTGCTTTGCCTGCATGAACTCACGTGTTGCGAGAGCCTTTCGGCGTTCAGATCAGAGGCGCGATTTCTTTTTTTCTTTTTTTCTTTTTCCTTTTTAGCTTTTCCGATTGGCGAATTCCATGGTGAGAAGGGCGAGTGATGGTGGTATTACGTCACAGAGATCGGTTGCGATGATGCCCGGTCGTTGGTCCCGGCCTGTCATGGCTCTTCCCGTCTCACTGCATACATATGTATTTCGTACCCTGCATGCCACCCTGCACTGGTATGTACACAAGGGTATTGCAGCCGAAGGCTAGCGCCAGGCAACAGCCAATAGCGCCTCAGGACATGGTATGCCTGTGCTCCTACTGGCGGTGTGATGGGTTGAATACACTGTTTTTGGCAGTCAACAGGCCTTCTTGTCACCTCCCACTCCACACAAAAGTTGGTGGCGCTGGCCTTTCGGCTGCAACACCCCTTCTGGATGTGCACGATGCTGGACTCTGTCCATTCTCCACGATGCCGGTTATCCCGCGGCATTATATATTTTTGTCTCCCTTCTCCTTTGAGAGAGATCCGTCGCCGGATTGGGCTTGCGGTGCGAGCGGGCTTTTGGACTGGTCAGCCTTTTCTGGTCGTGGCCTGGCTCGCTTCTCGGTCCAATCCCCGTGCGAATTGAGCGTGATAGTGGTGGGGGTGTGGGAGACATCACTGTGTAGTGATCTGGTTATGCAAGACACGGAAAAAGACCGTTGATCGACTGTACATCCATGTATATTTGATCTCGGCTAAGTCCTGCCTGTATAGTCGGTTTAGTTGTTTCCTCGCTTCCCTCGACTACTAACTCTCCTTTCGACCCAGGATGATGATATTGAATTATCCTTTTCAACCAACATACTCGAAGCATCTTTTTTTTTTTTGCTTTCTCTGCACCCGCACAGCGCGCAACCAGAATTCCAGCACATCAACAATGCAAGCAGATATGTATATGCCAATCGATTAAAACAATCACGTCTAGTCTGTCGAGACTCGAGAGTATCCACTCACCCACCACCTCCCCACAGCCATCAACCCCTCCCCCCTCCCCCCTCCCTCTACCTCCCATCAAACCACCCACTAATTCTTAAACTGAAACTCCTCCATCGCATACACCTTCTTCACCGCCGGCCGCTCCGCCAGCCGCTGGTGCCACGCCGCGAAGCTGGGGTGCTCCGCCTTCCAGTCCCAGCCGCCGAGCTCGAACAGGCCGTAGAGCCCCTGCCACGGCACCCACGCCAGGTCCGCGTACGACACCCTGTCGCCGACCAGGTACGGCGTGCCGGCCTTCTTGAGGTGCGCGTCGAGTACCCCCGTGACGCGCTTGATTTCGTTGCCGTAGCGCTCGATTGCCGAGGGGAGTTTCTGTGCGTTGCGTTGATGGCCCGGTTAGTTTGGGTGCGTTGGGGTTGGTGCTGGTGCTGGTGGTGCTGGTGCTTCTTACCTCGGCGTGGTACTTGATGAACCAGACGTGCTGGCCAAAGTACGGGCCTTGGCCGGACATCTGGAAGTGCAGCCACGACTTTTCCAGCCACTGCTCGGGCGAGCTGGTGTGGTGCAGCTTGGACTCTTTGTCGTACGTCGCGACCAGGTACTCGATGATGGCGCCGGACTTGGGTTCATTGTTAGCCATTGATCATTTTCCTTGGGGGGAGAGATTGAAAAAGAGAGAGGGACTTGGGACTTCGAACCTCAAAGAGCTTGACTCCAGTGTTGGGGTCCTCGAGGGCCGGGAGGCGGCCGTTGGGGTTGATGGAGATGAAAGGCTCGGCCTTGAGTTCCGTCTTCATGTCAAGGACCTTGCATTCGTAGGGCAGCTCAAGCTCCTCCAGAATGATGGCGACCTTGACGGGGTTCGGCGTGGGGCCGTGGGCGTAAAGGATGAGAGGCTGCATATTTGGTATGGTTGGCTTGTTGTGTTGTTGGTTGGACGGGTAGATTCGAGGGATGGTGAAGGTGGAGGAGCTGATGATGAAAGAAGACGTGATTGATGGCGTTGGGAGGCTTCCTTTTGAACGTTTCTGCGGTTGGTGTGCATCTTCATTGTTTCCACACAGTTGGAGTGTACGATTGCAAATCCAAACCTTCCTGACGCAGTGTAACTGGATTAGCAATCTCGCAGTGAGAATATAGCGCAGGGGTCCTGCAGGGCAGCCTCAGCTTAGCCATCTCGGCAGCTTTGAAAGGCCGACGGATGGACGAATGCGGACTAGTCCCTCAATTATTACCAATCCAAGAACCCTTGGGCCGGACGGCATCCCCATAAGCTCGAAGCGCGTCTGGATTACCCCCAAAAGACATACAGTTGTCTACACGGTCTGGCGGATGCCCCTGGTCCGGCATCCGGACGGGCGGTCCACTGCTTACTCAAGCAGCGGCACGACCACACCCCCAAACCCCCAAACCTCACCCGTCCGTGCGTCATACAACAAACCCTCCAGCCACGTCCTCACTCAGCCGTTCCCCACGTCGAATGACTTGGTCCCGTTGTACGATCGCTCGGTCAGACAGCATCGGCCGAAGTCACCACTCTGCAGCACACATCGTCAGTCACGTCTCCCAAAAATAAACAAATAATTAAATAAATTGGAAATCGTTACCAAGCAAGCAGCAGCAGCACCATCCCTCCCCCAAAAAAGAAAAAAAAAATCAGACCATTGACTCAGGTCAATCATACTCATCGTCCTCGTCCCTACTACACTCCTATCCCGTGTCCTATGCGCAATCAACTGTGCGCGTGTCCAATACGTCTGCCCCGTACTCGTCCTGCAAGCCACCACCTCAGTACTCCTCCCCCCCAACTCCTCTCTCTTTCTCCCGCCTGCCTTCAACCTCACTGCACACCTGGTATCGATGCATGGCGTTTTGTTGTTGTCGTCGTTGTCGTCGTCGTCGTCGTCGTCGTCGTCGTTCTTTACGGCCAGGTAATCGAATCAAACAGCACGAACACTTCTTGAATCGAGAACCAGGGGTGAAAACATGACACATTTATCCAGATAGCCTATTTCGAATAGAACAGGAGAAAGGATGCCTGAGCGAGGTAGCTTCTGCCGTAACGGTGAAATATTTTTGCGTTTTGATGCTTCTTCGCACATATGACATGAATCTCAGAGAATGATGACCCAGTTGTCAAGGTTCATCTGCTCCACTTCTGCAATGACCTTGACTAAATTCGCTCCGTTGGCTACAATGTACGGCGATGAGGAATTGGACACTTGGAAAAGCTGCGCCAGCGGTTGTCCGGCTGTGCATGCTATCATTCTCGCCTTTGCATGACCGACGGCTCTCCTCATAAGTGAGGAAGGTGCAATCCACATCATCGAAGTAAACAGTTGCGTCGAATCCAACTTTTCTGCTGTTTTTTCCTCGTACGATTGGGGGAGTTGGTCTGATGCTTCAAAATGACGGGCACAAGCAAGACCATCCATGGCATTGATCCAAGAAAAGCTTCGTTCAATGGTTTGTCGTTCCATAGTCTTTCTCGGGGATGATCCCACTATCCGTTCAGGTTGGGCTCCCAAAAAGGGAAATGCCAAAGTCGACTTGACGAGTAGCGTTGCTCCTCGGACCGTATGGAGGATTTGGAGCCGGAGTGGGTCAGTCGGCCAAGATCTTGATGGTTTCAACCCTCTGTATGTTTTTTTGCCGAACATGGGCCGTTTGTAGGGATCAAGAGTCTCGTATTCCCACGATGGAGAGCCCGCACTCATGGATTCCCAAGCCATGTCTCGCACAGTCTGAATCCGATCATTTCCCCGTCTTATGTAGCCAAGTCGGATGTCCAGAGCTAGTGCGTTCGCTTGGTTGGGGCGTACACTCAGCAAAAGCTTCTGCGATATGATGAGACCCGCGCGTTCGACGATCAGCTCGTCCCCTTTGATATCCTTGGCACTGTGAGATAAGGCGATGGCCATTACCGCCATCCGGAATTCGCGGACTGCAAGCCCTTTTCGAGAAAAAAGCTTATTGATCAGCATCGTTCGAGTGTTTCTGTCAGTGAATGAAATCGTCGGCTCGTATCGGAACTCTGTGCTGTTCTGGGTCCGGTCGGGCGAATACATGAAGAAGGCCAGAGCTGAAGTTCCGATCAGGAGCCCATAGTTCAAAAAGTCTTCGATCAACCAGGCTTCTGGAAGATTCAAGTCGGGGTGAACCTTGGCGATGGCACTCTTCAAGGCTTTGAGATAGTCTTGCACGCCAACTTCTGTCTGTGATGCGAAGAGACGGTCGACCTCAGCCTGAAGATCTTTCTGGTTCTTCAGACTCTCTTTGTCCCATCCAAAGTGGGTCATGATTTCGTCGGTTTGAGAAAGGCTATGGGAGCCGCCGAGGTCCTGGATTCTGACTGATAGACCATATGGCGGGTTATGGACTTTGCCCTTCTCGACAAGGTTTGAAAACACGGTCCCCGCGATCTCTCCGATGGTATCAACGGCTGGGCCTTTGCAATTCGGGAATCTTTGCCGAAACCACAGCTGTGTAGTTTGTCCAGGAATGAATGGAGTGTCCTCAACTGAAGTCACTTCGTCGTTGGAAAACTCGACGAGGTTGGAGAAGGTGGCCTCTCTCTTCCAGTAGAAGTCATCCTTTCTCTTCCAGCAGAGGATTTCCCACTCGCACCGAGATTCGGGTACGTCTGATTCAAAACGGATGTGTAGCTTGGCAGCTATATTTCCAAAGATTGGATGATCATCCACTGTGACGCAAGCCTCATCACCAAGCATCCAGGTCAGCAGTGTTGCGATACGAATACCACAAACTATACCAGACAAGGAAACTTGTTGATTTTCTTGGTCTGCCAGTCCTGCGAACACGTTCTGGAGTACTTCGGCCATTGCTTTTGGTGGAAGAATTTCCCACAGCCGGGCCCGATTTGGGTTTGTAGCGAGTGTTGGCAGCATTGCCGTACTGACATCTTCCAGCTGCTGAGAGACGCTTGAATCGAGGATGCGTGAGTAAGCCGAGAGGGTTGACACGAGCTCCTCTATTTGGTGTCCGGAAGCCGGGAGAGCTTGAGCAGTTCCTGATGTTTCCAACATCTCATACACTGTTTGGCTGGCGAGCTCGGTTAGGTTCCACAGTCTGAGCGCAGTGAGGAGAAGAAAGGCTTTCAGGCCCGGCGTGTGTTGACGGATGATGGAGGCGGTGCCGCCGGAGTGGAAGCCAAGCGTGATCTTGAAAGCATCAAGCTTGACGTTGCTGGTTCCTTTCAAAGCATCTATGGCCTGGTTGCAGCGCATGGTGGAAGCCTGTAGAGTCGAGCCCAGGTTCGTGAAGGCTAAGACGGCTTGACTGTGGACATTATCCACAGAACCCGCCTTCACAAGATTGAGTGCCGCTTGGACACTTGTGAATAACGACCCCCCGATATCCCATTGTCTCGCAATTTCTTGATTCATGAGGGGCAGTTGTGTGAGCAAAGACGGCGAGATGTTGACTGTCGCATTTTCCGAGGTGAGTGCCTAATATAAATCAATGGGTGACAAGGTAGAGCCGGATCTTCGGGAAAATGCATGTGGCAGGAGTGCCGAATGGTCCTCGACGGAAACCCCTGTCGTTCTATCCATCCCAATTGGGCCATACATGGCAATCGTCACCAGCTCTCTGCAGTCAGCAAAGAAAACACTGGCTCGCTTATCCTGGGCTTATCCTGGGCTTATCCTGGGCTTTCTGTTCGCAACGAGACAGTATGGTTGCACGACGTCCTGGGTAGCAATGCTGGCGCCTGCTTCCTGCTGCCTGATGCGGTCTGCTGTTCCTGGCGAAGGTGCCTGCTGATGGGTCAATGCCGCAAATGATATTGTAACAAGTCAGCAGCAGGCTGCAGGGTGTGTAAGAAGACGTCGTATGTGGCAGGTGTTTTGTTTGGGCATGCAAAGTGTCGAGGGGCTCTGCTCATTGGAGACGCGTCGCAGCAAAAATGCAGCACTGTGACGTACGAAGGGTGGGTTCAGGAGACATGATGGTCGATATCTTTGATGTCTGGGCGGAAGGCTGAGGGGAGGCGCGACGCGTTTGAATGACGACATGCGAGGCCACGTCTTTTTCTCCATGTCTGAACCTTTGGAATCCTCGCCAACCGCCCCCGTTTCAACATTGCCATCTCACAATTCCATCAATGCAGCCGCTCTGCCGGACGCTAAACTGTCCACACAACCAACATGGCACTCTGGCAACCCAACCGAAGGCAAACGCTGCGCCTCATTTCGTGCCCCCGCTCCGCCATGTTTTCGCGACGCGTCGAAGCTTATCACGCGCGCGCCGCACGCCCTAGTCACCAAAACGACTGCGCGACCGTACTCAGCCTTGTCCTGGAATCGCTGCACAGATGGAGCCCGGCTGGACCGAAGCCCAACGCCAACTCCCATCCATCGTAGGCAACAAGTCGTAAGACCTACTTGATTCGGCTACATAGAACGCCACCGACGCATCGATCGCTTGATTGGGCACCTTCCCGCGCCTCATCGCTCTCACTATTGTCTCATCCACATTCCTCCCTTTTCCCACTCACAAGGCAATCCTCTTCCCCCCACGCGCCCTCACATTGAAGCTTGACATGCGGGTTTTGATCAGTGGAGCCGGCGTCGCTGGACCCGCGCTTGCCTGGTGGTTGGCAAAGGCCGGCGCTCGCATCACCATTGTCGAGAAGAGCCACGCTCTCCTTCCCGTCGGTCAGAACATTGATGTCAACGGCAGCGCACTCAGAATCATCAAGAAGATGGGCCTGCTGGACGAGCTTCGACGATTCAACACCACCGAAAAGGGCACCGCCTTCATTGACAAAAACGGTCGGCCATTTGCACCATTTCCTGTCAAGGAGGGGTCCGCTGCAAGCCCCACCTCGGAATTCGAGATCCTCCGCGGAGACCTGGCAATGGTCCTACATGGCGCTGCGAAAGACCATCCACATGTCGATTACCTGCTCGGTACTACCATCAACAAGGTCGTTTCGAATGACGACAAGTCCGTCAAGGTCGAACTAAGCAACGGGGAGGTGCAAGACTACGCTCTCTTGGTCGCAGCAGACGGCCAGTGGTCCAGAGTACGAAAGCAGTGCTTCCCCGCCGAGTCCGTCAAAGTCGTCGACAAGGGCATGTACGCCGTCTACTGGACCCTCCCGCGCCTGCCCGCCGACAACGACTGGTGGAACATCTACCACGCCCTCGGCTCGCGCATCATGAGCATCAGGCCGGACCCGCACGGCACCATGAGGACATGCCTCACCCGCATGCCCTGCAACGACGCTCAGAAGGTGGCATGGGAAGAAGCATCCAGAAGCGACAGACGGGCCCAGCACGAGCTCGTGAGAAAGGACTTCGCCGACGCCGGCTGGCAGGCCCAGCGGTTCTTGGACTCCATGGAGCACGCGTCCGACTTCTACTTCCAGGCCCTCCAGCAGATCAAGCTGGCCAAATGGTCCAACTCCCGCGTCGTCTGCCTGGGCGACGCCGCATACGCCCCGACGCCGCTGACCGGTGCCGGCGCCTCGCTGGCCATCACGGGCGCCTACGTGCTCGCCGGCGAGCTGAGCAGGCTGAGTGCCGGTGAGCATCCTGCGAAGGCGCTCGACGCTTACGAACACGCCTTTAGGCCGTTTGTCGAGGAGACGCAGAACATCCCCTGGTTTGTGCCCGGTATTGCTCATCCTGCGACGCCGTGGAAGAGATGGATGCTGCAGTCCCTCATGGCGACTATGTCTAGAGTCGTGGCCATCCCGTGGGTGGTGAATAGGTTCGGACACAAGACTGATGCTGAGGACTTCCCGTTGCCAAACTATCCAAAGTTCGGCGATGGGGATTCGAAAGTTACCAACTCGTAGGCGGTGAGTCTGCTGGAAACATGTTATAGTCTTGTACTGATTTGATATCAACAGAATTTAACTACCTGTCGAGCTTGAGAATAGACGTTGCGACTCGCTGCTCATTCATCAAAACGGGACAGGACTGTGATCCTGTATTGTACTGGGTTTCTCCGATGGTGTACTACAAAGATACCCCTCAGCTCCAACATAAATCCAATGAAAATTAACCGATCGAACTGTCTTTACGACTTCGAATGCATATCTTACCGGTTGCACCGTCCAGGATCGTCTGAGCATCACATGTACAGGCCAGTAAAACGGAGAACTGCACTCCAACTCGTCAAATGGCTGTCACCTTGAGTCGTCGTACCGACTTATCGACTAACAGCGAAGATGTTGGAGAATGGTGGAGAGAGTTTCCACAACCCGAAACAAGAAGTAGGTACAGCGCCTAAGTGAGGCTGAGCGATGCTAAAGCGAGCAGTCCGTATGCTGGCGGTGATGGCTAGCCCCTGCGCTTTGCCTTGGCATGATGACCGCAGCACAACGACGCGACGGCTGAACGACCCAAGCCCCTGTTGATTGGACCGCCGTCCGTAAGCTATCATCGGCAACGCTGTTTGTATCATCAGTTTGCTGAGCTACTCCTTCAGTGCACCTACCTTCATTGACGCGTCTGCAGAAGTGTGGGAGGGTGCGTAAGTGAGAGGGTGTCGCAGTGTCCAATGGCCCTTGGATGCCTTTTCCAATTCAACGAACTATTCGCGGCCGACGGAGTCCTTCCACCCACCACAATCTCCCTAGGCGCTAAAGAAAGACTCTCCTCTCATAGCCGGCCCAGATGCATCGGCAGGAATGCATCGTTGTCTGCTTAAACAACACGCAAGGTGTGTCGCTAAGCAGATCTCTAACCTGTTTCGGAAATGAGCGACAGCTCCCCGTCGCATCCACCCAAAACCGTCCATGTCTCGCGTGCCGCTACCCGAATGATTTGCGCGTCGCAACGTCCAGGGACCGTTACGGCAATAAGTGGATCCTGTACCAAGGCCTCCCCCGTCGATCCGAGACTGAGAACGGTCGAGGCATCGCAGCTGCCGTCCTTTCCGCCAACATGACGCCGACTGGAGAGCCAAGCGGTTTTAGGGTCCTGCCGGCCAAGAGACCTTAGTCTTGGCTGAGTTTGGGGGGATCTCCAGTGTATTGGCCCCATCGCTCTGCTGATTGGTTCGTTGGCTGCTGTTTTCCGCTTTTGCTCGATGTCGCCATGCCGCGATCGACTTCATGCGGGACCTCCTTTCTCTAACATCCGGACTGCTCCCCATCCGAACACACACTGTGTGTACACGTGTGTGCGCATCGCCACGCGGATCGCGGGGAAGACACCAATGTTCCTCCGACCGGAAGAGTCGCGATGCTCCATACCGTGGGGAAAGCTTGGTATGACAGCCACGGAGGAGAAGAGACTTATAAAAATGCCATCTCGCTCTGCCCAAACGATCAAGCAAACCAGAAAACTAAAGGAACGTCTGAGACGGCAAATCACAAGTTTTCCTAATTAATTCCTCTCCATTCCCTCACTCTCCACACACACTCTCTATCCCGCCTTAATTTTCACACACACACATTCTCTCTCTCAATATGCGCTTCACGACCGCCACCGGCTTCTTCCTCGCCGCCACCCTCGCTTCCGGCGCGGCCATCCCGCAGCAGGCAGACGCTGCTGCGGCTGGTGCTGTGGCCACGCCGCCCGCCACCCCGGATGCCGCCGCTGCCGCCGCCGCCGCTACGCCAGCAGGTGCTGCAGATGCCGCGGCAGCAGACGCGCAGGCCCAACAAGCTACGGTAGACACGCAAAAGCAGATCGAGGAGGAACACGCCGCCTCTGACGCAAAGGTATGACACACACCAACCCCAACCCCATCACCGAACCCCTCCATCTCCTCTCCCGTCCCGCAAACAGAGAAAAGAAAAAGCAAGAAAGAAAGAAAGAAAGAAAGGCGCCCGTGCTGACATTCACCTTCCTTTCCCCGCACGCACAAGGCACAAGAAGCAGCCCTCGCCCAACAACAAGCTGCCGTCGACCAACAGGCAGCCGTTGCCGCCGCCGCCGCCGCCACACCTGCCGCTGCCGCCGCCGCTACCCCCGCCGCCGCTGCTACCCCCGCGGTCGCCACGCCGGATGCCGCTGCCGCTGAGGCGGCCGCCACGCCCGCTGCACGCTTGATGCGGTTTGCCAGGCGTGGCTTGTCGCCCATGGACATGATGATGGCGGAGGACCCGACGAACGCGGATGCCAAGGCGAAGGCGGACGCCGCTGAGAAGAAGGCGGCGGCGGAGGAGGAGGGGGACAAGGAGGGCGCGGCAGGAGACTCGGCTGCTGCTGCTGCTGCTGCTGAGCCTGAGGCTGCTGATCCTAAGGCTGCTGATCCTAAGGCCGCTGATCCTAAGGCTGCTGAGGCTGGTGCTGCTGATCCTAAGGCCGCTGAGGCTGGTGCTGCTGAGGCTGGTGCTGCTGACCCTAAGGCCGCTGAGGCTGGTGCTGCTAAGGCTGATGGTGCTGGTGCTGGTGCTGAGGCTGAAGCGGATCCCAAGGCTGAAGCGGATCCCAAGGCTGCTGATGCTGGTGCCGAAGCTGAGGCTGATCCCAAGGCCGCCGATGCTGGCGCCGAAGCTGATGCCGCCGCCGCCGCCGACCCCAAGGCCGATCCCATGGCTGCCGACGAGGCTGCCGCAGCCGAAGACCCAATGGTCGCCGCTGATCCTGCCGCTGATCCCGCCGCCGCCGCCGACGACGCAGGCGCCGCCGATGACGCCCAGGCGCAGGTGGCCGCCGCGCAGGAGGCGCAAAAGGCCGCCGAAGACAAGGCCGCCGAGCTGCAGAAGCAGGTCGACGACCTCAAGGCGCAGCAGGCGCAGGCTGATGCCGGTGCCGGTGCTGGTGCTGAAGCTGATCCCGCTGCCGCGGATGCCGGTGCGGCGGATGCAGGTGCTGCCGATGCTGGTGCGGCGGAGGATGCTGGTGCTGAGGCGGCCGACCCTGCTGCTGCCGCCGCCAAGGGCGAGGATGCAGGTGCTGCTGATGCTGGTGCTGCTGATGCGGGTGCTGCCAAGGGTGAGGATGCTGGTGCCGCCGATGCCGGTGCCGAAGCCGACGCTGGCGCGGACAAGGGAGCTGCTGCCAAGGGCGAAGGTGCCGGCGCTGATGCGGATGCTGCTGCTGCCGCTGATCCGGCTGCTGCTGATGCCGGCGCTGCCAAGGGCGAGGATGCTGGCGCGGACAAGGGAGCTGCTGCTGATCCGGCCGCTGCTGATGCCGGCGCCGCCAAGGGCGAAGATGCTGCGAAGGATGCCGGTGCCGGTGCCGGTGCCGGCGCCGATGCTGATGCCGCTGCCGCTGCTGGAAAGGAGGAGGGCGCTGATGCTGCCGGAATGGCTGACGAGGCGGACCCGAAGGCTGCTGAGGACCCGAAGGCTGCTGAAGACCCCAAGGCTGCTGAGGACCCTAAGGCTGCTGAGGACCCAAAGGCCGCTGAGGACCCAAAGGCCGCCGCGGACGCTGGAAAGGCTGCTGGTGATGACGCTGCCGCCGGTGCGGATGTCGAGGGCAAGGGCGAAGAGGCTGCTGCCAAGGAGGATCCCGCCGCTGAGGACCAGGCGGCTAAGGATCCCGCGGCCAAGGACCCCGCGGCCAAGGACCCCGCCGCCGACGAGGCCGCCGCTAAGGACCCGGCTGCCGGCGAGGAGGCCGATGCTAAGGACCCGGCTGCTGGCGAGGAGGCTGATGCTAAGCCCTCGAAGATGGCGATGCTCAAGCGTTTCCTCGGGTTCTAATAAGCGCGGCGCAATTCTTCGGATCTTTCACTCAGATGTCTGGGGGTCGGAAGTGACATGACAGGGGAGAGACTCTCCAGGAAGAGAGGAACGTTGAAGGAACAAGCATACCTTCCACAGGTGGTGGTTGCTTTATGATGTGGTTAATAGTTTCGAGTATACAGTTACGACCATGAATAATTTACTTTGGATGACCACAAGTCAGGAATAATATGCTTCGGCAAAATGTTACACGCATTCCTCTGTCAAATATGCTTACTTAGTACACGGAATCTCCACGATCACGATTCTTTTAATGGACGAAAGTAGAGGCGAATTCCATTGCTATTGCTAAAGGTTTTAGCTGCCCAGCAGCCTCAACTGAAGCCAATCAAGGCACACTCCAAGCCACAACCATGAGAAGAACGAACGTCTTCAAACGCCAGTGTGCAAAGCAACCAAGCAAGGAGATAATGACAGCTAAAAAGAAACACGACCGATCCATCCAAGTAAGCCCACAACTCCACAAGCATCATTCCAGATCCCAAAACACAACCAAAAACCCCTCACCCTCACATACCCAAACGACCTCCTCCCCCTCCAAACGCCCCAAAAGCCCCATGCCAAGCGCGTCTCACCTACAGAAAAGAAAAAAAAAGAATAGAAAAGGCCAACACCACCGGCAACGAACGACAAGAAAAAAAAAAGACGCGCGAACAGACCAACAACACCACCACGAGCCTCTCCAACCCATTCACTCACTCACTCACCCACTCCCTCCCTCACACCACCGCAGTCGCAGACGACGACGACGACGCCGCCGCCGCCGCCGCCGCACTCGTAACCGTCCCGACCGTCGTGAACACGCCGTCGGGCCCGTAGGTGCCGACGACCTGCTTGTAGCCGGGCACGCAGGCGGCGGGGTCGGGCACGAGGGAGGTGACGAGGGAGCCGGGGGCGGCGGCGGCGGCGGCTGGGGCGGTGGTGGCGGTGGTTGCGGTAACTGTGGCAGTGATCAAGGTCGTTGGCGTTGGGAGCGCTGGTGAGGAGCTGAATGATGATGAATTTGAAAAAGGAGGGGGAGAGGGAGGCGAAGATGCTGCGAGGGTGGTGGTGGGAGCGGAGGAGGAGGAGGAGGAGGAGGAGGAGGAGGAGGAGGAGGCGGGGGCTGGGAGGATGATGATGGGGCCATGGAGGCGGCCGGCGGCTGTGGTTGTGGATGTCGTTGCGCCGGGTGAGGTGGCGGTGGAGAAGGAGATGGCGGACATGGAGAGGGTGGCGGTGGCGGTGGCGGCGGCGGCCGTGGTGGGGAAGACCATGTCGGTTGGGTAGTTGACGACGACGACGGTTGTGGAGACCAGCTGGCTGACCATGGTGCCGTACATGGTGCCGAAGAGGCTGGTGAAGAGGACGGATCCGGAAGTCTGGTACAGCGTGAGGATATCCGCGGCGCTTTTTTCAGGCGGCGACGTCACGAGCGGTGGGGCTCCGGACGGAGCAGATGTGCCGCTCGGGACTGCTGGTGGGGTGCTGGTGGCGGCGGTGCTGGAGCCAGAGGCGGGCGAGAGTGAGTCGAACGGGTTGTGAGTCGGGGTACCAACGACCACCGTAGGCGGACTAGTTCCCGGTGGGAATATTGTGAAGATAGAAGTGGTTGATCCGTCGATCGGAGCGGTTCTTGTGGTCAGAGTCGTGGTGATGGGCGTGCTGAGGCTGGTCGGGGTCAAGAAATAGACGGTAGGCACTTGAATGTCCCTGCGCCTCCATGGCAAGGGCTGATCCAACGTCACGAATATTGCGCGCGTCCCAGGTGTGTACGCTGCCGTCTGGATAAGATCGCCGTTAGGCAGCCCCGTTATTGTCGGGAGATCAACGATGACGCTGACGCCTGCTCCAATTGAAGCATCGACAGTTGCTGTAAGGCTGATATCCACTCCAACTGGAAGCGATGGAGCGAGAGAAGGAAATCCAGTAAGTCCTGTGACAACACCAGTGGTGAGCGGACGCTCAGTGGACAAGCTGATTGGAGGGATGGAAAGACTCGGGATAGACGGACTTGGGATTGAGGGCAAGCTCACATCCGGGGTGCTGATCGGTGGCACAGAAAGGCTCGGAGCTGATGCTGAAGGCAGGGATACTGAAGGTAGAGTGGCAGCTGTTGGTAAGCTGAGGCTGATGCTCGGAATGGTGGGGAGGCCCGTCGGAATAGTGATAAGAGTCGTTGGAAGTAACAAGCTAAGAGATGGTAGGCTTGGTATCAAGAGACTCGGAGTCGAGAGGCTCGGAACGCTGGGAGTACTCAAGCTGGGGGCCGAGGCGCTGGGGGCACTTAGGCTGGGGACATTCAAGCTGGGGGCACTCAAGCTAGAGATAATCAAGCTGGATATACTCAAGCTCGAAATGCCCAGACTGGAAACCTCCAAGGTAGGCACTGACAGAGTTGGAACTAACAGAGTTGGAACTGACAGAGTTGGAACTGACAGAGTTGGAACTGACAGACTTGGGACTGACAGACTTGGAAGAGACAAGTTCGGAATAGATAGAGTCGGTACCGAAAGGCTTGGAATTGAAGGGCTAGGAACATCCAAAGTAGGCATGGACAGACTTGGCTCAGCCAACGTCGGAACCGAAAGGCTCGGTGCTGATATACTCGGGATCGTAACGCTGGGAGCTGAGACACTGGGCATTGAGGCGCTCGGTATTGAGAGGCTGGGGGCCGAAAAGCCTGGCACAGACAGGCTTGGTAAAGAGGCTGAAGGAACCGATAGACTTGGAACTTCTAGCGTCGGCACGGAAAGTGTAGGCACCGCGATACTTGGGATAGATAGCGACGGCAATGTTACCGAAGGAACCGGCAGACTCGGAATAGCCAAGCTTGGGATAGACAATGTCGGTTCTGAAAGACTCGTGACCGACAAGCTCGGCACCTCAACGCTCAGGGTCGGTACGCTTGGCGACGGCAGCGAAAGACTCGGGGTAGCAACTGTTGGCGCAGAGACAGGAGGAATTGCAAGGGTCGGCACTGAGATGCTTGGCAGTTCGATACTAGGCAAAGACAAGCTCGGGATCGAAGGAGCGGAAATCGAGGGAATAGCCAGTTGAATACTGGGAGCCGAGAGCGATGGAAGGCTCAAAGCTAAGAGCGAAGTCTCAGAATTGAGATCCGTTGGAAACGCAGTCGCCAGACTTGGTACATCTAAAGTTGGAAGCGACAGTGTTGAAAGGTCAATACTGGGAAGGCTGATCCCAGACGGGAGGCTAAATGTTGGTATAATAGTGGACGGCGCCGACAGTGAATCAAGAGAAGGAGTTCCAGGTAGGCTGAGTGTACGTAGTCCAGGTATACGGAGAAATGGTGGCGGCAGCTGGCCGGTATTCGAGTCGCTCGAAATCGGTGCAGGTGCACTATTAACGTTAGAGCCTGAAGGCTCTGGAACCAAGGTGCCCAGTGCAATAGATGGTAGATTGATCGACCCGATGCTGACAGAGGCAACACTGATTGAAGGAATCGAGAGGTCAATGGATGGTACCGAGAGAGGCGGTATAGCCAAGCTGGGTACTGATAGCGATGGAACGCCGAGAGATGAAATGCTCGGGTTCGGCACATTCAGAGATGGCACGCTCAAAGTAGGGAGGCTTAGTGAGGGAACTTGGAACGAAGGAACACCGAATGAGGGAACTTCGAGAGAAGAAACACTGAGTGATGGTATATCCAGAGATGATACACTCAGAGACGGTACAGTGAACGATGGCGCACTGAGAGATGGCTGGCCAAGCGAGAGAGCGGTCAATGATGGCAAGCTAACGCTTGGTAGAGAAAGCGAAGGCAGCTCAGTCGGCAATGAGATCGAAGGCAACTCAATCGACAGTGGAAGCGAAGGCAACTCGGTTGGCAACTGGAGCGAAGGCAACCCGGTCGGTAACGGGATCGAAGGCAACTCAACCGGAAACGAGATCGAAGGTACCCCGGTCGGCAACGAAAGCGAAGGCAACCAAGTCGGCAGTGCGAGCGAAGGCAACTCAAGCGGCACAGTCAATCCAGGAATGCTGAGGAGCGGAACGATCACCGACGGCATTCCGGAACTTGGCAGTGGAGGTGAAGGCTGCTCAGGCGGAAACGAGAGAGTTGGGATACTCAGGGTCGGAGCGCTCAGCGAGGGCAAACCGGCACTTGGCAGTGAAAGCGACGGAAGTTCGGTCGGCAAAGATAAGCTCGGAGCCGTGAGGGCTGGAACGCCTATGGATGGCAAGCTAAGGCCCGGCAGAGAAAGCGATGGGAGTCCAGTGGGCAAAGACAGGTTGGGGACACTGAAGCCGGCAATCCCGAGGCTGGGGACGCTGGGACTGGGAGCACTTATTGGAGGTATGTTCGTAGTTGACAACCCTATCGAAGGAAGTCCCACCGAAGGAAGCGACGTTGGCAGGGAAATGCTCGGCACACTCGGACTAGGTGCGCTCAAGGAAGGCAGGCTGACTGACAGAACGGAGAGCGTTGGCAAGTCCGTCTGGAGAGCCAGGGTCGGGGTGCTCAACGAAGGAACCGAAAGGCTTAGTAAAGAGGCGCTCGGTATGCTTATGGACAGGGTAGAGAGGCTAGGCAGCGCAAAACTGGGCACAGAAGCGCTCTGGATGCTCAACGGCGGGATGGACAAACTTGGCAGGCTTAACGTGGGGAGATCCGTAGGTACGGAGATGCTCGGTAAACTCAGGCCAGGGACACTCAGCGGGGGTAGCGCCGTCGGGATCGACAGTGATGGTAGCGAGATGGACAGGAGGCCTGTTGGTAGTGCCAAGCTCGGCAGGCCTAACGTGGGGAGATCCGTAGGTATGGAGATGCTGGATAAACTCGGGCCAGGGACACTCAGCGAGGGTAGAGCAGTCGGAATCGGGAGCCCCGGTAGCGGGATGGACGGCAGGCTGGTTGGTAGTGCCAAGCTCGGCAGGCCTAATGTAGGGAGATCCGTAGGTACGGAGATGCTCGGTAAACTCAAGCCGGAGACACTCAGCGGGGGTAGTGCAGTCGGGACCGACAGCCCCGGTAGCGAGATGGACGGCAGGCTGGTTGGCAGTGCTAAGCCCAGCGACGGCAGCGAGAGCGAGCCCAGCGAAAGCGGAGGCAACAGAGCCGGCAAGGATCCTACACCCGATCCAGTCGGGCCACCAGTGCCGCTGATGCCGGGGAGCGCAGTCGGTAGGGCCAAACTAAGCGTCACGGCCACGCCCAATGACGGGACTGCGACGCTTGGGATGAGCACAGCGGCAACGGCGCTGGGGTCGACCACCAGATCTGTTGAGCTGGTATAACACTGGCAGTTGTTTTGGTCGGTAAGACCGAGGTTAAGGCCTGCGCCGCCGTAGCCGAGCAGCACGCAAGAGCCCAAGCACAAGCCAATGTCATTGCCATTACTGCTGAGGAGGCGAGGGATGGCGAGACGAAGACCGATGCTGACACCGCAGCGAATCTGGAACGTCTGGCCGGCGGCTGTGACAGCTCGACCATCATCTTGGGGACATTGGAAGGATGGGGAGGAAGCCCCAGGGGCGTTGGGAGCTGTCGCCGAGGCCACCGCGACTGAGGATGGCCCGACGGTGGGGACTGCAATAATTGCAGGAGCTGAGGCTCCGCGGGTCTGGATTGAAGCCGAAAGTGACGTTGAGGTGGACCCCAGCCCCCCAGCCGATGATGATCCTGCAACAGACGACGAGATCAGATTCGCCGATGAGACAGAAGCGGACGACAGCGAGGGTGACGCGACGGATATGCCGATAGTAGCACTGACAGAAGCTTGAACCGACACAGAAGCCGAAGCACTGACAGCTACCGGGGCAGCAGGAACCGAAACACTAGTGGTACGCAAGGTCGAACTGGACGAAGTAGGTGCAGGAATGAGGGGTGGGAGGGGAAGTAACTGCCTCTTTTCGAGCAGTCCAACAGAAGGAAAGGCGGTTGGCAGGCTGATGGACGCAGCCGAAAGGATCGAAGCCGCTTTACCTAGAAGACTAGAGACCGACGCAGCGCTGCCGCAACTGTCCATGACGCCCTGTGCGCTTGAAGCGCAATCGCTGACTTGAGCAACCGTCCAAGCGCTGTTTGTGAGGCATCTTTGGAAGGCGTCCAACCTGTCCATTGGTCAATCATGTCTGGTCACTTGGCTCAGGGCTTTGGATTGTGCGTACGTGGAAGAGTAGCATAGATTGAGAGAAGTCTTGGCCGGGTCGCAAGCGGACAGGTTGAGCGGATCGCTCGAGGCCTGACATTTTTGGAGAGTGGTATATCTCTGTTCGCATGTTGCTGTGAGGACGCACTGAAAGGCAGTGCCAAGCTCGGAAGCGCAGTTGCTGTCAGAGTTTGAGCAGGTAGAACTAGCCGCCTTGGTTTGGGACTTTGTCAGCATCTCTTCCGATACACACACGAAAACCCAAGGGGTACTCACTGCTAACAAGCGTCCAACCCCATGGATGAGATCGGTGTCTCGCTGTTCGACCTCCTTGTTTGTTCTTCGCTCAACGAGGAACTCTTCCGGGAGCAAGGCGCCATATACGGGCGAAAGGGAAAGAAAACAAAGAGCCGTAAAGAGCGTCGGGCGATACATCTTGTCCGAGAAACGAGAGACGGAGAATCCCAGTAGAGGCTGAGATATGAAGAAGTCACTCCAGCAACTTGGTGGCCGAGCAACCGCGATGAAATCCTACAGTTATATGCTCTCTGAAAGCATGTAATGGCTTCAAAAGAATGCTGCTCATATTGGTGTTTTTCACTTGGCGGTCTCTTGACCTGGCTGTGTGGGCAGTGCCAATGCGGAAGATACTCCGTGGGTCTGGGCAACTCCAGAAGTGGTGAAGAATGAGCGGACAGCCAACATTCTCACAAATTGTCAGGCCACGGAAATGCAACAAGAATGAGGCTGGGACAAATTGGGCCTGCATTGAGAGCAGGTTCCGAGCTTCGGATGTCTGTTTCGTAGAAGGTGGAATACTTAGTGTTCGGCCAGCCCCGTCTGAGAAAGTACATGGCATTCGTCGAGAAGGTCCGCAGCGCAAATGCTTGCCGTTCGGTGAAGACCCCGATATAATTAGCACCACTGACATGAAGAATGTATCCTCACGCCGAGGTGGGTTTGCTCGGCGTTGGAAGGACATCTTTGTCCAAGGAAAAACAAGAACTGTTTGGAAGATGATACCGACGATCGAGATCTAGAAGAGGATCGTATAGTACGCAGTACTAAGGGTTGAGAGACGATACAATGACAATCCAACATTACACCGATCCAAAGAACCAATGGATATTCTTGACCGCCAACGGCAGTAATCTTACCATAAGTTAGATTGCGGGCCGCGAGCGTGCTGGCGGCAGAGGTTCCGATCAAGCGCTGAAATGCTTCCTGATTGGGCCTAGGGTTAAAAATCCCAGGCAACCAGCGGGAAGTAGAGGGCGGCAAGTAGCGAAGGCGATTGCCACGCTTGTTGATCTACGTATGGGGAAAGAATGCGGGCTGAAGATCCGACGTTGTACAGACCGGGTACGGGTGGGGGCGGAAGTGAGGGAGGACGTCAAAACAAGGGGGTGGATACACAACAGCGCGTAGATAGCTCCGCTCCGCCCGTCCCTTGCAGTAGCCAAAATGCCTGTTACTCAGCGTGCCACTCCCAGCCAGCCGCTCAAGCGTCATTGGATCGCAGGCCGTCTGCTTACAAAGTGTCGGAAGGAACACTGGGACCCAGGTTCTGAAGTCAGAGTAGGCGTCAGGAATCTTAGATGCATGACCCTATCATTCGGCAGCAACACGACTCTCCGATGCGCTCCGACTGGCGCAGCATCCGCGGCGAGATGCTCGGGCAGCACGTGCTAGTCGGACGGCGCAGCTGATAGCGAGTCATGGACGTAATGTGGAGGCTAGGCGGCGATGATGGGGGCCCCGTGGGCGACGTGGCGGTGGCGTACGGGCGTGACTGGTGGTTGTGAGAGAGACGGTGAATCAGTACGCGTCGGTGCGCGGCTCTCGGCGGCGGGAAAACAGAGATGCCGCGGCAGCCGAGGTACTTTCCCGATTGATGCCATCATCCAGCCGATACGCGCTTTAAACTGCCAGCCCGCTCCACCATGCCCTCTCCGTTCTCCCCCCCACACCCTCCCCGTCCTCCCTCTTCCCCACAGAAATGGCCCCCATAGTACCGACTCCAGACTGGGTGAAGGCCCTCAAGCCCTCGGGGCCCCAGGGCTCGGAACTCCTTGCCAAGGAGCGCGCCCAGAGCAGCGTCCCCGTCGAGAAGCTCTCCGAGTTCATGTTCTCCAAGGAGGCCCTGCAGCGCAAGCGGAAGGTCCTGGAGATCCTCGAGGCCGAGAAGGTCTTCGACAAGTCTCAGAACTACTTCCAGGGCCGCATTGACCGCATCGAGACGTCTTTGGCAAGAGCGAAGCGGCTGCGCCAGTTGACCGTGCAGCACGGCTGGAGCGAGGACGAGTTCCGCAGTGCCGTCGACCTGATCAGCGAGCCCACCCCCTACGGCCTGCACGAGAGCATGTTCCTGGTAAGGTTGCCCGCTCCCATCCCCCCACGCCCCGGCTGACCCCGGCACAGGTCACCCTTCGCGACCAGAGCACCCCCGAGCAGCAGAAGCTCTTCTACGAAAAGGCGGCAAACTACGAGTACATGGGCTGCTATGCCCAGACCGAGCTCGGCCACGGCTCCAACGTGCGCGGCCTCGAGACGCTTGCTATCTGGAACCCCGACGATAAGACCTTCATCATCCACTCGCCACACTTGACCGCTGCGAAATGGTGGATCGGCTCGCTGGGACGCACCGCCAACCACGCCGTGGTCATGGCCCAGCTCGTCATCAACAACAAGCCCTACGGACCACACCCCTTCATTGTGCCCATCAGGGACCTCAAGACGCACCAGCCGCTGCCCAACATCCACATCGGCGATATCGGACCCAAGTTCGGTTACAAGTGAGCACCCCTGCAGACATCCTTGTCTTTCCCCATATGGCAATCCGCTGACATGCATCCTCGACAGCACCATGGACAACGGTTTCCTGCTCTTCAACAAGGTCAAGGTTCCCCACGTCAACATGCTGGCCAGGTTCTCCAAGGTCGACCCCAACACTGGCAAATACATTCGCCCCGAGAGGCCCGCTTTGGTCTACGGCACCCTGACCTGGGTCCGCAGCAACATTGTCATGCAAGCCGGTGGTACCCTTGCACGTGGTGTTACAATTGCGACGAGATACTGCGCCGTCCGCAGACAGTTCCAGGACAAGGACTCGACAGACAAGAAGGCCGGTGAGAGCCAGGTTCTGGACTACACCATGGTGCAAGTCCGTCTCCTGACGCTTCTGGCTGCCACCTATGCTCTCCATTTCACCGGCAAGAGCATGATGGCGCTGTACACGGAGAACCAGAAGCGAATGAGCCAGGACGTGGGCAAGGTGGGTAGCACTGAGCGGGGTGCGGGCCCTGAGGAGTTAAATTCCGGAAGCGACCTGCTCGCAGACCTGCACGCCACATCATGTGGCCTGAAGTCTCTTGCGAGTTCGACCGCCGCTGAGGGTCTCGAGGTGTGCCGTCGGGCATGCGGTGGCCACGGCTACAGCAGTTTCTCTGGTATCGGAACTTGGTACGCAGACTACCTTCCGACGGTCACCTGGGAGGGTGACAACTACATGATCACCCAGCAGGTTGCACGCTACCTCCTGAAGTCTGCCCGCAGCGTGCTCAAGGGCGAGAAGCCTACGAACGACACGACGACGATCCTCAAGACCTTCCTCGACAAGTCGGACATGGGTGCAGCCTTCGACGTGCTGGGCAAGGACGAAGACATCGTGGCCGCCTTTGCCTGGCGCGCGGCGTTCCTTACATTCGAGGCGCTGAAGCACCGCGACGAGCAGAAGCGGGCGTGGAATGACCTCCTCGTCGACTTCTACCGGCTCAGCAAGGCGCACTCGCAGTACCTGATCGTCAAGAACTTCTACGAATCCCTCCAGGCGACCGAGTTCAACCGCGAGCTCGACCCGGAGACGCAGACGATCATGTACAAGCTGTTCCGGCTGTACGCGCTGCACACGCTCGAGAGCGAGGCGTCCGAGTTCTACACGTCGAGTGCCGTCACGGTGCGCCAGATCCAGCTCGCGCGCACCAATGCCGTCATGAAGCTGCTCGCCGAGATCCGCCCCCACGCGGTGCGCCTCGTCGACGCGTGGGACTTCCCTGATTGGCAGCTCGACAGCTCGCTCGGTCGCGCGGATGGCAAGGTGTACGAGGACATGTTCCACCGCGCTAGCGAGCTCAACCCGCTGAACAGCATCACGTTTGACCCTTACCCGGATTCGCCCGTGCTGTTCAAGGAGAACAAGAGCCAGGAGTATAAGAGCAAGCTGTAAATGTTCTTCTTTTTAGCGCTTCGGATTTTCTCATCATGACCTTTGTACAAATTTTTAGTACATATATTCTCTGTATGTCGGGACATAGGTTGGTTACTTGCGCGTATATACACGGCCAAAGATAGACCAAAGAATGAGATAGAGCGTCCACGATTCCTAACCTTCGGTTTTGCATGTGCTTGGAACGCCGTTGTTTGACCCTCATTTTTTTTCTTTTTTTCTGGACGAAAGGAAGGAACGGCACAAAAAAAAAGAAAAAAGTTAAATCCTGCATACACGTGTTGGAACGCCCCCGCCGTTTAACATGTGAAAATGACGATACCTTGCTGTCCGTGTGATCTTATCTGATGGCCTGATGGTTCCCTCCATCCACCCTTTCCCCCGGCGGTGACTGGTGGGGGGGCTCGGTGGCGCTTGTTTCGCAATTCCCGAGATCGGACCTTCTTTTTGGGGGGCTTTTTTTCCTGGGGACCTTCTTTGCGCACGTACGTAGGTACCGTACGGCGTTCCTTCTGCTTGCCGTGTCGCATGTGAAAATGTCTGAGCGTTTTCGAGGCTAGGTAATGACGACCACGATGACAGCGGCAACAACGATGGCGGGACTTGGTTCTTTTTTCGCACATGTGCTATGACTGGGCGAACGGGCTGGCTGGCTGGCTGGCGTGGTTTCAGCCTTAGGTGAGCTGCTGCTGCTAGGGCGGGTGATCGCAGGTCAGGTCAGCCTCAAATTTAGCTGTCGGTCAGCATGCGGTGGCGCGGTTCGTTCTTGCGGCAGGCAGCGTGTGGAGCTCGAGGTTCTTGGAAGGAGAAGTGCTGGGCAGACCCTGTTTGGATGGTATACGAGAAGTGGCCTTACTGGCTGCACGCAACTGTTTTGGGTAAGTGACTGAGCTCCGGTGTGGAGAAAGGTTCGCGCGCAATACAGTATAAAGCAGAATGACGGGAGTGTAGTTTCCAGTGACGTAAGTGTTGGAAGCCGATGTATTTAGTAGGTATTCGCAGGACATGGGGAAAGAGCGTCTGCCTGCCTGCCGATTGCGCGCCAGGGTCTCGGTTTCCTCACATTCCATTTCTCTCCCTCCCACGCCGGCATGCCAGCATCTGCGGTTGTGAAAGAGGATTATCGGAAACATGGCCTCTATCAACATGATGTCTGAGCGTGAACGGTCCCTTGAATCTCGACCTGTTGAGTCCTTGTAACGCAATTTAATGGTTGGTGGGTAGTGTAGCCACTGGATGGTAGGTGGTAAGGCACCGGGGTGAGTGGTAAGACTGGTGGGTGGTAATATAGGTGTGGGATGCCAGCGAGTTCGCCGAGTTTGCCTACCATTTGACATATAAATTTGAGGTGAGCGACGGAGAAAAAGTAGCTTTCCCAGGGGGGGAGGGGTCAAATTTATGGCGGCCTAATAGAATGTTGGGTTTAACAAAAAAAAAACTCTACCTGCTTAATTCTCTCCCTTGTTTCCCCTTGCGGATATTACTGTTCTTCTCTAACACGTATATAAGTACCGCGTAGCAGCAGATCAACAAAGCATCCAGAACCAAGTGTGTCATCCTGTAACCTCCTACGATCACCAACCAACGGCTATGAGTCCGGATACGTGCAAGCAACGCTGCATCTAATCTGGTATTTTCGTTCATCCTCCTCCAACCGATCACGTGCCCTCACTGCACACACGATCCATACACGACACGAACCAGCGGTATCAAAGCTCAGCATCCAACCTCACGATGTCATCAATCCCCAAAACCGTGGTGTTGAGAACGGCAAGTGACTGGGAGTCCTGGATGCTCGTAGTAAGGTTGAACGCTGAATCAGCCAACATCTGGCATCTGATCAACCCCGATCTGGGTGCTAAACCGGAGCATAATCGACCAATCAAACCTCAATGTCCGTATTCACAAGCGGACGGCGTCAACGAGTCTACTCTCTGGGACATCCAACGATATTATGATAAGCGCTTCTACTATTCTCATGATCTGGAGGATTTCTGTAGGGAAGAGGATAAACTTGCACAATTCGTCCATCACATTCTCTCAACGATATCAGTTGAGAACTACAGATTCCTCGGCAACTGCAGAGGCCATCCATGGGACCTTCTTCGTGCCCTGAAGCAAGGCCTTTTCCTATATGATGCCGAGCGACATCGGAAATGGCAAGTAAGAAGGATGGAACGATATTTTGGTGGTGTTGAACCAGAATCTTCATCTGATGACGACGACGATTTACGGCACGTCTGTATGTGATAGAAGTGTTTGTTGCAGGTAATTTTCAAGGCATGTCAGAAGCTTCCTCCACAGCAACCCCAGCATCCTTGCCCTTGGCATCCTGCCGATCAAGGTCTTCAACGAGAAGCTCATCAGGAATTGGCGCAAAATCCGCTAACGTAAGGACCCAGGACCCTACGGCGGCGGCGGCGTAGTGGTGGAGGACCGCGTGGTTAAGAAGATAGACGAGTCGCCATCGCGGGACGCCATCGAGGCGTGTTTGGATTTGGACTGGATACCGACGGGAAGAGCGACCAGGCCGGAACGGCAGGAGACGAGGGGAGGTTTTTTGAGAATGTCGTGGTGCCGTTAGGCGTGGGAAGAACGCAGCCAGCGCGATTGCCTTAAGCTTGCAAAGTAGGGTTCATGTTATAGCAGGAGCTACGTCACAGTGCACTAAGGACAAGCGCTACAGCACCGCGATACCTACCTGTGACGACTCGGTAGTGACGTCTGTCTAGGACCGAAACTTTTGTAGTTCTCGGGGCATTTCTACTGACTCCCACATTGACCCACAGCAAAAGTGCCCAGGCAGCTCATCATTGATTGATCCACCATCTACTTAACCTCAACATGCCCACAGAGACACCCAAGCCCTATCCGGCAGGAGACCCAGCTGTTGCCGCCGTCGTGTCGTCCATGCAAGGCCAGCGCCAACATTGCCACCATAGCGCCGTCGCATGTCCCGCGTACATAATCTCACCAACGCTTGGCACCAAAGGCTTCGCTCCGAGCAAGCGGGTCGACTATAGGACAGTACAGTCATCCGAGACCGAGTCAGCTCATCCAGACCAGCCCGTTGTGAATGCTGCTCGTATTCCTCAAGAAGCCTTTGGTGAGTATATTGCAAGTATCCTTGGCGAACGCATCATGCTCACATCCGCGCGCAAGGTGCTGAGGAACTCATCAGGTACTCCGAGAGACACGATGATGGAGCAGAATCTACTCCTTACGCATCGAGACGTGGAAGCGACATTGGCTTCACACAACAGGCTCTCGGGATCGTTGTTGATGCCTTTGCCCTCTCTATCTCTCTCGGGTGCAGTCTGGGCATAATAGGAGTCTTCGCGGTGGTAACAAGTCGTATCATGATTGTGCTTGTGGCCGGGTCCGTACTTCTCGGTATCGGCGCCTACGTTGGCGCCGAGTGTATCGTGTAAGTCTCCGTCCGAGCCTTACAACTCAGTACTAACGTCCGCTCGCGCAGTGGTATTCGCAGGATCGCCCTTCTGGAGTATGGGGAAGAGCTCAAGCTCGAGCAGGATCTTCGAGAAGAGGACGGAATGCTCAGGAGATGGGCAGTTTTTCTTGGGTGCGGGCTCGCAATCGGGTTCCTCGTTGGTAGCCTCGTTGCTGTGCTTCCCTACTTCCTACTTCCCGTGTGAATCTGAATAAGGCATCCACGAAACGCACGGTGGCTGTGTTGAGGATGGCATCTTGAGACAACAGAAAGGGTCTTAAAGCGCTCACGACACTGCCATGAGGCCAGTTCCTATCCATTGAAGATATCGGTCAGGGTGGCGTGAATTGGGAATTGTACCTAAAGTGATAGAACACCTAAGATAGCTCGTAGAGGTCACCCTGTCTCGTGCTGCCACGGGCAATTTGAGTCTGAGAATGACGCTAGCTGAAACGACCGTCCGACCGGAATCCCTCTCTACCTCTTTCTGCTGCGGTGATGAAGGAAAGAGAAGGAATGAAAGGGGAGAGCAGTCGGAGTCGGGCTCGGAGGGAGTTTGCCAGCTCGAGATGCTAGGACGCTTTGGGACTAGTGCGGGGCGGGCATCAGAGCGGCGGGGAATTTGGAGCTGAGTCACCTGTGTCGGCGACTTTTGTGAGCCCATCTTCGACACCACCGTTCTCTCTCCACACTCCACCATGGCCGCCTCCCAGCCCATCCTGCCGCAGGATGGCAAGCGAAATATCCTGATCACCAGCGCCCTGCCCTACGTCAACAACATCCCCCATCTGGGCAACATCATCGGCTCCGTCCTCTCCGCCGACGTCTTTTCGCGTTACTGCAAGGCCCGCGGCTACCCGACCCTCTACGTCTGCGGCTCCGACGAGTATGGCACCGCCACCGAGACCAAGGCCATCGACGAGGGCCTCACCCCGCAGGAGCTGTGCGACAAGTACCACAAGATCCACGCCGATGTCTACAAGTGGTTCAACATCGGCTTCGACAAGTTCGGCCGCACTCCCACCCAGCAGCAGACCGATATCGCCCAGGACATTTTCATGAAGCTCCACAAGAACGGATACTTGGAGGAGAAGACCACTGTCCAGCCCTACTGCGAGAAGCATGGCTCTTTCCTGGCCGATCGCTTCGTCGAGGGCGAGTGCAGCATCTGCGGCGATCCTGGCGCTCGCGGCGACCAGTGCGACAAGTGCGGTAACCTCCTCGACCCGCTCGAGCCCGAGCCCGAGGCAAAGGCTCCCGCCTCCTCCGACGAGCCCGAGCCGGTTGGCGAGGCCAAGGCCACTGGTTACCTGATCAACCCCCGCTGCAAGCTGGACGGCGCTGCCCCGGTCAAGAGGGAGACAAAGCATGTGTACATTCGGCTGGACGAGTTGAAGGACCGGATTGTCGAGTGGTTCAAGGAGGCTAGCGTCGATGGCAAGTGGTCGTCCAATTGCATTCAGATCACTCAGTCGTGGATCGACAAAGGCTTGAAGCCCCGTGGCATCACCCGCGACCTGAAATGGGGTACTGCCGTGCCGCTTCCCGGCTACGAGGAAAAGGTCATGTACGTCTGGTTTGATGCCTGTATCGGTTACGTCTCCATCACCGCCACCTACACGGACGAGTGGGAGAAGTGGTGGAGGAACCCGGAGAATGTCCAGCTCTACCAGTTCATGGGCAAGGACAACGTCCAGTTCCACACAATCATCTTCCCCGGCTCGCAGCTTGGTACTGGCGACAAGTGGACCAAGATCCATCATCTGTCCACTACCGAGTACTTGAACTACGAGGACACCAAGTTCTCCAAGTCCAAGGGTGTTGGTGTCTTCGGCAACAACGCCAAGGATACCGGCATTCCTTCGGATGTGTGGAGATACTACCTGCTCTCAAGACGTCCCGAGACCAGCGATTCCGAATTCAAGTGGAAGGACTTCATTGACGCAAACAACAACGATCTGCTGAAGAACCTTGGCAACTTCGTCAACCGTGTGGTCAAGTTCGTGGCTGCGAAGTACGACTCCGGTAAGTTTTCTCAGCACACGCTTGTTGACGAAGGAACGCGCTGACTCTGAGGCTCGGCAGTTGTTCCCGACTACACCAAGTACAAGGACGAGGATCAGTACCTTAAGAAGCACGAGGAGGCGGTGAATGAGCTGCTGAAGACTTACATTGGCCATCTCGAGAACGTTAAGCTGAAGGCTGGTCTTTCAACGGTGCTTCACATCTCGGCCCTCGGCAACAAGCTGCTGCAGGACAACAAGCTGGACAACAGACTGTTCTCCGAGGAGCCGGAACGTTGCGCCGCTGTCGTCGGCATGGCTTTGAACCACATCTACCTTCTCTCCAGCGTCCTGGAGCCTTACATGCCCGCCACCGCGCGCGGTGGCGTCACTGACAAGGGCGAGCCCATTTCTGGTATCTTCCAGCAGCTCAACGTGGACCCCGTGCCTTATATTCCCGAGCAGTGGGCCACGGGCACCATCAAGCCTGGTCACAAGATCGGCAAGGCAGGGTACCTGTTCAACCAAATCAAGCCTGAGAAGGAGCAGGAGTGGAGAGAGGCCTATGGTGGCGAGGAGGCCCAAAAAGCCAAGAGGCTGGAGGCTGAGAAGAGGGCGGCAAAGAAGGCGCAGAAAGAAAAGGACAAGGCCAAGAAGGCGGCCAAGAAGGCGGCTGCTGCGGCTGCAGGCGCGGGCGGCGTCGAGGCAGCGGAGAAGAAGCAAGAGGCGGATCCCGCTATCGAGAAGGTCACAGAGGCCATGGAGAAGGCGGACGTGCACACGTCGTAGATTTTGTTTCTTGGATCAGGTGTTAGAGGAAGAGCGAAAAGACACGTGTGACGAGCATTTAAGACGAGATGAGACGATATGAGGTGGCAAATCAAAATAGAGATGCCAATTGATACCCTTAGCTGCAAGTGTGCACTGTGGTGTCGCGTGGCCCCGGATTTCGGCCGGGGGTGTGGACATCTGCCAATGGCCATGTCGCAATTTGTCGAGAGCGCCCGCTACGCGCCTCCGCTTTCGCTCGCCCCATCGTGAATTTTTGGCCGCCATCACCTGCACTGCTGCTCGCCTCACCAGCTCCCAATGGCAGGCCAGGCAATTACCATGCGGGCAAATGCCCTCAGGGCTGCCCGTATCGCACAAGCCAAGGTGAATTTGACCCCCGCCCCCGGGCATCGCCCTCGCCCATCGCGATGAAGATCTGACGCAGCACCAGTCATCGGCCAGCGCGCCACTTCGCCCGCTGCTGCAGAGCAGACGGCACCTGGCAACCGCCCAGTCTCCCACGCCGCCGCCGAACTTCGACATCGCCTCTCGCACCCCTCCTTACCCCAAGCTGCTCAAGAGGCTGTCCGCGGTCCGCAGTCTGCTGGGCTCCGAGCGCAAGCTCACGCTCGCCGAGAAGATCCTCTACTCCCATCTCGACAACCCCGAAGAGTCGCTCCTGGCCGGCACGAACAATGGAAGGGATGTCCGGGGCGCTGCCAACCTCAAGCTCAAGCCCGACCGGGTCGCTATGCAGGACGCTTCGGCGCAGATGGCTCTGTTGCAGTTCATGTCGTGTGGTCTCCCCACCACCGCCGTGCCTGCCAGCATCCACTGCGACCACATGATTGTCGGTGAGAAGGGTGCCGACACTGACCTTCCCCGCTCCATCCAGGGCAACAAGGAGGTCTTCGACTTCCTGGAGAGTGCTGCGAAGAAGTACGGCATCGAGTTTTGGCCGCCGGGCGCTGGTATCATCCACCAGACCGTCCTGGAGAACTACAGCGCACCGGGTCTCATGATGCTTGGAACGGACAGCCACACGCCCAACGCTGGTGGTCTTGGTGCCATCGCCATTGGTGTTGGTGGTGCGGACGCGGTCGACGCCCTCGTCGATGCGCCTTGGGAACTGAAGGCTCCCAAGATACTGGGTGTCAAGCTCGAGGGAAAGCTCAGCGGCTGGGCTAGCCCCAAGGATGTCATCCTGACCCTTGCTGGCAAGCTCACCGTGCGTGGCGGCACTAACCACATCATCGAGTACTTTGGGCCGGGCGTCGACTCTCTGAGCTGCACTGGCATGGCCACCATCTGCAACATGGGCGCTGAAGTCGGTGCTACTACGTCGCTGTTCCCGTTCTCCTCTGGACACGTTCCCTATCTCGGCGCTACCTACCGCGAGTCAATTGCCAACCAAGCCAGCGCCATCGCATCTTCTCCCGAGCAGCAGAACCTTCTCCGTGCCGACTCCGGTGCGGAGTACGACCAAGTCATTACCATCAACCTCTCGGAGCTGGAGCCTCACATCAACGGACCGTTCACACCGGATCTTTCGACGCCTCTCAGCAAGTTCAAAACCACTGTCGAGGAGAAGGGCTGGCCCACGACGTTCGGCGCCGGTCTCATCGGCAGCTGCACCAACTCCAGCTACCAGGACATGACACGTGCCGAGGAGCTCGTCAAGCAGGCCCAGGCTGCTGGCTTGAAGCCCAAGGCGGACTTCTTTATCACGCCCGGCAGCGAATTGATCAGAGCCACGCTCGAGAGAGACGAGACTCTGGACACTTTCTCTTCTGCCGGTGGTACTGTTCTCGCGAACGCTTGTGGTACGTCCCCACTCCTTCTACTGCCTGTGACGCTGATTGCTGACTTTGACTAGGGCCTTGTATTGGTATGTTTGGATCTCTTCTTTCCCCTGCATTTCCCTCACTTATCTACCGCCTACTACCCTTCCGTCTTCCAGCTTCCGTGCTGACTCTTGTGCAGGCCAATGGAAGCGTAATGATGAAGTCAAGAAGGGCGAGAACAACGCCATCTTCACCAGCTACAACCGTAACTTCCCCGCCAGAAACGACGGCAACAGACAAACCATGAACTTCCTGGCCTCTCCCGAGCTGGTCACCGCTCTCAGCTATGCAGGCAGCACGACCTTCAACCCCATGACGGACTCCATTCCCACTCCTTCGGGCACTCCGTTCAGGTTCGCTCCGCCCAAGGGCCAGGACCTTCCCTCGGCCGGTTTCGAGATCGGTAACCCCGAGTTCCTTCCTACGCCCGGCAAGCCTGACGCCAGCGTCGAGGTCAAGGTCGACCCCAAGTCGGCCCGTCTCGCCCTTCTCGAACCTTTCGCTCCCTTCCCCGACTCGGACCTCTCCGGCCTCCGCGTCCTCTACAAGGTCAAGGGCCAGTGCACGACGGACACCATCAGCGCGGCCGGCCCGTGGCTCAAGTACAAGGGTCACCTGCCCAACATCGCCGAGAACACGCTGATCGGCGCGGTCAACGCGGCGACGGACGAGACCAACGTCGCGTACGACACGGACGGCAGCGCGTGCGGGATCCCGGCGCTGGCCAAGCGGTGGAAGAGCCAGGGGCGCGAGTGGCTCGTCGTCGCCGAGCACAACTACGGCGAGGGCAGCGCGCGCGAGCACGCCGCGCTGCAGCCCCGCTACCTCGGCGGCCGCGTGATCCTCGCCAAGTCGTTCGCCCGCATCCACGAGACGAACCTCAAGAAGCAGGGCGTCGTGCCGCTCACGTTCGTCGACGAGGCCGACTACGACGCCATCGACGCGTGCGACGAGATCGCCACCGAGGGCTTGTACGACGTCCTCAAGGCCGGCGGCAAGGGCGAGGTCAGGTTGCGCTTGAAGAAGCGCAGCTCCGGTGAGGAGAAGCTCATCGCCACCAGGCACACGCTCAGTCGCGACCAGTGCGGGTTCATCTTGGCGGGGAGCGCGCTGAATTTGTTGGCGAGGAAGGGGAGGGAGAGCGAGGAGGAGGTTACGAGGCAGGCGGAGCTGTCGGATTAGTTTTGGTTGGCGTGATGATGTGAAGGGGGGAGGGGAGAAGAAGAAAAAGTTGGGAGTATGTGATGGTGGCGGCGACGGTGGTCTGATATCGGGAAGAGAGCAGCAAAAAACTTCATTGTGATATTTTCTTTTTTCTTTTTTTTTTCAGTCGGGGTATGCGCAGACGGATATGCGTGCGAGAATACATATGTATGTAAATGTAGATGCAGGGACGACGGTCTTATTTCCAGGGGCGCAATATGGAGACAAAAAGTCATGAAAGCGTTGAGCAAGGTGCATCGCGGGCTTCGATCCATTCGTTTTTGTGAGTGAGGTTGCGCAACAGTAGTTACTACTAGGGGTTTTGGTGATGTACTGTGTATGTCTGGTCTGTCACTCTCCCGTAGGCAAGTGCGCGTGAGTCGTTGCACCCTTTGTTGCTTACGAAAAGCGCTTTGTCCATTGGCCGTTCTGGGCCGGCAAAGAGTGGGTCGTGGGCCGGACCTCAGCGTTCAAGGGCCAACGTCATCATCCGTCGTGACCCCTGCAAGCTTTTCTCCGCACAACGTGGTAGCTTGGCGGGAAGCGGGAAACGGTTCAATTGCTCCGAGAGCAGTCGTCAAGCACTGTCGCCTGGGTTAGGGCACGATGAAGAAGATTAGAAGAGATTGCGTTGTTTCGTTCTTTGTCACCGAGATATGGTTTGTCAGAGGACGACAGTGATCAGAGAGAGTCCAGCCAACAGCTGCTTACGGAGCACGGGCGGGCGGGGGGAGCGGGTCGCAAGCAAGGGCCCCGCGGGCTGCCACGCCTGCCTGCTTCCGTGTCTCATCAGACACACCTCTCACCACGTTGCTGAAGAAGAAGAAGCACATGGACTGAAACACGGCGGACCAACGTCCGGGCGCGGATGCAGGAACCAACCGGCAAAAGGCGCCACGCAGCATCTTCTGCGGGATGAAGTGCGGTAGGTACCTAGGTGGCCAAGGGTCCTGCTTGGGCTAGCTAGGTATTTGTTCGGCAACCGGACGCGGTGCGTCTGACCAACCAGGCGGGGTTTGGCCTCAGACCCCTCATTCTCTGGCACCGCCAACGGCAACGCGCTGCTGGCTGCGCGCTGCTGCTGCGGCTCTGCGCGCGCGTGGGATGGACCCAGGAAAAAGACGGCCGCCGCTGACGCTAAGCCTGCGTTTTTCCCCTGTCGACGACATGTCCGTTGGCCGACCTCTGCACCGCGCAGCGCGACCGGAACCACATGTTCGGCTTGGGTAAGCTGCCAGGGGCTGGAATCGGGCCTCCGTCGCATCATCCGGCACGTGTGTTCATAATGGCGGCGCGGCCATTGGTGCCCAGATGAAGCCGGGGGACCCGCAACGCCGCGGCGATCTGACGACAGGCCCGAGGGTATTATCGGCGCCCGTTCGAAGGTGCTGGTGCATGCCCTGAGCTTTCTAATCGGCGGCGAGGAAGAAGCTCCCCACTAGATATAAGCTCGCCGCCGCCGCCCGCCGCTCGATCCCTAGCTGCTCTCTCTCAAGTTCTGCTCTCTTTCCCTTCGTTGCCCGCTGTCCGACCGACATATACCTGTCTCTTCACTTCTCTGTTGTCTGCGGGCTGTTTGCTCCTGCTTATCGCCAGCCATATCACACCACCTCGCACCACTCTCTGTCTCTCACAATGGCCTCCGCTGCCCGGTCCCTTTTCGCCGGCCGCAACGCGCTCCTGCGCCCCGCCCCGGCGTCCATTCGGTCAGCTACTAGCGCCGCTGCCCGCTCGTCTCGCTTCGCCGTCCCGGCGTTGGCATCCCGCCAGCAGTACTACTCTCGCCGCGGCTACTCGTCCGAATCTGGCGGCAAGTCGTCGTCGTCGTCGTCGTCGTCCAGCGGCCCCAACCCGGCCGTCTGGGTGGGCGCTCTCGCGGTCCTCGGCGGCGCCGGATACTACGCCTACGGGCTGAGCCAGGGCGCGCAGGCCGACCAGCTCAAGGGGCCCTTCACCCCCAAGTTCGAGGACTACCAGAAGGTGTACGACGCCATCGCCAAGGCGCTCGAGGAGAAGGACGACTACGACGACGGCAGCTACGGCCCCGTGCTGCTGCGGCTGGCGTGGCATGCCAGCGGAACGTGAGTTGCGGCCCAGACCGACCACCCATCATCATCTCTCTCCACTCTACTAACACCACCACCAGCTACGACAAAGAAACCGGCACCGGCGGCTCCAACGGCGCCACCATGCGCTTCGACCCGGAAGCCGACCACGGCGCCAACGCCGGCCTGCGCGCCGCCCGCGACTTCCTCGAGCCCATCAAGCAGCGCTTCCCGTGGCTCTCGTACTCGGACCTCTGGACCCTCGCCGGCGTCTGCGCCATCCAGGAGATGCAGGGGCCCAAGATCGCCTGGCGCCCCGGCCGCGCCGACCGCGACGTCTCGTTCTGCACGCCCGACGGGCGGCTGCCCGACGCGGCGCAAGGCGGCGACCACCTGCGCGCCATCTTCGGGCGCATGGGCTGGGACGACCGCGAGATCGTGGCGCTGAGCGGGGCGCATGCGTTGGGCAGGTGTCACACTGATCGCTCGGGGTTCGAGGGCCCGTGGACGTTCAGTCCGACGACGTTGACGAATGATTACTTCAGGTTGTTGGTGGAGGAGCGGTGGCAGTGGAGGAAGTGGGGGGGCCCGAAGCAGTTGGAGGATGTGCGGACGAAGTCGTTGATGATGCTGCCGACGGATTATGCGCTCGTGAAGGATAAGAAGTTTAGGCCGTGGGTGGAGAGGTATGCGAAGGATCAGGAGGCGTTTTTTAGGGACTTTTCGGATGTGGTGATGAGGTTGTTTGAGCTGGGCGTGCCGTTTCAGACGGGCGAGGACGCGAGGTTTACTTTCAAGAGCAGCTTCGACTAGGTAGGTTTGGGTTGGCTTTTTGGATGACCCGGCCGGTCGACGGTGTTGCTGGAGGAGGTTGGTGACGAAACGAAACCTTTGCGAGGGGGTGGAGTCTGGTTTGTTTTTGCCGTCTTTTTGCTCTAGAGCTACGAAAGATCAAAGACGAGATCGAGAAGGCCGCGGCGTCTTAAAACTGCTGTTGGCTTAGACCTGTTTAGATATCAAGATGCGAATGACTTTCCACTCTCACGATTTGCGTTCTTGATCTTTGTTGCAAATGTGTTACAGTGGACTGATTGTTATGACTCAAATTGGTGAGCTGTGTCGCCGTACGGGTAGGCTCGCGGAGAACTGTAGCAAAGTAGCTGAAGCGTCTATCATGGACATGAATGCACGACATCCGGATGAGAGGCTCGATCACTTCACTTTGTTGCAAGACCAAGCGATCCGATCTCGTCCTTATATACGTGTACCGTCGTCAGATGCTAGAATCACTGCAAGATTGGCGGGTGCTGACCTTGCAACCAAAAACAAAAAAAAAAAAAAACTTAAATTACACACAGTTGACAATTGTAGTGTTAAACGCCATATTGAACAGTCAAGTCAGACATTCTAAATCTTCAACATTGACTTCGTCTGCTCCATACGACTGAGATACAGATTACATGCTGCCTGGGACTCTAGGCTACCATCAATGTTGGCCTTAGAATGTGGAAGGAGTGGTGGAGTTTGGCTTGATCATCCCTGCCAGCAGCCGCTGAGGTGAAAATCTAGCCGTGCACGAATAGGCAAATCTCAACAACAGTCAGGTCTACTCACACCTCTAGATAGCTTAACACAATCGCCACGGGAACCGATCGCAAGCCAGACGTATACGGTCTCTCTTATGATGAAAGTGAGCATAATCTCCACACGAGCGACGCATTATCTCTAGGCCCGTGCACGGACGCCCTCGGAATTTTGAGTCGCTTGTTGTGAGTATAGGGTTCTTTATGATACGCCGAGACGTGAGCAAAGGAGAGGGCTGCGGTGTTGGCTGGAAAGTGGATGCAAACAGTAAGCTCCTCCTTTGTGGTAGGTGGTGGGTGGTGGGTGTTGGACTCTCCTATTAGCGTTAAGGATCATGGAGAAGCGTATATTTAACCGTGATCGCCGCCGGTGCGAAATGGGGGTATATAAATACGAGCAGCTGCCAAGATCAGCCAGAGCAAACGCACGACATGCGCCGCAATTGCATGGGCAAACCGTGTTCTTGAAGCCCCGACGACGGCGACGACAGCTCACGGTGTGACGGGGCGGCTCAGCGCAGCAGAGAGCGAACGATTGGGCGAGCAGGGCATGGAGATCCTCCGCTGCTGCGCTGATCAAACGCAGACCCGCCCCCGCCAAGCCTTGTGAGGCAGCGCTAGGCTTGATTGGCTGGCCGGGCGCGCGAGCCCTGCAGCCGCCCGTCGCGTTCCATTAAAGCCCCCCAGAAACACCACCCAGAAACACCACCTTCGTGCCTTTCCCGGTCCTCACCACACTCCTTTGGTTCGCCGATCGCCGCCTCACCACCGTCCTTATCCTTCACCAGCTCCACTAGCGCCTCACTCCAGCCGTTCCCTACCACCATCTGCAAGATATCCACCACCATGTTCTCTGCCAAGTTCCTCACCTTCCTCGTCGTCGCCCTCCTGGGCTTCGTCAACATCGCTGCTGCTGCCACCCCGCCAGCTTGCCTGATCAGCATCATCGGCTCGGAGCCCAACCCCAACGACGTCGCCACCATCTGCAAGAAGGACAGCATCCAGTCCGACATCGCTTCCAACTGTGGCTCCGAGAAGGCCGATGCCATGACCGCCTACTCGTCCGTCTGCAAGGCAGCCGGTGTCACCGTTTGTAAGTTGCCGCCTCGTTTTGTCTCTGATGCACAAAGGGTCTAACCATCCGCTTCGCGCCAGCTACCTCTGCCTCTGCCTCGGCCTCGGCCTCTGCTACCAAGTCTGGTTCCTCCAGCGCCTCCGCTACCGGCTCCGTCACCACCCCCGGCTCTTCCGTCAGCACCCCCGGCGCCTCCTCCGGCTCCAGCAGCGGCTCCTCTTCCACCACCACCCCGGCCCCCACCAACGACGCCCCCAACAAGATCCAGAACGTCGGCTTCATGGCCCTCGGCGCCTTCGCTATCGGCGCCATCGCCCTTCTGTAAACACCCTGCTCCCTGGAAGTCCGCAAACCTGGCGCTCGTCATCATCCTCCTCCTCCTGAGAAGCCCTTGACTGCGGGAAAGTAGGCTTTTGCATGGATCCGTGCACGTTGCGGTTCGCCATGAGGGTGCGCAGGTACGGCCCGGAAACGCCTGCGTTCTAGAAACGGCGCTTTCTCCAACTCGGTGCATTCTTTCTCTTCAACCTTTTCCATTATCTCGCGAGGCGCGGATCTGCTCCGACTGGATATCAGCTTTTCGAAGCTTTTTTCTCAAGTCGGGACAAGGCACAGCTGAGGTTGCGCGCGCGGGGCATTTGTACATTAGATGGACTACAGCGATGGTTGTCTGCTCCCCCAGCAGGTCCTACTCATAGCCTGCATTTATACCCCACAATGCTGCATATGCTCATATTATTTTTTATACCCCACATGGCGCATGTCCGTTCGTAATGGTACTTTGCCTTCTGCGGTCCAAAGATAACTCCGTTTGCGGTGTGTTGTCGTTGCACCGAGTGCGTGCTGCCTTGACTTCCCGGTGCCGTGGTCTGTAAGCGAAGCAGGGTCCTGCAGGATATAATCGTGTCGCGGCCGCGGGAGCTGTTGGCTGTTGCTATGCACAGGCACGATGAGAGAGAGAGAGTTGGACCTCCGTTCCCCACGAGCCAACTCTCTCAAGACCGCCCATCCTTCACCGGCGCCCCAAAATCCTCCATGCTCCTCTCCTCGCCCCGTCCCCCATCCTTCCTCTTCTGAACCATCTTCACCCCAATCCTCCTCGGGCCCTTGGCCTTGGCCCTGAGCGCCACCTCTGCCCCCGCCGCCGTCGATGCGCCCGCTCCACCACCACCGCCATCCGCAGCAACAGCAGCAGCAGCGGCGACATCACCAGCGCCGCTCTGCAGCTCGCCCACCTCCTGTCCCTCGCCGACCAGCTTCTCCACAATCTTGGCCTTGGCCTGCGCGCGCTTGAGCCGGTCGTCAAAGTCCGCGACGCCCTCCTCGTCGTTTTGCGTCGACAGGCTCGCCGGCTCCGTCAGCGCGTGCAGCGTCGTGATGTGCTTGGCGAGCCGGGGATTGGTAGTGTTGGTGTTGCTGCCGGCCTGCAGTGGGGGGAGGGAAGGCGCTGTCGTGGTGGTGGGATCGTCGTGTTTCGGGGGAGCGTGCTGGGGGGTTTCGCTGTTGTTGTTGTTGTTCTTCGGTGGTGGTGGTGGTGGTAGGCGGGACGCCCAGACGGCGGCTTTGCCGTGGAGGTGGCCCATGGCGGCGAATTTCTCGAAGCCCTTTTCGAGCCCGAAGACGCGGCCTTCGATGCGGCCGGCGCGCGAGCCGTCGGCGACGCCGAGGGCGTGGCCTTCGGTGTAGTATTGGTCTTCGAGGGAGAGGAGGGAGTCGAATGGGTCGAGGTCGAGGTCGAGGTCGAGGGTGGGGCCGTCCATTTTTGTGGTTCTTTTTTTTCTTTTTGTCGTCTCTTACTTCCTCACTCTCGCCTTTTGCTCTCGTGAGCAAGGACTGCTGATTGGAGATTGTGGATATGCTTCTTTTTTTTTTCTTTTTTCCTTTCGTTCTTTTCGTGGATCACGGTGGACAGAGGTGAGTGGTACGTGGTGGTGGGGGCGGGTGCCTGACAAAATGTTGGCCCCACCTTGGCCCTGCCGCAGGGCTGGCCCTGGTCCGGAGGCTGTTGGGAAATTTTCTGGAGGCGTGCGTCATATTAATCAGCAGAATTGTACTGGGTACATGCGCGGGTGCGTTATTGCATATTTGAAGTACTGCCTACAATCCCAGAGTCTGTTTCACCTTCTCATTGGTGGTGGTGTTCCAAGCCTGTGCCTTTTTCTCGTTCCGCGGTTGTGGCTTTCATCAGAACCCGTCAGCTTACGTCTGACATGCCCGTCATCAATAATCTATCAGCCAGCATCCTTCAGCATAACGAATCTGGACCCTCAATAATAATGCGCAAGTGCCTGGCTTGACGCGAATCCATGATGGCCGAGTTGTGGCGCCTGGCGAAGGTCGGTGTGTCAAAGTGCCAATGCGGCTCCAGGTTCCGCAAATACGCCCGACGAGCCCGTTTCGGAAAGCCGGTGCAGAAAGGACGCTGATCCACTTGCCCGTCTGAGAGCAGACAGAATTTATCCCGGTCGTGCCGTCTTGACGCCCGCTTCTTGGTGGTGATGGTTTCTCTGACCGGGGAGTTGGCTCAGCCCTGTGCAAGGCCGGGGACACGGGCTGACGCGCCGCAAGAACTCCACCATGACAGGGGCGCCCGCACGACGATCGCCTCCGCGGTGCGGCGTGAAAATCGGGTCTGTTGGGATTATTACTGTTATTGCCGCTGCAAGATAAGCAAGCAGGGTGGCCTGCATGTCAAGTTTCCTTATGTATTGCGGGCGCGGACGGGCAGGCAGGCAGGCAGGCAGGCTCCGCTCGAGCTGCAAGCGGCATGGCCACGTACCGAGGAATCTCGAACTCAGCACAACCCACAACGCGTGGGCCGGCGACCAGAGGCTCCCGCCGTGCCCGCCAAGGCCCGCCAGCGCGCAAGAAGGCCGCAGCGCCACCGGCCAAATGTGTGGACCTGCACCTCCTGGCAGTAGTGCTGCCGGGCGGCGGCGTGTCACGTTGGAGTGCTGCTTTCTCCAGCACCGCGCCCCCCTCTGTTCCCAGTTTCCAGCTCGTCGTCGCCTGCCTCGCCGGCCTCCTGGCCATCCTACGCTTCCTCATGACCAACCTCATCTCGTCCTTCATCATCGAGCCCGTCGTCCGCCACGCTCGCCGATTCTCCGAAGCCACAGCCTCCCAGTGGCCGGGTAGCCATGGCGAATCAACGGCGATCCCTGACGAATCCCGCCGTCCATCACGTGTGAGCGGGAGCTATCCATCGCCGCGCCGCGAGGCGACGAGCCTCTCCGCCGGCCATGTCTGCCTCCAAGGCGCAGCAGCGTCGCAGTCTGTAGCAGGCGCCGCCGGCAGCCCTCAGCCCGCGCCCCCTGCGACCGCGACCGCGACCGCGACCGCGCCCTCGCAGCGCTCCGACTTCGCCACTGTCCACACCCCCGAGCCTGCCCACGAGTCGCCCGAAGATCCTCCTAGGTCCACCGCTGCCGCAGGTCATGCTCGGCTCACGCAATTGCCAGCGAGCACCACCGCTGCCTCATCTCGAACCGCAAGCCTGCCCCTCGAGGACGAGCGCTCCAGCAATCCCGCCCACGGCATCCCCGCACCCTTTCGCCCAGTAGCTGCGGATTCCCCCGACGCCGGCCGCCCTCCGTGGGGTAGCGCAACCGCCAACCATCAGACCGGCCGAGACCCTGCCCGTGCAATGAGCTACCCTCCGGCCGGCGTCGCCTCTGCTGAGGTCAAAATGTCCGAATCCTTGCCTGCCGACGATGGCATGCGCCTCATGCGCCTGCGCATCCATGAGATCCGCAGCCTCGGCGTCCCGAGCGACGAGAAGGCCAGGCGCATGCACTCCCTGATGACCGAGGGATACCATGCCCGCCACAGCCATGCCCCGCGCCCGCCGTCGCCGTCGAGCATCATGTCGAACGAGCGACCCTTCACTCCGAGCTCGACGCGGTCCGAGATGCACATCTCGTCTCCAAACTCCGTATACTCCCTGTACGATGGTGACAACCCGTACAACCTCACGGCCGAGGATCTGAAGTCTACGTTCTATCCCGACGACGAGGCAGAATACGGAGTAGACGCTCATGCTCGCATGGACGAGGATGAGGTGGACGACGAGGGGCCCATCTACGGCTGCAAACATTACAAGAGGAATGTCAAGATCCAGTGTTTCGACTGCAACCGCTGGTACACTTGCCGCCATTGCCATGATGAAAGCGAAAACCACCATCTCAACCGGAAGAAGACGAGGAGCATGTTCTGCATGTTGTGCGCAACTCCGCAACCGGCAGGGGAATTCTGCCGGTCATGTCATGCGCGGACGGCATGGTATTACTGTGACATTTGCAAGCTCTGGGACAACGACAGCGCCAAGGGCATCTATCACTGCGCCGACTGTGGCATTTGCCGGCGCGGAGAAGGCCTTGGGAAGGACTTTATCCATTGCAAGGTGGGTTAAATTTTTTTCAAAGCACGTGGATGTCAGGCTAACAGGGGTCAGAAATGCAACGTCTGCATCAGTATCAAATTCGCCGAAGACCATCGGTGTATTGAACGGGCTACAGATGCCGACTGCCCCATATGCAAGGACTACATGTTCACCTCGTCTACCGACGTCGTGGCGATGAAATGTGGCCACTACATGCATCGTAACTGCTACGACGCTTACATGCAGACTGACTACAAGTGTCCCATGTGCAAGAAGAGTGCTGTCAACATGGAACTGCAGTGGCGCAAAGTCCGTGATGCAGTCGACAGTCAACCGATGCCGGCGCAGTTTGCAGATACCAAAGTCGTCGTCCATTGCAACGATTGCTCCGTGAAGTCTACAGCACAGTATCACTGGCTCGGTAACCAATGCACCCATTGCGAGTCGTTCAACACCAACGAGCTACGGCTACTTTCCCGCAACGGGCCTGAGCGAGACCTTGGCGCCGCTGACTCTACGACTACACCGTCGTCCCCTCGTTCGTGTCTTACACCGGTAACAAACACCGTCGAGCGCAGGACGTCCGGGTCTTACTTTCTGCTTGCGGAACGAGAGGAGCGTGAAGCACGTGAAAGAGAGGCGGCCATGCGGCCTGCATCCGCCGACGGATCATCCTTCTCGCCGTTCGAGATGCTGCAACGAGTGAGGTCTTTGTCGCCTGTTCGCCGGCTGTTGGGCGGATCGGATGACGAGATGGACGATGCCGACGAGGACGAAGACGACGACGATGGAGAAGAAGACAGCGACGACAGCATGGATGACGACGATGAAGACGAGGACGAGGAGCTCGAAGATGCCGACGGAGATGACATTCTCGACGGCATTGACCTTATTGGACATCGTTAAGGATATTCCGACAATCAGCATCTCTCGACGAAGGGGAGCGAGGGGCGCTCATCAGCACGTCCCTTGCATGTTCATTATTACGATACGCGAGGGGCTGGACGGACGACTTGCGTCAACGAGGGGCCATGGTTTCAGGCGCTTTGAATTTACGATGTACTGATAACGGCGTACTCCACGAGGCATTGGACTGGGTCTTGGGGAGTTGGGCAATTCGTAGCACCGCGTTCAGGGTCTTGAGGTTTGTACACTTTGTATAGGAAATGCGGGGAGTCTGGGGAAATTTTGGAATTCCTTCTCGGCTCGCAGGCATAGGATGGTCGTTCACGGAATACTTCGGGGATGGGCGCATGAACGTGTACGTTATTATTAATTAGTCCTATTCTTGTTTTGAGCGATGCAAAGATGCTTCTGTGAACTGAGAGCCTGGCGTTGTTTGCGAGTGCGGGGGGCCTGCTGAACTGCCGGTGAACCGTGACGGGAAGCATAGGAGCGCATGACCGCCTTCCGTGCTCGATCAGGCACCCCTATCGTGCTATCGTGAGATCGCAATCAACAAATGGTATAAAGCAAGAGGGGTACAGGTCGTGCCGTGTACAACTACACAGTACTGCGCTGGGCAGAGCCGAAAGTGTTGCAAGGATAGTTCAAGCGACGTTTAGCCGGCGTTCGGTAAGCGAGACGCCCGCCCACACCACCTTTCTGCGCATACCCAGGAGCGAACTTTTCGACCTCCGCGACGACCAACCTCGACAATCCTCCCCGACAGCACCCTCTCCTCCTCGCAGTAAGCCTGGCCCCCATCCCCGCTGCGTTTCAGCACGTTTCGCAACGCACGATACCGCCGCGTGCCATCGCCATCGTTCGATAGCTGACAAGTCCCGCCTTCACCGACAGAAAATGTCCACCAAGACCAAGTCCGCTGGCAAGCAGCGCAGCGCCATCTCCGACGTTGTCGCGCGCGAGTACACCATCCACCTCCACAAGCGTGTACGTTCTTGAAAAAACAACCTTTCCACAAAAACATCAGTTTGGTGAAGTCCAAATCAATGGTCACACCAAATCCTCTTTTTGTGTGGCATTGGGCGGAAGACTGATTCGGAAATCCTCGGCACGCATTAGGTCCACGGCGTCTCCTTCAAGAAGCGGGCCCCCCGCGCCATCAAGGAGATCCGCGCCTTCGCCACGCAGGCCATGGGCACCTCGGACGTCCGCCTCGACCCGCAGCTGAACAAGAAGGTGTGGGAGTCGGGCATCAAGGGCGTGCCGTTCCGCCTGCGCGTGCGCATCAGCCGCAAGCGCAACGACGAGGAGGGCGCCAAGGAGAAGCTGTACTCGTACGTCCAGGCCGTCAACGTCAAGAACCCCAAGGGCCTCAACACCACCGTCGTCGAGGACGCTTAGATGTCGAGAAATCTTCTCTAAGAGCGGTTTTTCTTGTCAAAACGGTCGGAGAGGAGGGGGGACGGCGGGCTTGATTTCGAAGTCTCGGGATATGAAAAAAACAAATGGGAATCTTTTTATACCAACGAACGAACGAGTTTCGTGAAACAGAAGAAAGTTCCTGGGACGATGCACATGGGAGGCGTCAAATGGACTGGCTAGAGGACTGGGCTGGGGAATCTTTTGCTTGGACCTCTTTTTTTCTTTCGTTCGCTAGCACGAGGGTGAAATGAAGAGACCGTCCGAAGGTCGTGTGTTTGGCGCTCCCGCTTCATCTGGTGCCTTTACGCATGGGTGCTGTGCTTGTGATCTTGTGGTGTCCCATGGTATACTGGAACTTACGGGGCATGAACAGCTAGCTCATCCTAATACATATCCTGTGGTTTTGGTTCGCATGTCTTCCGAACAAGCTTCAACGGGAAGTTCGTCCAGCCAAGTCTTGAAGGATTCTCACGATGCTAGAGTTGTTTCCCAGCAGATCAATTACCCCAGAATGAATTCTTGGGAACTTGCTGAGGCTGACGTCAATTGCCAATGCTGTTCTCACGTACTGAACCGTTTCAAGTTTTCTCATGTCTCATACTTTTCTTCTCTAACTACCTGATGCAAAAAGGACCACTCACTGCACACCTCCAGTGGAACCGATGTCAAGTGTATAATCTCCATATCCTTAACGCCAGACCTTTGTTCCAGCACAGAAACACGCCGCCTTTTACTTCCGCTCCTTGTTTTTACCTCCTTCTTCTTCCCCCTCCGCCGCTCATCACAAATCCATCTCATCATCATCATCGTCATAATACCCCGCACTACCACCACCACTACCACCCGTCCTCCCCATCCCCGTCCTTCCTCCTATTCCCCTCTCCGCCTCCTCCCCCTCCCCCTCCCCCTCCCTCTCCCTCCTCGCCCCCTCCCTGCTCGCCCCGATCCGCCTCAGGCCGTCCACCACGCCCCCGATGAACCCCCGCCCCTCGGCCACCTCCATCCCGCCCACCCCGTTCATCCGCACCCCGCCGCCCGCGTCCAGCACGTCCACGCCCGCCCGCAGCTTCGCCAGCCGCACCTCGCGCAGGTCGCGCATCAGGCGGCGGACCGTGTTGGCGCCACCGCTGCTGCTGCTGCCGCCGCCGCTGCCGTCGTCGCTGGTGCTGCTGTGGTGGTGGTGGAAGTCGTCGGGCGCGGCGTCGAGCAGGATTTCGCCGAGCTCGAGCCAGTGGTATGGGAGGGCGGTGGGGGGGGAGGTGGAGGTGGCGGTGGGGAGGAAGGGCGGGGAGGTGGGGAGGGGGGTGGAGGTTGTTGTTGTTGTCGTTGTGGGGAGGCGGTTGGTGGGTGTGGGTGTGGTTGTTGTTGTTGTTGTTGTTGGAGGGAGGGGTGGTGGCGGGGAGAAGGCGTCGGGGGAGTGCTCGGTTTCGAACTCGAGGATGGCGGCGAGCGAGGCCGGGTGCAGCCAGGGCGGGGGGAGGATGTTGGCGCGGCGTTGGCGTTTGAGGAGGAGGGCGAGCCAGAGGGGGATGTCGGCGCGGTGGGGTGGGGTGAGGGGCGGTGTGGGACCCTGTGGGAGATGAATTGGTCAGCGGTGGTTCGTCGTAGTTTGGGCGTTGGACGGACGGACGGACGTACTAGAGATTGGGATTCTATATGGGTGGAATATGAAGCTGCGTTTTTTTTTTTTTTTTCGGCGGGGTTAGCTACTCACTCCTAGCAGGTCGAGGCTCTCGAGGCGTTGGCGTGGTATCACGGTCACGAGTTCCATTTCGCATAGGAATGTGACTTCGGCCGGCGTCAGTCCTGGCGGTAAGGGGAGCGCCATGGTTGTAGAGAGGGTTGGTGATGGTGTCGCGACGCGTCCGCTGCGGGCAGTACGTCAAGGGCGACGCGACTGAAAAGCCGGTCCGAGATTTAGCCGCGAGAACGGGCTTCGCGGACTGCGCCAATGCCTGCCGGCTTCCACCCCTTCCACACTCTTGGGTCATCCGTTAGTGTCAATTGAGTGGGTTGCCGGCATCAAGAATGGACCCGTCCGCCAGCTTCAAGGTCCTGGCTCTAGGCTTCACCTTGCTCCTCATTCCGTCTTGGGAATGGCTCTCGAAAACTTCTGACGCCGTCCCAGAACCGTACCTGGTACGTCGAAAAAGAAATCGGAGCAGTGTCCAAATACTTACCGAAGCTTCAGGATGAGGTCTTCCATGTTGGCCAAGCACAGGTCTACTGTAGTGGGAATTTCGCCCACTGGGATCCCAAGATCACCACCCCTCCCGGGCTGTATGCAAAGCACATCTACCAAGACGTTGGACTCCTGCTGACACTTTGAAAGCTACCTTCTCTCATATCTCGTATTTCGCATCACTGGTCGCTGCGACATCTACGTCCTTCGCGCGCTGAATTGCTCTTTTGCCCTCTTCATTGCTCAAGTCTCCTTCTCCATTCTCGCTCGGCTCTATGGTCTTCTCAAGCAGAGGAGCACTGCCGAAATCACTGCCCCATCCGACAGAAAGAAAGCTGTTCTTTTCACCAATGCGGTGCACACGGCTCTCAACATTTGTCTCTTCCCGCCATTGTTCTTCTTCTTCGGACTCTATTACACCGATGTTCCGTCAACATTCTTCGTGCTGCTGAGCTACTTCTTCGCGCTCCGAACCCAGCAAGAGCGCGGCAAATTCATGAAATTCCCATCAGTAGTCAATACTGTCGTCCTCGGTGCCGCAGCGCTGTTCTTCAGGCAAACGAACATCTTCTGGGTTGCCGTTTTCCCGGCCGGCCTGGCCCTCGTGCAGGCACTCAAGAAGTCCGCACGCCCCACGCCCGAGGACGCCAAGGAGGACACGGTTGGCGACGTGCTCAAGAACAGTTTGCTGTATATGTCTGTATACGACAGGCCGGTGCGCTACGCGTTCGTCGAGGGTAAGGAGCCGTGTACCGTTCGAACGCCACCGACGAGACACTAATTCGATACTTCAGACTATCTCAAGATGGTCATTTCCCTCGCCGTAGCCGCGATACGGAATCCAGTCACAGTCATCTACTCCATCGCCCCCTACACGGCCCTCATCGCCTTGTTCGGCGGTTTCGTAGCCTGGAACGGCGGCGTCGTCCTCGGTACGCCCCCGCAACCCTCACCTCCTACAAAGAACCTGCCACCGCTGACACCCCGCCCCCCCACTGCGTAGGCGACAAATCAAACCACATCGCCACCCTCCACACGCCCCAAATGCTCTACATCTGGCCCTACACCCTCTTTTTCTCCTTCCCCATCCTCCTCCCCTCCATCCTCTCCACCCTCCTCGCCATCCTCCCGCCGACCCTCGTCCCGGCCCCGCTCGCCGCGTTCGTCAAGCCCGGCCAGAGGCAGCTCCTGCCCCGCGCAGGCGTCCTGGCGGCGTGGACGGTCGTCGCCTTGGCCGCCGTTCACTTTAACACCATCGTCCACCCCTTCACCCTCGCCGACAACCGCCACTACGTCTTCTACGTCTTCCGCATCCTGCGCCTGCACCCGGCGCTGCGGTATGCGGCGGCGCCGGCGTACGTGCTGGGCGCGTGGGCGTGCGTGCAGGCGCTGGGATCGGGGTCGCGGTTGGCCGTTGCGGAGAGGATCAAGGCCGTGCCTGTTGCGCAGGAGGAGGGGGAGGACGCGGAGAGAAAGGCAGAGCAGAAGAGTAAGGAGGAGGAGCTGGACAAGATGGAGGGCGAGAAGAAAAAGAAGCTGGATCTACCGGAGGGCGTGAAGAGCGAGGATCTGGTCGAGGAAGGGTGCCAGGCGAGTTTTGTGTTGGTGTGGTTGGCGACGACGTCGTTGAATTTGGTGACGGCGCCGTTGGTGGAGCCGCGGTACTTCATCGTGCCGTGGATCATGTGGAGGTTGCATTTTCCGATCAACTCGGCCGGGAAGGATATGGTGCTCGGGGTTGCGGCGAAGAACAAGGGGGAGAAGGATGGCGGGAGCAGGGAGGGACAGGACGAGGTGCACAACAAGGCGCTGTGGGTGGAGACGGCATGGTTCTTGATCGTGAATGTGGTGACGGGGTACATCTTCCTGAACTGGGGGTTCGTGTGGCCGCAGGAGCCCGGGGTGGTGCAGAGGTTCATGTGGTAGGTGTGGATTTCGACTTCGGACATGCATGTCCCTCAGCCTATAGGAACCGGACACACCATTTCATACCATCATCCGCGATGGTGCGCCCTCACGGTTATCTGAATCCACTTTTTTCCTTTGTTTTTACCCCGTGCAACTTTGCGTTGTTGACTATACTCTCCAGCACTGACCAGGACGCGGAAGCAACACGCTTGCAGCAACTTGGTTTGTTTTGCAGATCACCAACCACCTCTCACGTCTGCTGACTAGCATACACCACATACGGCATTCTCTCACCGCAACGGTCGTCACTTCAGGGCCGAATGGTTCGTCGAACGCGTGATAAGGCCAAACACATGATAGCGAAAGGCCCCCCGGCACATCGTCCTTGATCATACGCAAACAGTAAAACGGGAAAGGAGATCCACAAAGTATCGGTAACAGTGGGGGATCCCGGCGAGCGCGTGCTAAATCGAGGTCATACGCATCGTCCACTTGGGTGGTCCAGACCGTCAGCAGTCAGTGGAGAAGTCGATACGCCTATCTCCTTTTGCACGAGGCACGAGCGACTTCCCCAGTCACCTTTTTTTAGGATTGTCGAATGGGAGCGATGGAGCCCTGTTGTTTCCGATTCAGCGTCCAATCGGCTGACCATGGTAGACGCGCGGAGCTCCGCGTCGATCAACCGCCCGGCAAACGGTGCGTGCCGCCCGCTCGCTGAAAACTTCCCCACCACGACAATCACGTCGGACGGCGCTTACGGTAGGTGCTCCGCGCCATCCGAACCACCACCGCGACTGATATAAGTTCTCGCCAAAATCATCCTTTGCCTCAATCTTATCATCGGGTTTTGTTTCACGGCCGACTGCGATACATCTCTGTCTTGTCTTTTGCCCCAAACACACCACACCATGCTTTGCGACACCTGCTACCGGATGCTGCACCACCAAGCAGGCCTACGGGAGAACCGCAGAGTCGAGCTACGCTTCGATCACCACCGGCGCATCTCAACCCTGCGCGAGGCCGCCGAGAGCGGTTGCTCGATATGCTCCGCATTGGCGAGGCAGCTGGAGCGAGAACACTTCATCGATTTGGGAGCAGCAGACCAAAACATCCATCTGCAAGCCGCGCTGGCCTCCATCTGCGGCAGGGAGTGGAAGCGCGGCTACTACTCGCTGGACTTCCTGCTGGATGGAAGGTGGATGCGGACCTTCGCTCTGAGACCACGCAGTAGGTCACCACCAGTGAACCCAAACCGCTCTACAAGAATCTGACGCCATCATGCAGCATCGACAGCGAATTCGTGGTGGGGTCTCATCAGGAGAAGAAAGACGCAGCACCCGCACCAGCACGCGGCGCACACGCACTCCCCTGCCGTCTTCGAGCTCGCCCAGCGCTGGCTCTCGAATTGCAAATGCGCCGACCCGACCTCTTCCTCTCCCTCCTCCTCTCCCTCAACGAGACAAGAACAATACTACCCCCACCGCCTCCTCGACCTCGACAGCATCAAGCGCGCCATCGCCTCCTCCTCCCCCTCCTCCCCCAGCGACCCCATCGAACCCATCAACCCGCAAACCCGCATCCACCTCCTCGAGACCCGCTCGCCGCACTGGCAAAAAACCGACCCCTCCACCAACCGCTACGTAACCCTCAGCCACACCTGGGGCTCGCCCTCGCCCCCCACCACCACCACCACGACGCCCCGCCTCCTCGCCAGCAACCGCCAAGCCCTGCTGACCGCCGGCATCGCGCTCGCCTCCCTCCCCGCCACCTTCCGCGACGCCGCCGTCTTCGCCAGCCACCTGCCCGGCGTGCGCTACCTGTGGATCGACGCGCTGTGCGTCGTCCAAGCGGAGACGCCGACCGCCTTCGTCCGCCAGTCCGACGCCGACGCCGACGCGCTGGGCGCGGACGAGGATTGGCGCGTCCAGGCGGCGGAGATGGACAGGGTGTATCGGAATGCGTATTTGAATATTTCGGCGGCTGTTGGTGATGGTGGCGACGCGGCTGGTGGTGGTGGTGCGGGTGGGGCGGCTGAGGTGGGGTTGTTTCGGGAGAGGAATCCGGCGGCGTTGGGGGAGGATGAGGTCGGGGTCGATGTGCGGGGGTTGCTGGAGCTGGATGGGGATGGGGATGGGGACGGGTACGAGGACGAGTACGACGAAGATGACGAGCTGGACGGCGGTGGTTATGATCGGGGGAGGGGGGCGCGGCGGCGGCGGCGGAGGGCGCTAAAGGCGTGCGTGAAGGCCGGCGTAGGGGCGGTCTTGGGGTGCTTGCGATGGAAGAAGAAGAAGCAGCAGCAGCACGTGAAGCGGTGCTCGGTCGTGGACGTGGCGCTGTGGGACGACCTGGTCGAGGACGCGGCCGTCAACCGCCGCGCGTGGGTGTACCAGGAGCGGCTGCTGGCGCCGCGGGTCCTGCATTTCTGCGCCGACGGCCAGCTCGCGTGGGAGTGCTCCGAGCGCTGCTGCACCGAGCGCTATCCCGACGGCGTGCCCGGCCTGCAGCTCAAGTCGGGCGTCATCGTGAGCGAGGAGAGGGTGAAGGATCTGGAGCCCGTCGAGGAGGCGTCGCTGCCGGATGCCAGCTTGGAGGATGTGAATGGAGACTTGGAGAAGAAGGAGGAGGACGACGACGTCGTCGTCGTCGCGCCGAGACGGCTCCACCACTACGAGCTGTGGAAGCGGATCGTCGAGATGTACTCGCAGAAGGAACTGTCCAGGCAGGGAGACAAGCTGATGGCGCTCGCGGGCCTCGCCAAGTTCTTCTTCGACACGAAGCTCGCCCCTGGGTGGCCGCCGGTCCCGCAGCAGAGACAACTGCCGCAACAACATCCGTACGTTGCCGGGATGTGGCGAGAGTACTTGGAGGTCCAGCTCCTCTGGCGCGTCGAGCCGCGGTTCGAGGACGGCTGGATCCACAACGGCACGCGGCGCTACCCGCGACGCGCGCCTTCTTTCTCGTGGGCGGCGCTGGACGTGCCCGACGGCGTCGTGGGCGGCGAGTACAGGGACCAGAACCTGCTGTTCCGCGTCGAGGACGTGCAGATGAAATACGTGGACAGCAGGAACAAGTTCGGCTTGGTCGAGGGCACCGGGTGCCGGCTCTTGCTCGATGCTCGCGTCGTCCAGATCGAGCTGCACGAGATCGAGCCCGTGTTCATCACGCCGTACGGATGGTGGGTGAGCGGCGGCAAGGCGCCGTCGTTCATGGACATGTACACCGACGTCTATCTGGACAGTCCGACGGATGACGGCGATGTGTTTGAGGCTGGCGCGAAGATATTTTGCATGCCTGCTTCGACTGGCGAGGGGGGAACAAAGCAGTCTCCGTCGGACTGCATTTGTCTCTTGCTGCAGCTTATCGGAGAGGCTGAAGGTCGCCGGGCTTTCAAGAGGATTGGGCTCGCGAGGCTTTCGGACTATGAAAGCGAAAAGTTCCAGCAGGATTCGAAGGATGTACAGTCTGAGAAGATGTATCTGTATTGAGAATGATACCCTTGTTTTCTTATGTACCAACCATGTTATGTAGGAGTCCATAGTAAGCTGTTGAGCAAAGTCTTCCTATTCATTGATGTTTACTTCTACAAACCCGACTGAAACCTTCCATGATCCAATTATGAAGGCCTTCGACGAGATATATGGATCTTTTAGCCAGTTGATTACCCTCTCGTTCTACAGAAACCCCTCTTGTACGTCCTTGCTTTTAATTTGGCAATAAGCTCGAGTTCAACAGCGAACACGAGGACCCGAGTATGACATTGCCACCGTGGACCAGCCCCACTTCGCGTTCATCCTGTCATGTCATCCTCAGGTGAGGTAAGAAAGAACTTCGCAGACGGGTGTGGTAGTGATTTTCTCGAAGTAAAGATGTAGTTGGTATGCCTGAGAGGCTTGCGAGTTCGTAAATGGGAAGTTGTCCTGCACGACGACGGATGACGCCCCTGTGCTGAAGGAACCCAGCCCAACCCGAAGCGGACGCAGCGTGGTGATATGGAGAGGTGAATGTAGGGCCGATCGGAAGGATGCGCTCGATTGAGTAGGCGTTGTCTGGTGTTTGGAGGGAACGCTACCAAGAAGCTCAAGGCATTCCAGCTTGATCTTCATTACAAGAGCGGGAGGAATGGCGCGGAGATATGGCAGCCTGGGTGTTGATCATTCTTGCATTCCTGAACTGTTGTCTTTCAAGACTTGGCAAACTCCCTCGCAGCCATCCATCGCGTCGGATCATCGATCGGTCGGTCTGGTAAATCGGCATAACGGATCTTGAAGTCCAAGTCCTCCTCCAGCAGAGATTCCCGAACACGCGATTCTGAAGGATGGTTAGTTGGCTACTCATTTGTACCTGGGTTGTTTACACATGCCTTTTATGGAGAGCACCAAATCCTCAATTTCCTGATGTTTGGCGTCGAAATCATCGCCGATGGTTTCAACAAAGTCCTCTTCTGGTGCTACGTCCGGCTGCGTCGAAGTGGCTGCGAGTTTCGGTGCATCAAAGGAGACGGAAGCTGCCGGCGTTTTTGGACCATGGTCGACGATGGGCGCTTGATCTGAACGGTGGGCGTGCGCAGCTTCCAGGTGGAGCAGTGCACCACCAGGTAGCTCCTGCGACGCACGCCGCACTGGGGCAGCAAGCGTCTTCGTGGAGGCGTTGGTAGCGACAAGGGCCAGCGCTGCTGAGAACAAACCCGACGGCTTCATTATGGAGAGAAGAGCAGGCGAAACGGTAAGAACAGAGGGTTCAAAGGGGTCGACGTGGAAGGTTAAGGATTAAAGTTGAGATTGTAGCGCCATGGGCTGTTATATACGAAGCACTCGCGTTCCAGAACCTCTCTGGCGGGCGCCGCGGCCATGAGCGCGAGGCGTTGCTCCACGTGCGCTAAGCCTCCCGCCGTATAGGCATTGGCTTTATTTCCGTTTCCGGAACAGGAAACGTAGCGTCCCTTGCCCTCCCCCGCTCGGCGGAGGCGTCTGCGATGAAATTGCTTTTGCGGCACACTTGATATGCCTGCGAGATGCGTGTCTCTTCAGAGACGCAGAGGAAGGAGTGGAACTCGCGCGCGACTGCGTCCGAGCCGAGGAATTTGAAACATATTTTGCAGTGCAGTGGAAAGTGTCGGGCGCTCGGGATGCGGCGGCGGCTAGCCACTGCCCTTGCACGTTCGGCTTGTTCGTCGCCTCCGAAGGAATGGGCCGCCACTGTGCCACGCGCATCTGACATCAACAATAAAGGGAAGAAGTTTTATCCTGTAGAGAACCATAGAAGTGACCTTTCTCTATGCTTACAGCCGGCCAATCGCTGTGTAATAGACTCTGAATCCGGCAGGCTTTAGCGAGGAGCCTGCTGCACGCGGAAACTCTCTCGGGGCCTGCCGAACCATGGGACTCGTCCGGCAGTCTTGCAATACTAAACCTGCCGATCCCTGAGGCTGTGTCCACTTCAACCAGGGCACATTTACACTTCGCTATTCCCCTTCTTTATTGGCCTCTTGCCAAGTTTCACTCCGCTCACCATACTTCTACAATTTTCTGCTTGGATCGCGTCATATTCAATAAGGTCGTCCGTACCAAATCACTTCAATCTTCTCCAATGACAGCTATCACTTACTCAAAGCAGCCCCCCTACTACGCAACCAACCACAATTCTTGAACAAATTGGAATAGGCAACCTTGAAATTACGGGAAGCGATATTGAATTTTGCATTGCTCAGTATATTATCTTCAGTGTTTCTTGAAGCACTGGTACCATCGTGAAGAGGGACAAAACCACATAGACAAATCTTCTACTCGACGCCAATATCCACACTGACGGGCCCATCTAACCTCGTGCTGTCCCCGCATAGTAAAATCCGCAATGACCACCTCCTCTCTCACGCTCGAAATCTTGAACTCTCCCATAGAAAAGAGCCGTAAAGCCGCTTCCCCTCAACACTTCGACTACCTACCTCACCGTCCCATCCCATCTGTCAGCACTGCACCCCTCTTCTCGTCTCTCAACCGCTCCTCTCAGAGAATCCAGCTCTTTCAAACTGCCCTTCCTTCATCCTGACCAGCCCCTCCTCCACGGTCACCCCCCAAACACATCCCACACGGCGCCTCCGTCTTGGCAACCAACACCCGCCTCGTCCCCTGCGGGCAAGCCTTCGGCAGCAGCGACGGCAGCGACGGCACTCGCCCGATAGCTCGTCGCGGCGGCGACGTCACCACCATCCTTGTGCCCGTCATCGATCGTCTCCTCATCGACATGTTCGCCGCCGTCGATGTCGTTGCCGACGTCGTTGCCGTTGCCGTTGCCGTTGCTGTTGCCATCAGGGCCGTCCCCGCTTTTGAAATTTCGCAAAGCACGTAGTACGGTTCGCATGGGTAGGGCGGGCAGCCGCAGGAGGCGTGGGCGAAGGTGATGTGGCACATGGGGTCCTTTTTTCTTGGTTTAGCTTGGTTTGGGCGTGCTGTTCTGATCGTTGGTGTCGTTCTCTTTTGTCTTGAATACTTGGTGAACGAGACAGCAGCTGCCATGCACCTGTTATACCCATAGTCGCTATCTTCCAGTGACACACAAACCGCCGCGGCGTCAAACCTGCTCTGCGCGGTCTGGAACAAATTTCCAGGGCAATTACGACCACCATGTATCTGCGAATCTCGGCTGCCGGCAGGATGGGAGTGAGCATAGGCAAATGCATGGCATAAGCGGCATGGAATGCCGGGACTGTTGCATTGCCTGCTTGCTCATCCTGCTTCTTTCCGCAATGACGCTCTTCCTTTCCCTCTTTCCCTTTCTTAATTTTCCCTTCTTTATTCCTTCCTTCCTTCCTTCCTTCCTTTCTTGCTTTCCCTCGCACCTTCGCAAAAAGAACGAACAGGCGTAGAATTCAGGGAGAAGAAACAAAATAAAAAAAAGACACAAGGAAATCAACCCACAACACAGACGCACGCATGCATGATGAATACATGCAAGAAGCCACACCACATGACGCAACCGCCCCGCGCACACACCTCTCAACGAAACAACAAAGCCCCCAGGTGGAAAGGAAAATCTTCCAGCATCTGCAGGTCTGTCTCACAACCGAGACGTTTCACAATCATCTCATCTTTCCAAAAACAACATTACCGGGGCATATACACGCACATCACATCAACGGGACGGCCGAAAAAAAGCCCAGGGATATCGCAGACGTTTGACATTAGCATTGATCTGAGGCCCAAAAACGACATACTACTGCGGGCATAGCACTCTCAAGAGAAGCATTCAAACCTGCTTCTCTCGTCCCTTTCCATCTCCTCCCCCCCCTCTTCCTTCAGCTCAGACACAACTACATGGGAGATATATCGTAGGAAGAGGAATCATACAACAGTCGCGGAGGAAACCTCAACCAAAACCTCCTCTCCCAACCAAAAACAAATAGTGAAAAGGAGACAGACTAGGCATGCATACCATACTCTGACCAATAAACCAAACAGACGCACACACACACACCACAATAGACGAGAGAAAACACTCCTCAAGGGCCGAAATCAAGAAAAGAATAAAATTAAGAAAGGCAAAGGGTAACAGGAACAGCGAAAAAGCCCCCAAAAGAAAAACGTCATTTGTTTCTTTTCGTTCGTTTGTCCAGTCTATGTAAGGAAAGTAGTAAGGACGAAAAAAAAAAGGTTCAAAAACCAAACGTCGTTGAGGCAAAAAAACCACAGGAAGCTGTTATCAATAGCAGCAACGACGCCGATAAAGAAGCTTTCCCACTTAGCTCTTCCTGCGCCGCCCTCCCTCCCGACAACAGCTTCTTTTTGACAAGACTTATTTAATGCCGCGCCCCCACTTCAGTGCTAGCTTTCCCGTTCCTTCCGACAGGGCTCCTAGGGCTCCTTTCACCGGAGCTCTCCGGCTCGCTGTCACCCGGGCTGTTGGGGTCGCTTTCGCGCAGGTTCCGTCGGTTGCGCGCCATCTGGATTGTCTGTTAGCGGAAAAACTTCATTTGTTTTCAATAGAGAGAGCTGTGTGGGGGTGGGGGTGTTTCCGAACTGAGTGAGCACTGGGGGAAAAAAAAGATTCTCATGTACGTACCCATCCTCTGACGCTGCTGATCAAACCCAAATTGTACCCAGCCGCAAAGTCGCTCGCCCGGTCGTTGTTCGAGCCTCTCAGGCTGCCCGCGGTGTCCAGGTGGCTGAGGTGCCGCTTCAGGGTCGGTGGCGTCTCCCGACTGGGCGTAGCGGCTGGGCTGCGGGCGGGGCTGGCGGGCCTGCTCCCGCTGATGTTGGTCTGCCAGAACTGGCGCAGTTCCTTGCCCAGCTCCTGCCCCGTCGTCGTCCAGTTGCTCTTGATGTTGTCCCGCAGCTCCGTCATGTTGCGCTTGAGGTCCAGCTCGTTCTTCTTCAGCCACGACACGTTCAGCTCCTGGCGCGACGCGCCCCGCTTGAATTGCCGCTGGATGTACTGGTCGTAGTCGCGGACGATCCTGCCAGATGCCCGGTGGTATGAGAATCATGCTCTTTTTCACTTCCCTCATCGACCCACCAAAAATTTTCGGGGCAAAACTTACTTCGTGATGATGCCAGTCGTGCTGAGACCCTCGGTCCGCTGCGTAACGAGGAATTTACCCTCCTTCTTGATGGAAGAATAGATATCGTCGCCCTCGTCCGCACCGTACGGGATGTCGTCGTGCGCAACGTAGTCGATCTTGTGCTGCGCGAGGAACTCAGGCGACACCACCCACGGGCAGTCTTCAACCACCTCATCCACCCACTTGCAGTGTCTGACGCTGTCCGCCCGCTCGCGCGCCGACATGACGGTGAGTCCTTTACGCTTGTGGGTTTCCTTATCGCCCGTGACACCTACGAGCAGATACGTGTTGGGGAAGGCCATCTTAGCTTGCTGGAGCTGTCGCATGTGTCTGCACCATCCGGCCGCATCAGCATTCTCTTTCACATCGTCACAACCCATCACCAAAGACGGGAGAAAAAGAAACAAAAACCACCGGGTCGGGAAATCCGTGTGTGTGAACATACCCGAGATGGAATAGATCAAAGACACCGTCCGCATACACACGCACCGCACGACCCTCGGGCGGCGGGTTGGTCTTGTAGCCCACCGGATCGACCAGGCCCGCGCGCGGCGGGTCGGGCATCCTCATCTTGCCCTTCTCGCCGTTCTCGCCCTCCACGGCCTTCTCCTCGTTGGTCCGCTCCTTCCTCTCGGTGCGGGCGGCCTTGGCCGCCGGCGCATCGTCGTCATCGTCGTCGTCGTCGTCGTCTCGTTCGTTGTCGTCGCCGGCATCCGGCTTGCTGCTCGAGCGGCCGCGCTTCGTCGACGAAGAGGCGGCGCCGGCGGCGTTGCCCGTCTCCACTTGCTGGCGCTGCTTCAGCTCCTGGAGGACCGGGTCCTCGGTGTCTTCGCCAGAGGCATCGCGGGATGAGGGCTGGGCGACGTCGACGGGCGGCGCTTGGGCGGCGGTGCCTGTGGCTGCGGACGACCCAGACAAGGTGTTGGTACGCTTGCGCTTCGGAGCCATTGCGAGCGTTGTGGGGGGGACAGGCAGACCTCGCTACGTGCGGATTGCAGGAAAGTTGAGTGTCGGGAGGAGGAGGAGGAGCAGTGTTGCTGACACAAGGCGGATTGAAAGTGACTGCGGGCGTTAGGCGGTCAGTTCGTGGTCCGTTCGGCGTGGAGCAGCAGGCATTAGGAAAAACCGCGCATGCGGGGTGGTGGAGCGGGCGCTGGAACTTACAGGACCGGTCACGCGCAGTGCGGATGAGAGAAGGCGGAGGAAGTCGGGGAAGAGGTAGGGGATGGAAAGGCGTGCAGGACAATGTGCGGGCGCGAGGAAGTCTAGTTGAGCCCGAGCTCCCTGCGGCGGACGGGACGACTCGAAAGGTGCGAGGGACGTGCTCCGCCCGCAGCCCGCAGAGCCCAGACGTCACAGGCCACTCATTTCATCACGTGCAGGGCGTGCCAAGCTCTCCCCGACCCTGTTTCAGTCCGTGCTGGCTGCAGAGCCGCAAGGCGTCCAGAACCTGATAACAGTGCGAGTGGCACTGACCGCACGTCATCCTGACTTGCGTCGCGATATTGCTGATTGCTGGCGGCACCGCGCTGCTCAGGAGTGGCCATTCATGCACGGCGGCGGGCGCACCTGCGGGGGAAAAAAGTACTTAATCGTAGTGGAAGTTGGCACCTATGGAAGAAGGGGGGAAATTCGAGAAACAGCAGACAGGGGGGCGAAAAAGAGAAGCCGTGTGCTTGAATGCGAGGTATCGAAAGCCGCAGAGTCTGATGCAAATCCCACACAAAGGAAGAAGCCCGCTTGCCCGCCTTCTCTGTGAGCCCCCGTTCCGTCATCCTCGCAAGTGGTGCCAGAAGAGCCCGCCGGCCGGCGCATGAACCTACATCTCTTCCCTGCCCCAGGCCGCAGGCTCCTCGCTGAAGCCGTTTCTACCGCTGGATATCAAAAGACGTGACCATGACTGGACCGCGCGCTTCCATTTCTTCAACATGGTCCTGCTCTTACTTGCTCTTCTCGGCATCGGCCGGTTTGCTGTCCGCCGCCTGCTTGACCGTGACCTTCGACGCACTTTCCGACTTCTCCGTCTTGTCCGAGGCAGGCGAGTCCTGCGAGGCCGAGGGGGCGGCGCCCTTGGAGGGTGTGCCTGCCTCCGAGGCAGCGGTCGGGGCGGGCGTCTCCTCCCGCTGGTTCTTGTTGACTTGCGACTCGAGGTCCTTGTCCTCTTCATCATGGTCAAACATCTCGCTCTCGGCTGAGTCACTGGAGAGCTCCGTACCGTCACCGAGCAAAATAATGCGTCCTCCCAATCCCTGGCCGATTCTCGTGCCACGGCCCATGTCCATGTCGTAGTCGTCGGGGCTGTCATCATAGCGGTGATGGATGCCCGGTCCCCGGAACTCGGCTACACAGGGAAGAATGTCAGGATCGCATTCCACGACTAACGATATCTATGAGGGTGGACACTTAAGACTTGCCATACTCTGGTGGGGCACACGGACCATCGCCGTTCGCGACCCTCTCAGCAATCGCCTTGTACCACTCGTCCTTGGTCCTGCCCTTGAGCAGCGCAATGATGGTGATGGTCATGTTGTCGCAGCCAACACCGCCCGTGTCGCTGTTCGAGGCCAGGCAGTTGTCCATCATGTTCTCACAGATGTCCTGCAGCTCCTGCTTGGCGGCGATGCCACGTCTCACAAACTCAACGACGGCCTGCGACGACTGGCAGTCCCAGATGCCTGTTGCGGAAAAACGTCAGTGAGCCCGCTCGCAATCTAGATCTGGCACGCACGTACCGTCGCAAGCAATGACCAGAAATTCGTCATCGTCAGTGATCTCGTGCACGGTGACGTCGGGGAATGCAGTCACAATCTGCTGCTCCGGGGGAAGGTCGGCGCTCTTCTTGAACTCAAAGTCGCCAATGGCTCTGGAGAGCGCAAGGTTGCCGTTCACACGGCCGAAGTCGACGAAGCCACCCGCTGCCGTAATTCTCGCCTTCTCGCCTACGCACAGTATCAGCAGGGATGGTGCGGTGACATCAATCGTTCGACGCTGCTGTACCTTCATTCTGCGGCTTGTGGTCAAAGGAAAGCGGCTTCGCCCTGCCCTTGATGCCAAGAACGCTTCTGGAGTCGCCAGAGTTGGCCTGTTCCCGTCAGTTGGAGCCTGGCCGACGCCATTGCTTGACATACCACGTAGATCTTGTCGCTGGAGATGACGCCGACGGATGCGGTGCAGCCGGAAACTTCCTCTTCGTACTTGGGATCTGCCAATTGTCGTCAGCCCCACGTCTGCGGCGCAGTCGGCCCACGGCGGGGGGAATATTCACCGCTGAGAATGGCGCGGTCGGTGGCGAGAAAGCCGTCCTTCAGAGCCTGCTCAATGTTGCCCTCCTTGAACGCGTCCTGCTTTGCTATGATCTTGTGGAGGTTCTCGCCGGCATAGATGGCCACCTTGTCGCCGCCGTGCCCGTCGTAGACGCCGAAGAAGCTCAGGCGGAGGTCGGCAGCAGTGGGCCTGTCGGAGTCGCTGTCGGCGCCCTCGGGCTTGAGGTCGAGAATGCAGGCGTGCGCATCCTCCATGCTGATGCGCCATCCTTGCATGGACGAGACGCCGAAGAGGACGCGGTCATCCTGGCCGGAGGCCGATTTCTGTTGGCAGCGAGCGAGTGGTCAGCACGGTCAGTCGGTAGGCAGCAGGGACGGCAGCGGGTTGGGACGAGTTGAGTGAGGGCGGCCATGGGCTGGTGGTGCGGGCCGCGCAGCGTCTGCGGCGGCGCAGAAACACACCTTATCGACGACCGGCTCTGACAATGTTTGACCCATGATGGGCGGGGCTGGTTGGGGTGTGCGGAAAAGGGAGGCGTCGGGCGGCGGTGGGCAGCGGAGACAGCGTGTTCGGTGGCTATTGAGTGAGCATAAAGGTTGAAAACTCGCTGGCGGGGCGGGGTTGGAAGCGGAAGGTGGAGTGGGCTAAACAAAAGGCAGTGAAAGAACAGCGCGGTCTTGCTGGTTGGGGCGCGGCGGAGCGTGCAGGGCGGGTCGGGCGCAGAGAGTCCGCGAAATAGGTGCGGGAACCTGTGCGAGGTGATCGCGTGGAGTGCAGGTTGCGCCTTGGGCTGGCTCGGTTGCTTGGATGACGAAGAGTCAGCCCAGGTGTTGCTGCTCTGGGCCGAGAGCCACTCAGCGCCTTCTTGCTAGCCGCCGTCCGCAGTGCAGAGATTTGCGGGCTCCGGACACGCGCCCCAAGCCTTCTCTGCGCTGCGCTGGCAGGCTGCCCGCTCTGGCCCCGCGTCTTGCGCTTTTCCTCCGGTCTTTTTACCTAGGCCAAGGGGTCAAGGGCCAGCACACCACCACGCGACCCTGATCGCGCGAGCTCCAGCCAGCACCAGCCAGCTCCAGAAGAGCCCCTACTGCCCGCCTATGCTTAGCTCCAATTTCGCTGCTCAATTTCCCGCCGGCCGTCTTCATTCTGCGCGCCGTGGCTGAGCCGGGCCTTCACTTCGCTACGCCGTAAGGCTGCCTGGAGCTGTTTTGTCTATCTATTCTGGTGCTTCCGCGCGCATCCTCTCTTAAAGCAGCGCCCCCCCGCCCGCCCGCTATCTGCCTTCGATTCGTACTCGTACGCGCCCTCCTTATTTCCCGCACTCTGCGCGCCTCGCCTGGCAGATCCAATCCGCGCACCTGTTTCTACAGCTTGGACGTCTGCGGGAGCAGCGGATATCCCGGGTGGGAGCTCTCTGTCGGGGCCCGGTCAGCTACTCGAGCCCGCCGGACCAAGGGCGCGGCAGACTCACCCAGTGCGCTTCTGTCAATCTGTTCTATATTCTGGAATCCGGCGACGTTCAACAAAATGTCAAGATCGGCCAGCAGGCTTTTCATGACATGACGCACGCCGTGTTCGCCCATGATGGAAAGCCCCCACACCCACAGCCTCCCAACGAAGACGAACTTCGCCCCAAGCGCTAGCGCCTTGAACACGTCCGCGGCACCGCGGACCCCGGAGTCAAACATTATACAAGTCTTGTCTCCAACCGCTGATCAAATTGCAGGCAGTCAGCTTGGCGTAGCTAGGGACGAAAAGAGAAGGGGAAGGGGAGAAAAAACAAAAACGGCAAGCACCGACTCACCGTCCACGATCCTCTCCAGCGCGTCCAGGCTCGCGCACGCCCCGTCGACCTGCCGACCAGCGTGGTTACTGACGACGATGCCGTCGACGCCGAGCTGCACCGCCCTGCGCGCATCGCCGACGTCCTGGATGCCCTTGATGCAGAACGGCCGCCCGCCCGACATGTCCTTCCACGTCCTGATGAGCCACGCCACCTTATCCCACGAGTGCGCCCGGCCGTGCCACACGTTGTCGATCCACTTCGCGCCCGCCTCGTTGGGCTGCTTCGCCGGGTCGATGCCGGCCTCGGCCAGCCGCTTCTGGAAGACGGGGTCGCTGAGCCCCAGGTCCGCGCCGATGCCGTGGTAGAAGGCGTAGTTGCTGGTAGCCACGTCGTCATGTCGCCAGCCAAGTTGCCTAGGTTGGCCCCGGGATTTCTCAGCCCTCATTCGTTCTCGCAACGTGACATTTTCTGCTCTCCCGGCTTACCATGTATCGACGGTCAATATGCAAGCGGAGAAGCCAGACTTGTGCGCCCGCGTCAGCAGCGACACGGTCAGCTCGTCGTCGTGCGGCATGTACAGCTGGAAGAAGCGCGGGCCGTCGCCGTTGGCCTCGGCCACTGCCTCGACGGGCTGCGAGCCGGCGGTGCTCAGGCAGTATGGCAGGTTGAGCTCCTGCGCGACTTTCGCGACGGGCAGCTCGCCCGCCGGGTTGTAGATCTTGTTGATGCCGATGGGAGCGAAGCCGATGGGCGCTGATACCTTGTGCCCGAAGATTTCCGCCGCCGTGTCGCGCGCGTTTGTGTCGACCAGCATGCGCGGCACGATGCGGTGCCGGTAGAAGGCCTGCCGGTTCGCTGTGTGCGTGTACGATTGCCCGGCGTTGGATGACGCGTAGTACCACCCGTTCTGCGTGAGCTTCTCCCTGGCCAGCTCTTCCAGCTTAGCCGGGTCTTGTTCGTTCGCGTTAGCGGGAGACACCTTGGAGGCTTTGCGGAGGTGGAGAGAGGCTCAACACGGTACCGGTGTTGAAGAGCGGGACTTTGCCCTCATTGCTCGCCCAGAAATTTTCGCGTTGGTACAGCGCCCATTGCGGCGTGGTTCTGACGTTCTTGTTGGGGCCGTTGGCGTCCATGGTTGCACGGGAAAGCAAGTCTACAAAAGCAGTGAAATCAATGTTTCAATAAAGCTGGGCAGTCACGTATCTTGCCTTCCCATGGCAATTTAAGAGAAGCAATGTACTATCAGCTACGACTCTTGCGTAAAGCACCCATCACTGATCCCCACTAGTGGCATACCTTCTCCCACGGCCGCATTTCCGAGCCGTCCCGTTCCAGCGAACCTGACAAATAAATGCGCGCGCGGAAGATGGTGGCGGTGCCGCATGGGTCGCGGAGGCGAGTGATATCATTGCCGCCCCCCGGAAGATAAACGCGCTAGCGAAAGCTTGACGTGACCAGGAAACACCCCTCCCCACATGCACCAACCGACGTCAGCCCTTGGGAATTATTGCGCACAGCAAGATAATGAACGCCTTTGTTCGCCATGTCACAGAAATCCCTCTGCCCCGTGACTTGCTTCATTTGGGCAAAAACGCAACCTACTTCTGCTCTTCCTTTTCTTTCCCCTTTCGCCGCAAAGGGTTGTTGGGAAGAATCTGATATACACGGGATGCTTCATCGGTAGATTCTCTATCTCATGGCCTTAATCTAAGTGAAGAGCCCATTCATATACACACACCTACGCAATCGGCCTGTTGCCCCCCGATCTTGCTATCTCCCTCCTGCCTCCACTGTACCAATCGCCAAGTAGTATGCTTCGGATACTCCTATTCCTTCCTAGTCCGTAATGCTCCTCTATGCCATGCAATGGGTCATGGATCGTGAAAACGTGTCGCCAGAAGCATTCTTGCACCATCGTAGCCACCTATGATACAAGCAGGAGAATGTTGAAGTCAAAGGCCCCAGCCAGGTCACACCGCCAGCCTAGTTTCAAAAATCCCCCATGAAACCTTTCAGGGCAGGGTCCAAAGCTTGGCCTCGCCATCGTCTCCCGTGCTGATTATGACCTCTTCATCCTCCGACTTCCTTCCCTTGTCTCTCCGCAGCGCCCACGTAACGTGGTTGATCTCGAAGACGTCGTGTGCACCCTCGACCTCGGCGACGACGACCCACTCAGTCAAGGGCTGCGCCTCCTCCTTCTGCCCCTCCGCTGCGCCGTCACCATCAGCAGGCCGCGGCACCGTCGCGTCGCTGCTTTCCCTCCTCCACTGCTCCTTGTACACGACGATCTTCCCATCGCTGCCCGTGCTGGCGATAAGACCCGACTTCTTGCTCCAGCTGACCGAGTAGATGGCACGACCATGCCTCCTGGGCAGCACCGCCTCCTGCACCCACTCCTCCTCGATGCTGCTCGTGCGCAGGATGCTCGGCATCCCGTTCCTGCCCGCCGCCCCCTGCGCCGCCCCGCCATCCTTGGGCTTCATCTTCCACACCCTCACCGTCAAATCGTCCGAGCAAGACACCAACCTGCTCCCCGACGCGACCCTCTCCTGCAACCACCTCGCCCTCTCCGCCTTCCTCTCCTCCGACAGCGCCGCTCCCTCTCCCTCTCCCCCCTCCTCCTCAACCCTCAGCCCCGACACCTCCACCGCCTCGAAATCCACACACCACACCGTCGCCTCATGCCCCGTGATACACGCCACCGCCGTCCAATCGTCCACGTCCTCCCGATACAACCTGATGGTATCGTCATAGCTCGCGCTCGCCAGCAGGTCCTCGGCCGGATGCCACACGACGCACTTGACGTCCGCCTCGTGCTCCTGCAGCACGGCGATCGTCTCGAAGTTGTCGTCCTCGACCTCCTCCCACACCCACACGCTCTTGTCCCGGCTGCACGTCGCCAGAAACTGCCCGCCGGCGCTCCACGCCACGCTCTTGATCTCGCTCTCGTGCCCGTCCAGGATGACGCTGAACCGCCACTCCTCGTCCTCCTCCTCCTCGTCGTCCCCCGCCGCAACATCCACCTCCATCGCCCCACCCCCCGTCGTCCCCCCAGCACCACTCCCACCACCACCCTCCCACCGCCTCCACACCCCCGCACTCGCATCGAAACTCCCCGTCGCCAACACGCTCTCCGCCATACCACCACTATTACCATTTCCCGCAGGCTTCCACGCGCACGCCCGCACCGACCGCTTGTGCCCGCCCGCCACCGTCGACGCGAGCGAAAACGTCGCGAGGCTGTACACGCGGACCGTCTTGTCCGACGACGCGGTCGCGACGAGCGGCAGCGACGGGTGGGGCGCCGTCATCCACGTGCGCGCGGCGCTGGCGGGGGCGAGGGTCGCGAGGGGGGCGAGGAGCGGAGGGGAGGTGCTGGGATCGTCTGTGGTGGAGGGCATGGTTGGTTGGGTGGTTGGTTGGTATGTATATGTGTGTGTGTGTGTGTGTGTGTGTGTGTGTGTGGAGAGGGAGAGGTGTGGTGCGGTGCGGTGCGGTGGGCGATTGTGTGTGTCTGAGAGAAGGCTGAGCGGTTGGTTGGTTGGTTGGTTGGTTGGTCGGTCGGTCGGTCGGTCGGTCGGGGTTTTCTTTCGTATGTTCGCTCGTCGGACACTCGTAAAAGCTGTTGTTGTTCGAGGGTCGGTCGGTGGGAGCAGGTAGATGGCTAGACAGGTGGGTTTGCTGGTCCCACACGCCCGTTCGGTGTGGGGGAAGAGAGAGCAGGAAAAGAGATCCCGGTCGTCGTTGTCGTCCTCCTCGTAGATGTACGAAAAAAGTTTGCCGCGCGAATGCCCGTGTCAATTGCGCCCCTTCGTGCAGCCGTAGAAAAAAAAAAGGTTCTGCTGCTGCGGTTTCGCGGATGAAGCAGGGCAGAGGGTGACGTTGGTGGGGGGAGGTACAACGCGGGGCAGATGGGCAGCTCGAGACGTTGGTTGTTGCGCGAAAGAAACAAAATGATTATCTTATCCTAGCGCGTAGAGCGTCATCGCTCGCCCGCCCGCCCATTCGCGCGCGGAAAGCATCGGCTTCGTGGCGCCCATTGCGCCTTCAGCTGCCCGCCCATCCATCCATCAGCCGGCCGCGCGCTTTGACTCGCGCTCAGACAAAGGCTAATCAAAAGTCAATTCGTACCTCTTCGTTGTTTTTTTTTTCTTCTTTTTTCCTCTTCCTCTTTCAAAAGCACTGCTCCAGGGTCCAATGAGAAATACCGCACTCTTCCTTCGTGGGTAGCTGAATCGAATGCTCGGACGTGCAAGCTTATAAAGTGTACAGATGAATTCAACGTGCCATCCGACTACGCAAGATTACAAACCGCAATACCCCTGTCGAGACAGGTTCGAAGTAGCCGGTTCCTTCTACGACCTGCTGCGACGTATAAAAAAAAGCTCAAGGCCGGTGCGCACCGTATTTCATCAACACAAGCAACTAATCATATGCACAACACCATTGCGAAGTATTATAATGTCGATTTTTATGTTTTCCGAAGCTGAAGGACCAACTGCTGTCTTTATGCATGCAATCATGGGTATCCGATTCATCAATGAAGGCCGAGTACTCTCTTTTCATCCAGTTATTCCCACCGTTCTGGAGAAAGAAAATAGAGAAGGAAATGAAAAGGGACAGCATCTGCTATCGTCCCGGAAACGAAACCTGTACGCCCAAATGCCACCCACGCTCATTTTCTTTCGTTTCGTAGTATCCGAACCATAGAAAGAAGAAATAGAGTGAAAGAACGCAACGCGAAAGCTGAAGGAGAGAGGGACTGGTCCGGACCATCCCTTACTATACCCAAGAAAAAGAACGGCCATGTCGTTGCTGGTGGCCCGAGATCGGTCAATCTGACCAATGGTACGAGACCACTGAACGCCGCAGACGTAAATTTGCAGATGAAGAAGAGGGGAAAGTGGCAGCAGCTCTATCGAGATGCAAAGACAGCAATGCGAAAGCTAGTATTTTCGAAATCAGAAGAAAATTAAATGGCGAACGTCCATATAAACCCGGTCATGGATCCAGCTCTGGGAGCACCGTCTCTCCGGCAGAAAAACCTTGGGTGAGTCGACGAAAAAGGCAGTCGGTGTCCTGGGAATAGGAAAGGATAGAGGACGCAGAGCGATATTGATTCTACGAGCGCCTCCACGCTGCACTCGTAATCTCAAACAGCTCATCGGCAAATGTATCCTCCTCCTTGCCCCCTTGGCCAGCCTCGGACCGGACACCCAACTCTGTCAGTTGCATGACCGAGTCTTCCTTCCCGCCGTCATCGATGCGGATGTCCTGGCTGACCATGATGCCGCCGAGCCCGCCGCCGCCGCCGCAACGACCACCGTAGGGAAGACTGACGCTGTGGTTGCGATTGCGGTCGCGGTCGCGGTCGCGATCGCAGGTCTCAGCAGATATACGCTTGAGCATGTCGTCCATCGACACCAGCTCGCGCTCTGACGCGCTATCCGGCTGAAGCCCGCTGTCCCTACGCGAGTTGGCGCCAGACATGCCGCCGAGCCACGACTTCAATCCTCCAGACTTGGGCTTGGGGCTGCTGCGGCCACTGCGACTACTAAAGCGAGGCATTCCGATACTTTGGCGGGACAGAGGGCGTGACGAGCCGATCTTGCTGGCCTTCTGTCCATTGTCCTTTTGCTGCTGAGCGCGGATCTCATTGAACTCGCGATGTATGCAATGCGCAAGCACGGCGTGATCAGGCGAACCGCGGTGAATGCGTTGACGGCAGCGGAAGAAGCTGAGTGGAGTGTACATGAGCTGAGCAGACTTTATCGATGATATGTGCACATCCGGAATAATGCAGAAAGAGAAAATGGTGCCAGGGCGGGGAGTGCCGGCTGTGTAGTCTCGCATGGGACGTGCCGAGAATAACGCTGATCGGAAGAACTGCTCTGGGACGGCTTGCTGCAGCTGGTTGATTCCATCGCGCATCCTTTCGGCGAATGCGGCCTGGTCCTCGGTCCAGACCTTTTCCGTCTTCTGTGCGTTGAGGCCGCTGTTGAGGAAGCGCAAGCAGTCAGCGATCGAGAGGTTGTTCATTCGATGAAGCAATGGGAAAGTAGAATCTTGAGGAGCATCCTCCGAGATGTTGACTTTGGGAAGGTGATAAGGCTCATCCTTTGGTACAAGAACATCCCAACTGCCAGACGACGGTTTCAACGCCGGCCTCATTGCAAAGAAGGCTAGCCAGGTGCCTGGGTTGGACAGTCCATCCTGGCGGGAGTTGAACTTTCGAAGCCGCTCCACCGTCCTGCTCAACTCCAAGCGCGAAACCTGCATGCTGCGGGAGAGTAAATCGCCAACCTGGTCGATCGTCGCCCACCTGTAGCCGCTTGCGATGAGATCCGCACACTCTTCTTTCTTTTGCAACTGACGGACAACAAACATCAGTTGGCCTCGTCCGAACAACGCAGGAGCTGGAATGGTCAAGCCCGCGGCCGCCTCAACATCCTCAGACGGTGCCTTGGAAGATCGCCGAACGGTCTTTGTCTTTACTTCGGCAACCGTAGTACCGGTCATCAAGATGTCCTCCCAGAGAGTGCCGAGGTTCTGAATGTCGGTTCCCATGTTGGATGCGAGCTCCGCCGCAGCAACGCAAAAATGCTCACGAAAAATGACCGAGTAGTCGACTTCGGGCAGTGGTCCGTCTTTTTCCTGGGGTAAAGTCTTTCCACGGCTGGTTGGAGTTGAAGGGTCCCTCAAGCTTCCCACGGCGCGAAGATGTTGTCTCATAATCCCAATGAATTCCGCTACGCTATCCCAATTGTGCGTCACGCGGAAGATCCATTGGAAGACGGGATGGGCCACGTTGAACTCGTCGTTGAAAGACTGGAAGAGCTGTTAGCAAAATCGAGGATATTTTTGTTTGATAGAGTAGATATCGAGGAAACTTACTCGTTGGTTATACTTCCTGGTAATCTTCTGACACGGGAGGAGACCCTCCTGCGTTACCAAGATCTTACCATCCATATCGAACGTAGCCGAGGCAAGGACAACATGCTGAGCGCGATCGGCCAGTTGTCTGCGGCGACGAGAAGTCAACCAAAGGAGAAGGAAGCAAACACACAAGGCCGCGACACACTAAGTCCCGTCAGCAAAAAGTCAATTCGTCGCCCAAGGCCAGCACTCACCAGGAAGATGGCCACGATCATATTATTGTTTCTAGCGCGCTCATTGCCATGGTAGAACTGTTTTAACCTGTACGATGTACCGGCAGCAGCTGTCCAGTGCATGCCGCAGACGGCGGTCGCAAGTATCGCAGCAACCGGGATACGTCGCGCCCACGTGTTGATCCATTGCTCCTTTTGATGGAAGAACAGAGTGATGGCGACATAGCAGGAGAAGGTTGCGATGAGCGCGGCGCCAATAATATGGCGGTAGTCGTTTTGCAAGCTGTAGGTGGTGGTTCCGAGGTTTCCGATATAGTGCATGCCCACGATCGCGAGACCGGCGAATATGCCCGTGATGCCAAGTGAAAGGTAGAGACTCCGTGCAGTGCGGTTGAAGCGTTCGGCGACGGTAAACCCCAGGAAGAGGAAGATGACGGGGAGAAAGACAGACAGCGTAGTGAAGCCTGGGCTGTAGTAAAGTTGAATCTCCTTGGAGCCGTCGCCTAACTCAATTGCCCGGTTGCCAACAAAGTGCATGCACCAGATACCGACCACACCGAATGAAACGGAACAGGCACCGAGTTGTAGCCTACAACCTGCATTAATAGCTGCTGGATCCAAGGTAACTTTCCTCCAGATGAAAAGGGGGGTTGCGGTACATACCAGTTGCGCCAGCCTTGACCGGAGCCACGGCGATGAAGCAGCTCAACGGTGGCAGTTGAGCCTACAAAACTAACGAACCAGGACGCCACGATAATCCATGGGTCGACATGGAATGGAACCATCTCCCCGATCATGTAACTGGTATGGGGATCCGTGACTTGCCCCATGGCGTATCCGCGGGGACTATCCAGGCTGTAGTGATACGGGCAAGGATAGTGGACGTCGAGAATAGTTGGTGTTTAGTCGAGTCAGAATGCATCCATAAGGCGAGCTTCGAATAGACCCAGCCTGTGCACTCCTGTAATGACGATCGTACACCGTGCCTCTGCTAATGGGTCTGGCGAGGATAAAGCGCGGGTGAGGCTAGATGGTGAAGTGAAGTGGAAGGACAGACCAGGACCCACTTTCGTCCGGGGACTTGGGTTGATGTAATCCTGGAAGGCTGACTGTGCAGGCAGAACTTTCTCGCTACGGCGAAGATTGACCCGGAACAGCGTCGTCAGGCGTGAGATGCGTGGTAAAAGGTGGTGATATCCGTTGTTCAGCCCCCGCCTGTACCACGCACGTGCTCTTGCGCGCAGTCAGAACCAGAGGCGTTAGAGATCGGCAGATGCGCAAAGGAACTTGAAAGCGACAAGTGAAACCAGAAAACGTCTAAAGTGGATCCAAGAGCTGGCGGAGGGTCGAAAACAGAGAGTGAGGGCGGCGGCGGCGGCGCGTCGCGCAGGTGATTCCGGGCGTTTGCCGGCGACAGCGATCGAGAATAAGCCGCTGCAGGACGGAGCCGAAGGGAAAGCGAAGTGAGCGGCGAGGTGATGCGAATTAAAACAGGCGGGGGCTGTTGGTCACACAGCGGGATGTGTGGGTGGAGCAGAGCGGCCCAGGGTGGGTGCAGCCCACTCAGCCAGCGCGCCCGTCTTTCTTCCACCCTTGCACAGCAGGGAAACAGATGCTCACAGCAGCGGATGCGCCGTATTGATACGGACTGAGATGTGCCACATCGGTGAGGCGAGAGGAAAAGGCAGCCTGCGCGTGATGGGAGAGTCGGCGGGCGGATAGTCCACAGGCTGTGCAGCTGGTTCGTCCTTGCATTGCATTTGAGCCATGGTCGCTCTGGGCATGGGGTAAGTGGTACTGCAGGGCTCGGTGTGAAATTGAGGTACATGCCTGGACTCTGACGTTTGCGCCGGTCCGCTGCGGCGCCGGCCTACCATGGGTGTCCGCTGCTTGCGTGCCTGGCCGACACTTGGGCCCATCAGGTCGAGACGGATCAGCGGCTGGCGCGGCGGCGCTCAGCTGGCTCTGCAGCGCGCGCCGTCGACACCGCGCCTGGCGGCTAGCTGGCGCAGGCTGCAGGCGCGTTGGAAGGGGAAGTGCTTCCGCGCATCTCGGCTTGGGCGAAGGGGCGGCCGCAGAGGCGCCCGTTGCACAGCGTCGCACACGGCTACCAGAGCTCTACCGGAGCCCTGCCTGAGACCGCCCGGCACGTCTGCAGAGCAGCTTCGGGAATGTCGGCCGTCCGCTCGAGTTGGCTTGCTCCTTGCGGCTGGCGGTTGTGGAGGATGTCGGCCTTGTTGAAGTGCTCACTGGGCTGATCATGATGCCCTGGAGCCGACCCGCCCGGCACGACGCGCGACCGGGAACTCTGCCAGCGATCCCGTCGATCCGGCAGCCATCAATCTGACGTGCAGCCCAAGCGAGCGCACTGGCGGCTGCCTAGGCTAATGCGCCGCTCGATACCACCCTGTTTCACTGGCTCGTCTCTCCCGTCTTCGGCACTCCATTCGTGTCCGGCCATTGGCGCTGGCCCAGATGTGGCACTCCGCCATCCAGGCTGCCAGATGAACTGTGGATCTCCCGTTTCTAACTTCATCCGGAGCGCTCTCCCGCCAAATCACCAGTGGAAGCTCTCCCGACGGCCCTGCGGCCTTTCGCTGCCCGAAAGCCGATGGAGAATTCCGGTCCCAACGTGCTCAGCACTTCGCTTGATTGCTGCATTCTTTGCTCTTGTGCCGTGTCGTCCTTCAACAAAGTACTTCAAGCCAGCCTCTGCTGCTCGCATTAATTATGGCGGCTGGGCGAACATGTCTTGTTCTTATCTTCTTCTTTTTTTGTTTCAAGCTTTTTTTTTTCGGTGCGCCAAGGGTTGTCGAAACGAATCCAAGTCCTACCCTTATCGCTGCCGGCGTCAGTTCCATGCTGATTGCTTGTCGAAAGTTAGATGATGATTATCTTTCTTTTTTTTTCCTCCGCTGTCCTCATTGTTGCCACATCAAGCGCCACACTCCGTCACGATCTTCCTTTGGTGAGTCAAGTACCACACCGAGAGCCTACCATTCAGTAGTAGCCGAGGTGGGACAACGAGCCGAGAAAGTATGAGACATGAGGCTGCTGTATTAGGACTTAGTCGGTACAGATGCGAGGCGAGGCACCACCGTTTACAGCCTAGGCTCAATTCTCTTTTCTCAAATGTCTGCGTCGAATAGCATTTCTGGCTCTGCAAGTACGCAGTCGTACGCATCTGCTGGTGTAGGGGTTTCAGTCCGCTCTGCGTTTTCAAGGAGTAAAGTTTCTCCCATCGTATCCCGCTCACACGCCGTTGAAACTTGATGTCTTGACCTTGCAGGTAGGCTATGCGCATCAGGCACAGTTCCGGACGCAACACCACGGACCAACTCTACCACATCCCCTGTATCGAGAAGCATCTGCTCGTCTGTGTAACTCTCGTCGAATACGGGCAGTATGTCGTTGTTTTCCAGAGGCACTTCCATAGTTTCGAAAAGCGATGACCTGTCCTTCTCAACGTACTCACTGTCACATTCCCAGAGCAATCCATGCTCAGGCAGCTGGTCTGGAGATGGGTTGTGGGAGTTGCCTGAATCATCCAAGCCAGCAAACGGATCGGAGCCTCCTTGCCACTCGGATATTTCAAACAACATCTCGTCCGCCTCTCTCAACCCACCGGTGGCAATATTGCTTGGGTGGATTACGAGGGGCTTGAGCCGCCCACCGGTTCCTGCATCGAAATGGCTTCGTTGTAGAAGGTTCCACAGTCCGATCGAGGCAGCCTCGTAAACAGAGTCTGCGCCCTTGCACAGTTGTACATCTGCCGGGGAAGACGGCCCGGGGCGGGCTGCACCAGGAAGATAGCGGCCTGGCAGCCCTGCGGCCTTCCGTTTGAGCGAAGCTGACCTTGCATTAGAGGGAAGCGAGCGAGAAAGAGCATGTGCGATGGTCGGTAGGAATGGCGCCCTTTCCGAAACTAGCTGCGACGGGATGGTTAGCGGGATGCAGATCATCACAGCAGGTGGACGTTACTTTAAGATAATTAGGCCGCCACAAGGCGGGGAAAACGGCGGCAAGCTTGGTAACGTCGTCGCGGGTGATTTTGACACCGGACGGAAGCCTGGGCGGCTTCTCGCATATTGCCGTACGGAGTGTTGAGTCAATCAGTTCCAATATGGGCTGTCTGAGCTCGTGCTGCTCTGCGTTTCCCTTGCTTAGTTGGTCATCTGCGGATGCCGTGCCACTGTCGATACGCTGGGGAATTGCTGTGGGAGGATTCATATGCAGCAGCTCGTCCCCAGTCGGGAAGGGTGCATCAGCCATCGTTCCTCGTATGCTGTCTAGTAGCATAGCCTGCTCTTGCATGGTCGCGGTTTGGACGTCATCCGCCATAGGAAATTCCATATCTTCTGGTTGATCAGTCACGGGTCGTAAAGCCCGTAAGTCCATGTCTCTCGTGCCGCGCGTTGCTCTACTCTTTTGCTCACTGCTCGATGACAACTCCATAGTCAGTATTACAGACGTCACATGGACAATTTCCACACCAAGTGGAGGCTGAACATTTTGTACAGATATTGCACTTGGCATGCGGTGGCGTGGATTGAGAGGAATATCCTGATTGCGGTATGTAAGATGGATCAGGATCCCTGCTGTTATGCATGAAGAGTCACCGTCAAGCAGAGGCTCCTGTGTTATGGCGGCTTGAAGGTTGAGCTGTCGCCAAAACTGAAGATTCTGTTAGCATCTTGGTCAAGCCTCACGGAAAGCTACTTGCATCTGCATTGCATATGCTGTGAGCCAAATATCGCCGAAGATCGCCATGTAGCGGGCACCCGTCCAGAGAGATGTCCAGTGCTAAGTGGAAGCCTTGACCGCGACAGAGCCACGCAGAGGGAGCGGTGAGTGCTGCTGAAAGGTCATTACTGAAAGGCTCTCCCGTATGCGCTGAAGACGGAGATGCAGTGAGTGCAACATCAGCAATCAGTTGCAGGTCAGCGCGCGAATGGCTCAAGCAGAGGCGCCCGAGCTCCGCGGTGGCGGCCATTGGTGCACCGCGTGGGGGCGAGCGTCGTGGCGGGTGGTTGCTGTTGCAGAGATCATCCGAGGTGGTTGTACGTGATGGTGGAGCCGTCCGGCAAAGATAGACCCCTTCGGCTACGGCGAATTGGGGAGGGACGGTTGCTGACATCGGGAAGGAGCAGCGGGTGAAGACGGGTCAGCGCGGGCCGAGCGCTCTGTCATTGTTCCGTCAGCGCCCCTACCTACTCCAACACCAAGCATCAACACCAGCGCCTGGCATGTCTGCCGTATCACGATCAGCCCTGCGGGCACTGCGGCCTTCGCCGAGAGTCTTCACTCGCCGCCAATTCAGCATCACCTCTCACAAGGCCACCGATGGTGTCTTCCGCGCCTTGACCGAATCACGGGTCCATACACCATGGATAGAGGCATTGCGCAAGAAGCAGCGCCAGGGCGAAGACCCGTCGCAGCCATCAGGAAAGCCGCATGTGTCTGCCGATCGGAAGCTCGAGCCCAAGAAGATGTCTGACAGTTATCATCGAGTTGTCAGTGCACCACCAGGCCGCAGCTCGAGAACAGGCTGACTGACTCAGCCGTAGATTCTTCCTCTTGCCCAAGATCCATGGTTACTAGACACTTATCTGAATTCCTCTGGCCATATCAGGTGCGAATTCCATGGCTCAATTACGCTGTTTGTGGCTACAGCAGCTGACGCGCATAAGACTTGGCACCCTTTTCATGGATCTTGATGCCTTATCCGGCGTTGTTGCTTACAAGCATACTGGCGATGAAGTCACCACTGTAACCGCAGCCTGTGACAGAATCACAATTCGCAATCCTCTCACCGAGATCTGTGACCTCGAGTACAGCGGCAGAGTCACATATGCTACAGGACGTTCTAGTATGGAAATCACTCTGCAAGTGGCCAAGGCTCCCAAGGAGGGCGAGAAGGTCAAAGACGAAGATGTTTTGTTGCATTGTAGCTTCACCATGGTCTCGTTGGACCCTGGTACTAAGAGGTTTGTGCCAAGCTTTGCTCTACTGATCTGGTGCTAAAACAAACCAGGCCAGTCAATGTTAACGCCATCGTTCCCGAAACGGAAGAGGAAAAACAGCTCTTTGCTCTGGGAGAGCAGAATTCTAAGCACCGCAAGGAACTGAAAACAAATTCTCTGATCAAACATACTCCCAACGATCTCGAGAGTGACCTGATCCATGCGCTTTGGCAGAAACAGCTGCAGTACCACGGTAGGTTTTCCGAAACGATATGCAATCCAAACTCCGAGACCATGTCTCTATAACGGACCGCACTTTTAACATCTTACAACTTCCACTCCACCGCCTCTTGGTCGATGCATCTTGTCTTCCAGCATGTTCTGCATGCTTTGCGTCATCAGCCACCCCCGTTCCCATTTAGCTGATTGACACGTCAGATCCCATGGATCCACTGCGGCGACCTTCGAACGTGCATTTCATGAAAGACACCAAGCTGCAGACGGCCAGCATCATGCAACCGCAGTACCGCAACCGCCACCACTTCATGATCTTCGGCGGCTTCCTCCTCAAGCAAACCTTCGAGCTCGCCTTCTGCTGCGCCGCCTCCTTCGCCCACGCCCGCCCCACGTTCGTCTCCCTCGACCCCAGCACCTTCCTCAACCCGGTCCCGGTCGGCAGCGTCCTGTACCTGACGGCCACGGTCGTGTACACGGACCCGCCGATCGTGGCCGCGCCCGACGAGCAGGAGCAGGCGGGGGAGAACAACAGGTACACGCGCGTCCAGGTCCGGGTCGACTCCAAGGTGCGCGACGTCGAGCACGGCGTGGCGAAGCCCACCGGCCAGTTCAACTACACCTTCACCGTCGAGAAGGATGTCAAGGTCATGCCGGAGACGTACACTGACTTCATGATGTACGTCGACGCGCGGCGCCGCGTCAAGCAGGTGGAAGCCAGCTTCGGCGACACTCCTGTGAAGGGTGAGCATGTCGACCCTGGGGAGACGGCTAGAGTGACCGAGTAATAAGTAGTAATGGTGGTGGTAGTAGTAGTAGTGGTAGTAGACGTAGAGTATAGTAGCCTTTCAGCACACGACTTCAAGAATGTAAATGGGTCACTTCTTCTCGTCGTCTTTTTCCCCTCAACGTTGTGAACATGTCTTGATAGTGAATATCGTCTCTTTGTCTCGCATTTAAATTCATCAAAAGAAGTCACTCTCTCTCTCTAAAGCAATCGATCTGTGGATATTTGAAAAGCAGCAAATAAAACGCGGGAAAAAGGGATAGCTGAAAAAGTGATGATGGCCTTCCACTTGAACAACCAATAAAAATGGAGATCAGCCAAACAGCCAACCAGCCAAACACGAAACGCCAAGTTGCGCTACAACGCTAAATGGCGCCACGCATTACGATGGGGAAAAAGGTGAAAGCCAAAAAAAAAAAAGACGTGTGGCGTGGCGTCAAAGCCGCGCGCGCCAAAGATGCAACAATGCTGATGCTTGTAAGTCGCCCCAAGAATGCGAATGGGAGAGAACACCGATAAGGTTTCGAAAAAAAAATAAACGCCGCCAGTTCCAGTCGCCGCCGCCGCCGCCGCCAGTCGCCAAGGGATATTCAGGGTCCGAACAAAGGAGGAGCGAGTGGGGAATGACGGGTTGTCTTCCGGTGCACGCCGATTGGGGGAGGGGAAGACGAGATGAGATAAGCGTGAGCGGGTCGTCGGGGAAGGGATCGGCGAATGCTCTCTCGGTGTTGGTTTCTTCGTCGTCGTCGGCCCAACATCCTATGGTGTGTTGGCGGTGTTGTTGTGTCGTCGAGATTTTTTTTCTTTTTCTTTCATTCTTGGTTCTTTCTTCTCGGAACAATCTTGCCTTGTCTAGTGGTGGTTCTTTCGCTCGTATCTCGTTCGTAACGGAGGTCATAAAAGGCCTCTTTTTTCTTTTTTCTTTTTTTTTTACATCTCGTCCAGCTCGTACTCGAGGGCGACGTCCTCGGAGCAGTCGGAGCAGTAGTAGTTGGAGAAGCCGCCGCACTTGACGGTCATGTTCTTGCACATGTCGATGCTCCAGGCGTCGCACGAGTAGCCGCTGAGCAGGCGGTTGGGGCAGACCTCGATGCTGTTGGCCCAGATGTAGTAGTCGTGGTTGCAGTAGTACCAGCTGTACGTGTAGGAGCACATGGTTGCGGTTGTTGAAGAAGCGACGGTTGACCTGAAGTAGAAGAGAGAGCGAGAGAGCTGGGAGGGATTGTCGTTAGTCAAGGGTGTCATCCTGAGGGTGTTGGAGCAGTACTCACTCTTTGGACGAAGAAGAAGCGACAGGCGGGCGGAGAAAGGATTGGTGTATGCTGTGTGTTGCTCGCGACGGACAGGAGGCAGCAGGGCGTGTTCCAAATATATGCGTCTTCTCCCCTTGTTGCGCGTGAACCGACAGTATGGGTAGACGGGTACGTGTGTTCTGGACCCGCAGTCTCGACCTCGTGGCCTTCCCTTTGTGCGACTGAAGAATGGATAAAGGAGATATTCGTGGAGGCCACGCGAGCGGCGCGAGGGCATATTTATATGCATTGTCAGAGTCAGAGGCGGCGAGGCTGTCGAGCAGCTGGCGGCGCCGCCGAGTCCGTTCGGTGGGCTTCGGAATGCTCACCACGCGGCGTGACTCCGCGAAGCATCAGTGCTGGAGCTGTGACCCACGCTTCATGCAGGGTCCAAAAAGGCCGGGGCTGCGGTTTAGGGTAAGGGTCAGCAGCGGCCGCGCCCCCGGTTGGCCGGTTGGTCAGGGGCCCGGGCGGAGGCTGCAGGTGGTGTCGTTTTTAGGCCGCCGACGATCCGCCATTTAGCGGCTGAGAGCAGATAACAACGGCGACGGGCGCGGGCATTATTGGCAGCGTGGCAGCGTCCAGCTCCAGGGTCCATTGTCGGCTGCACATCACATTCGGTGGCCAGGCGAGCGAAACGTGGACAGGCCGCGACTGGCAGCCTGCGCTTAGCGAGTAAGCGCCTCCCCGGCATCTTGGGAGCTGGACCCTTATCTTCTCACACCTGCAAGCTTACCCCAGCGCTGCGCAGCTGATTTGCGCCATCCGCGCCGGCCAGCCCTCAGCCTCAGGGCAGAGAAGACACATGGCCAACACGCAGCCTGCGTGCGGGCCGAAGATAAGCAAAGCGCTCAGCTGCGAAAGCCACCGCCGCCTGTACAAGCGCGCACGCGGGGAGAAGCGCGAACGGGAAACAGCAAAAATGCAGCCAAATGTTGCCCTTCGCCGTTAGTTAGGGCCCCAGCATTCCCCGGCAAACCAATAAACCCCAACCCTTTCGAGGCAGCAAATCAACCGCCGCTGCCCCTGCATTCTTTGGCCAGGAAGGACGCAGCGCTCCTTCTCCTGCATGCTCCCGACTCCGCGACGCTGGAACCGTGGCCGGCTGCCGCTCGCTCGAGCCGAGGAGCAGCGCTCCAATGCTTCGCGCCGGCGCGTGGCAAGGCTGACCGGAGCGCGGATGCAGGGACCGGCACTCCCTAACTCATTTCGGCCGAGAAGGCTGCGTGCCTCGCGCTGGGCGGGTGGTCGAATGGTGGGTGGAGACGTGGAAACGGCGAGGCTCGGGCGCGGCGGCGGCAGCGCGGCAGAGAGAGAGAGATTGCATCTGTGCGCCATGCACACCGACATCCGCCTCCCATCTCTCCTTTCCCGTTTCTGCAGGTTGCGGGGTGCGTTTGATAGGCTAGATCGTGTTCGTCGCAAGCGAAGGACTGTCTGGCTTTGGGCGGCGCTGGGTTTGTGAGACGACCGGTCAACAGTTCGAACTGTGTAGGTACTGTGTACTCGAGCAACCTGGGAGGTACCCCAGGCCTCGCAGCCTGTCGGCGCCGACGATGCCATGATTGCGCGTTAGGCCGGACGCAACACAGCAACCATCACCCCATCTCACGGGTCTCTGCTGCGCAATTATTTTTTGTCATGCCGTCTCTGGCCATCCGATTGCCAGCGCGACGCCTTCCCAGCTCTGGCCGACATCGGCCCGTGTCGTGGCGGTCCGCATGCTCGGCCTTTGACAAAGAAACTTCCCAAAGTAGGAGTCATCAGCGCTCAGCCAGCCATCTCCCGAGTCCCCGAAACGGACCGGGAACTTTTGGGCACCATGATGGCTCTACGGTCGCCGAAGATGCTCCCTCCTTCCTTTGCTCCGGCCGCCGCTCCTGCATTATCATTGCAGATGTGCTACTGCTCAGCAAAACGCTTATATTACGTGGCCCGTCCAACCTGCAGCGTGCATCTTCACCGCCAATGCGCCCTCTGCTGCAAGTGAGCCCATATGGCTCAAATCCAATGCCACTGAAACGTCGTGGGTATTTACCGCTTCGTCTGCATGCCGAGCAGCCCGATAGGCTCACCTGGCTTTCTCCGCTCCGCGAGTTGGTGGCCGAGATATCCGTTCCCTGCAAGCTCACCAAGCTAGTCGAGACGTCTCGCCGGGTCATGCTGGGGCGGCGAGTCGACTGAACCTGGCTCGCTTCTATCTATGAAACCAGTAGTCACATTACTACCACTACTAGCATGACGTCTAATAACGCGATGGCTCCGCCACGAGTCGTAGTCTAGCGTACCGCTGGGAAGCGCTTACTACACCTTGATAGATAAGGATATCGTTACAGTTACATCCACTTTATCAACCCTTCGCTTCTTTTTTTATCCGCGCTTGTACACATCTATGTTCGACCGGAACCATGGTTCAAGCTGATGTTGACAGTTTTCTGTCTCCCTTCCTACTACTACTTGTGGATCCCGAGCCCAGGAACGATCAGATGCTTCTCGTAGGAGTCGATTCCCATCACCACTCGTGAACCAGAGTGCACGGTTCCACTACTACCACTTTCGACAGTTCGATTCTTCCCATGGTCAGTAGTGCCCTTTGGTACGGCATTGACGACAGTCCCTCGATGTGACCCGCTAATGCAACAGGAGCAGCCAGAGGATGAGTAAGCAATGATTTTACTGTCCCGCAATGCTCTGAGAATAACAAGCGTCAAGTTGCTATCAGGGGATGAAGGGGAAAAGAAAGAAAGAAAGAAAGAGCTTCCAAACATATTTCAGCGGCGACAGTCGACAACGTCACCCGTACGTCGTTTTCCACCCCTTCCCCAGTCACAATCGCTTATCACACACCCCTTCATTCCGACTTGCACATTGCACACCACCACAGCATACCTACCTGTCTACGTGGCTCACTCATACGCACTTCACAGTAAACCATCTCATCGTAAAGCCTTCCAATCTATTCAATCCTCGATACACACACTAAGCCGCATAAGAAAGACGAACTGCCTATAAACTCCGTACTAGCAAAATTACAATTGACTCACCAAGACAACGAGTACTACCTAACCATTTCCATCGTACATACCTTTGTACCACCTCTGCTGCTGCTGCTGCTGTTGCTGTCGCTGCATGTACGTTGACGACAAAGAAGAAGTGGTGCAGCAACGGCGGCAACAGCGGCTCGGACCGTTGCCGCAGTTGCAGTTGCAGTGTCGCATCGCATCGCATTGCATACGATCGATTATGAGAGAAGAAGAAAAGAAAAAAAAAAGGCATCAGCTTTTACCGCCTCTTCGCCTGGGCTCTTCAAGCTCTAGTCAAAGGCATATTGAAAATGTGTTCGAACGAATCGAATTAGAAAGAACCGTTACACCCCTCCGAGAGCTTCTCTCATGAAAAATCCTTGTAACCACAACATCACCACAATCATGGAGGGGAAGAAAAGGGGTTACTGGCGTGAATACTCTGAATTCATTTTCCCCATAAAACTATACCACCGATTGATGACCCTCCCCCCTCCCGCGATTTGTGTGTGTGTTTGTGCATAACACCCACTCTTCTTCCCCCCATCTGCCGTGGAAACAACCCCTACCCTTTCGAACTTCTGATTAAGAAGTATGAAAGATAGGTGAAGCTGTTTCGAATGTACATACATGGAAACTTTCCGCCACCATGTGGAAACGTTTTGAAACGTTCCCTGCCCACGTCTGATTTCGAAAAAAAAAAAACCCACGTACCGCATCCGCATAACTAATACCCGCTTAACCGTTCCGAGACTTGGAGAAAAGGAGAGAGAAAAAAAAAGAAAAGGATAAAAACTGAAAAAGTCCCCGCAGAATCATCATATGCTCGGTTGGCCTGCCTAGAAGTGGCCTTTTTCCTCTGTAAAAGACGAGGGGAATGCTTCAATTAAAGCCCGTGGTAGGAGCTACTCGTAGTCACTGTGAGCGGGATCCAGATCTTGTGTAGTGCCGTCTCTACAACGGGAAATAATGTGCTGATGTGCATAGTCGAGCTTGGTGGTTACTTTCCGTGGGCGCGGAGAAGCTCCTCATCGTAGTCCAAGCGGTTGATGCGCTTCTTGATGAGCTCGAATGCTGAGAAGAAGATGGCGTTGACGACGCAGGAACGGCTCATGGAAACTCCGAGACCTACCGGCTGCTGTTAGTTTAAGGGATGCCCGTGCCTCCGACATAATCCAAGAATGACTTGCCCTTGTACATGCGAGGATTGAAGAACTGGATCTTTTGCTTCGTGGTACGATCCCTGTGCTGGGTGAAGCAGTTGCGTTGATAGATGCTCTTCGCCGTGTCAATGGGGTAGATCTGCACATGACCGTTAGAATCAGACGCCCGTTGGACCATGTATGCGGGCCCGAAGCTTACGCAGGCCCAGCTCACGAGACCGCAGAGGCCTCCGGCGACAACCACCGCGAAGGGAGACGTCGGGGAGTTTCCGCGAGCGTTGGCGAGTAGCTGCTTGGAGCTCTCATACGTCATGAAGTAGATGCCGGTGCCGATCGTGTCGCGGACTGTAGCACGGTCAGCACTGAACTATGACATGGTGAAGCTCTAAACTGTTGCGCGCCACTTACGCAAGTGATAGTGGACTCCGGCGTAAAGACCTCCCAAACCACGGTGTTTGACGACCATCTGTGCGGTGCGGAAAGTGCCAAGCTCGGCGTAACTCTGGACGATAGGATTGGGCTTTGCGCCGCCCTCCTTGCACTGGGCGAGAACGGAGATCTGAGCGCTCATCTTTGTCAACTCGAACGGACCTAGAAGTCTACCGGTTATCATTGTCATTCCCACAAAAAAGATCGGTCCAGCAAGGGTTGCGTACAAGCAATGAACGTGATGACGGCACCGGCCGTAGCGCCAGCCGTGAAGAAGCACGACATGGTGTTCAAGTTGGGCCGCGCGCCCCTCGTGTTCGCCCTCTCCAGCGGAGAGATGCCCGTCGCGTGTGTCATCCATGTATCGTAGGTGTACTTGGCGCGTTGGTAGACGGAGAACGAGACGGTGCGGACCAGAGTGATGCTCGCCAACGGGGAGAGCACGCCTGCAGCCCGGGCGTTAGCGGATCGCAGGACCAATTGCAAAGGTGGTCGGGCGGGGGCTTACCGCGCCAGAAGCCCTTGGTGCCCTCGTTCCTGTAGGTTTGCTGGACGCAGTCGACGACGCCGGTGAACCTGTTGCTGTACCTGTGCGGCGGTCAGCAGCCAATTGCAGGAGGCCGGCACAGGGTGGAAGATCTTACGTTTGCATGCGTGTCTTCACGGAGTCGAGAGGATACTGTGACGTTGGCGGTTGGGTCAGCGGAGGCAAGCCCGGGCCACGGCGGGCATGCGGAGGAGCTACTACTCACAGCCGTGATGGTGGAAAGCAGACTGCTGGAGCTTGCGGCGATTTCGGTGCGATAGCGCTTGCACCAGCGGCGGTACTCATGGCTGGCGAGCAGCGCCTGGGAGACCGAGCGCGAGGCGGCCATGGGTGCGCTGCGGTCGTCCTGAGGTGTGGAAGGCATGCTGGCTATCGCTAGCTTTTGAAGACCTGTTGCAGGTCTTCAAGGCAATCGCGATAAGGCCAGCAGCCGCTCGTGATCCATCAAGCCGTGTGCCAGTGGGTGGGGAGGGCTGGCAGTGCTTGGTGCACGAGTTGGCTGAATTGGGCGTTGGTGGAGGTGCCAGGCGTGGTTGAGCTCGCGCGACTGGTGTTGCGGGGCTGGGGTGGCGAAGTGCCAGGTGCTTGCAGGAGGGGCGCGGTGGAGGGCAGGTTGGCGCGTGGTTGGCGGAGCGGAGTCAGATGCGACCTGAGCAGATGCGTGGTTGACGTTGTTTAAGCATGGGCGATGATGTGGGGGGCGCGAGGGTCGGCTAACGCTGATCTGCGCTCTCTCTTCATCCTGTGTGGATGCGTCTGCAGCAGCGAGTGAGGAGCCCAGGCCGATCAGCTCACCCTCGTTCGTTCCATCGTCCCAGCATGCCGACGCCTATATCTCAACGCTGCACGACGCAATCGACCGCCAGCCCAACCTGCCCGCCGCTCTGTCCCCAGGCCCCCAAACCGCCCAGGCCCACTGCCAGCCGCGCATCACCAGATCTGAGCCTGACATCCCTGCCGCTGTGTGACGCCAGGCCGAACTTCGCTCCGATTCCTCGCAGATCTCGCGAGCTGCGTCAATTGGCTCGCTCGCAAAGTAATATTACATTTCTCAGTGGTACACGCCGTCTATATGCTCATTATCCGTCGTAAATCATCTGCCACTACTTCATCGTCGACCTCACAGCGCCAGCATCGCAATGCCGCTTCCCAACGCCACGAACGCGAGCAGCCATCCCCAGACGCGCGCGTCCGGGACGGCGCTGCTCGGCGCGACCTTCGCAACCGCACTCCCCGCCGACGCCGTGCCGGTCGCCGTGTACGTGCAGCTGCTCCCGCACCCGTATCCGCTGGGGCAGCATCCACCGCCCACGCTGGCGGCGCAGCTCGACCAACCAGTCGCGCAAGACCCGCTCTCGGCGGCAAACGAAGCTCCCGTCTGTGCGATGATGGTGACGCCGTTGCTCACCAGCCCGGTCGTCGAGACCGTGGGGCACGACGTCTTCTGGCAGTCGCGGCCCACGCGGCAGCATCCTCCTTGATAATAGGCAGAGCAGGCGTAGAAGCCGGTGGGACAGCCGTCGATGGACGTCGACGATGGCGCGGCGGTGACGCTCTCGCCGCTGCCGGTCGGACGGACAGGAGGCAGGGCGCCGCCGCTGCTAGCACTGCTCGAGGTGGAGGATGCCGTCGACAGCGCCGGGCATTCTGCAGACCCGCATGCTCTGTCTGTCGGGCAGCACCCTCCGCCCAGGCTCGCAGGACAAGACTGGAAGCCTGTGCTGCAGGTAAGCGTGCCCTGCGGGGTTGTGCTTGTGCTTGTGCTTGTTTTTGTGCTGCTGATGGTGCTGCTGGCCTTCTTGGAGCTTGTGGAAGCTGCCCAGCTCGACGATTTCTCCGTCGTCGTTTTTGTCCCCGTCGTCTTTGTGCTCGTCGTCTCCCCGTTGCTTGTTGTGGTCGGGTCTGCGCGGGAAGTCGATGTTTTTCGTGTGCTGCTGGCAGTAGACGTGGCCGGGGGAAGGGTCGTGGTGACAGTAGCCATACTGATGCCTAAATCGAGTCAGCGGTGCTACAGGATCGCCAATGGCTGGCGGGTTTCAGTGGGAGACATACAGCCTATGTCCTGGCAGCTGTATCCGGGAATACAGCAGCCGCCGTTGTCACTTCCCGGGCAACTGGTATAGCCGGCGTCGGTGTTGCAACTTGAAACCCCGCCCAAGCATGTGGTTCCCGCCGGACAGCAGCCCACATCGCCCACGCCAGTATCCTCGACGATGACGCAGGACTCGTCGGACGGGCAACAGCTGTTGGGTCGGTTGATGCTTGTGCAGCTGTTTGTTCCGGTCGGACACTCGTAGCCGCGCTTGTCGAACAAATTGCGCTGGAAGAATCTGAGTAGACTCCGGCCAGCTTCGGAGGTTTCGGAATGCAGAAGGAGTGGTGGTAGCAGGTTCTCGGCCAGCGAAGTATTGGAGTAATGTTCGTCGCCGTCCACATCCACCGTTCGAGCCCTCGCTCTGAAGCTATCCGGCACTTGCTCTGCGCTGCCAGTGGCCTCCTCGAACTGCCAGTAGTGGAGATAGAACTTCTCGCCGGGATCATGGCTCATCTTTTGCACTCCCGCGGGAGGCTGGCGTGCCACACGTTCGTGTATATATGCATCCCGTTTGACGAACTCCTCGTGCTCGGGCCAGTATTTCTCATGCTTTGGGAGGTTGTAGGGCCAAGGCTCCGCTGTTGCCAAGTAGTTGGAAAGTGAAAGCAAGAGCAGCGACGACGGTAGGGAGAAAAACGAGCTCGGCATGGGGGAGGAGGAGGTTGGAGCCAGGTACGCGGGACGCGGGACGCGATAAGCGATCGGTAGAGAACCAGCGGTAAGGGTAAGAATATGGTACAGGAAAGGTAAGGTTAGGGACGGGTATGCAACGGAGCGGAAGCGGCGAGAGCTACTGAAGGATATCTGCGCGTGATGTCAGCGGCAGGATGGCTGGCGACAGCGCATCGACCATTCCCGGATTTTAATGGCGAGGTTGGGCGACGGTGAGGCTGACCGCCTCGCTCTGCGGCGAGCAACGACCCCGCTTACTGGCCCGTCGCTATACGTGCAGCTGCCTGGCGGTTCGATCGTTCAGGCACCGTGAGCTGCACCCAGGCTTGGCCAGATGATGTGCGGAGGGATGAGCAGAGCGTGCAGAGCGCTCTCCCCACAACTCGGCCCGCCGCTGCACGGACCCTGGCTCCATACTGCTTCACCCTGGTCCTTACCCTGAGCCATCGTGTCACTCTGGAACCTTTTCGTTGCGTCGCTTGTCCCACTCAGATTTGAACATGTTGACTCACCTAGTTGTTTCGTTTTACAGCAGCCAATCCATCAATTCTGACTCTGTATGACGGGAAGATCCAATCACCTGCGACCACGATGGGGAAAACAAAACCCTGACAGTGACAACCATCCTTACTTTCAATGCTGCCTCCACTACAAGCTTTCGAGGTCTTATTGTGTCCTGTACATCGGAGAACGGACAGTATCGTAGCGTCGCGCGCTTGGAGCTCATTGATTCAGCACCAAATAACTCCCCGTTTTCCTACTTGCACATTCACTGATAGACATGTGTAGAATGCGATGACCTACCATTTTACGGCTGAAAAGCTTGAATTTTTCTAAAACAACAGGTAAAGTGGCAGCATACTTTACCTTCAATTAATACCTGAGCGGGAACGATGGTAGAGTAGGATGAAAATGTAAAGGGGTGACAGCGCGTTGTATTTTAAACTGGAGAGAAAATACATATCAGCATCAGCCCCGCCGAGCAAAGCTCACAGTACGGTGGGTGACCATGAGCAGGCGCGCGGGGGGAATCTTATTGACGGCTATTGAGCCCAGTCGCCCCCCGCGCGCCGGTTGACTAGGCGAACATGCCGACTGGTAGTTAACAAGTGGTAGACTGCGGCGATGTAGAAATGGGATTGGCTTTGGGCCAGGACTATGCCTGAAGGAAACTGTGTTGCTCTACGGCGTGGCTGAGAGTATCGAAAAGCATATAGGTCAGAAAGTATTCGTAAGAAATTGGTAAAGGTGAGTTGAGTATACGGAAATTATTCATTAGAAGAAAATGTTCTTGTAGGATTATGAAACATCATGCACACAAGGCCGTAACTGGAGCCCAAACGCCCCATAGAACAAGTAAGACAGAGCCCATGCTAATTAAGAGAGCGCTTCTATAGGAACAGATTATTCGAAGATATTCGTCCATCTCTTGAACGCTTCATCAGCCGTGCTGGGAACTTTGCAGGCTTGAAGAGGGCCCAAGGGAGACTCGCCAGTGTCGGAATTACTACAGCTTTCGGTCTGCATATCGGAATACAAGCTGTCTGGCGAAAGAACTCGCACTTCCGCCATATTATTGCCAACGTCGATGGCGGCTGGAGGCGGCGGCGGCGGCGGAGGTGGAGGAGGTATCGGAGACATGCTGCTCCGAGCTCTGTTCAGAGTCCTACCCGTGTCTTTGCCCCTTGTGCGTGGCCTCGGGGATACGTCAATCAAAATCGGTAGAGCGGGCATCTCCGAGAATCCTTCGGTGGTCCCGGGTTGGCAGGGAACACTTATGGCAGTCCGACGAGACTGGAGGATCGGCTCCGATTTGTGCCTCATAGACAGTGAAGGGCGAGGATTAGTCTCGCCCGGCTGGACAATCTCAACGCCCATTGGACCTTCCACTACGTCAATAACGACTGGAGAAGTTTCTGGTCGACGAGTCAAAGAACGGCCTCGTCCGATGTCGGCGCCGGTCCAGGGATCGCGAAATGGTGGTACCCGTTGACGAGGGGATGGTGATGTGTCGAAAGTGTGAAGTCCCAAGCGTGAGATCTGCATGGTGACCGTCCAACCGGGCTGTACAGTAGTTGCCCAAAGGATGGGTAGGATGATCGCTCCATCGGGCCCGATAAGGTCATATTGGCCCCTGTACACGTACTGACAGGCGGAAACATCAAAGGCGAAAGCTTGTTTGACGAGATCCTCCATGCCCTTTTGAACGTCAGTTGTTCGAATGGTAGAGAAGTGGTAATTTCTTCACGCACCTTCCACGAGCAGCAGGACTTCCACGGGAAGTTGAATCTTCGGCCAAGGACATCCACAAACTTGACAGGAAGCTTTTCGAGCTTTTGAAAGCACAGACGAGTACGGATGCGTTGCTGAAGACGTACGCGGACCCAGCTCACGGAAAGATCGATCCGTGAGCTCAACTCCTTGACCTCCTCGGTGCATTTCCGCTCAATCTTCGCCCACCGCTTCCTCATACCTCTATGACACGGGGGGCAATAGCTACCAAACCCTGTACTTGCAATAAGTGAACCTTGGCGAAGTCGTCCGGATGACTGACTTTGTCGAGCTGACTGCCTTTTGCCGGCAATGAATTCTTCGAGCATCACCGAAGTGCGGCTAAATGCATGCAGAAGATCCCAAGCTTCAGTTGGATCCAAGGCTGCGGTGTCTCTACCGGAAGCTTTCGCCTCTTCAATGTGGTGCAATACTCCCTGCACGTGCTCGATGCAAACCTTGAGGTCATGTGTCAGACCCGATGTCTCATGAATGGGATCTTCGGTGCTCAGTGCTTCAACGTGTACGTCCTCCGGGGTCGCATTGTCTGAGTCAGAGAAGGCAGAGCACTGCGCTGCTGGCTGGGCGGGCGACGGCGGACTGTCGTCAATATATGTGAACTCAGTACTACCCATAGGATCGGGCATGCACATGGCCCCTTCAGATGATGCACTTGAGCGTGGTGTTAGCTGAATAGGATACCGGATACGTAGAATTGAGACTAACGTTAACGAAACCTCATCTGCTGAGATCAGATTGGTACGAATTGACTCGAACCTCTTTGCGGATGCTTCAATGGCGGAGATCAAGTTCGCCATTTTTTGCAGTTGATCATCATCGCTCGGGTCGGCACAATCGGCAGGCATGCCGTGACAAGCAAGCTGAAGCGTCAACAAAAGGAGGCGCATTGTATCGTTCTTCATGTCGAGGTCGGCATTGAACATCTCGAACTTGTGTAGCTCGAAGGGCCAGGTCTGCTCGTTTCTTCGTCCGTGTTCCAAGATTGCGTCAAGGTCTCCGAATATGCCACGGCAGGCCTCGAGGACCGTCCGCACTGTGGTTTCGGCATTCTTGTTCAGTACAGATTTGATTTCTGCATCATCCAGGACTGTGCTCGCGCCTTGGAACACTTCTGAAGTCAACTCAACGTCTTTTGCGAGGTCCTTGATTCGACTGTCCGCGTCGGGGATGGCGTCCGAATAGGAATTGGCCTTATTGGCAAGCTGGAACCCTAGATGCGCAACTCGAGCACACGACGCCGCAAGACCGTCCATTTTCGTCAGTCTTGGTACATGGAATAGCTGTGGAAGAGCGCTGGTCCGAACTAGGTAGGATCTTGTCACAGGCGAGGAGTATCATGGACTATAGCAGGCCGCAGAACAGGTCAGGCAGGTGGGAAAGCGGTCTCAAGTCTGGCGCGCCCGTAGAAATTTTCTCTGCTGAATGTTCGCGTTCCACAAAGTGGTAACGCAGGCGCTTGCGTGCTGCAGCATGCTGTGTAGGTTTTGGAAAGAAACGATGCGGCTTGGCGCTCTGTCGCACTTTCGTGGTCCCAATCGAAGACAAGCGGCACCAAGCACCAGATGCGGGTGAAACAACACAGTCGAGGGCGAGTCCTCGACGAGACGTGAAGTCAAGCAAGGCGAGGAGCAGTAGTGCGTCCCAACGAGCGGCCTGGGAGAGGGGAGAGGGCCTGCGCACGGGCCACAAGGAGATAGCGCCACCGTCTATCAAATCGCCGAAACATCGGCGCAATTAACGCGCTAACGCGCAGACGCGTCTCTCCAACAACATTGTCGCTGGCGCGTCATTCATTCATTCATTCATCCCCCCACGCCCCGCCACTCCACACAACGCCACCACCTCCCTCCGCTTGTCCGCTGCATACTATCCGAAGATCTCTACACTACCACCATGCTCGCCTGGATACCTTCAGCACCGCAGCCTCCGCACCCCTACGTGCCGTCGCGTTCATCTCCCCTCGCCCCCAGGCACCCCAATGTCGTGCACCGCCAGCCGCTCGCTCCGACTACGAACACCAGCCACAACATCTTCTCGTTCTCCATGGATCCGCCGTCGAAGCACTCCGCCGCAACTCCGCCGCAGCGCTCCGTGAAGCCAAACCCTTTGATCCAGAAAACCGCAGGCGACGCGGGCCGAGAAAGGCGACGTGACATGTTCCTGAAGAAGGTCGCCAATAATCGGGACGAGCGCAGATGGTCCGGAAGAGCTGAGCAGGTAAGAAAGCGACCCCTTATCTCCGCACGTCGCGGGGAGGCGCGTCGAAAACGTCTTCGCTAACATTCGCCCCAGATCGAACGACTGGACCACATCAAGGAGCAGAGGCGCTGGCAGCAGTACCTTGAGCGATCGGCGCCCGGAAGCATGGAGCCTTCGGATGAAGAAGAAGAGGGGGAGCATGATGAGGATGCGGAGAACCGCGACCCGATGCTCGGCAGCAGCCAGAGGTCGACGAACGGCGTGCCGAACGTGTTCAGCAACTACGTGCGCTCCTCACCGCTACAGACTGTTTGGAGCCAGAGCTCGGAAGCCGAGGTTGAGGTGGTTGCACAGCAAGAGGACGAGGAGCTGGACGCCCTGTTGGCGATGATGGAGGAGGATGAGCGGCGCGCGGATATCAATGGCGATGATGTCGCGAACCAGCCCTACAACAGCGATGACGATGAGTACGACAGCATCTTCTCGGAGTACCTAGCTGCCCAGCAGACATCGCAACCAGCACACCACGACTCGATTGATGACCATGACTACGATGCCATGGACATGACCGGCTGAGACCACATCAACGACGCGCTTCGTAGATTTTGCTTAGCACCTTGCTCTTTGTCAGCATACAGTCAGCGGTTCTGTGTTTTTGTAGCATTTGTCCCTTCATCAGTTTGGAGTTGGGCGCATTCGGATCAGAAGGGTTTGATAGTTCACGCAGTCATGTGGATACAGAAGCATAGATCGCGAACGCGTAATTATCATTGTGTCGCGCATCCCTGATCCAGCTCGCCCATAGCTTCTTGTGCTGAGCTCATATCGCCAACCAAATCCTGCGGCGGTGATCCCGCTGCTTGCATCTACGCCCACATCAGTCAATGTTCCCAGCGCTACACAAGTAAGTAGACATACCTTCTGCATCCTGTCGACAATGAACTCCCTATCCGCCGCGCTGTCGTCGGTGTAGCCAGGCCTCTCAAACCTCTCCACGATATCCTTGACGCATCTGTGCTGCTCCTCATACCGCTCCAGGTCCGCCTTGTCAGTCTTCTCCCTGTTCTTGGCCAGCCAGTCGGGGAACTTGTCGTACAGCTCCTTCATCGGCTCGTACAGGATCTCCTTGTTCGTCAGCTGCTCCATCATGCCCATCAGCATCTTGCTGAAGTCCTCGTCCGACCCGAACTCGCCGCCGCCCATGCCGCCGCCCTTCTCCATCTCGGCCAGCATCTGCGCGAGGATGTCATCCGGATTGCCGTTCCCGCTCGACGACGCGGCCGCCGTCGCCTGCTCGCCCGACGCCTGCATCCGCTCCATCGTGCGCCGGATCTGCTCTTGAAACTTGTCCTCGCCCGCCTTACTACTCCCCGCACCCGCACCCCCCGCCGCTCCCCCCGGCGATGCCGCCGCCGCCTTACTACTCGTCCCGCTGCTGCTGCTGGTCCCGGTCCCGGTCCCGCCGGCCCCCGCCGCGCCCAGCTCCTTCACCAGGCTCTCCAGCTGCTGCGTCATCTCCGGCGAGTCGCCCAGCCCGCCCAGCAGCTCCGCCATGCCCGCCTGCAGCTGCCGCGCGAATTCCTCCTCGTCGATCTCCTCGTCGCCCTCGCCGGCGCTGGGGACCGGAATCGGCGGGGGCGGTTTCGTTGTCGCTGCTGTCGTTGTTGTTGTTGCTGTTGCTGGGTTGGTCGGTGCCAGTGGGGCTTTGTCGTCGAGCTTTGTGGCGGAGAATTCGTCGAGGACGTCTGTGGGGGGTTGGGAAGAGGACGGGTTAGGTATTTTTTTTTTCTTTTTGGATTGGTTGTGGTGGTGCGGTCTGTTTTGTTTTCATGTGCGGATTGTGTTTTTTTTTTGTGCGGGGAAAATGGATTGGTGCATGTGTGAGTGTGAGTGTGAGTGAGGGTGTGCGCTACGGACCATCGAGATCGTCCAAATCATCTTCGTCTGGGTCCGGAATGTCTTCGACGTGCTGTTGCGCCGGAGGCTGCGCGGACGCGGTCGCGGTCGCGGTCGCCGCTGCTGCGTTGCTTTCCTTCGCGGGGTCCTTCTGATCCGCCATGGTGGGTGGTGGGGGTGAGAGGTTGTGCGAGGTGCGAGGTGGGCGAGATTGTTTGGGGTCTGGTGGGATGGATGAGCAGAGCAGAGATGCCGAGGGCCTTTGCGTCGTGGATGCCGGAGACCGAGACCGGTTCGTTCGCGCCCGCGTGCGGCGGTTGTGGGGCACCCAGGAAGGCAGCGTGCGGGCCAGGTCGCAGGGCGGTGTAGCTATGTGTGGGGAAAATTGGCGCCGGGCGAGCGAGGGGAAGCAGCTGAATCGCACGTCGACACGTCAACTCCACCAACGACTACCAGGATAGTGTCTCACGTTAGCGGGGACCTACCGCACCATAGTTCTCCAAGATGAATGTTGTGCCACGCTCTGGCTTTTGCACCGTTTTTCTTTTTTTCTCTATGTAGACCTAGAATCACGACTCGAAGTTTAAGGATAGTTACGGAGTACTGAGCCAGCTCTTTTACCCCTGCTTTGAACGCCAACTCTGTCTTACTGACGTCTTACGGCATGAAGTTAATTTCCGACGAATGGATTGAAATGACAGTGACCGCATCGTGTCGGAAGTCGCTAACAAATTTGCCTTGAAGGACCATAGTCCAAAACCATTGGTATATGTAACATCACAGCTCAGCTTGCACCCCGATGTCGATAGGAGAGTCTAATTCAAGATAGCTTCTCAACCCACCCCGCTGGATGCAGCGGTAAGGAGGATTTATTAACACAAGGGTTTGAACGGGTCCAGAGTATCTCGCGAGCCTGGAAGGAGAGTCATGACATCAAGGCCTGGAGACTTGGGGTTGGGTCTTAGGCTGATAATACGTGTCTCATAGAATGGATGGACTAGGTCTCTGTGCTGACTGGGCGAGGGAAATCAAGCATGACCTGAATGTAAACTGTAGGTTCTTGAGCAAGCAAGGGCACGACCTCTGAGAACCTTCATGGTGCAAGGCGATTCAGCTGCCAGTCCATGGCTTGCGAGTTCTGAGGGCCTCGTTAGGTTTATATTTAGTTGGTGTCAGACGCGAGCATGGGGTCTGATCTGCAAAGGGTTGGTGCAGCAGTGTTTCTAAGTTTATACCGTACGATCTAATTGCTGCTTGCGACGTTTGAAGAAAGACTCGGGAAGAGTCGCCGCAGGGCACGGGCCCTCGTTAAGGCTGGCTGGCGTGTGGCCGCCTTCTCGACCCGCTGCGTCGTCTTTCGATCCTCACCACCGCAACCCAACAATCAGCTCCTACACCCTCACTTTCTGCCGCCACTCAATCTGCGGGTGCCCACGCTTAGTCAGTCACCCCCCGGAGCAGTGCCCGTATTTCGCCTGCCCAACACCCACTAACGCTGTTTGCAGACTCACCTCACCTTCGCTCGCTCGGAACTTCACACAGCCTCGCCGACCAGCGCGTCGACAGCCAACACCGCCGCAATGTCGCTCGCAACCACCCGTCTCGCCGAGGAACGGTAAGCGCCTCACCGCCCTGCTGCCACAGCTCCAGCACGACGCGTCTCCTGCCCTCCACTTTTCCGCCCGCCGACTGAGCTGCTCTCCGCGATTCTTCACAATCCTGATCTCATTGATAACAACAGTAAGCAGTGGCGGAAGGACCACCCCTTCGGCTTCGTCGCCCGCCCCATGAAGAACGCCCAAGGCGTGCTCGACCTGAGAAAGTGGGAATGCGCCATCCCCGGCAAGGACCGCACCATTTGGGAGGGCGGTGTCTTCAAGCTGGAAGTGACCTTCCCGGAGGGTAAGACATTGCGCGCTTCATCGCCCTCGCGTTTGCCAACTACCATGCTGACCGCGCCACCCTCGTCGCAGAGTACCCCACCAAGCCGCCAAAGTGTAAGCCACCCCCCTCTCGAATCCAACAACGGAACCCATCATCTGCCCCTTCCGCCACAAGACCTTGGCTGACCTTTTTCTGCCTCGCGCGCGAAAATCAGGCAAATTCGTGCCCCCGCTGTTCCACCCCAACGTCTACCCGTCCGGCACCGTCTGCCTGTCCATCCTGAATGAGGAGGAGGGCTGGCGCCCGGCCATCACGGTCAAGGAGATCCTGCTGGGCATCCAGTCGCTGCTCGACGAGCCGAACCCCGAGTCGCCCGCCCAGGCCGACGCGTTCAACCTGTTCAAGAAGGACCGCACCGCCTACGAGAAGAAGGTCAAGCAGATCGTCAAGGAGAACTCTGGTCACTAGCGTCCGCCTGCGAACGGGAGAGTGCGTGCGTGCGTGCCCGGTTGCAAACGGCGGCCGGCCCGATCGCGGGTGTCGCGCGTCGAAAAAGCGCTCTGAGCGGATGGGCATCGGTATGAGCAGTGCCGTCGCCGCTGCTGGAGGTTGATCTATGATTTTTTCTTGTAGGGAGGATCGACTCAATGGACGGTGGACCGCAGGTAGAAGCGAGGCGGGCCATACGCAATTCAAACGGTGTTCTGGCGCTATTCGGCGTCAGAGAGACTCTGGTTTTCGAGTTTCAGTCTGGAGTCGGTTTCGAAGGTTGCAATTGGGTGGGTTGAAATAAGGCTTTACTTTACATAGTGGAATGATGGGAGGTCTACTACTTTATGAAAAGGAACGAACGAGAAGACCTTATACATTCGACGATGGACCCTTTCCCACACATTAGTACAGTCAGTCACCGAGTTATCCAAGACGTATGATGGCGAAAAAAGTAAAGAGATCATGACACTACAGAAGAAAGGAGCTACCCAAAGTGATATCATTAACATTGCCTGAGAACGAAAAAGAAGAATTAACATAGTCTACGTAGTACTCAGCACTAAAACCACCTTCCCCACCATCTTCTCTACCCGTCACCACCCACAAGGATATCCCACGCAAAAAAACGCCCAAAGAAATGCCAAAAACCGCCCGCTTTTCCCTTACCAGCCTTCCTGCTCGCCCCTCCCCCACTCTCTCTCTCTCTCTCTCTCTCTCTCACTCCCACGCATCCCCCCACCCCTCATCCTCCATCTCCTCTTCCTCCGCCGCCTTCTTCTTCCGCGCCGCCTCCTCCTCCTCTTTCTTCCTCTTCTTCTTCTCCTCTTCCGCCTTCGCCGTCGCCGCCGCCGCCGCCATCCCCGTCGTCTTCCTCACCTGCCCCGTCACAACCGACTTCTTCGCACCACCACCCCCAGGCGCCGAGCTCGCCCTCGGCGCAGCACTCGGTCTGTTACTACTACTGGAACCAGCCAATCCCTTGGGCAGCGGCTTTTTGCCCGCTTGCTTCGCTTTTGTTTGCGCGGTGAGCCAGCCGGCGAAGTCGGGCTCGCCGTTGTCGTCGAAGGGGACGGTTGGGTCTTTTTTCGTTGTTGTCGGGGCGGGGGCGGAGAAGGGGTCGTGGGCGTCGTCGTCGTTGTCGTCAAAGGCCGTGGCGCCCCAGCCGTCGGCGGCGTCGTCGTCGGCTTCGATTTCTTGGTCGTGGGGGTCGTTGAAGTCGTCGCCCCAGGCGGCGCCGAAGTCTTCGGGCTCGGCTTCGGTGGAGGAGGAGGGAGGGGCGTTTGCTGGGTGGGATTTGTTGAGGGTTTGGCGGTGGAGGGTGGAGGCGGTGCCGGTCGAGGAGGTGGGGCGGGTGGTGGTGGTGGGGGTTGTGGTCGGTGGGGTGGAGGAGGAGCGCGGCGCGTCGGGTTTGAGGCCGCCGCCGCCGTTGGCGGTGGCCTGGATGTCGCCGGTTGCGGCGGTGAGTTTGTTCGTGAAGGACGAGATGGCCCAGCCGGCCCAGGAGTTGTCCTGTTGCGGGGTCGACATGCGCGGGATGGCGGCGCCACCGGTGGAGGCGGCGGCGGAGGAGGTCGGGGGTAGGACGGTGTCGGGCATGGTGGTTTGGTGCTTGCGGACGCGGGCGACGTAGATGTCCATGGTTTTGTTGGCTTGGTCACGAATGAGTCTGGAGTATAGAGTCAGCACGGAGAATGGTGATGTCTCGGATAGGGGATACATACTTTTCTTTGTCAACCAGTGAAGGGCAGATGCCTGGCAGGAGTTTCGTTGCGCAGTCTTCTTCAGTGTAAAGATCAACTGTCGCGGCCAATGCCAGGAGGGCAGCGTTTCTTGCATGGACGAACGGATCCCGTAGAGCGCGGCCAAAAGCAGCAGTTAGGACCTTTGTGCGGGAGCTTGCTCCAAGATTCCTAGCAATCTTTCCCAAGCAAATAGTGGTGTTGGTTCTAATTCCTGGTTGCTCATCGTTGGCCGTTTTGGCGAGATGTCTCAGGAGTTCTCCATTAACGATCCGGTCAGATAGTTTAGGTGTCACCGTGAGGACTGCCTTGACCGTCTGCTCACGAAGCACTGGTGCGGTGTCGGAGAAGCCGGTGACCTGTGTGTTTGTTAGTTGAGCATGGTGCCATTGTAGAGCACTCAGCGTACCATCTGGGGGAAGATTTTATCATTGACGATCTTGTTGGACAAATGGTCGATCATCAGCGGAAGGTTGTCAAGAAGGCAGACGCGTATTGCTCGGTCTGGGCTCTGGAAGAGCCTGACAATGACAGGAGTAATTTGAGCGTCATATTCTTCATCGGCCAGCTTCGAGGCAATCTTCATGACTAGACCAAAGACCTTGGGTCCACCACCGCCAAACTCGACCGATTTCAGCAGTTCCGGGAGAACTTTCATTTTGAAGAACTCCTCGGGAAAGTCGTCCGATACATCTTCGAGCTGGCTGAGCAATTCGTCCCTCTCAACCTCGCCCTTCAAACCAAGGTTTTCAATGCCTTCCGTCAAGGAGATCAAGGGCGTCTGGAAGAAGCCCCCCGCACGCTGACCTTGATCTAGGAACTGACCAACGCTCGATCGAGCCTTGGGGCTTGGGTTGATCAGGCGCCTGTAGCTTTGCTGCATCGTAGGTGGGATGCTCTTGATCTGGCCCAGCTGATCTGTTCCTTGGAAGCTGCCATTGAAGGTTTCGAACACGACGGTGCCAAATCCATATGCATCTATGGCGGTAATGGGGTTGCCCTTAATCACGTCCCAGCCTCCCTTGGAGATTTCCGGTGGCGCGTAGCGGTTCGCGTCAGGCACCAGACCCCCAAAGCTGTAGATGACAGCGTCATCCTCCTTCATAGAGCTCAGAACGTCGAAGCCGCCAAGCTTCCACTCGCCGCTCTCGCCCGTAAAGATGGACGAGACGCGGACGCAACCATGTACCGAGCTAGCTTCTCCATTCAGGAACTTGAGTGTTTTGGCAACGTTATGCAGGCCCCATTTGATCGTCTCCTGGGCAAGCGCTCCGCGGCGCGTGTGCCAGCTGAGTGGAACGAGGCGTTCCGTTGCGATGTAGATATATGTCTCCGTCTCCACCGTGTCCAGTACCTTTATAACGCCGGGATGCCTCATGGTGCGCAGTTTCCGCAGCGCGTTCTTCGCAAGAGGCAAGCGCGACCTGTTCGAGGCAATGTCGAAGGAGAAGATGCTGCATTTGGAGCCGTCATCCTGTGCGCCGCGTGTCAGCATCCCATGTGCGCGCGCAAGGGGTCCCGGGCCGTACTCGCTTCGTGCCATTATGGAGAGCCCATATTGACTGATCGATGTCGACTCTGTCGCCGAAAGAATAGCCAAACGCGGGGCCCTTTGAGATGGCGGAGGCGACCGCAGACTTGAGGAAGTCCATTGCGGTGCTTGGCGACCAGACGGAGGGCTGGCGGCGGGAGCGGATCGTCAGGCAAGGGGACTTGAGTGGGCATGACGGAGCCCCACGACGCGGACACGAGTTGCGATGCCGTGCTTATCGATAAGCGCCGCGCCTTGCCGCGTTGGGAATAGTGCCCAGAGATCCGCGCGCGCCTTCTCTCGTTCACGTCGACGCCCGCCGCCCGCGTCGTCTTCTACTCTTCTCACCCTCCCACGTCGAGCTGATCGGTCAACTTGCCGCCCGCTTTCTCCGGGCCCTACCGTCGCAACGACAGTAAAGGCCGTCGCTGCCTCAATTGTTCGATCCGGAGCGTCCTACTTCCAGTTGCACCTTTTCTTCGACCAAACGCCGCGCTAGTCAGTGCTCGCAACCGCCTGTGTCCTCGTTTGGCCCCGTGACGCTCGCCTCGAGCTTCTCCTCACTTGCTCACCCGATGACTAATGCTTGTGATCTCTTCTACCAACCTCTCTGATTCGGTCGCCGGAAGAGTTTCGTCTTGAACAACCTCGACTTCGACGCACTTCGCAGCTCTACTGGCGGCCGAACCAACACTAGGTATGACATCCCTTTCTCTGTCCCCTTGCTTTTCCATCATGGCCTGCAAGGCTTCTCGCGAGCCTGCACGGCCGGCTTCCCGTCGTCAATGATGCCTAGGTAAAAGGTCCGATCGCACACTCCCACCGATGGTTCCGGAAGGACGCGTTTGTTCGGCAGCTGGTCGCTTAGGACGCTCTCATGGCGTACCTGCAGCCCAAACGGCCCTAGCTTGGACTCTTCAACAGACTTCGTATGCCTCCAATGGCATTCGGATTCCGTTCTAGAAGAGGATAGCAACGCAAACAGAATGAGCGTCTTATTGGAGTTCTGGCCCTTGAGTAGCCTCAATGGGTCCGAACTAATGGCAGCCGCAAACACCTAGGAACCGCCAGCACCTTGCTTTCTGGTTCTAGGAAACAAGCCCGAACCAATCTTGGGTTTCGTGAGCTAGCACGTTCGCTTGGGTAGCTGAAGTGCCTGCTGTCGACAAGCGACGAAATTCTGGAACCTCGTGGGACGCGACATGATCATTCAATAAACTGAAAAGATCTGAGACGACATACACTCTCCCTTTTCGAAGAAAAAAGTAGCTTGCAGAGCATTGGCTAACTTTGGCGGCATCCAGGAAAGGCTACTACCATACTGAACGAATTGCAACAGGCCCTGGTGTGCTCTCCCGGCCTCGTAAGCACGGCTCATTAGAACTGCGATGCTTGAGGATTGGCATTCATGAATCGCTCCTCTGAGACAACGCTTCTTGGTCTCGACAACACAGGCTCGTACTGGATCATCGGCCCCTGTTGTGACAACACAGCGTCAATATTCGTCATTAATGAGACCGGGCCAAACGTCAACGTAGAGGAGCTCTTCGGCACACAGAGTAATATTCTGCATAGTGAAACATTTCAAGAGCTTGAAGCAAGACGATTTGGGCAGGCGTGGTACATCAAAGATTTTCAAACTTTCGAAACGGCCTGTGACATTGTCTGCATCCACAGACTTCGTGGGGGGACGGTTCCCGACCAAATCACCAGCAAGGGAGACTGGATAATTAAAGATATCGACATTGTCAGAACGGTCCTTTCCCCAAAGACTCTGCTTGACTCTCCCAAGAAATCGGCTTCGATGTCGAAAAGGCCAAGAGACGATCTGGTTGAACTGTCAATCTGGCCGGAGCGACGTCAACTGGATAAAAACGCGCCTACGCTTGGGCGAGGAGATACGTACAGGCCCAACTATGACGACCATCGGCCGAGTGCTTTGTCGTCAGCTAGGACAAAGCAAAGCGCCGAGTATCCAGCTGTCAGAAGGCTATCCATCTCTCCTGGTCGAGACATGCAGAATGGCGTAAATACATCAAAGTATGATGACCGACTTGACAAGCCTAGGCGGCCAATGCAGCAGCTGCGGCAGATGAACTCGGTAGCAAGTGGAGCCCCACTCAGGCCACATGAGGTCTCTAGTACTGCATCAAAGAGGCTCAGTGGCGATCACAGGACTCAACACCACACAAGTCCCGTGGGTATGAAAAAGGATTTCTCAGGGGTCCCTCGTGGACCAAAATTACATTCTCGACCCCGTCCACCACATGGGCACGATTCTCAGCAGAAACTCTACTCGCGAGCAGTGGAAGAAAAGAACCCTGATATCATATCATACAAAAATCTCGCCCGGCTAAAGGAGAGGCCCCATATCTTCATCTCAAGCTCCCACCTGCCGTTCATGCCACAGACTGTCCCGCATCTACGGAACTTCTTTACTAAGCAAGATTTCCCTTATGTCTCCGTCAAGGCGGCGTTGCACGGATATTACGTATTCTTTCCTGACAACGGCTTTGGACGGAAAGAACTGCAGCAATGTTATAAGCGCACCAACGAGTCAACCTTATTTGGCCAGTATACATTGCATATGGAGCCCCGCATTGATGGAGAACTGTCACCCATCCGTCTGTCGAATGACGGCGAGAAGGAGGATCAGAAACTAGGAGAACCGCTCGCAAGATCTGAAAGCAGATTTGAGAACTTGGCGTTACCTGTTGATGGCCTCCTTGCATCACGGTTGCGAACAAAGGCTGATGATGAGATCTCCATCACACCATCTGAGATCTCTTCTGCAACAACAAGAGCGAGAACGCACTGCGCCGAGTGTAAAAGCAACCATTTCCCATCCTACGATCCAAAGTTCGGCTGCACAACATGTCCTCGCCACTATCATGCAAGATGCAGAAAACCGCAGCCTCGGCCCAGCGAGGATAGGTAGGCCGGAAGAGAGATGGCAAGAAGGACGACATTAGCTGACGTGCTTCAAGGGCTGCATGGCAGTGCAATTACTGCATCAAGAAAGGAAGGCCGAAATCAGATCTGCGAAATGGCACACAGAAGGAGGGATGGCATCCGACCGGACAGCTCCAAATGGGGGCCTCGGCTCGAGATCTCAACGAAGCGGTGACCCAAAGCGGAGCATCGGAGCCACGCACGGGCAATAGTATGAATTCGCAGAGTGAAATCCTAGATCCACGGCTGCGAAACAGACCAGGAGGATTTGTACGTGCCCTTCCAATTTCGTTTTCTCCCTATCACTTAGTGGCTGATTGTGTTACAGAAAGGGCTTGCCGCATCACCAGAGGTGCACAAGCATTCCTCAAGCATGCATCCTATACAGGGTCATAACCACAACGTAAACATAGCAGGAGTTACCGAATTTCTGCGCAACATGCAACCTCATCCTGAAATCCAAGTGAGTCCGGAAAGACACCAACAGCATCCTACGGCAAATGCAGAAGCAGCGAACCCCGCACTCAGCTCTCATGTTGGTCTACCAGCTTCCGAATCTTCCGATCGATCTGCAGCATTGGAGAAAACCAGAATTTCTGGAGCATCTTCAAAAGATCATGCATTACCTTGGGGCGTTAACCAGGCGGATCTTTCACCGGAGATACCCGACCTTTCCCTCGACATCGATGAGGCATCTCTAGGGGAGCAATCAAAATCATCGACCGATAAGGCCATTCGGGTAGTGAGCAACGGCTCCCCTGAGCCTATCACATGTGGGCCAGAGATATCGAAATCTCCACAAGACAAGAGACTCCACTCGCGACCACGGTGCAGCATGTGTGGCAAGCCACTGTTCTCTGCGCTAGAAAAGACAGAGGATGCGACATGGTTAGTCGGTGCTCTCCCATCGTTTGAGGCCAAAAAAGCTGACATGTCAACAAGCGCTCGGTGCAAAAATGAACAAGAGCTAGAGGGAAAGGACTCAACTGTCCCTAGATCATCTAAGACAGCTGAAGAAATTTGGCGGCGGAGATTGCAACCGGAGAAAAGCCGTGAGGACGGGGGACCTTCATCAACGGAAGCAGCCTGCCAGGATGCTGAAGCTCCTCGGCCTATCAGCGAGCCATCACATCCCAAGCAATCGGTTGAGACGCCCACGCCCAAGAGCGGAAAGCAGCCCAGTCGGGCTGGTCGTTCGCCGGCGTCGCAGTCCATTGCGGAGACTGAAGTTGAAGACGGCAGTGAGGATACATCTGATGATTTGGAAGACAGTTTGGAGAGCATAACTTCAGCTGCAACGGCTGAGGGACAAGCTGACGCAGAGACGCCGTTAACGACTAGCGGTGGCCCGAGCGTCGGGGCGAACCGACCAGAGGGCCGAGCCTCGCCTCCTGTCAACACAAACATCAACAATGACGACGCCGCGGGCATGGAATCCGACCATGCACATTCTGCCATCGGCTCTGAAGGCGCGCGAGATAGTCGCACCCGTGCCGTGTCAGGTGCGCGGCCGAATGTCGGCCGCAAAGGCGCCAGTGCCGCTGAACCTCCAGCCAAACTGCCAGCTAGTTTCAGCTGGCCAGACCTGATAGGATTTGCCCTGGCAGAAGCGAGCGACCACCGCATGACTGCAGCTCAAGTCCATCAGTGGATCGCGGACAACGTCGAAAATTACAATACCAACAACACTACCCAGAGAAGCAGCATAGCCGCCACCCTTAGCCAGCAGAAGATGAAGTTCCCCAAAACCGAGCCCATCATGGAAGGCTCCAGGCAGCTCTGCCGCTGGAAGCTCTCATCCGACTGGGTACTGAACTACAAGGCCGGTCTCGAAGACGAGCGCGAAAAACTGAGTAAGACGACGTCGCAAGGCGGGCGCCGCGGCCTGACGCCGCGGCGCAAAGAGCTCAATGATGCTCCAAAAGCTGCTCGTGATGCGCCCATCATGTCCGCCTCAAAGCCAGCTCAGTCGCAAAAGGAGAGCGCAAAGACGGCCATGCACACCGAGGAAACGCCCATGTTCATTAAGCGACACAGAGTCGCGCACGATGCTGACGGGCGTGACATTGTTGTTGGTTTCAAGGACATCCCGATAGAGAAGTGGACGCAGCTTGCTGCAGTCGAGTCTTTCAGAAAACACGGCTCGAGATTGTACATTGGCGACTATATCAAGGCTCCTCTTCCCAATCGCTTCAGATTCGCTGATTATACTCACAAACCTTTGGTGCAGACCATTGCCCAGATTGAGGAGATTAGGCAACGGCGCGACGGACCTGGTTACGCTGTTCTCGTCCAGTGGTTTCTCACGAAAGAGGCAGCCGAGTGGTGGAAGTGCCGGCTGGTCAAATCACTATGGCCAAAGGATGAAAGAGCCGGCGTTTATGTACCCGCCACCGTCTGGGACATCCTCACTTCAGATTTCGTTGCCGAGCAAGAAAGGCTTGATGCTGAGGAGGCGAAGCGCCAGATTGTCCCGGGCATGTTCTTCGACCTGGACACCGACAAAGGACGGCTCTACCTGAAAGAGGGTTGCGGACCAGAAGTCGGCATTGCATTCGGGCCTCTCTCTTCGGATGAGCAAAAAAGTGAAGCTGAGGATAATACCGCATGTGGCTTGAACCGGCCGGAAGAGCTGTCATCTGTTCCTTCACGCCAAATCGACCACCTTCCCGAACAAACCAAGTCCACCGTTGAAATAGGCGAAGTGTTGGAGCAACCCTCGCCACCCAAGCCTTTGGACCTCGTCCATTACGTGTCTCCTCGCAGGACTGGGCCGAGTCCATTGGCAGAAGCGAGTCGCACAGAGTTCTCCACTCAAGGCTCACCTGTTCAAGCTGAGCACGAGTCGCCCCTAGACCTGGATCTCGAACGGCAGCTGTTCACACCATCACCTCAAAGTAGACCAACCGTGGAAGCAGAACATGTGCCTGAGTCCAGGACAGTATCCCGAAGCGCTCATACACCAACCATTGAACGGCCTGCCAAGAGACAGAAGACAGAGGTCACTGATGGAGAGCAAGAGGCTATCCGTGCCCTTCTTCAAAAGGAACGCGAGAATGCAAAATACGAAACCAAGGATCTCTGGACTGCAGCACCGGAATACGACCCGGCCAACGATCTTTGGGACCGCGAAGCAAAAATCGCCGAGATCAAGGCACGTCCGAGCCGTAAGGCGCGCTTCATGCAGAATCTCGCATACGCGCGATTGGACCGGCCACCCAACGCTTTGTACGTCGAAGTCGAGCGCCCCTTACCAAAGACATACAGAGCCCCTCCTCCCGACCGTCCGGGCAGCGGATACAGCCATTCCAGTTCCGTCAAGGCAGCTCCGAGAGCGGACAGCGCCCGATCCAACTTGGACACGGACGACGCGTGGAACTCGGACTCGAACGACACGGACATACCAGACGCGCCGACGCAGGCGACGGCGACGACGATGACAACAGGGGACGCGCTGGCTGGCACCGCAGAAGCGTCGTACGACGACGCGGACTTGGAGAAGCCGGAGATGTTCGACACGCTGGAGGAGCTCCTGGGCTTGCCGGCGAATTTCGTCCCTACGCTGTATGACGGCCGGTTGGCGTTCCGAGATGGCACGATGGGGCTGGATGGGAGGAGGCCGCGCGCGAAGAAGATATTCAAGGTGGGGAGAAACGTGCCGGGGGAGTTGAAGTGATCATCAGTCTTGGTTCACTGGAGAGAGAAGGACGAGCATCGGCTGCTACGACGCGGACGCCGTGGGAGGTAGCATGGACGAAATTTTCCGGAGAGACGTGGTCTTTGATTCCCCCTCACATGACGGCGTTTTTAGAGTGTCGAGTTTGGCGTTTTCTTTTCTTTTTCTGAGGAGCCACACAATGGCAAAACACGGCATAGCATGGCATGGTATAGCATGGCATAGTACGACATAGTATGGCATCTGGCACTTTGAGTTGGGCCCGTGTGTTTGTACAAGATTGGCACCTTCTTCTAATCTACATATTTCGTTGGCAGCGGTGCAGGGCATACGACTGAAATGGGTCAGGAGAGGTACTGCAGCACCTTGCTTTCAGCATTCTACCTTTTTAGCTTCTGTTTTTCTTTTCTTTTTGGTCCTCTCGCTGTATACCTGGTTTGAATTTTTGAGTCGAAAGTAGGGTTGCTTTTCTTTCTTCAAGTAAAAAGACCTTCGATTGCGGTGGAGGAAAGTTGTTGAGGGGTTTAGGCAGCAAGGGTAATAGACATGAAGTATTTTCGGACATGCGTTTATTTGGTCTTTCGTGGATCATACTTTTATATGTATACAGTCCATACGTACAAATGCATCTTATTAGAGTAGCGGTGGTGGGACTGGGCCTTTATTAAAGTTGCAAGGCTGGCTCGCGCCTAAAGCGCGCAAGAGATACATACATATGGTCTATAGATGCCTCGTCGTCGTCTGGTCGGCTTATACGGAAATGTGCGTGCCAGGACAGGGGCTGGCTGCGAGTATGGATCTGCGTATATAAAGCGGGTTCTTCTACCTGCGAGTCCTTCTTATTAGCATACTGGATGTGGAAACATGAGTCTCTTATAGCTCGTAGGTGCAGGTCGCGTATACACGCGGTTGTATGTACTATGCTCGCGTGGTTTGTCTGCTGTCCTGGCTTGTTCACTTGATTAAACCGAGCCGGTTAGGATCACGTTAAAAGTGCCTGTATACTGTTTAGTATGCATGTGGCTCTTAGCTAGCTAAAGTGCTATTAGGAGAATTAAAATAAGAATGCTTAGAGCATCGCCTACCTACGAGCCAGACACCGTGTCCGACTATTCTACGTGCGGGCGTGTGGTAGTGAGGTAATTAACTCCAGTAGTTTTAATTCCTTCCTCTTTCTCTCACTTTCAGTCTCTCATTCTACGATTCTCTTAACATTTCTATGATTGGATATGTTTGGAGCTTTTAACTAATCTCTTTGTATGCTGATCTTCTTCATAATTAGTCTATAGTGCCGCCATCCGTTACTCAACTACTCATGCTGCCGAGACAGATCTGGGATACGCGGTACTACAGCTTGTAAGAAAAAGATAATGGACATTTCCGCTTACTGTTACACACCATCTACATAAAGTCTGTACTCAATCACTACTCAGGTAAGCCTACAGAGCATAGCATTTGAAGAATGTCGGGCTATAGGGAGAGTGCCAGACCCCAGTCCACTCTTTCGCGAGTTCCAACTTCATGGCGTCGCCGGTACTCAAAAGGTCACAGAAACCTTGTAACTGGTCACTTAGTACGATTATACAATTCCTATTTTCTCTGAGGAATGCTTTATGCAACATGTTATGCACCATTACGTCGTATCGGGCAAGTTGCCGCATGGGCGAGGTCTAGTACTTTCTGCGCAAAAATAAAATCAATAGTGATGTCCGGTGCGGCAATGATGGTACTCTTTGGAGATTGTGGGTACTGTCGATGATATACACGCTCAGAGAGTTATTGCACGTAGACATAGGAGTTCAGATTTGTAGAAGGCAGTGAGGTAGCCATAGTAGATACAATCATTAAAGGTGAAGCTGAAACCGAAACGTCTTATGATTGGACTTTCTTAACTCGGATGCCCAACTGCACATGATCCGCATAAGAAATCCTCTATTCCATACGGGGTTCAACTATTGGCTTCGTGCGTGCTTCGATGATTATGATCATCTACGATGACCTGTTCCTGCCTTACCCGCAGTCACGAGCTTCACTTTTACCTGTCTTGGCGAGGCTATATAGACTGATGTTGTATCTTTAAATACGCATTGCCAACAATATTCCATGCCGGCAACTTCATTCTATGTGCAAACCAACACCAGCAGAATTCAATGTCACTGTCCCAGTCCGTATCCCTCCCAAGTAAGAGTCCGTCAGCCTGGCTGCGCCGGATTACGAGCGACCGCAAAAAGGCTAAAAAGAAAACAAAAAACAAAAAAACCGAAGACCTTCACCATTAAGCGACGCTGCTGAAGCAAGGCAGCATCGAGTGGTGGTGGAGGGGGGCAAGGAAAGCTGCTGCTGAGCACCACCATCCACTACTACGTTCGCCAGTGAAACCGAGTACATCATACATACGCACTCGATTATGCCCAGCAGATCTCAAGCGACGAAGTAACGGATAGACAACAATGCATGGTCCAACGACGAAGGGGAGCAGCCAAGTTTCAGTGCTCACTTGTTTTTGACCGTTGTATGCACCCGCAGCGGTAATCGATAGGATCCGAAGAATCAGAACGGTTTCTTCTTTTGTAGGAGTCAGCCATCTTCAATATTTCCTCCTCCACATGACCGGCATTGCTCACGCTGCTGCACGTGCAGCTACCTCCTCCCTCTCTTCTTCGTTCTCACGTTCTCAACCCAAAAGATCACCACACAACCAGCAGCCACCATACATACACGCACGTACTGTGCACGCAAACGACACGACACATGACATTTCTTCAAGCCTTCAAGCAACCAACCACACCTCCACCTCTCTCAAAAGCAAGCCATCGATTTCACCTCACCGCAAAACCACTCTCGTCGGAAGGAAGCGTATAAATAAGCAAGCAAGCAAGAGGCCCCCCAAAAGAACACCAATGCTATGCAGAAACCCCCCAAACAGTAGTCCTCTTCCCTTCCCTTCCATTCCGCCCAGCTTTCTCCCTCCCTCCCCTCACTAATTTAATGCTACCTACTCACTTCTGATTCCTCTTCCCCGCCCCGCCGCCACTCCTCTGACTGGCCACGCTCGCACTCCTATCCGCACCTCCCGCAGCAGCCATGGTAGCGGGGCTAGCGACCTCCTCCTTGACGCCGTTCGCGCCATCCCCTTCGTCCTCGTCTTCCTCCTCGTCGTCATCTTCGTCGTCATCCTCGTCCTCGGCGGGCGGAGCATCCATCATCTCCGTATCCCCCTCTTCCGTCTTCGTCGCGGCGGCGGCGGCTGCAGAAGCAGCAGCAGTATCCGACCGTTGCTGTTGATGATGCGAATCGTCCACCTCGCCATCAGCATCGTCTTCTTCGGCCTCGCCATCGGCGTCCACATCAGCGTCCGCGTCCGCATCAGCATCAGCATCCGCATCCGCATCATCATCGCCGCCGCCGCCGCCGCCGCCACCGCCCGCGTCCATATTTTTCCGACCGCCCTCTCCAGCACCAGCACCACCAGGGCCGCCATGGCCACCCTTCTTCGCCCCATCTCCCCCTGCACCACCCTCCCCCACATCCCCCTCACCCCCCTCAGCCTCCTCCTCCGGTTCCTCAGGCTCCCCCCTCTCCGCCCTCTCCCTCCTCTCCCTCTCCCTCCTCACCCCCTCCGCGACCGCCACCTCCCCCTCTTCTTTATCCAGCAGCTTCCGCAGCTCCAGCAGCCGGTGTATCTTGTTGACCAGCTGCTCGAAGCCGTCGCAGACGGCGGGCGTGGGCAGCGCGATGATCTCGGGCACGCGCAGCTCCGCGAGCGCCTGCTGGATCTTCTGCGTCTGCACCGTCGACTTGGCCGTGCGCAGCTTGTGCAGGCGGTCGCTCTTGAACGTCACGCCGCTCGCCAGACGCTGCTCGTGCTGCGTCGTCACGCCGAGGCGCTGCTGGGCGCGCGGCGTGAGCGCGCGCGGGGGTTGGGACGGGTGGTGCGGGTGGTGCGGTGCTGTTGCCGAGTTGGGGACGGATTGGTTGTTGGCACCACCGCCGCTGCCGCCGCCGCCGCCGCCGCTGCCGCCGGGGGTGTGGATGGATTGCCGGCTGCCTCGGCCCTGGCTGGTTGCCGACGGGAGGCCGGCGTCGATGACGCTGCCGCGGTGGTTGGCGCCGCCGGCCGTCATGGGCGTCTGCTGGCCCGACGGGGTCGAGAGCTGGCCGTCGGCCGTGTTGAGCGACAGGCGGCCGTTGCGCTTCTTGCTGCGGTCCTGCTGCAGCAGCTGGTTGAAGAGCTGCGACAGCGCGTGGCTGCTCTGGAACTGCGACGCCGTGCTGCTGCTGCCCTGCGTCGGCGGCGCGAACAGCCGCTGCCGCACCTCCTCGCGCTCCGTCGACAGCTTCTCGTAGTTGGTGTTGATGCGCTGCAGCTCGCCCAGCAGGTACTGCTCCTCCTTGATCTCGTCCGCCGTGCGCTCCAGGAGCGCCGACGCCACCTTCTTCCGCTGCTTCTCCCGGTCCGGGTCGAACCGGGTCAGGATCTCGTGCAGCCCGAACTCGGCGTTCGTCATGGACGCGATCGGCGTCTTGAGCTCCATCAGCTTCGCGCTGATCTGGTAGTACCGTGCCTTCATGTCCTCCATCGTCCTCTCCTTCGGCGCCATGGCCGGCGCCGCAACAGCCCCACCCTCGTCGGCGGCGGTGGCGTCGTCCAGGTCCACCTTCGGCTGCGGGGGCTGCCAGTCGTAGCGATCCGCGATGATGGACCAGCGGTGATAATAGTCCTTCACCGTCTCAACCAGATAGTCCGTCTCCTCCTTGCTCCACTCCTCGCTGCGCAGGTGCGCCTCGTATGTCTCGTCATCGTACTCCGGACCCTCGGGCTGGACGTTGAACTTTGCGTACTCGTAGTTTGTCTCGATTCGGGGGTCCGCGGTGGCAGCAGCAGCAGTGGCAGCAGCATCAGCACCGCCGTCCTGGTTCTCCGCATCGCCCATCGCCACGTCTCCGTTGGCGTCGTTCGGTTGCAAGCGCTTCCAATGCCTGAGCACCAGGTCGTCCGTCCGCGCCGGGTTCGTGAAAGGCGTGAGGGCCCTGTGTCGCAAATAGCGTCCTCCGGGGTCAGCTCGCCCAATTCTCTCCCGAATATTATGAACTGGACATGTACGCACCACTTCGCCGCCGGACCCTTGTTCGCGCCCCACCTCCGTTTCGGCTGATAGCTCTTGCCCGCCTCGACCACCGCCACGGGCGGCGCGCGCTCGCCGTAAAGTGCTTGCACTTCGCGATTTATGCCAGCTGCAGAAGTGGCCAACTGTTAGTGACGCAATCCAACACAAGGAGAGAATGAAAAGTTGAGCCATGGAGAGAAAAAAGGATAGAAACGCACTCATGCGCGGCTTTGGTTGACTCGTCTTTTGCTTCTTCGCGGGCGGTGGTTTGGGCAGCGCCTCGCCGGGCTGCAGGCCCATGATGTCGCGGGCGTCGTTCATGGACGCCATGGTCGGCGGTCGTGGTGGCGATGGTTGGGATGTGGAAAACGTTCCGGTTGAGGGCGACGCGCGCGTTTCACTCGGCCTGGGCCTCGTCGTCGAGCATGCGTTTTGCGGTCTGCAGGGTGCTGGATGGAAACCCGCGGGGGGAAGGGGTGAGGCGAGGGCAATTCGAGGACGGCGTATCCGGATTCGAAAGACGCGTTCGTGTTGGGTGTGGTGGCCGACGAGGCGTTTCGGTCGTTGTCGTCGTCGCGCCTGGTGGTGGTGGTTGCTGGTGGGATTGAAGGTCGAAAGGTGTCGGCGGCGTGTCGGGGAATGAATGTCAGGTCCCGCGGCGACTCACATAATCACTCACCGCCTTCGGAAGCTCACCTTCAACATCACCCTACGTCTTCGTTACATACCCTTCAGCGACGCAGTCTCCAACTCGTGTATTGGCTGGCTCATAAAGCTGAGTTGAGATCTCGATAATTATAAACCCAACTTTGATACCTCGGAGAGATCACTTGTTCTTCTAGCTTCCCCGCGAGACATAAAGAAACTTGATACGCCCACTTGCAAGTATCTGATATAAAACGAGCAGTAAGCAAGACAGGACGTCAAAATTGGTGGACATAATGCAACGGACGGTGGCAACCCCCATGCGCCATGGAAAAAAGGTAGGCAAGAAAAGACTGATTCTGAAGGGTAAAAGCGAAACAATCCTCAACTCATGCAAATAAGTCGTGCTACACGGCGGCAAACATCCAGTGCGCTCCCACTAAACGGCTTTGGAATAAAAAAAAAAGAAAAGGGAAACCTTTCAAACATCCCTTCACAACCACCAGCGCCTCTGACGATGGCTCTCGATAAGGATATAGCCCGTCAAACCCCAATACTGAGGACGCTCCGATCCTACAATAAATGCCATGAAATCAAACATTGCCAGATCAAGAAAAAGACGATCGACGCGTTTGCAGCATGCAAGAGCTGCGATAATTATGTCTTCTTGCATCCATTACGCCCGCCTCAGTTGTTTTGACCCGCCCTACGCGTTTCCGGGCTTTTCCTCGGTGTCGATATGCCAGACGACGTAGTTCGGAAGACCGTAGACCTTGTAGCCGGCGCGCTTGGCCATCTTCGCGAATCCTTCCGTCTCGGCCTGGTTCTCGAACGCATAACAGGGGAAGTTGATGCCTGCATTCCTGTCAGCTACTACTCTTCAACAACTGCGTCCGCTTTGAAGCAACGTACCTGAGCGATGGACATCCGCCTTGACCATGATGTTCACTCCGCCAATGCCGTCAAGCTCGATCTCTTCATCTTTGTTCTCGCGCCAATCACCCATTTTCGCCATGTACGTACGCTCCGTCTTGTACTCCTTGTAACCTGGAGATGCGGTCAGAGCAGCGGACTTTAGTGACAGGACAAACGCCTACATACCTTCAGCCAAGACAACATCCTTATCCAGAGAAGCCGCGAGCTTCCTGCCCGTGTCCGACTCAACCCAGGAGTTGTAGTCAAACCTGCCCTCGATATCGACCAACTTGCCGTCCCTCTCCTGGTAGCGGTGGAACCAAATGTTGGGGACCAGAACGTCCCTGTCGTGGGCGACGAAATCCTCGATGATCTTCTTCGGGCTGTCTACAATGTCCACGTCGCGCCAATACACCCAGGAATGCTCCGGCTTCAAGGCGGCGGAGAGCAGGTAGTTTCTGGCGCGGCCCATGACCTTACGGCGAGGGCCCTGCGCTTCAAAGCTGTGCCTGTACTCGACGTCCTGGCTGGTCTCGACGCCAAAATCCTTCTCCACAATCATGGTGCTGCGGAAAGCATTGTTCTCATCCTTCTGGACGCGCTCGAGCTCCTTGGCCAACACGGCCAGTGTATCATCGCTGGTATCAGAAACAAGGAAGGCGAGATCGATGAGGTGATGCGGGTAGGTGAGCTGCGAGAGGAGATCGAAGTGTTGGTTGATGTAGAACGAGGCGTCGCGAAGCGGCGTCAGGATGAGGACACGCTCCTCGTTCTGGAGGGCCTTGGGCCCTGACTTGATAGGGTTGAGGTCGATGCGCTCTATCGTCGTGGAATTGACCTCGACGGGAGTATGGTGGTTGAAGATGACGGGTGTGGTTAGGTGGGCCATCCACTTTTCGCGTTCGTTGGTCGACATATCCATGGGCGATTTTGAGGGGCCCCAGCAGACGAATCTGGTACGATAGCACGTTAGCCACGGTTCACGCAAGAGGGGGCCCGGTGGTTGGCTGGGTACCTTTGCATCTCGCCCGCGGTGTCGCTCAAGCCCCGCCATAGTAATAATATGACACCGGCGACGGCGACGAAGAGAAGAAAGCGTGTGCGGGTGAGGAAGTGCCAAACAGCTCGCGAAGGCGGCAGTCGAGCTTTGGCCGCCTTCCAATTCACTCCGCCCTTGGGAAGAAGCATGATTACTACTCAAGTAGCCCGGGGCGCTCGCAGAGGCGGGGGAGGAGAAAGCAATCGCCCGCGCCGGTCAGAGCGATGCGAAGAGAAGCGAAGGTAACGAGCGTGGGCGCGCGGTGCGTTGTGGTGGGAGAGGGGGTTGGAGATCGCGGATCTGACGTTGCGGGTCGCCTGTCGCTTCGAGGCAACGTTGGCAGTGGTCAGGGACGCGGCGGTTGGAATTGCGATCGACGGCTGGCCGGAGACTGGCAGTGGGGGCAGAGCGAGGAAGCGCTGGGTCGTTGTTACTGGAGGTGAGCACCGCCGGGCCAGCGCAGCATCATCGGGGTCGGTTATCGCTGGGACGTTGCGATGCGCTGCAAGACCAACGGAGTGCTGCGCGCCGCCGCTGGCGAAGGAGGCCCGAGCGATCACGTGCGGCCCGCCGACGCCTCCTTTTCGCCTGCCGCATTGCCGCTGCTGCTGCTGCCGTCAGCACCGGGGCTGGGGGACGGCGGAGGCGTCTTCCGCGCACATCGGCCAGTGTTTCTGGCGTTTGCGCTGCAGGTGCCTGCGATTCACGACCAAGATCCATAGCACGTCCCCTCCTCCCCACAGCGGCTGCGTGTCCAACGGTCCGGTAGTGCGCGCAGATCACGGTGTCAAGCCCATGCTCTCGTATCCCGAGCAGAGAGCTACTCCAGACCCGCGTCGCGAGCCGCGGTTCGTGCCGCCGGAAAGCATCTGCCACAATCGGTCTCCTGGGTCGTCAGCATGGCCGCTTCCTGCCGTGGCCGCCATCGCCGTGCGACGCCCGCCGGGCACCTGCGTGGTGCGATGTACATACTGTGCCACCCTTTCTTCAAGCCCGTATGGCGCCGCTAGCTTCTCCATCCTACCGCAAGCCCGTGCATCGTCTCGTCTCCGCGTGGGAGGATTGCGGTCCGCAGCACATCTGCCGTTCATCGTATCGTATCATGCTCCCACCACCGCGTGCTCAATGCCGCCGCTGCTGCTCCATCTGCAAGAGACAAGCCCAGTCCGTCGTACCAGACTTCCATTATACGCAGTTCCTGGGTTTGATAAGTGATTCTGTCGCCGGCAACGGCAGTGTTCCGCGCACGTAATCGAATTGCCTCTGGCACGTAGGTAGATACCTCAAGCGAAGCGTGCACTATTATCAGTCGGTTCTCAATTCATTTTCCACGGAGGCCACTTGGCTCGCCCGACGCTATCTTTCACAAAGGTCCTACCCGGAAATAAGAGATAAAAAAAAAAAACGACCGCCATTAAGCGCCACTCTTGCTAGCGCAGATCCTTTTGGACGACACCACACCACACACAAACCCGAAATTCACCAAAGCCATCCCGGGCATTACCGAAAATTAAAAAAAGGCCCGAGCAAAAGAGAGAAACAGCCATCGTTCGGTTGCGAACCTTTTGGTCTTATACCTTTTCCAATGCTTCCAACGTACGTATGACTTGACAAGCGACGAATGACGTGAAATGTGTTGAACGGAGGAATCGGGAGCAAGAGCACAACGCGCTGCCACTTCTCCCTTGTGTGAAGCAAGAAACCATACCCGAAAAACAAAACGATGCTTGATGTTCGCTGATGCCGCCACGATAGATGAAACACTGGACAGACAGGGGAAGGCGATGCATGCCAGAAAAGACAGGAAGAGACCAATGCAGACCCGCTCCGAGCGAATGAAATGCAAACCAAACCAAAACCAAACAACGTATCCAAGGCGCAATGCGTAAACAGTGATATGATATACTACACGAAAGCAAAAACACCTCCCGAACTTTTCTGATACCGGTGGGTGACCGTTCCCATTTTAAGCCGTGCCGATTGTGCGCCGTTGCCTGAAAGTTAAGAAAAGTTGAGACACGTGGGTGTCTGGAGATGATTCTGGACTAAGCCGGCCTAAAATGACCAGCGGGGAGGGTCGGGGTGTTGGAAATGTAGGTCATCGTGGGCCAAGAAGCGAAGTAGGAAGTCTCTAAGGTCGTGAGGGAAAGACTGGAGCCGCAGCCTAGAGGTGGGGCCATGTGCTTGAGCACGGTAAGGACCGTCTTTTGCCACGACCGAGCAGTTCAAATAAACATGTCTCACACTCAGTAGGGAGGGCAAGTGGGAGTCGGGCTGGGCGAGGTTGACGAAGATAACGGGGTAGGATACCGACCGTTCTTCCGCTCCTTGGCCATGGCGTCCGCCTCTTTCTGCGACTCTTTCTCGAAATAATTCTCGATGGCCACATCTTCCGCCTCCAAGGCCTTGACCAGCTTCCTCGAGTCCAACTCAATGTCGTGCTCGACATCTCTTAACCATGCAACGTTGTCCGCGGTCAGCTCGGCCTTGCTTTGCAGAAGCTGTAGCATGCGCCGTTGGTTGGTATACTGCAGAAGCAGCATGAGGTCCTTGTTGCGCGCCTCCTTGTTCGTCTGCTGCAGGATCTCGAGCTTCTTGCCATCCAGGCCTGAGTTCTTTTTGTTGTTTGTGTTCAGATCAGTGTTGGCGAACCACCCCCGGGCCTGCTGCCGAATCTCCATCTTCTTGTGCTCATGGCGAAGAGCTCGGCGAGAGCACTTCTCCCTATTTGCCTTGTTCTTCTGCTGAAGCTCCTGTTGGAACGACGTCTTCCTTGACGTCACCACCGACTTGCGGCGAGAGGTGGGCTTGGTTACGCCGGGATAAGCCACACACGAGCCACGACGGGAGGGGGGGTTAGATCCACAGGAGAAGGAATCGAAGGAGCTCCGGGCGCCGCTCCCACGCCGAGACATGGGGCCTACTTGGAAAGTGTCATCGAAGCCGGCGCCAAGGTGTCTTGCATGAGGCTGGAACGGGTGGATGAAGCGGAAGTGGCCACATGAGGAGCACTCAGCCTGCGCCGAGCTCAGAGGTGCGCCGCAGCGGGAGCACTCGTCCTTGAGCTGGGCCGCGGGGAATGATGGCGTTGCGGGAGTGTGGAGGGCGCCCTGGGTGGGGGATGGGGCGGCTGACTCGACAGCACCGCGGTCTCTCTGCTCAAAGGATCCAAAGGTCTGGGAGTGCGGGAGGTGAGGGAGAGCGGGGCGGGAGGGCGGAGGATTGGAGAGGTGGGTGGCGAAGCCTCTGGCTTGGAAGGAAGGCTGAGCGGCGGCGGCGGCGCGGGCCGTCTCAGCGCCCAGATTCAGGTCTTGAATGGAGGGCAGGTTGACGGCGGACAGGCGGGGCGGCATCTGCTGGCCGCCGTCTGCAGGAGGAGCAGTGGCACGAGTCACCATGATCGGTGGGTGTGGTGGCAGGCGAGCACAAGAGTAGGCAAACAACGCTAGTTGAAGAGAGTGGAGAGCAGCGCGGGTGCAACGAGCGCGGCAACGATTAGACGACGACCCGGGACGCTGGAGGCTCGAGGGAAAGATTCAGAGTGGACTGTAGAGTGCCAGGAAGGCGCCGCTTGGTCTTTTAAACGCCGGTGCGCGCGGTCTGGGAGTGCTTGGACATGGATGGTCTCTGGACAGCAAGGCGAAGCGAAGGCCCGGCTGCATCATCTGGCCGCGTTGAGATGCGCCATTCAGCAGATCGAGGTTGCAGTGGGGAACAGCAGGCGGCCAGATCAGATGCGGGCGGGCGGACAGCTTCTGCCAGGCGGGCTGTATACGGCACCGGGGTGTCACTGGGCAGGCAGCTGTGCAGCTCCAGCGTGGTGGGGGCGCGGCAAATCGATTGGCAGCTCTCTCGCGCCCTTGCGTGAGGCAGGCCTCGGGCGCCCTTTGGTCAGACATGAGACAGCGCGGTGGATGACACCAGCTCTCATGCAAGTCACTCGTCGCCCGTCTCCCCGCGCTGGCCGGGGCGGCCATGACGAATCGCAGGCGCTCCGCGGCCCATAGCGCGACGCAGGCACACTGGCCGATCTGCCGCACGCAACGGAGCAGCTCACCGCTCGGTGTGCGACCGCTGCAGCAGCTTAACGGCGACGGGGGCGTACAGCAGCTGGGGCCAACGGTCGAGCAGAAGGGCCCGTAGCGGCCATGAACGTGCAGCCGGCAAGCGGAGCCTGAAGTCCTGCAAATACGAGCGATCCCATCTCACATCCCCAGCCTCGACCGCCAGCCGGGCTCCAGGCGCTGCCGCGCGAGCGCGCGCAAGTCGGCGCCGCCCAAACAGGACGGCCTGCCGTCTCGGGTATCGGATCGTGCTGCACGTCACCCCAGAAGCGATGGAACAGGTAGCTTCAGAGCCCGCCGCGCGATGCGGCGCCGTGCTCCTGATCGATGCTGAGGGCCAGATGCGGGCGAGCCGTCGCGCAGCCGCCCGATAATGACAGGTTCTACCGGCGGCGGACGTCGCACAGAGCCTGATATGACCTGCTCCGCCCAGGTCCCCGACTGCCTCCAGAAGCGCGCCGGCATGTGCAGACCCCCTGGTCGCCACCGTCAGATCAGCAGGCATCGCATGTCAGGGAGAAACGATGCGAAAGATCCCGTTCGCGGACGAACCGCGCCCCCAGAGGCCCTCCGCCGGGCGTACGTGGCGTGTGGGCTCGAGGTACTGCGCTAATTTGGCAGCGGGAAAAAGGAAAAATAGGAAAAGATAGATAGATGAGAACGATACCTGGAGCCGCGTTATCGAGCCGGCCGAGTCAGTCGAGCCAGCGGCTGCTGGGGTCCCATGCGCGCCCGCTTGGTGTTGTAGTCGTCGTGCTTCCGTCCCCAAAAACTGCGGACCGGCCTCGCCAGCCCGCACCGCGGCATGTGCAGACCCTTGTTACACCCAGCAGATCACCAGCCGTCACGTCAGGCAGCAAACAGTGCTTTTCTGCGCGATAACATACTCGAAACGAGCCATCCATGACTTTGCACGTCAGAAAGAGAAGCATTACACTGATTATGAATAAGAACACCCGACGTCAATGCAAAATAACGAAATCCCGTTGCACCGAAACAAACGACCAAGTTCAGACAGGCATATCCCCCAGGGGCTTTTGTGTACTGCGGCTTAGACGTTCCAAACAAGTAAAATTTTGCTAAAGCACCATATTACTTCAAGCTCGCACCCCCCCACTTCCCCACGTCCCCTGCAACTCGGCCAAGCCCATGCGCGTACGCATGCTCTTCATCGAACCAATTTCCCGAACAGACGTTGTGCGCGACCAGGGGTCTCGTGAGTAAGAAATGCCCAACATAGACTGTTGAAGGGAATTGCACCTTCCCTGAATTAAGTGTAGTCTATTCAATCGAGAACATGAAAGAGAAAAACGCCAGCACCCGCTTCACTCGGTTACACTTTAGAAGAAGCCAAGCATGGCAGCGAGGACACCAGCGGCACCGAGACCGGCAGCGTTGGTGACATCGAGGTGGCCAGCGGCACCGCTGCTGGTCGACTTGGAGCTGGAGCTGGAGCCAGTGGGGGTGGTGTCGGCACCACCGGGGTTGGTCTGCTTGCCGGCGCACTGGTACTTGCCCTTGATGACGTTGCTGTTGCCGGAGAGGGACTTGAAGTGAGTGCAGGCATCGCTGATGTCGCTCTCAGACTGGATGTTGAAGGCACCGCGGACATCCTTCAGGCTGTCAAGGGAGACCCTGTAACCGGTTAGCATCGGGCTGCTCTTCCCACTCGAAAAAAAGGGAAACTTACTCAGTCAGGTTGCCGGAGAAGTCGAGGGCACCGCCAACGGTCTCAAGAGCGGGGAAAGAGGCGTTGTTGAGCTTGGGGTTGTCGGCGATCTGGAAACCACCGCTGACCTTCTCGAGAGCATCGAGGGTGATGTTGGCGAGGTTGCCGTTACCGACGAAGGAGAGCGAGCCACCGACGGTGGTGAGGTTGGCAGCCTCGTAGCTCTTGATGCTGTCGCCGTAGAAGCCGAGGGAACCGTTCAGGGAAGCCAGCGAGGGGGTGGAGATGCTGCTGACGTTGCGGAAGGTCATGTTGTAAGCCCACTCAAGGTTGGGGAACGAGGCCTGGAGATCATCCGAGTTGGCAGACAGAGTAAGAGCGTCCTTGATGCTGGTGAACTGGACGGTGATGTCCTTCAGGTACTTGTTGTTGGCGATGAAGAAGGACGAGACCTCCTTGAGGTTGATGCCGTCCAGGGTGCTCAGGAAGGTGTTCTGGATGTCGACGTTGTTGGCCTCCTTGACACCGTTGGTGAAAGACAGCTCGGACAGAGCGGGCAGAGAGCTCCACTTGATGCTGTCGACCTTGTTGAGCTGGGGGAAGTTGAGCGAACCCAGGACGGTGAGCTCGTCGAGCGTGAAGACGCCAACCTCGGTGAGGCTGTCGGCTGCCAGGCTGGTCAACTGGGTAGCGTTGGAGGCGATCAGATCGCCGTCAATCACCTCGACACCGCTGAGGCTGACGGTGGTCGCATCGGTGGCAATGGCAACAGAGCCGGTGAAGGTCTTGCAGGCCGAGAGACCGGTGGCTTCACTGCCAACGGTGGTGGTTCCGGAAACACTGCAAGAGGCGGCTGTTGTCGCATTGCCGTCAGCGATCTGAGAGAGCGAAAAGGGGAGTCGGAGTGGGTGTGAGGCAGTAGAGGCTGCTATCGAGGGAGGACGTACCCTGGGCACCGGCGGCCGCCGCGACAACGGGGAGAGCGTACTTGGCGAACATTGTCGTTGATTGAAAGGCGAAGATCTGGAGCGCGGAGTAGAATCAGCAGCTGCGACGACGAAGACGCGTTGTATATGTAGCGGTCGGGGGCGCGAGTGGAGTACGCACGGAAGTCAATTGGGGTGGCTGACGACGCCTCGGGGATAAATGGGATGACGAGAGTGAAGATGTACTAGTGAGCGAGTGTCAAGAAGTTGGAAGAGGAAACGAGGGAGAAATAGGCGCAGCTGGCAACCGACGAGGATAGAAGGCTCGCTGGAGACGTGGCTGAGCGAAACGAGGAGGTGGGAAGGGTGGTGTTTTGTTGAAAGGAAGGCGAAGGAGGGCGGGAAAATAGGGAGGTTCGCGCAGCAGTGCGCTCAGGAGCGACGGCCGCGCTAGGGCGCAGGACGCTGGCCCGAGCTCGTGCGGCCTGGCGTGGCTTGATTCGAGGTTGATTCATTAGCGCGGCCAGTGCCCGCCTCTGGCGATCGCGCGTGCATGGAGCATTCGAGATGGTCCGCTTAGTCCAGGGCAGCGAGTTCGCCCGCCATGGCCGCCGGCAAGCGCTTCGGCGGTCTGGCAGCGTGCCAGCACCGCGGCGCACGATGGTTGACGTCGCGCTGGAGACTCTCCCAGCCTCCGCCCCGCGCGATGTGGGTGAGGAGGCGGGCACCAGCGCGTTGTTACGAGGCCCTCCACCGCGCCGACGAACCATGCACGCCGGCTGTGGCACTCGCAGTAGCCCGTCAGCTCGCGCGCGGCCACTACCTTGCTGTCGCCTCACCGATTGCCCCTCGTTCAGCTCAGTCGCGCTGCGCGACGCGGACGGCAGGACGGCTGGCCCGCGCAGCCGCCGCTCGATTGGCCAATTCACGCGAGTTGACTGGATCCAATCGAGGCGCCGTCCGCGAATCATCGAATCATGGCCGGGCGCGCTAGATGCTGTCATGGGTGTCGGCCAACTCTGGACGGCCAGCGGCTCTCGCAGCCAAGTTTCGCGCCCAGCCCTCGCCGTTGCAGGCTGCCTCCATCGCCCCAAACAGCAATGCCGCGTGTACCGTCGGCGAGACAACGCCCAGTCGCCCACCAGCGCGCCCGCTCTGCGACCGCGATGACGCTGGATGTGCCCTCGCCCGTCGCCGCCAACGCTTGCGGACGGTGCTGTCCATGCGCAGAGCTATTTTATCGTTTATGAAAACGGATCACGGACCCCGGGGGGCGCCTGCTGCAGCCCTGGCACTGCTAATCTCGGATGCTGGCCCATCACGGCGAGCGCCAGCCCGGCGAAGCACACCCGGTGTTGATTTTTCTATCTGGCGCAAGCTACAACGGCAGGAGCGAGCCTCTTCATCTCCGCCACTCTGCGCCGTGTCAATCATGCCATCACGGGCGCGCGCCGTTGGCAGCCGGCAAGGATGCCCATATCATGATCTCCATCGCTTGGTGCCAGCGCCGGTCGAGCGCGGGGCGGCGTCGCAATTTGCAAGAGATCAAAGCATTGTTGCGTGCCCTGGTCCGACGGGTCGCAATCCGCACCCTGTCGAGCCTCCTCGCCGCAACCGGTGCGTCACGCTTTACCGATCGGGTCGCGACGCCTCCAAACGTGGGTGGCACGGGCAGAGCGGAGGAGCAGAGGGAATATTCGCTCGTGTGCGTTGATGAGCGCGGTTGTCGCGCGGCGGTGCGGTACGAGGCTACGGATGTCCGCCGCAAGCGTTCGGCGAGAGCCAGCCTTTGCTCCTCCGCCCGCCGCGAGCCGGCGACCGCGACGACAACAACAACGACGACAGCGACGACGACGACGACGACACCAACAACCGCACGGCAACGCCGGGATACGTTGGCAGCGAGCCGCACGGCGCCCCACTCCTATTTCCGCCGTCAGGAAGGCCTCGGTCTCAGCTGCACTATCGCCATCCTCGGCCAATCACAGCGGGCAAAGTCGACGGGGGTTACTAAGATGACCAAGACGGCCGCCGTCGATCAGCTTCCGGCTCCGGGCAGATGCATGCCGCGATACTCGAACAGGCAAGCAGTAGCACGGGGAAGCAGTCAACGGACAGCCGCGGCGAGGGGCTGCGCGGCCACTCGACGCCTCGCACGCCAGCGCCGCCCCTTCGCTGCGCTGGCCCGCGGCCTATCGCAGCCCTCACGTGCGCTGCAGCCGAAGCTTCACGGCGACTCGAAGCATGCTGAATCTGTAACCAGGTTTCGGTCGTCCGTTTCATGTCCCGTCATGCAAGGCTGCAAAAAGCAAGAGAGAAGAGGCGGCCAAGCCTTCTCGTCACCGGCAGTCTCAGAGTCGACCCGGGCTCCACAGGGCTGGGCGAAGGTCACCACATGCGACCCTCGCTCCCTGCGCCCCGTATGGCGCCCGGTGCTTGCGGCTGAGCCGTCCGAGCACTCGACGCGATATGAAGATATCAAGCCGACAAGCTCTTGACGGCGACTCCTGTTTCCCGCGAAGGGCAAGTCGATGGACTCTTTTGGGCTCCACCCATAGGGCGACGGAGAGCAAGACCAGTTTGCCGCCAAGCGCTGGAGGGCGCGGTTCCCTTCAGCCAATCCTCCGCGCACGACCTACAGACGCCCATTGCTGATGCCCCCGGCGTCATAGGGCCTCCCTACCGCGTTTTGCACGCCGTCTGAGGGCGCGAAACAGCGGCAAAAATGTGGAGCCACAGCGCCCATGTGCAAGTGGCGTCGACAAGCCCACGGGTGGCACAGAGAGGAAGTGAGGAGCTGCAATTGATCTCCGCAGAGCATCCGCAACAATCCCACCAGCAGACGTCAGAAGGCTTCGGCAACATCACAAGGCCGGCACACGTGCATCTGGTCGAATTGCAAAGTGGTCGGCCCTCACGTGGCTAACCAGACAATCTTCTGCATCCGGAATCGCTCAGCTCCGGGAGAATCACACCGCACTTCGTTCATCTCATCCTTCGGTGTGCACTCCAGGGGCTCCGCCGTACCTACCCCGTCATGCAAAGTCGACCAGCACGCCGTCGCCACCTGCATTCTTGCCTCGCCATCGCCCTCGCTCGCCAGCATGAACTTTCCGGCACCACTGCTCCACTATGCCGCAACCTCCACACGCATCTTGCAAGGCAACGAGACACAGCGATATGTGCGACAACAGCAGAGGATCCCGGCGCCGGACTAGTAGATGCGTGTCAGAACCTTAAACCCGCCTACCCGGGGAACGGAGAGCGGTTGGAGGAGAAGCCAAGACCTTTGTTCGCACCACCGTGTAATCCCACCCGCTCCCTCGCCCCGTCAAGTGGCTCAGTAGCGCTGCGCTTTGGCCTGGGAGGATGATCGACTGCAAGTCCGAATTTGCGAACGGCGTTGTTGTGCGACGTGCTGTTAGAGGACTTCATTGGACTACGTTGAGCCTCCCGCTCATTGCCCAGGACCTTGATTGCCGCTGCCTCGGTTCATGAGACGGTTGATCCCACTCCACTCCCAGCCACAGACGACAGTCTTTGCCAACACACCGAAGCAAGAGCGGCAGAAAGATCTGAGTTGCTTCAGCAGACGCATTTCCGGTTTCGCCGCCAGAGAACCACTTCCCTAAATCGCCGCGTTCCTTGCCGCTGCAGACCGTCCTCTTGCTCCGCTTGCTGCAAGATATCGGGACTGCATTGGCATGACATGCAGCAATCGTCGGTGGAGCTTCGCTCCCCTCATCCATGTATCATCCTTGTTGCAGCCGCATTAGCAGGCAATCCTCTGCCGATGATGATAGCATGTGCGCCTGCTGACTTGCTTGTAACTGTCCGACTTGACCTCATCAGATCCCGGATTCGCCCGCGGCTACATACATGTTCGCCGTTAAGGTGCTGACAGCAGTCGCACCACGCGCCAGAGAGAAAAAAGCAGGGAAGACGCTGCTGTGGAAGGTGAGTCGGGAGGGTAAGGAAGAGGGGTCGATGAACACCAAGAGAGTATAGCAGCTTAAGCAAGCAGGTAGGCAGGCAGGCATAGCGGACGAGAGGTGGCACGCATACTCCCGTACGCCTGAAGCACCCTGCGAAGTCACAGATTCGACCTGAGCCGCATCAACGCTAGGCAACTAAGGACGACCCGCGCACCATTGCTGTGCCAAGCACGCGCGGAACGGGTGTAGCGTCTGACTTGCAGCTCTCTCGACAACCCCCTTTCGCCTTTGTCTTTTCCTTATCTGACATGTCCTGCTTGCTTGTCCGCATTGCTTGCATGGCTACCCTTTCCTCTCCTCCCGTCAGCCCTGCAGTAGTTCAGATCTGCACGCCATCCACACACGGATTGCGGATGCCGGTCCCGCTATTCCCCGCAAGACCGGCCCCATCGTGAACTGAGGTAAGCTAAGGCACGTCATGAAGTGCGGGAGTACCGCCCCGCTTGCGATATGGAGAGGCAAAGAGCGGTGTCCAACCGATTCATCCCCGGCTGACCGTGATGTGTCGCATGGGTGACACGCTTCGAGATGCTAAGTTTAGAGTAATCTAGAACGAGACGACCGCGCAGGGTTGAAAGCCGCCGGCGGCATTGCTCACGAAGCGCCTATCTACCAGCTGTGGGAAGTGGAGATGCCCGTTTGGAGAACAGCTTGGGCAGCAGTGGCGTGAGATGACTGAGGGCGCTTGGAGATGGGACGACCGGAGTGGCCTTGGTTGCCAGGTGGAGAGGTGGGGGAAGCCAGCCCTCCACTGTCCTCTTGGAGAGATGCTTGCAACTCCCACGACTCCAAAGGCAACACACTCTCGCCCATCCACTAAGTGATATCGAAGCCTCAACTTGCACCTGAACGCTCATGCTGTCTTTCTTCCAACCCCGAGAACGCAGCCGGGGGAACAGAAATTTTCTGTTTATGCAGCAAGTCTCTGTGCCGTGTTATCGTTGCACGAAACTGCCGCCATCCTCTCCCCCCCTCCCTCTCTCCCGCCTTCACCCATATCCCGCGCCTCCCCTCCTTCCCTCCCTTCCCCCTTCCCTCCCCTCATCCCGCTCCGCTCTGTACTACGTACGTACATCAATGGATTCTTGTGTTCGATAAGAGATGCAAGTTGGCACGGGCCCGTTTGCATAGATGAAAGGTACAGACCCTGCTCGCTCGAAGTACCTGCCTGACCTTTGCACAACGTCGAGTCGTCGCCCGGTTATTGTTGCTTCTGTTACTGCTGCCGCCGCCGCTGCTCCTGCTGCGGTTGCTGCCGCCCGTTGTGCTGCTGCGTTCTCTTCTTCCCGACACCGGGGTGCATCTCCGAGGATGTTTCCGTCGAAACCTTGCCCTGCTTGCTTGGATCATCATCAGCATCATCAGCGTAACCTAGCCGGTCAGCCAACATAACCCACGCAGGACCGGTAGCAGCAGCAGCAGCAACGAACGCACCGGTCAGCAACCCAAGCTTGTAACGCCAATCTCCATCCACTTATCCCAGAACACTAACCACCGGCCGGTTAACATTGCCAGCCGATCTTTTTTATTTTGTCTTAGGTAGTCAGACAAGTTCTGTGCGCGCGCAACAGCCATGATGATGCCGTGATGCTCCTCCCCTTCCCATTCCGCGAACGAAGCCATTTCCCCAAACGCTTGCTGCATTGCCGCCGTCGCTGCTGAGCCAAGGCTTCGCCTCCTTTTCCCAACCTCTCTCAGACCAAAACCTATTCGCTATAGGCAGGTCTGTCCAACCCCTACTTTGCTTGTAAACAAGAAGAAAAGCCACACACACACAAAAAAACAAATAAATGATCAAGTAGCGGTGAACACAAGCATGAGCAAGTTGATTAAACTAAACAGACAAACCAACCAACCAACCCCAGGAAATCCCTGTCGTCGAAACGGCCTGCTGCTGCTGCTGCTGCTGCTGCTGCTGCTGACCGGCCGGCCCGCCTTGCCCATCCCATCCCATCCCAACCCATCCCATCCCACTCCACGATCGGCCCACGCACGCCCACTTTGGCGATCCAGATTGCGTCGTGCCGGTGCCGCGCGCGTAGTATATTAAATTTTTTTCCTCCCCCTCCCCATGTAGTCATCTATGTATGTATGTACGGACGTACTCCGTATGTATGTAACTCGTGGCCCTGGCCCTGGCCCTGGCCCTGCGCACGCGTCGGACGCTTTATCATTTATTTATTTTTACCCTGTTTTTCTCCCTGTGTTTTTTATCTCTCCGCGCTTCGGAGATATGTAAAGGAGAAGCGGAGGGGGAGGGGAGGGGGGAGAGGGGCGAAAAAGAAAACAAATAAACAAATAAAGAATCGAAGGGTGGGTGGGGATTTTGTCCGCGCCGAGCACGTTCGATCTGCTCATGTGGAACGCGCTCTCATGCGATTGAGCACAGATGGTGGCGAAGACGAAGCGAGAGAGAGAGAGAGAGAGAGAGGCAGAAACGTTCGACGGGTAGGATACATAGCAAGGATCCCCCCGGTTTGCGAGCAGTCGCAAGAAAGATAGATCTGTGTCATGGACGACCGACGCGACGAACACGGGGGGAGGGTGGGGTGGTTGTTGGGAGTTGCGAGTGTGGGTTTCTCTCGGCTTCGCCGTTGGGCAGCGGAGATGCAGGTGGGAATTTTTTTCCCCTTCCCTTTCCCTGCTTTGCACTCAGGGCGGGCAGGGGTGGGTGG